AACAACCATCAGAGACCAAAGGAGCTTTAAATGCATAGTTTTGACCAAATACGCTAGCTAGCCTAGTCTGCACAGAAATGTGTCCCAGCATGCTTTGTGCAGAGGAAAAACAGGCTCTTGGAGCGCCATCTTCAGGGTGAAACACTGTAACACAATGGCATCTTGCATGTTTATGTAGGATGATTCTCCCACACACATGCAGACAGTTTTTTTTTTAAGTATTTGGCTTTTTTTATTTTATTATTATCATCAATTTCGTCCTTTTATCTTTACTATCCTGTTTTAAGTACATTTCTTTTTCTTACCTATTTTATGTTTTTATTTTTGTCCTCATGGTCTCATTTTATGTTGTAGGGTTCTTGTATCATCTGGGTTTCTTATGACAAATGAAATTGGCCTACAATTCGGAGGCCTTGCTTTTAACTGAGCTTTTGTTTTTTATATGTTTTTATATCCATGTGCTGATGTTCTGTGCTTTACAACTGTTTGTCAAAGCACTTTGTAAACTTCTGTTTTCAAAAGTGCAATAAAAATAAAGTTATTACTATTATTGAGCATCTCTACAAAATTTTATAGCATGTTTATTGTTTCATTGGCAGCTCTCTGACTCCATATTTGAGACTGTCTAAGAATTGTTGAAGTTGGAAAGGTCATCTCATGGGTGAGCCTCAGGCTGCTGTTTCACTTCCTCTAAACTTCAGGTTCCTTTGTCGCTGAGCAGCAGTTTGAAAACGTCACAGCCACATCTTCCCCTGTGGTGTTTGAACAGTTTCAGTTCTGGACATTTATAAACATGGAAAAAACTGCACATACATACCTCACTACCACGTATACATTACCTCCCACGCAGGCAGCGCTTCACACACAGTTACAACCATCACGACAATTGCACAACAGGAAGCGAGTGGTAGTGATAAATGGACCAATGACAGATGCCGCAGCTTTAAGAGAGTAAGGCGCTGCATGAGCAGAGAGATGGGGACAATAACAAGACACTTGAAAGATTTTCCATCCTCCTGGTGCAGCTGAAGAACACGTTTGGCTGTTTTTTACACAGAAAAATGATGATTATATTCTCACAGTGAAAAAAAAGACAGCAGCAGGAGTCATTCATTCTTTCCCTTCTGTCCGGCCTACTCATCTGAGCTCCATTCATCTGCACCAACACCTCCTCCACAGTCTGAATCAAAGAGTTCTCAAAAATCAGTCAGGGACGCTCAGAAGAGCTGCTGGAAACATTTGTGCACGTTTCTTACTCACAGCTGACAAACGGCTGACAATGTGATCGCTGAAAAGAGCAGGAGGGGTTGTTGTGTTTTTTTTGACTTTATGTGTTGTATCTTTTGCTTGATTGTTTCCCAAGAAATCAGTGGCGAGTGATAAGAGCCCCTTTAAAACCATCTAAGTGCAAAGTCAAGCAAAGAAAAATTAGGTAACACTAACATGAACTTTAAAGGGATATTTCACTACATTTAAAGTGAGGTTTGAAGAGTTGTAAGTCATGTGTGTCTTGGCCACAATGCATGCTGGTCAACTGCGAACAGAAACAGGATGCTGGGTTTGCGACCATTTTCTGTAGAAAGGTCCAAGTCTGAGTCTACCAGGTGACTCTGACTCAGTTTAAAGGGATATTCTGTCATAAAATTAATTCAGGGTCAAACACACCTTTAGCAAAGAGACTAAACAAAACTCACCTTCTCTCTTCCAGCAGCCGCTTGTTTGTAGCGAGTCCATTACAGACTGCAGTGGGGTGACGCAGCTCAAGGAAGAACATTTATGATCATTACTTTATCGTTTCCTTGAGGTTATAATCATCATGTTAATCATTTTGCACTGCAGACACGGCAGATCTTCTGCCTTAGCGTCTCAGCCTGATTGCATTTCCATGAAGAAATGCTGCTGGAAGAGAGTAGGTGAGTTGTGTTTCATCTCTTTGCTAAAGAAATTAGGCAAAGTTAAAAAGATGTACTTTTGATGAAGTTAGGTGCTGTTCTGAGCATTATTAGTGGCTATAGAGTGGCGTTTTGGTTGGTTTGAGTGGGGCTCCTCAGACCACTGTGTACCACTATCCTGCAGTCGTTACTAAAGTTGGTATAACTAGAAAAGCAAGCGGTCGGCAACATTCATCTCTCGAGGGGGTGTATAACTCTGTGTTACTGTGTGTTTGACCCTAAATTAATTTTACGCCGGAATATCCCTTTAAGTGTACAATATACACTCCTCTGAAAATGTTCATCTGTTACTTTGACATCAGAAAGCTTTTTCTGTTTTTGCACTATTTGCAGACAAAACATAAATGCGCTCTACGGCCTGCAGCGCACTGATCAGCTGTTCAGGACACAACCCAAGGTCCACAGGATCTGTTTACCTTACTAAAATACTCATCTCAATGAGAGGACTGAGCTGAAATAACAAACTCTGTTCTCATCTTCTAAAACTTTAAAAGAATTTGCAGAAAATTAATTAAAGACCAACATCTGTTAGGGCACTAGATTTGCTTCTTTTTAGTCTCTGCTGGTCGAAGTGCTGTAATGTATGCAGCCAGTCCAGATACATCACAGACAGCCAATAATGGGATTTATTTTTGGAGTATCGAGCAGCCCGGACTTCCTCTAGGGAGAGAAGGCATTTGGAGGAGTTAATGCTGAGCTATCACTCCAAGCCCTCACTGTGTCTGCGGTATCTTGGTTTGATACAAGATGAAAGAGATCTGCTGAATTGATGGGAAGTCTATGTAAATTTATCTTCTTGTATTTAAAATCCGCAATGACAGGCAGGATTTCCCGTATAAGATGCACCCTTTTTTAATTCGATAATTAGCAGCAGAGTGATTGAATCATCTGTCTCCAGCATGTCTTGTTGTGTCTCTACACCCCACACACAGGCGTGACACATGTGGCCATGAGGGGGGAAAGTAAATCACAGAAAATCAATCTATTGATCGACTGTTCCATATGAAGGACGTGACATTTGCCCGTCCTATTATATCAAGACGTATTACTTCCTGTCGTCGGGGTGTTAATGCAGCGGCTCCAAACAGGAGAGGGACAGGAAGTAACTGCTGATGTGAACTTCAGCTGACAGATATTAAGAAAGTGAGGATGTAGGTCAGCATGCAGAGTGACAGCTCATATATCTCACTGCAGCAGACTTCATTTAATCTCAGTTACTAAACTGGAGGGTACAATGATACCGCAGCTGATAGAGGCAATGTCTTAAACCTCAGGAATACAATCCAAGCTGTCATACTTCATCGTTTTCTTTCACAGCTCATAAAACATGTAATATTAGACGCCAAAATCATCCCTGATTTACATTTAACTACAGTCTGGTTTCTATCTGAGGCGCAGAAATTTCATAGAGACCTTTTTCTCCTTGGACTGGTTACCTTTGATGCACATCAAAATAAAGTAGTGCCCTTCAAAAGTGAAATATGTGAATTTACTGCCTTCTAAATGTCCTTTCAGCGAACAAAGTATAAAAACAGCATCCTTCAGTGGATAAATTTGAAAAATAGTGACCTTGAAATGCCTTTCTAGTGTATTAAATGCAAAAAGTACATGTTTAATGCCCACCATGATATGAGATGTAAAAAGAGGCGTTTAGGATGCCCTCCCAGGATATTAAAAAGTGTCCAGTGGATCTCTCTTTTTAAGTGAAATGAAGGTTTAAAAAGTGTTCAAATACATGCTGATGTTTCTGGTTTAAAGTAACTTGCAAACTCCAAGTCTTGTTTTTCTCCACCTTGGTTATAAACCCTCCTGATCAGTGTGTACTTCACAAATCAGCAGAGCAGGGTGACGGTCCTGGTTGCAAAAAATCAATCTCAAAATGTCACCTCTTTACTAGGAGGGATCAATACCTATCGCTGTGAGAAGATGAATGTACTCGATTATCCATCCATCATTTTTTTCCACACTTCACAGCTCCAAAGGCCGTCATATCATCTCCAGTTTCTTCTGTTCATGGGAGGACAGCAGCAACATACAAAAACTCAAAGGTCAGCCTCTAGGCTCATACTGCAGATAGTTTAACACCGAGCACGCACAATCAACCCGACACTGTGTCTGTCTAAGGTTGTGGATGTTTGTTGATTGTTTCGTAGGTCAGACAGGAGGTGCAAAACATCGGACTAACACAAAGATTTCTCCATTAGTTTCTCATTTCTCTACAACAAAAGAGAAGAGTCTGTTTTTCATTTAGTACATTTACACGCACAGTTAAATCGAGCTGCAGTTACACCTCAATTTGGCGATTCAACTGGACGACTGTCTTGTCCCATTCCATAAGCACCAGGTGAGACTAAAGTGTGTCCACCTTAGCTATAGTGGGCGGTGATACTCCCCCTTTGTCCATCCCATCTTCTGCCATCAAGATTTTATTTACTATCCAGCTCCCTTGCGGTGCTTAAATACGTGTCAACTGTGCAGAAGGCTTAAGTCAGGTTGAATCTGATTGAGGCATAAATGCAAAAGAAAATCAATCCCCGAACATATTCTCCAGGTAGACGAGTCTGACTACAAGACAATGGGTTTTGTTTGATTGTTCACAACATGTCATGAATCAAGTAAAACAAAGAGCGGAAGGTCCCAAATTGCAGATCAAAAATGGGATTTATTTTAAAGGAACTAAAAGAACAAAAAAACTTACTTTTCAAATTGTCCAACTCAAAGAATCCAAAGAAACACAATAATCCAAAAATCAAAGAACCAAAAAAGTAACAAGGAGACACACAGAAGCACTGACATACAATGAACTGACAAAGAAACAGGGGAAGACAAGGGCTATATATACACATACAGGGAAACGAGCAACGAGGGGCAGGTGAGACACAGAGACACAGGTGCAGACAATTACTAACTAACGAGGGAAAACTGAGGAAGTAAAACCAGACTAGAGACACAGGGAATAAACTACCACAAAATAAAACAGGAAACACAGAGAGCATAAGAGAACTGGGGTCAGACACAAACTGAAAACTCACAAGACAAGACTACAGGGGAACAGGAACAATAGGGCACAGAAACACTAGGGAAAATCACAAATAAAATACACTCAAAAGACCAAAACCAGGGGAAAACTAAATACCAGAACATATATCATGACACCACATGTGGACAAACTGATCATCAGGGCATAGCGGCAGGGAAGGAGTGCAGACCTACAGGAGCTGTTTTGGTAAGGGTTTTTTTTTTATAAGCAAGTTTTTAGGTGACATGCACTGTTTTAAGTTGGTTGAAGACAAGATGTGCAGAGTGTAAATGTGCATGCAGGGAGGCCCGCCAGTAAGGAGTTGAAGAGATTTGAGATTTATTGATTTGATGAGGCACGTGAATGTTTGTTCTGCTTTTTGGTTCCCAACAGAAACATATAATCTTCCAGGATTAACCTGCAGCTCACACAAGTTAACTGTAGCAATGCTGGAAACAGACAGCAGATGCATTACTGAGTGTTTATATTTAGGTAAATTGTGTTACAGGTTAAACTTTTTATTGAGTAGCATTTAAACAGGTATCGATATCAGTACCAACCAAAATGAGTTAAAAATATTGATAAAAATCCGAAAATGTGCATGTCAAACCTGCTTGAGAAATGTTTATAACGATCTCAGCTCTGACAGGAAGATTTAGTGAAAGGTCAAAGGTCAAAGGTTACTCTATTTGTACCCTGAGGTAAATTTTGTTCGCAGTGAATCACATGTATGACACTAGACGAACAAACAGCACAGTACATACATGTAAAGTGACAACAGTACTCAGCGGTAAGAGATTAAAATGAATCAAATAAGACCAAATTAAATTCAGTAAAACCAAATAAAAACCAATGGCTCTCAAGGTTTCCCGATGGCTGATGAACTTGAAAGGGACTGAATGGTTTGTATTTCATGAAATGTTATGATGGATTACCATCAGATCACCAGCAACTTTACTGCAAAACTCATTTGTTAACCTGAATAAAATCTGAATATTTTTCTGCTTGGAGTCCAGCTCTGAAATGGTTCCTTTTTCCCCTGTATGCCAGTTTAAAATTCCTTAATCATAAACATATTTCATTCACTGGACATTTTTCTGTGTTTTTATGACACAGTTGCAGTGGAAACAATACACTGGTGTCCCATACTCATTAAGTCTTAATCTGGAGCACACAGTCTCTTTAAATCATCCCAGATGGCCGCCCCGTGAGGGTGGAGGAGAGAGCTGAGATGCAGAGGAGGCGATGGAGGACGCTAATATCAAGGATGGCTTTGATCCTACGAGGTAAATCCCTCTCTGATGTCACCGAGACACTCCACATGCGGACTGTTAATGAAAAAACACCAGCCGAGGTTCTCAGTCATGCTGCATTGAGCACTGAGTGGAGTTAATTTAGAAACAGTTTTAAACGAGGAAACCATGCATGTGAAGAACAGTAATGAAGTGTGTACTGAATCAAACCAAATAAATATTAATGCGGAGATGTAATCCTTGTCCTGACCTTTCTTTATAACCCTTCAATAATGTTCTTCAGAGCCATCAAGAAAAAGGTCAGCTGAATGAAAACCTTTTAACATCGCTAAATAATTCAAACTGTGTGTAACGGAGAAAGAATTAAAAGTGAGCAAAGAAAATTAAAGCGGCAGATAGAAACAGCAAAACACAAATCAGAGGGTTTAAATTCACTGTTTAGGACAGATACTAAAGGGCCGTCTTTAACAAAACTACCCGGGCATGTCCTCTTTTTTTAGGGGCTGTCCGGGTTTGTCCAGGTTTGTCTGGAGAAGTTTATAAAATCCTTCAAATGTTCACAGTTTTTGTACGAGAGTTTCGAGTTTGTGTCACGTGGACTTTTGAATTCTCAAAAATTAACTGTGCGACTCTGTGACTCCTCCCCCGCATAGTTGTGTCCTCTTTTTGGGAAGTCAGAATATGGTTACTCTAACTAAACACATGGATTTTTTATAATATGTGACATCATGTGAGGTGACATCAGTAGACGGGTTTCTTGTGTACAAACAATATTAGGTGTGCACGCAACCAGCGGGCAAAAGCCTGCTTCGGAGTGAACTGATATCAATGAAGATGCCGTATTGTTTTCAAGTTCTCCCTGACACAATTGCAATAAAATGTCATTTCATTGAAAAATCGCTTTGTCTTTCATTGCATCAAAATCTGAAAAACACTTGCTGAAATATCCATGAATTTCACTCAATTTACCAGGTTGTGACATTGTTTTGGATGTTTCTGAGCAGGGTCGTAATGTTTGACAATTGTTTGTTTTGCCGAAACATGCAGTTTACATCACAAAGGCTCCTTGTCATTTTCTTTCTCCATTGACTACGCTAGTAAACAAGTAAGAAATGTCCCGCTTTCTGTCCCCTGGCTGCGCGCACATACCTGCGATGACATTGCACAGAAACCCATCTATTGGTCATCACATACACCGCCGCCTACTGGTCAAAGTGTACCAGGAACCTTTCTCAAATTCAAGATGGCCGACATGATCAGGAATGCAACTCAACTCTATCCCACAAATCCTTTCATTCTTGATGGACTTTTCTGGTGGGTTGTTTTGGTAAGATCGTTAAATATTAGCGAGACACAGCAGGCAGCGCAATATCATTCAATCTTGATGATCATATTTTAGGGTGACCATATTCTGAATCCCCAAAAAGAGGACACGACAACATGGGGGCGGAGTCACAGAATCATGAGTAATAAATTTTGAGTTTTTCAGGTTGGCTCAAGAAGTCCACGCGACACAAACTCAGAGCTTCCATACAAAACCCCAGACATTTGAAGGATTTCATAAACTCCCCCAGAAAAAGCCCCCCAAAAAGAGGACATATCTGGGTAAAAGAGGACATACGGTCACCCTAATATATCTTTATAATTGTGGGGAGCCACTAATGTAACCTGAATATTCTCTTTTCAGTTTCCCTTTTCAACTTCTCTAGATTAAATCTATCAGTGTGTTTACAGCTTGATGTGCAGCCAAAAATACATTTTTATGATTTATCATCCCTTTGACCAACCATCCATTAAATATACAGTAACATGGGACCTGATCATTGGCCTCACTGGTTGACACAGACTGTTGAAATGTTCAGCCAAGCTGAAGGTTTTCACTTCAGGGGTTGTGAACCTGGTCTGGATGTCCAACAGAGAGGACTCCCTAGAGTTCCTGACCTAGAAACACCTCAGAATCTCAGAGGAGGAGCTGAAAATGATGCAGAGAAGAGAGACGTTTGGGCTGATTTCTTAATATGAAGCACTCTGGCCTGGGAAGATGGAAAGAGGAGAATTTATAAAGGTATTACCAGTACAAGCCTCATTTACACCTTTTTTTACTGTCCTTTTTTTCACAGAAAGACACATCCTCTTTCTCCTTTGTGTTCGTACAACAGTGTGCGTGTGCATGTGTGTTATAAAGTTGCTCTACAGCTGTTCTTATTAGTCATTTGTGGCCTTTCCTGCTGACCTCCACTCCAAAGCAGCGTCTGAATAATTTAAGCTCTACTTCAATTATTTAATTTTTCATTTAAAAGAAAAAGCTTGAATTGGATTTAAAATATTCAAATGCATTAGACCTCCAGAAACGCTGCTGCTGCTGCTAATGTACTAACAGTAATGAGACTGGGCTAAAAATAGACAAAGCTAAAGTCTTTGTTACGCAGAGATTCGGCGCCCTTTCACTCCTCGATTGTTTGGAGAAGTTGCTCTGATTCACAGGGTGTTTCCCTCTTTGGTCTGAGAGGTGAGTCAGGAGAGTCTTTCTGTCAATGTCGGGATCCGGTTTGAGATATTACTTGTTTTTAAAACCATCCATGCATTGGCACCATCTCACCTGTTCCAGCCAGAGCAAGAAGGTCAAAACACCAGATGTTAAGGATCCAGGCCAAAAAACAAAGGTGACACAGCCTCTGCAGTGGCTGCTCCCACGCTGTGGATCAGTCCATCCCTCTTATATAAGAACCTGAACATTTTACATCATTGCCCAAATCACATCTTTTCGATTTGGCAGCTGATTTACTGTGTTTATAACATTTTTTTTCATGTTCATTTTTGTTTTTTTAAGGTTTGCACAGCAGTTTGGTTCAGCTGCAGTTTGACTTGATTCGATTTGACGTGCATTAACAAATCAGTTGGCTCCAAAAGTCTTTTTTAGTTTATTTCCCTCAAGAATCTAAAAATACAAAGCACATGAAGAAAACATGACTGCATGTGTAGAGCTGGTAGAAATCTGTGCAACACATTTGCAAACCACACATACGAGACAAAGAAGAGGATGCAAACGTGCAGAACCACCTGGAATATCAGTGTATGCGGATTTGAAAAACATATATTTGCCTTTAAGGTCATGAACTCAAATAAGAAAGGGGTGAGTAACTCTCATGGAATCTCAGTGTTCAAGTTTAGGCATAGATAAAAAAATAACTGACATTTTTATTTTGCTCTGCGTAAACTTTTCAGTCTTTGCAGAGCTGACTGCCTTCAGTCTTAAACTTACATTTTAGTTTGCTGTCCGTACAATCCTCTTTATGTGCCTTAAACTCACTCAGGCATCAGGGACAGCAGACTCGATGGGCTCAGGAGCAGACCTCTGTGCAGACCAGGAACCTGCTCAGCAGATCAAGAACAGGCCAGACACCAGACAAACTCTTGCAGCTCTAAATAACCAGTTACACCCTTTAGTTTACACACTGAACCAAAAACATGTTCTCCTGCAAATTTGGTTTTTGTTCTTCCACGCAGGTCATATATTTTTTATCAAGCTTTGTAGCATTTAACAATATTTCTGTCACTCCTTTGAAACGCTGTTTGAGGCCATTCATGGGACGTGTGATAAATTATTGAGCTGAGCCCAAACCCTGAAGTTCAGACAGAATTATGGGTCACTAGGAGATCAGACTTAATATCGAGTTTTATACCTTCAACCTGAGACCTGTTTCTTGTCCTTTCCTGTTTCAAACCTCACCTTTCTCCCCCTCAGCCTCGATGAAGGTGTGGAAGCAGGAGCTGGTGTTCTCTGTAATGTGAAAATGAAGTGAGATGGGCTGATGTACGGAGTCAGATGCGGAGATTTGAGCTCTATCTGTGACATTAACAGACAGTGGACATGATGGCAGAGTGTAAAAACAGGCTGCCGGGTGAGAGGAGTCACTGCTCTCAGATGGAAATGTCACCAGGACCTTTGTGTTCATAACAATTTGACATTCAAATCAGTCAGTGCCATTTTTCCAAATTGATCCCCTGTGGATACCCACAACCATGCAAGGACATGCACAATTACATGAGACACACAAACTAAGACGGAAAACAGAAATTTACACAATATTACAGAGCAATTTTCAGGGTTTTTTTTCCCCATTTAGATGTGTTTTTACCTCTATTTGTTTTTATTTCATGTTCAGCAGCCCCCTACACTCTGGAAATCTATAGACTTTTCCTATTTGTTATTTTCTTTGTTATTTTATACCCTGCATGTATATCCATGTTTATTATCTCTATGTTCATGCTCTTCTAGTCTTTTTCACCTTTCTGTTTAAAATTTTTTCAGTGTTTTCTTGTTTTATTTTGTTGTATTTTCTCCTAGTCTGTATTACTCTCTGACTTATTATTTATTTATTTTTATGGCACTTTTCAGACAAAAAAAGCGGTTCAAAGTGCCTCACAGATGCTAATAACAACAATTAACAACAATAAAACCTGAACCTCCTACCCACACACCCACCCATGGACCCACACACAAAGACACACACCCACCCTCACTCACCCACACATACACACACACAGACAAGTGCACACAGAGTGAGAATTTAAAATATATTGTTAAAGAGACATGGGAAACACTGGAGATAAAAGATAAAAAATGAAAGATAAAAAAAACAAAATAAAATAAAATAAAATGGTAAAAAGAAAGCCTAAAACCTGATGGACTAAAACAAGAAAATAATATTAAATGAACAGATTAGAGCTTTTGTCTGTCACACATGTTGCTTGTGTCCCATCCTGGACCCTGAAGTGTTGAATTGCAGTTTCCTCAGGCAGACAGGGAGTACCTGCAGACCTGCCGTGGTGTTTCAAAGTCCTCAATGCTGCTCGGAGGAGAAATGAGATTCTTTATGTAAACAGTTCAGGGGTCAGACACAGTAAGACAGTCAGCAGAAGCAGATAATCCTTGAGGACAAATCCATAAACCCAAATTCCAGAAATCCAAGTCAAAAGACCAGGTAAGAAAGCACCGGAAAACAAGGTTAAAGAGCGTGAACACACCAGGGTGATAATGACAATGACAATATGGCAGAGAATGAGTGGAAACACATTACTATTATTATTATTATTATTATTATTATCATCATCATTATTATTATTTAATTCATTTTAATCTCCTACCCCCGAGCATTGCTGTCACTTTATATGTATGCCCTGTTGCATGTACTGTGCTGTTTGTTCGTCTACCATCATACATCCACTGCAAACAAAATTTACCTGAGTGTACAAATAAACTAACCTTTGATACAGGTTTATACAGATCAGAATAACTCTAAAGAGACACAGGTGTGTGGAGAAAAAAAGGGCGGAAACAGAAGTAACGCCTTTGAAACAACACAAAAAAAACATCAGGAAAGTATGAGAAAACATACGTTAGTATATCTTGACTAGTGTGTTTTTCCCGTTTTACCTCGACATGTTTCAAACTTCCTGCAGTTTTCTGCAGTATAGTCACATGATGTTGTTGTGATGTTGTCCTTCAGCTGATTCATAGAAGTTTGGTCACTCTACCTGAAGCAGCAGGATGACCATGGCACCTGTTGTCCATCACAAATAATACATAACTTGACAATAAGGTATTTTTTGTATCCCTCCATACATCCCTGACTTATTTCAGATGTTGATATTATCACTGATTGATTGCAAATGATCACAGTTTGTTCAGGCACAAATGGTGTACTTGAGGCTCAAGGACTATTATGTTAAGAAAGGTGTGGGTCTGTACCTGACTGAATCTCTTCATCATGATACTGGTGACATTGCATGTTTAAAGATCTGGTATTTTCTTTAGAGATTTTACAATTAATCAGAGAATTGTGACATTAAATTCATATTTTAGGAGACATCAGATGTTATTTATAAACCATCAAATATGAATTAACTGAGTAAGAAGTTATTAATTTATCATTTCATGCAAAATTAATCATCATGTCTTCCCTGAATAAGTTAAATTTTCTAAAATTAATCCACTGAATATGAATTATTACAGACTGTCACCCCCTCAGTTTGACTTCATACTGTACGTCTTGTTCAACTGATGCTATTTTATTAATGAATGTGCAGGTATCTGTCAGTTTAACCCAGAGTCTCATCAGAACTCATGATATAAAAATGGAGTTTCACATGAGTAGGAAAAAAAAAAACCTTGTTTGTCATATGAGAGCCTCACGAGCTGTGTCGTGAGAGGAAGAAGAGAAGGCCGAATGGGTAATTAGTGAATTGGTGAATCCCCAGCCGAATGGTCATCTGATTAGTTTGGTCTTTAAGCCTTACGGGATCACCCTGGATCATTTTCTGTCATTTCCGCTGCTGATCGTAGACGTGCTCCAGCTGCTGGGAGTAAACACACTGATGCACTATCCTGTAAGGACAAAAAGCTACGCTCCTAATGTGATTAGTGTGAATTACTGCACAAATGCCTCGGTAGAGGCTTAGACGACCAATTACAGACAGGAAGTCAACAGAATGGAGAAAGAAAACGTAACAGTGAGACTATTTTCCATGTATAAGTTTAGTATTGTTGAGTATTAAAATGGTAAAAACAATGCTGAAAATACAGTGATCAGTTTTACACCGACATTAGTGTCTTTCCTCTCCTCAGATAAGAAGAATATTTGAATAAATAGGGATGTCACAGTATTGTTAATTTGACTTTCAAATATTAATACAGCAAGCAATGAAATGTCTTGATACTTTTGTGGACCTGTGACAGAATGAAACAGAAGGTCAAAATAATGTAGGGTGACCATACATCCTGTTTTACCCGGACATGTCCTCTTTTGGGGGGCTGTCCGGGAAAGTTTATAAAATCCTTCAAATGTTCGCGGTTTTGAACAAGAGTTTTGATTTTGTGTCACACAGACTTACTTAATTAGCCCATTTATTGTTTTATTGTTGTTATCAATATATCGTGATACTGATTTGAGGCCATATTGTTCAGCCCTGACACAGACCCATACATGCCTATCATTCTTTGCACTCTGCTCGCTTCTTCAGATGTAGAATGGCAAAATGGTGGACACAAGCGCTAATAAGGCAACTGTGGATAATTAAATACATACATTACCAGGAAGGAAAGAAGAGGAGAAAAGAGAAAACAGGTTAAAACAGGAAAGGCAGAGCTAAGGCGAGAAGCCTGTTTGGGCGAGAGTTAACCCATGAAAGGTTAGGCTAAGGTGACCGGACGTCCCCGATTTCCGGGGATAGTCCACGTATTGGATGACCTGTCCCTGGTTATAGCTGTGCCAGGAAATGTCCCTGATTTAAGGGTTTCATGAATGAGAACAAAAATGTTGCGTGTAGACTAGAACAACAGTTATTACGATAACCGAGATGGTACAGGAAGCATGAGTAAGCATGTTGCGCACAGTCCTGTACAAAAGTTGTAATAAGTAGTACCGAGACAACCACTCTCAAGAAATAGAGGGCCTGAAAACATAGTTGTTAGCATCCCCCAGCCCCTGGATGTTTCCAGGGACAGGCTGTACGCTCTGCCTCCCCCATTCACTTATTTAGTGAAGACAGGAAAGAAAACAGGCAAAGCAGAAAGGACTTTTTGTATATTTACATTTTTTTGATCACAGATTATATATATATGTATATCACATATATAAGATAATATAAAGAGGAGCAGTCAGTTTTTCTTAACCAATGTGATGCCAACTTCTTTGTCGGACAAAAACATGCCTTCAAGTTCTCTGAAGAAACTATTCCTGTAGTGTTTAACACACTGGAAAGGTATTCGTGGAAGTGATTGGTTCAAGTCACAGACTGGAGTTTAGCAAAAGCAAACTTCTCCCTGCAACAGCCGCTCACATGATGCATCCAAACAGGAAATACATGCCTCAATTTTCAGTCATACTTCAGCTGAAGTGATCAGGACATGGAGTGAATAACCCCAGGACTGAAGTGTAATATGAGTGTACCATAAGTGCCTCTGTGGAGGAGGATGCAAATGCTGTTTGAGGAATAAGCAGCACTTTGTGAAATCCTGTTACCCAGGCCGAAGCACTTCTGTGTTCGGTAAAGAGGAAGGCTCAGGTTTCATCGTGTCGCTCACGCACAAACATACTCTATAGTTTATCTGTAAAATTTGACCACGAGACAAAAACAAGAAATGATTGATCGAACAAAATAACCAAACCAACTATTGGCTTAGGAGCTCCAACAAGTGCTCACAAGAACGATCAGAGGAAAGTCAATCAATCTTTGTTTGTATTGCACTGACCACTTAATGTATGCAGAGACCAAATATTTATCCCCCATGAGCAAAGCTCTTGGCAACATTTAGCTCACACTGATGGCAAAGCAAATGTCCTGATGACAGATGCAGCTATTATAGATACTTCCAGTTTAGCTGCAGGACTCTTCCCCTACTGAGAAGTGCAGAATATGATTTGACATTGTCTTACTGAAATATGAGGGTCTCCCCTGAAAAATTCATTGTCTGGATGCTTCAAAACCTTTTTATATTGTTTACGGATAGCTTATAAATCTGGGAAGGCTCCATTAAAGGGATATTCCAGCTAAAAAATTATTTAGGGCCAAATGCACCGTAACACCGAGTTAGACACCCCGTCGAGAGATGAATGTTGCCGACCGCTTGCTTCTCTAGTTAGACCAACTTTAGTAACAACCGCACGATAGCAATACACAGCGGTCTGAGGAGCCATAAACAAACCTCAAACAAAAAGCCACTCTGTAGCCACAAATAATGCTCAGAACAGCACCTAACTTCATCAACAGTACATATAGGGTCCTAGCCACAGTACTAGCCACCGAACATCATTTTAACTTTGCCTGATTTCTTAACCCTTGTGCACCCCTAGGGACCGTTTTGGTCCTTTGTAACTATACTTTTGTGGATAATTTTGGCTGTGATGATGCAAATGGCATGAAAGTTTGTCAAAGTGTGTAATTTTAGGTGCAATTTAATTTTTTTTCTTTTTTCTTCCTTTAACCTTTTTTGCATGTGAGCAATTTTTATACTTCAGTAAACACCCCTAAGGACCGAAACGGTCCCATTGACTCCCATTAAAACATGTTTTTTTCAATACACTGCCAATGCAGTATAATTTTTGGATTTTTTTTTTTTCTCATGTACACCTATTCTTTGAGGGTCAAACTGTTTTTTTTTTTTATGCCGACCAGTAGATGGCGCCATTTTTCTTTTTTCCTGCCATACCCTTTAGAACCAGAGGGGCACTGTTTTCCCTTTGTCACAGAGCTGGTTTATTTCATGCATATAGATAGATAGATTGATAGATATATAATTTATTGATCCCAAACTGGAAAATTCTCATGTTACAGCAGCAAAAAAATACAAAATAGAATTAAATATAAGAAGAACTATGTACAATGCAGACTAAAAATACTAAATATATACATTGAATACAGGCTAAATATACTAAACATCTTTAGAGAGAAAATAAATTTAATAAAAACTATTTAGGTGTGCTTTTGGGACATCATGGATTATGTGCATGTGTTTTCATGAATTACTTGTGTGTGTGTGTGTGTGTGTGTGTGTGTGTGTGTGTGTGTGTGTGTGTGTGTGTGTGTGCATATGCAGCCATGCGGCAGTTGTACAATCTGCACCTGCAGTTTCCTTCTGTGTGTGTGTGTGCGTGTGTGTGTCTGATTGTGTGTGTGTGATTGTGTGTCTGATTGTGTGTGTGTGCGCACGTGTGTGAGCAAGCTCATGAGGTTCATAGTGGGCACCTGATCAATGTGAGTGCGTAAAAGCAAGCGAGGAAGGGATGGAGTGTGAGTGTGTGTTTGTGTGTGTGTGTGTGTGTGTGTGTGTGTGTGTGTGTGTGTGTGTGTGTGTGTGTGTGTGTGTGTGTGTGTGTGTGTGTGTGTGTGTGTGTGTGTGTGTGTGTGAGATTGTGTGTGCGAGCGTGCGTGCGTGTGTAAGCGCACGCACGAGGTTCATAGCTGGCACCTGAAGAGGGAGGGCTTCATCAATGTGCTTACGTAAAAGCAAGGGATGGATGGATGGATGGTGTGTGTGTGTGTGTGTGTGTGTGTGTGTGTGTGTGTGTGTGTGTGTGTGTGTGTGTGTGTGTGTGTGTGTGTGTGTGTGTGTATGTATGTGTGCGTGTGTCTGATTGTTTTTGTGTGTGTGTGTGTGTGTGTGTGTGTGTGTGTGTCTGATTGTTTGTGTGTGTGTGTGAGCGAGCGCACGAGGTTCATAGCAGGCACCTGATCGATGTGCGTGCGTAAAAGCAAGCAAGGGATGGATGGTGTGTGTATGTGTGTGTGTGTTTGAGATTGTGTGTGAGATTGTGTGTGCGTGCATGCATGTGTGAGCGCACGCACAAGGTTCATAGCGGGCACCTGAAGAGGGAGGATATCATCGATGTGCGTGCATAAAAGCAAGAGATGGATGGATGGATGGATGGTGTGTGTGTGTGTGTGTGTGTGTGTGTGTGTGTGTGTGTGTGTGTGTGTGTGTGTGTGTGTGTAATACACTACAGAAAAAAAAAAATCTTTTCAAATCAATTTTCTCATCAATGTTTACCAATCCCATGCTCTAATAATCAAAAGTTTAAAAAAACAATTTGCATATATAGGATGGAAAATAATTCACTAATTGTGTTTTTTGACTTAAGATAATATCAGGTTTTTACAAAAAAGACTGGCATTTATGGGGTTAAAATACACAACCTGAATAAAGTTTTGCTATTTATGATTAGGTTATAAGTCAATGATGGCAGCCAAAAAAAAAAAAATTTAAATACATTTATTTAGACCATATTTTTACCCCAGCAAAATGGAGGGGACCGTTTCGGTCCTTAGGGGTGTTTATTGAAGTTTTTATTATTATTCAACACTACAGAAAAAATACAAATCCTTTCAAATCCATTTTCTCATCAATGTTTACCAATCCCATGCTCTAATAATCAAAAGTTTAAAAAAACAATTTGCATATATAGGATGGAAAATAATTCACTAATTGTGTTTTTTGACTTAAAATAATATCAGGTTTTTACAAAAAAGACTGGCATTTATGGGGTTAAAATACAAAACCTGAATAAAGTTTTGCTATTTATGATTAGGTTATAAGTCAATGATGGCAGCCAAAAAAAAAAAAATTTAAATATATTTATTTAGACAATATTTCTACTGCAGCAAAATGGAGGGGACCGTTTCGGTCCTTAGGGGTGTTAATTGAAGTTTTTATTATTATTCAACACTACAGAAAAAATACAAATCCTTTCAAATCAATTTTCTCATCAATGTTTACCAATCGCATGCTCTAATAATCAAAAGTTTAAAAAAACAATTTGCATATATAGGATGGAAAATAATTCACTAATTGTGTTTTTTGACTTAAAATAATATCAGGTTTTTACAAAAAAGACTGGCATTTATGGGGTTAAAATACAAAACCTGAATAAAGTTTTGCTATTTATGATTAGGTTATAAGTCAATGATGGCAGCCAAAAAAAAAAAAAATTTAATATATTTATTTAGACCATATTTTTACTCCAGCAAAATTGAGGGGACCGTTTCGGTCCTTAGGGGTGTTAAGGGAAGTTTTTCTTAGGGGTGCACAAGGGTTAAGCAAAGAGACTAAACACAACTCAACCACTCTCTTCCAGCAGTCACTTGTTTGTAGCAAGACCTCTCCAGGCGAGGCCAGTCCATTACAGACTACAGCGGGGTGACGCAGCTCAACTACCGTGTCTGGAGTGCAAAATGATTAATATGGTGATTTTTACTTCAAGGAAATGATAAAGAAATGATCATAAATGTTCTTCCTTGTGCTGCGTCAGCCCACTGCAGTCCATAATGGACAGGCCTGAGGTCTCGCTACAAACAAGCGGCTACTGGAAGAGAGACGGTGAGTTACATTTCGTATCTTTGCTAAAGAAATTAGGCAAAGCTAAAAAGATGTTTGGTGGCTAGTGCTGTGGCTGGGACCCTATATGTACTGTTGATGAAGTTAGGTGCTGTTCTGAGTATCATTTGTGGCTATAGGGTGGCGTTTTGGTTGAAGTTTGTTTATGGCTCCTCAGACCGCTGTGTATTGCTGTCGTGCGGTCGTTACTAAGGCTGGTATAACTAGAGAAGCAAGCGGATGGCAAAATTCCACTCTCATGGGGGTGTCTAACTCAGTGTTACAATGTGTTTGACCCTAAATTAATTTTATGCCGGAATATCCCTTTAATGCTAAATGCTCACAATCTCTATACCATCATGGATGCTGGCCTTGAACCGAAAGCGGATTTACACTATAGAGTCATTCCTGTTTAATTGCAGTCTGACTGAGACTATGAAGACTCACTGTTGTGATCCTTTTTTATGTAAATTTAGGCGCACATTTTTTAAAAATTTGTTCATGATCACAGTCTTACGTATTGTTATTTCACACACATTAATGGTACTGAATTGGCTGACATGGTTGGGATTACTGTCCTAGACTACAAATATTTTGAAAGCCATCAAAAACGCTCACCTTTGAGGGGACTTTTAGTCCTGTAGCTCATAGACCCGGAGACAAACACCTGCTGGAGACTTTGTTTTTGTTTTTAGTCCCATAACGACTCTAAAGGTGAGTGAAATAAACTCACAGTAACAGCAGACGACAGCAATCTTGGAGCCAGTTTGGACTCCCTGTAAAGGTAATAATTAGGTTCCTGTTATTGGTTTTCCCTCACTGTATGAGGAGCACCATAGTGTGTGCGTGTTCTGCCGACACACTAGAAATGAGAAGACTTGTCTCTGTGTGCCAAGTCCTCCTCCGTGATCGCTGTGTCTCAGCAGTTTTTAATTAAAACGCTGCATTTGTGCCACCTATCCAGCTGCCTGGGAGAGAAATACAAGGGAATAAATTACTGTATCCATCCTGCTGCTGAAGCACTCAAATGTTTCGGAGCACTGGGACTGATTAATCACATTAAATTTGAAGGCAATGAATTTTCTTTACTGCTTTCCCCAAATCATAATTAAAATAAGATGACAAAAGATGTTCTTAATATAGTTGAGCTATTATGTAAGTCTGATGTGCTGAAAATTGACCTGTTGTTGGTTATAAAAAAAAAAAAAACTTCAAATAGGTTCCCTTCTGGCTTTCACAGGAGAACCTTCTCCTGCATTTCGACCATCATTAATTCTGCACAATAATGGCCATTAAACCAGTGCTGCTTATGTTCATAAACAGACTGACTGAAAGGGCTGTAATTCGCTAATGCACTGTCAAGATGGTATGTTATATTTACCTGAATACAGAACAAAACAGTGGAAACTTTGGGTTTCAGCTCACTGTGGGTTTAACCTCACTATTTTTCTGTCCATATCTCTGAACTGGGTCATGGTTAAATCAAGTGTGTGACACAAAAATAACCATTTAAACTTACTGACAGTATTTTTAGATAGGGCACAGGCTAAATGCACCCAAATGGGTTGCAGGTGTCATCGAAACTTACATTTGGGATACCAAAAAAGCACCTTGGGTTTACAAAGTGGTTTGACATATTAGCAAAAATGTGCACAAAATCTAAAATATAAGAGAACTACGAGAGCTGAATTAAGCAGAATCAACGCCAAAACCTCACCCAGATAATATACTGTAAATAGGTAGAGTGCCAGAAGAAGTAGGATAGATAAAAATTTACAAAAATGTGTCAGAAACAGAAAAAAGCGATTGAAACATGAATAGAGCAGGAGATATGTATTGTCTTTTAAAGTAGATAAAACCCCATAAAACAGGTTTAAAACATTAAAAATTTAATAACAGCAGAACAAAAAGATAAAGGTCATCAAATAAATAAGAGCTATAAAAATAAAATAGATTTTGTGTAGGGGTATAAGAGTAATAAGAGGGGAAAATGAGAGAAGAAGAGAAATAAAGCTGATAGAAGCATAGGATAGAGAGTAAAAAGGTGATAAAAGACAATTTAGGACATATTATTTACTGAAAATGACTAAAAACTTCTAAATCTCAATGAACGCTGCTCTGAAGTTTCTGGCAGTGGGCCTCATATTTAGTGATAAGCTGTTCACAGTAAGATGAGTGGGGTCATGTGGGTTTCACTCCGGGCTGGTGTCTGTGGGTCAGCTTTTAAATTGTTTCATTCAATTGGAAATGCACAGTGCAGTGTTAGTTTGTTCTGGGTCATTGTTGTGCCAGTTTACACTCAAGAGAGCTCAAAGTTGAGTTTACACAGATCAGAAATGAATTGTTTCACTGTAGTTCAAAGTCATGGCCCCAAAAACGTTCCCATTCTTCATTAGTTGTACTTAAATTATTCATCAGCATCGCATTTGAGACTTCAATCTCCAATCACTGACATTTCCCAAACTAAATTAATCATTAAATTCTGCCCTAGTAGAAAAGATCCGGTCATTTGTTCCAGTTTTTAAAAAAAGCCATAAGGACACTCATCGAATGTTTTGAGGTCCTTCTTTCTTAGAGGCTAAATGTCCAAGAACCCGTCTCTGGTTGTTTTTCTCCTCCACAAAAGACTTTGTTAACCTCCCATCATGCTGACTGCCACGGTCTTGTTATTTTCCCTGCAGACACACAGAAGCTGCGCTCTCCTCTCGTCTCTTTCTCAGTCATGTTCATGTGATGTTCACCTCCCCAGTGGATGAGCTGACCCCCATCTCCTCCAGAACCCTCTATGTATCTGTCGTATGAGCGGAGCTCGACTATAATTGTCTTGTTATGTTGTTTAGGTCTGGTGGCTCCGCGTCTACTGCCTGTTGACTCTTCATTAACACTTTGTTGACAGAGTCTCACGAGTTCGATGTATAAAAAGGTCTGAGCAGCCGAACGGTGTTAAACAGCCCTCATCCATCTTCCTGGAGACGTCTCATAAACACAGCAGACTTCTCTTTGCAGCATCTGACTCATTTTGTCTGAGCGAGAGCATTATTACACTTAGTAAATCAATTTTACATCCACTTAAACAACATGACAGCTCCTGATGTATCTCTGAGAGAAGAGAATAGAAACCAGAAGCTGTCAACCCTAAACTTTAAGCTCAGCCGAAACAAGACTGTAGATAATCTGACAAACAGTTGTCTAAAAATAACAAAAAACTGCGTTTAAAATGAGCCAATAAACTCAACAGGAAGAGATTAATCTGCATTGTTTAGCGAGAGACTTGGCGTCAGAAGAAACAGCTGCAACCTTTTATCTCTAACCGTCCGGGAACTTCAAAAACGAACAATAAAACGCTTTAATTTTCCTCTGCAAGCTGTTGTAGTCGTTTTATTTTACTTCATGGGGTCAAATGAAACTTTTTCCTCCCAAGAAGACTCCAAGAAAAATAAAACTGTAAAGCCTTGATGCTCCAACTTCAACACCGCACGCACTAGTTATTAACCTGTGCAAATGGGTGATTGTGCATCTCGTGCATGGGGGTCACCAGAATCAACACAACATGAAAACTCCTTACAGTGCCTTTAACCACTGACAAATGTCCTCTCACTCTTTGCCGGCGGTCTGATTCAAGAGGAAGTAGTCATTTTGCAGTTTGAAATCTAACAGCAGCAGCTTGAAAAGAGGAAGGTCAGTCTTTATATCTCTGAATAACCGATGTGAGTGTATGAGAGTGCGTCTGTATGTAATAAAATAAGCACTTAAATGGAGAAAAATGACCTTACTGCTAGGAAATAAAACTACACTACTGTTTTTATTCACTTTTTCAAGAGGCACATCTGTTGAACCCAGCAGACATTAGTCAAGAGGGTTTCTTTTGTGAAAAAGTTTTTCTCATGAGATGGAAAATCTGCGGTATGTTTCTAAAACCGAGCTGCTTCTTCTCAGTTTTGACTGCTGGCTCAGGGTTCGCCATTTATCTGCCACTTGTAGAGCCTCAAACTCAGCTCGCTCTCACCGGATCTTAATTAATGTGACGTAACCGAGCTCTCTAAACAAACCACACTGAGCTGCTTTGGAGCAAAATTCAGTTTATATTTCCCAGAATAGAAGCAGCAGCAGCAGCAGCATGTAATACAAATCTGGTGACGTTTAAGAGGAGCGCAGAGGGCTGAAGTTACGTAAAGATACTGAGGGGGCCGAGGGGCCGAGATGAAAGGTTGGAAAAAGGAAAACACTCCAGTTTATCCCAGATATGTCTGTTTTCCATTCACTGAGCGCTATCAATAGACCACGCTTTGGGAACCTCTGATTCCTTCAAGAGTTGTTTTGCTGTTTTGTCTCCATGACAGTTTCTTTTCAAACAGACTGCTACAGAGCGCTGATATCTAAAAATAAACTCCCATTCAAGAGGGGAGACTGTCATGGCAGCCGAGGTCTCACGGTTCAAACCTAATTTCCTGAAGATTGTTCCTCATTTCTGACACATCCTGGATCTTCTATTCAGACTGTGCAAGACTCAATGTCAGGAGTCCAAATCCACAGGATAAAGCTGAAACACTGTTAAGACGCTGAAAAACAGATATGAGGATCCTCTTTTGGAGAGTTTGAGCCTTTTAATTTTTCACAAGGACAAACAGACAAGACTAGCATGAAGGTGATAATCCTCAGACACGGGGAAACAAGTCTGTAAAATATCCGTACACTCATAAATCACTGAAGCCCTGTCCACATGGTGATGTAGCCTAATCCACAGGTTGTAATATAAGGACTTAATTCTCATAACATGATTCAATTTTCACAAAAAAACATCTTTTTTTCTCAGGACATGACTTTAAATCTCTTAGAATAACAACTGAACTCTTTTAACAGAAATCCAATCTCATAATACACACATACTTTTGTATAAATGTGGTAACATAATGACTATATTTCAAAAGCTTATATATTTTAATCTTGATGTGTCCCTAACATGAAATTTGGTGCTACAGAAGTGACCAAGCAAAAGTCTGCTAAAAACCCCTGAAGCTGCAGAGATAAACTTGATGGTCAGCTGATGTATCATTATCACTGAAATCCAGAGCTGGAATCGACCACATGAGCGTGTTATTCCACTCTTTTTTCTGGAACATTGTATTATCCATGTCCTGATCACAGTGTTACTTCACAGTCACTCTGGCATTTTCTTCTGTTTATACCATTTGTACCCGCTGCTGAAGGATAAAATGAGGGCAGGTTGGGTTAGGATGACAGGTTACACAATAACACATCACATGACAGCGAAGACCTTCAGCTTGTTATGGCAACCCAGAGAGGAAACAAAGTCCATCTTCATCAATAGTCCTGCAGCACATGACTGTTATCATTCCCCTCCACAGTCTGAATGCTGCAGACTGACGCTGGAGTTCACAGCCTGCAGACTGACTTCCCCTCATGGAAATTCAAAACTTCCATCTCAGAGCAGTTTATTTAACCAAGTATTCATGCTGCTGAGTGACAGACTGAAAACTAAAATCACACAAGTGTCACAAGCCAGAGATAAACAAAAAAGAAGGGACCCAAATGCCGACAAAAAAGGATTTACTTCAAGGGATATACCGGCGTAAAGTTAAGTTAGGGTCAAACACACCGTAACACTGAGTTAGACACCCCGAGAGATGAATGTTGCAGACCGCTTGCTTCTCTAGTTATACCAATTTTAGTAATGACCACACAAAAGCAATACAAAGAGCCATGCACTCAACCAAAACGCCACTCTACAGCCACAAATAATGCTCAGAATAGCACCTAACTTCATCAACAGTACATATAGTGTCCCTGCCAGAGTACTAGCCACCAAACATCTTTATACACACTGGGAAATGAGCAACAGGTGGGACGGATGAGACACAGGTGAAACTCATGGGTGATTAACGAAGGAGGGAAAACTAGGCAAATAAAACCAGACTAGAAACACGAGGAATCAACTCCTACTAAATAAAACAGGATATATACACCAATAACTGATATACAGAATAAAACACAGAGAACATGAGGGAAACAGAGTCAAACACAAACTGAAAACTCAAAAGACTGGACTACAGGGGAACAGGAACACTCGGGAAAAGACACAAAATGCACTCAAATAAAACCAGATGAAAACTAAATTAACACAAGATATGACAAGAAGAAGCAAATTTCACCACATCAAACTTGGTCTTAATCCAAAACCACCATACCTAAACCTGTCAGATTTAATCCAGATTATATCTGAGAGGTTACCAACGCCAAGAAAACCTTTATTTCATTTATAAAAATGAGATTATTCTCTGTTTACTGTCTATCATATTGGATCAGGTCTTACACTGTTTTTGCACCGTTCCCTGATTTACTTTGTTACCAGTTGATGCCGTCTGGTCTTGTAACGTTGATACTCACAGCACCAGCTCTTCTGCCAGAGTTTAATGTAAGCCTATTACTGTTATCATGCTAACTACCAGCTGTGATTGAAATTATCGAGCAGCTGCATAACTGCATCTGTTCCTTTTAGCCTATGACGAGTCAAGCAGCTGTTTGTTGTGGTCAGTGGGTTGATTTTGCTCTCACTAAAACAAACTGCTTCAGGGTTTAATCTGAGATCGCCTCTTCTTGGAGAACTCAGCTCACCTGTTTTATTCTGCTTAATAATGCAAATGCAGCGTTTACACGTGTCCAAACAGTCTCAGCAGAGGGTTTGTTCAAGATCAGCGTCTCCAAACAATTCAGGCATGAAATGAAGCGTAAGGTCTGTTTCTATTGAGCACTTTGGTTTGGTTTAGCAAAGGCCAGGACAATTCGGAGCTGATGTCATTCGCTGCATCAGCTGCATGACGTCCTGAGAATGCCTTAAATTTTATCATGCATGTTAATAGATTTGATCGTGCGCAACACATCTCACCTGAGTTTTTTTTTTCTCTGCAAGCCTTGTGTGGATCTAAGCTGAAAATACACAGATAAATTATAGATCGAGGGATGTATTCACTCTGTATCAGCCGTGTTTTTGTCACAAACATGAACAATGTGCAATGTTTGAATCTCGGGGATGTTTTTCCAGATCTTTTGAGAGGAGAGTACCTCTCACCCACTCTCTTCCAGCAGCTGCTTGTTTGTAGCGAGACCTCAGGCCAGTCCATTACAGACTACAGTGGGGTGACGCAGCTCTAGGAAGAACATTTATAATCATTACTTTATCATTTCCTCAAAGTAATAATCATCATATTAATCATTTCCATGAAGAAATGATCATAAATGTTCTTCCTTGAGCTGCGTCACTCCGCTGTAGTCTGTAATGGACTGGCCCGAGGTCTCGCTACAAACAAGCGGCTGCTGGAGGAGAGTAGGTGAATTGTGTTTAGTCTCTTTGCTAAAGAAAACAGGCAAAGTTAAAAAGATGTTTGGTGATTAGTGCTGTGGCGAGGACCCTATATGTACTGTTGATGAAGTTAGGTGCTGTTCTGAGCATTATTTGTGGCTAAAGAGTGGCTTTTTGGTTGAGGTTTGTTTATGGCTCCTCAGACTGCTGTGTATTGCTGTCGTGCGGTCGTTACTAAAGTTGGTATAACTAGAGAAGCAAGCGGTCGGCAACATTCATCTCTCGAGAGGATGTTGAACTCAGTGTTACGGTGTGTTTGATCCTAAATCAATTTTAAACGGAATATCCCTTTAAATGTTTGAATAATGCAGATTTTGATCAACCCCACATGGAATTGAAATTAGTAAAACTGCATGTATTTGGAATTCTAGTTCCAGTAAAATCCAGTATGTGCAACTGTGGACTCAACTTCCTTTGCACCTTACTCTACATGTAAATGTGTGTCCACTTTCTTACCATAACATCCAGCTCTTCTTCCACGTTTAATCTTGAATTTTAGTATCGACCGAGTTGCTGGAGCCTTTCTCTCTGAAGCAAACAAAAGGTGTTTTACTGCCATCCGCTCGTCTCTTCATTAGGATGCAGCTCCAGCCTGCAGCTGCACACAGAGTGGAGAGAGAGGAATGATGAAACCAGAGCTAAAAATAGCTGCCTCCCAGGATCCCCCCTCATACGGCAAGTAAACACTCAGAAAGCCAGCGACAGGCAGCACCAGCCAGACCTCTGTGTGTGTGTGTGTGTGTGTGTGTGTGTGGGTGTGCATGCATGTCTCAGTGTGTGTTGGACACTTTGCAGTCCTCCTCCCCTCCTCAGTCATAAAGCAGTGTTTGGTTTGGCGAGCATGCTTCATCGAGCTGCTGTACAATTAAAGCCATCTGTGGGGTTTTTTCCCTTGAACAAGTCTGGGGAGTGTTAGCGCCTCACAGCTCTGCAGCAAACACAAATCAGCCGCCTCGGTAAATCAAACCGCAGCCGCATTCATGTCAGGAAATCCAGGTGAAAATTAGGACTTTATGTAAGGATGACAAAAGGGAAACACGCTGTTCAAGGGCAGACACCTTCATCACACGGGCTGTTACTGCACGACAGGGAGCTCGCTTTTACACAGTGTGAACAAACAGTGTCAAAGCCTGCGCACATACAAACACACAGCCAGGTTTGCTCCCTGCTAATCAGAGTCAATAAGGCAGCATCAGGAATAAGATGTTATGAAACCTGAGCAATCTTTGCAGAATTTGTAAAGAAGATAAATTTCACCAAAAAAAAACCTTCAAGGTGCAAAAACTCATCGTGCCTCACCACACACAGCTGTTAGAGACGCAGTCTTTTCTTCTTTTCTCAGAGGGATCCATGCTCCAGGATATTAGGGTCTTTCTATTCAATGCAAATGAAATCAGGGAGGTGACGTCACCAATGCAAACAATCTCACAGCGTCACACACTCACAATAACAAATCCACGTGAGGGAAGGGGTCGACATGTGCACCGCAGTGTGGAAAAGACAGAGAAACGTCCCCGGAGATAACGACTGTATGTTTGGACCGGATGAGATCTGAAGTGGCCTAAATGAGCGTCTGCAGAGCTGCTTCTACACAGGCTGAAGGGAAGGATGTGAGCTTACAGATGCTGCCTATTTCAGACTCAATTTTAAGTCACTGAATAGGGAGTGTTTGTCATATCAGAATCACAATATTCAACAGAGCTGTGAAATAAAGCTGGATTACCCTCCACCCATTACACTTCGTTTACAAGCTCTTTGTTTTCTTGCTGATGCAGTCGTGCTTGTTATGCATGTATTTTTCTTTGTCACATAAAAGTTTCCTGCACATTCCAAACATTGATAGCAATGACAACGGAGTAAAGGCGAGGCAAGCGATAAAACATTACAGCTTAAAGGCATGGTTGACGATTGGAGAGATTGGTAACTATTATGAACCTCGTTTACATGGCGATCATGGTCTTATAGTGCGATCTCCACAAAGTGAAGAGAAAAAAAAAAAGAAAAAATCTGTTCACCATAGCAGCTGCAGGGCTGCAAAAACATTGACCAATAGGAGCCATTCATCCTGGACAGCTCTTATTGGTCTATCTCCTGCTCCGTCTCTCCATCCAATCACCTCGCCGTATTCCACACATTCCTCAACCGTGTTTCCGACTCATCCCCTCCCACTCTCCCAGCCCTCTTCGTAGCTCTGAGCGGCTAAAGGTAGCGTAGCAGCTTAGCTACAGGAGCTGTGATGGAGACGGACGGAAAAATAACTCTTATTAGTCTCTGCAATGTCAACACAGTAGCTGTCCAGGTAGCTGCAGTCGGTTCCCGCCAGCAGATCTTGCGTTTACTGCTGCTAGTCACTAGCAATCCAACATGGTGAATCCTATTTGAAGCTAGTGTTAGCTTCCCTATGCTACTAACGTTAGCTATCCATTAGCTTGCTAACGACCAATCGATTCCTGAAGGTAGAAGCTGGTACACAACAGTGCTTCACAAACTTACATCTTAGCAACAAAATGAGGGTTTGTATAATAATATCAAGTTATCTATATTGTTAAGCAATCGTGGGAATGTAACAAACCTCGCTTTGTACGTCTCCGTTTCAGCACTTGTGGCATCAATCAATCAATCAATCAAATTTTATTTATATAGCACTTTACAATATCCCAAATGGTACCCAAAGTGCTTTACATAAAAGCAATAAAATAACACAAGAAAAAATACCATTATAAAATAATACAATAGAAATAGAATAATACAAGAACGATGCAATAATAAAAATGAATATGAAAATAAAATAATACAATAAAATAGTATGTAGAAGTGCTAAAAACCTATAAGTACAGGACTACCTAGTCAGAGTTAAAAGCAAGTCTAAAAAGGTGCGTCTTTAACTTTGATTTAAATAAACTGAGGTCAGTGGTGGTGCGTACATCTAGCGGCAGTCTGTTCCACAGCCTAGGGGCTGCAACAGCAAAAGAACGATCACCCCACTGTTTGAGTTTTGACCTCGGGACCTCCAACAGGCGCTGACCGGAGGAACGGAGGGCCCTGCCATGATCGCGAACAGTTAAAATCTCTGACAGGTAGGAGGGGGCCAGGCCATTTATGGCATAAAAAGTAAATAATAAAAGTTTAAAGTCAATTCTAAAACAAACTGGAAGCCAGTGTAGCGAAGACAGCACAGGGGTGATGTGTTCACGCCTAGACGTGCCCGTTAAAAATCGTGCAGCAGCGTTCTGTACAAGCTGGAGACGGGAGATTAAAGACTGGCTGAGGCCAACATAAAGGGCATTACAATAGTCCAGTCTGGAACTGATGAAGGCATGGATTGCCTTCTCGAGTTCCTGCCGACTTAAAAAGGACTTCACTTTGGCCAGGAGACGCAGTTGAAAAAAGCTGGTACTGACGACAGATCTAATCTGTTTATCGAACTTAAGTCCACTGTCAAATGTTACCCCAAGATTCTTTACATGTGGCTTGAAAAAAGGCGCCAGATTTCCAGAGTCTGTAATCGAAACGTTTGATATCGATGGCGTGCCAAATAAAATACACTCAGTTTTGCTGTCATTTAGGTGCAAAAAGTTCAGAGCCAACCACTGTTTTACTTCAGTAATACAGTCCAGTAAGTGAGAAAGTGCACTGCTCTCGTTGGGTCGCATGGGCAAATATAACTGTAAGTCATCAGCATACGAATGAAAAGACAGATTGTATTTTCTTATAATTGATCCCAGGGGTAGTAAATACAAAGAGAACAGAATAGGGCCAAGAATAGAGCCCTGTGGCACCCCACAAGAGAGAGGCGCCTGTGAGGAGCAGAGGTCACCAATCATCACGGAAAAACTCCTATCTGCCAGGTACGACTTAAACCATTTGAGAGCGGTGCCACGGATGCCTACATACTGCTCAAGGCGAGATACAAGGATTGCATGATCGACTGTATCAAAAGCCGCTGTGAGGTCCAGCAGGACCAGCACAGCGGGGTTTCCAGCATCCACGGACAGGGCAATATCATTATGTACCTTTAACAGTGCTGACTCAGTGCTATGTCGAGACCTGAAACCAGACTGAAATTTATCAAGAACAGAATTTACCTCTAAAAATGCATGCAATTGAAAGGAGACAACTTTTTCCAAAACCTTAGAAAGAAATGGCAGGTGGGAGACAGGCCTAAAATTGGACAGCACAGTGGGGTCAAGATGCGTTTTTTGAGGAGGGGCCTAACCACAGCATGTTTGAAAGCAGCTGGGACAGACCCTGAGCTAAGACAGGTGTTGATAAAAAACAGCAAGCTTGATCCAACAGAACTAAATACCTCCTTTAGAAACTTGGCTGGAATAATGTCAAAGGGACAGTTAGTGGGTTTTAAGCCACTAACCACCTTAGTGAGAGACGACAGAGAAATTGTTTCGAAGTTCTCAAAAACAGCAGATAGTGCAGGAGGAGCACACACATCATTGGGGGACGTTAACATATAACTGATATTCTGCCTGACTGATGCCACTTTGTCTATGAAGAAAGAGGCAAACTCTTCACAGGGGGAGGAGGAGGCATCAGACAGGACAGTAGAGCATGGGTTAATAACAGAGTCAATCGTGCTAAATAGTACTCTCGGATGATTAGAGCTGTTGGCTATAACAGAGGACAAATATTTGGACTTTGCCTCCTTCACAGCTCTCTGATAAGCAGCCAAACTGTCCCTTAACCAACCCAGTGAGACATGCAGTTTGTCCTTTTTCCACCGCCGCTCAGCCTGTCTGCATTGTTGTCTGAGCAGACGGGTGTGGTCGTTTAACCAGGGATCAGCCTTGGTTTTGGTGATTTTTTGCCGAAAAGGGGCAACAGAATCCAGAATTCCAGAGCATGTAGAGTGAAATGTGGAGAGCAGGGTGTCCGGACAGAGGGAGGGGACCAGTCCACTGTCAGCATGCATCTGAGAGTTCCCAAAGGCGATAGCAAACTCTCTGGCCGTTGATGGAGTGAAGATACGGCGTCTACAGGCTGGGGAAATGGGTTTGTTGGGAGGTGGGGGGGCAACAACATCAAAAACAATCGGAAGATGATCCGAGATAGCAGTGTCGACTATTTCTCTAAGGGAAACTGAAAGCCCACGAGAAATGACAAGGTCAAGAGTGTGCCCGTGTTCGTGCGTTGGTGCATTTACAGATTGAGTGAGGCCACACGAGTCCAAAAGGCCTTTAAACTCATTCGCAAGTTGATTTGCTGCACAACAAACATGAATAGTCTGGTGAGTGGGTGGTGCTTGGTTTTAAATACATGAACGTCTACCAGATGCAGGGCTCTCAAGTCTCACGCATTCAGCGTGTGACACACGCATTCCCATCCGTTTACACGCTCACACGCCACACATTGTATTTCTCACGAATTTAAATGAACATGGTAATGTCCACCAAGTTGCACCTCTTTAACTATGGAACAGGTAGAAATCAACTGAGTTTCTCCGAGAGTTCAGAAGCTGCGTGCCACGCGCAAGCCAATCAAATAAAGTATATCTACTGAACAGCCAATCAAAAAGCAGCATTGCTGTATCCGGGTAAATTTTGATATGTTGCGGTTTTACCACAGAAGAAGACAGACACTCGCCGAAATAGAGCAGGTTTTTATAGGGACGAGATAGACCCGATGATTACAGTAAGTCAGTAACCTACACATGCAGAGACCTCAACACCTCATGGCATATAAACTCATATGATAAACTAAAGCCCTATGCTATTGCTATTAACAGCTGCATTGATGAATTTAGCCTCTGTACAGCCATTTCCCCTCCACAAAAGCAGCATTTCTCATATATTCTTTTTAAAGTTCTGATGCTCATGACAATTTAATGCTGATGTACCAAAGGATTAAATATCTCCGTGTTTGTGAAACCTATACCAAAGTACAATTCATCTAAATGCTCCTCAGTGCTGAAATAACAACTCTCCTCCACAACAGGTAACTTTACTACTTTATTCTTAAAGTCATTAATGACTTTATTCTCCTAAATAATAACTTTAAGCTTAAAGATTTAAAAATGTTTTTTTCTTTCTTAATGTGGCCCTCATACTCCATTGTATTTATTAGATTATTATACTAATAATTATCTTCAATCACTCTAAGTCACTCTAGAAATATCACTCTAAGCTTAGTTCAAAACTTGAGAGCCCTGCAGATGTGTTTGGTAGTCCACAATAAACTAACAAAACTATATATAAATTACAACCCAACAGCTAATAACTCTGTTCCCAACATAAATAACCTTGCGAATTGGGAACTCTGAATACCCAGCTCCATGGAAATAACCCAAATAAATTGACCAGCAGGTTCAATCTAGTGGTTGGGTTGAAAAAACAACTCAGCATTTTTTTGGTGTGAACAACGTAGTAACCAAAACTGAATTTTGTGCCCAGCTCTTTATGAGTGACCCAGCACTTTGTACTTCGGTCATTATTGTGGTGAAGACGATTCAATTGATGGTGATGATGAAAGGTCTTACATTGACGAGGTACCAAAGTACCTAAAACCTGCTCATGTCATCACATCCAAACACACGGAGCTGCTGTCTGCAGACATTTTCTTCTCCCTCTCATCCTGCCTGTTTTGACCCGAAAGTATCTCCCCTCTCTCCAAAAAAACGCTGCTTTTCTTTGTGCTGAGCTGCAGCCTGTGCAATAATCCAGCCTTCATGTTCTCACATCCACAATGGATCAGAGATCATACAGAAACCGAGGGAGACAGGTTTCCATGGCAATGCTGTTTCTTTTTCCTTCTCCCCAGCTTGACGTCACATTAGGCTCCCCGGTAAACCTTCAGCACAAAGGTGTGTTTTGCACCGACGGGAGCAGAAAAAGGACTGAACGCAAAAAAAAAACGGGAGACTGCACAGATCAGCACTCAGCAGTGTGATGAGAAGGAAAGAGTGTGAATCATGTATTGACTGCTGAGACTCTCTCTCCTCACGGGCCTACTTTAGACTGCTGTGTGTCTTACATTTATCTTATCTCTCATGTTTTGTATACAACATCTGCTTCCAAATAATCACGTTTAAGCGTCTTACCAGCGTCTTTACTCCGTCAGAGTAAACAGAAACATTCATCTCACTCTCTGCTGGTGTTTTAAAATTGAATGATATGAGCATGAAACCATGAATAAATCACTGACAGCTGCTTTAAACTGGTTCAGCTTCTTCATGTTGCACTTCAGTCGGCTTGCAAAGGTTATTTGGTTGTATAAACTGAGATGTACCCTACTTTAACACTCTGTGTGCAACTCTGCCATCTTGTGGTTGCAGGAAAACAGATTTTGTTAAAGGGAATAAAACAGCAAAAATGCATTGTTGTTATTTCATAATTCTGACTGCAGATACTGACTGCGTTTATTAATGCACCTTCTAAGTGTTTACTAAATGTAGGGTTTATTATTCAGACAGGAAACAAATCTTCATCTGCCTTGGTGCAATAGCAATGTGAAATAATATCCACCAAAGAGACCGTGCAGTAACAACAATTTGCAGCATTAACAATCAGCAAAAAAATAAAATAATGCAAAGTGCAAAAACAGCTGTGGCAACAAATGCCTTTTTAAGTCCATTCTTTTCTATTTAATTCTTTTTTTCTCACTTCTATTATATTCTTATCTAATATTCTGTTTATCATGAGCTGATTACAGTGATTTCTAGGAAGTAAAATCATCATACCAGAATATAAACAGTATTTTACCATAATAAAATATGTGTTTTGATACACTTAAAAGCAACCAAAAAATTAAATAAATCTTAAAATCCCAGCTGTGATAGCTCTTAGAAAGACAGGCAGAAAGTTAATGATTCTTAATTTACAATTTAAGTACAGTAAATGTTAAAGTGTGGGATCCACACTATCTTTTGTATTTTTATTTTTGTTTCATTGCAGATATTTTTTCAATATTTTACAGTCACTTATTTTATTTATCTATATCAATAAATAGTTCTTGTTTCCAGCTGGTTTTAATGCCTTAAACTGCTGCGAGGGAGTAGGTGTCAGTCAAGCAGCTGAAGAAACAGTACAGTTATTATTATGTCTACATTAAGTATTCATGATGAAATGATAGATTTGACTGTCAGAACTCAGCAGGATAAGACGTAATGTCAAAAGCCACTCCTCAAACATGTAAAGGACAAAAAAAGCAAAGATACAAACAGAAAGTTCCTTACTAGAGCTTTAAGTAAGGTCATTGTCACAGTCCTGGTCGTGGATCTATTCCTCTTTTTTCCTGCTCTCTTGTGTCTACTCTCTTTGTTCGTCTTTGTTTTTCTTAGAAGCGTGGCCTCCGCTGACTGATCGATCAAACAACTGCAACCCATCTCACCACCAGCAGGACAAAAACCCTGGTTTCTCCTTCTCCTCTGCTCTTTGCCACATTATCTCATCTAGTGGTGGTCAAATCAGCTGCTCTGTGCTTTTCGTCAGAGTAATGACGTCTTTTAGAGAATCGATCCAGTTTTTCTTTGCGTGCAGATCCCGTAAGTCTCAACCCTGCAGTTTTTTTTTGACAAGCAACATCCAGACATTTCTACATCCACCTACAGAAGGCCAACACTCTCCCTGACGTCAGTCTCTGCAGAAACCAGCCAGCCAGAATTAAACATCTTTACACCATCCCCCAGCAGTCTAGTCTGCTTCTAGGTCCTCCTTAATTACAAATCCTTGCAGATGAGACAGTACTGACTCTAACTACAATTGACAGACATATATAGGATGTGGTACATCCCTCAAATAATCATTTTGAATGTATATGTCTTGATTTTCTCATAAATAATAATAATAACAAATAGTGGAGTTTGCGCAAATGTATTAAATTTTGTGGTAAAGTTGACCTCATCTCTAGCAGCTGTTAATCTGTCTTCTGTTTAGGTTAGCCAGACGCTTTTTCAACAAAAGGGCCGAGCTGACCGGGACAAGAACCTCACATGACTCCACTTTAAAAAACTGAATATGGTTTGAATAACTTTTTTCAGTCCCTCTGTCAAACTACCTGGTTCTGAATATTCTGATTTTGGACTTTGTCATTTATAGAGTTATTTAAAATGAGAATTGATAAGATTTGATTGATACCGATGCCAGTATTGACTCTGCTAATCTCATGGACAATCTCTGAAAATACTGATCCTCTTTGCGGGATAGGAAAGTTCTGGGATGTCACTGCCAGACAGCTGCTAATCTCACAAAGTAAGTGAATTTTACTGTAAACACAACTGTATTTAGTTGTCTACAACAGCATTTAACCTTCCTCCTGTGCTAGCTTTTACTATGCACCCATTATGATAAGGGTCAGTTTTGATCCGGGTCTTAAATCAGCGGTAAATTACACTAAAAACTATTTTCTATCATTTAATTTGGTTCTTATCTCTAGGTTAACTTGTTAAGCTTCATTATCCATGATAATATTGATTATAATATTTTTTGTAGTGGTCCTCTGGGCCTTTCTTTGTCAGTATACCCCTCACACAGACATCTATACTGAACTGATCTCACATGTCTGCACATGCCGACTTTGTTTTGGAAAAATGAGAATCTCCTAAATCTCACATGAATTGAAGAGGATATGACTGTCAGTGTGGTGCCTGACAGTTTACATATGATTTTAGATTTTGCTCTAATTATTAGATATTAATCTAACCGGGTCAACATTGACCCTAACACGACAAGTGCCATAATTTTAATAATAGCATTTTATCATTTAGTCAATTAAATTTTTATTTTTTTATTTTGTTGAAATAGAGATTCCTAACAAAGTCAAAAAGTCTTGATGCAAATAAACTAATTTTAGTGGTACTTTTAAGCATTTTAAAACAAAAACAGGTCGGTGCAGACCCTAACACGGGAGAAGGGTTAAAACTCTCTTCTGTCCAACATGATCACTTTTTTGGTTGGTAAACATGACAATAGACAAAGTTACACAAAAATAAACTCCTGTCACGTCATCTCTGGTCCATTTTTGTCTCTGTTCAGTCCTCAGGTCCAAATTAAGGTCCCAGCAGGTCTGTAGGTGGGTGAGGTGCATGTTGGGAAAGGTGTGAGCGAAGGAGCATGAGTGTGTGTGCGCGAGTGACAGGTGTGTGAAGGAGGCTGTGAGGTGATGTGGGATAGAAGCCACATCACAGGGACATGACCTCTCCGCAGGACGTCTCCTCAGAGGACGAGAGGGTGACGAGAGACCGAGAGCAAATATATCTCAACCGTCTGCAGCAGAAACCCTGTCGTCCACGATTAATATGCACTTTTAGGGATTTTGCAAAGGTAGAGAAGAGGCCTCTATATCCCTGCTAAACTCCTGCAACATTTATAGTTTGATTTAAGTCTCCATTGTTTTTTTTAACACACATCTGTATACATAAGGTCCCTGCCCTGACCAGTTTTATTGTCACTCTGTGGGAAACACTGATGGATTTAAACCACAGTTTGACCGGCTGATTCAAGTTCTGTCCTATTTTAAACCCAGCTGTATATTTGGTTTATTGTCTTTGACTCGCTCTCCCTCTTTGTGAAGTCTTCCCTCCTCTCTCATCCATCCATCGTTGCCATACAAGGCAACTCCAGCAGCCAGAAACAACATTCTTTTCCTGGGATTAACACAGCTCCTCTCAGCCTCAGAGACTAATCATATCCACAGAACTTAAAAATAACCCAGTCGGAGGAAACAAGGGGCTACAAGGAAAGACGTCCTGGAGCAAAGAGGGTGAAAGCCTGAACCTGCAGAGGCAATAGAGAAAGAAACTCAACAAAATACTACAAAAGACTGACATGAAACCAGACTTAGTCCCACGGCTATGAAATCATAATCAGGGTTAGCTGGTAAACATTGTTTCAGGTCAAGAAGATGACAGCAGGTCTGACATGAAAATCAATAAAACAAAAGCAATGTCATGAGATAAACTTAAACAATCAATTAAAATTGATATTCTTAACCAATAAAGATATTCATTTAACTGTGTATTGGTTCAGCATGTCAATATTCTTATGTGTTTGTCTTCTTGTACTGCTGCAGCAGAGCATAATTACCCTGTGTGACCAAATTACAAATTGATTTTGAACATTTATTGACTTTTTCTCTTCACTAAGCCGGTCTGTGTTTGTTATTTAATCATCTTATGACTAAGCCTGAAGCCCCAGACAATACTGCATTTAAAGGAGGCCCCGAGAAAGTAGCATTATCATTAGACTGAAAAAGACCAGGTTTTTAATTAGAATGAGATTTTCAGGTAAAAGTGAGACACATAACTGGGTATCATCTGTTTCTTGTGGCACCCCACAGTGAGTGCTATTTTGATGCATTGATACATGCATTGCAGAAGTATAATCTGCTACTCCAAAACATCACAGTTTTATAAGGACCTGGTATTAAAGGTCTCACTACAAAAAAGCGGCTGCTGGAAGAGAGTGGCTGAGTTGTGTTTAGTCACTTTGCTAAAGAAATTAGGCAAAGTTAAAAAGATGTTTGGTGGCTAGTTATGGCTGGGACCCTATATGTACTGTTGATGAAGTTAGGTGCTGCTCTGAGCATTATTTGTGGCTATAGAGTGGCATTTTGGTTGAGCATGTGGCTCTCTGTATTGCTATCCTGCGGTCGTTACTAAAGTTGGTATAACTAGAGAAGCAAGCGGTCTGCAACATTCATCTCTCGAGGGGTGTCTAACTCGTTGTAAAATGTGTTTGACCCTAAATTAATTTTATACCGGAATACCCCTTTAAACTTGCAGGATCTGCTTGCATTCATGCCAAACAGCTCTGATTCGGGTGTTATGGTATGTACAGTATTCTTGGTCACTATCAAGTTTTCAGATGGATGCAGGTCAGAGGTCAAAGGTCGTCATGTTCCTTCCTTCAATATACCTGTAAACTCTAAGGAGTCAAAATTGAGGAACAGTTCCATGAGAGGAAACAGCCTGCAGCTCAAACTTCCTCCACTAGAGAGAGCACATTAGCCCAGTGTGATGTGTTGCTCTCCCTAAAAACACCTCGCCCCCTCGCCCCCATTTCTCTGTAAAGCATTAGTCCAGGCGGTAAACAAAGGGGGTTTAGGGGTGAATAACCTCAGCTGGGGGAACATGCTGGCTGGAATCTCTTTGTGTTATCAGGGGGGTCACTGTGTTGTTCCAGTGAGCTGGGCGTCAGCACTAACGGCAGCTGGCACGCTCCCGGCTCTTACCGGCAAATCCCACTGAGTCATCAGCACGCCGCTGCTCTTTGTCTACAAGTTTAGCTGAGCTCTGTGAACTCTGAGCTGGTCTGCTGTCAGCTCGGTGTCAGAGGACCATCTGCAGAGAGGTCCAACTGGACCAGAGGGGGACACAGAGACAGGACCGGCAGGGAGACCGGGACAGACATACAGTGTTTGTGCACCATTCACCTGATGCTGAAATCTCTGTATCTGTAATGTGGTTTAGGTAAACTCACAAACATTGGAGACAAAATTCATCATAAAAAAAACAATATTATTACAATATTTACGGAGGACTAATGAAAAAAAACAAAGCAGTTAGTCAAATTAATGAAAGGCCTGACAACACTGGTGCAATATGTCACAAAAAAATTTAACCAATAAACTTGAACTTTCTTTTTAAAATCTTACCCTCTTAATTTTAAACTTTATTTGTTCTTTTTTGTGATATAATGTTTTATTTTACATTTTAATGCTCATGTTTGTTAATCTCATAATTCTTTGAAATGATGCAAATCTTAATAATATATGAACAAACTTGCCTTGCCTAAATGCAATGGGCTAACTTTGTGCTTATTTATACTTTGCATTAGATTTACACACGATTACAGAGCTTTCCCTCTGTATTCTGCATATATCTGTATTTCTGCATGTTTTCTGCAAGCTTGCAAATACAGATCAGATGTTGCAGTACCACTGAAAATCACAGGGACAGTGTTGGACAGTGGAGCCAAATCAGAACAGTGTATATTCAATAGTTGAATGCTCCGCCCACGTGATGTTTTATTTTTATCCTCATTTTACGTATTTACCAGGACCAGTGGTTTATTTACCACCGGGCATCTGACAAGTGCACATGTTTCTTGCAGAGAGTTGATCATTTATTGATCTTTGTATCTGGTTAAGTCCTCTAGAGTTATAGAATGACCCAGTCTTAGATAATATTGTAACTCAGACCAGGAATGGGGCGCAAAAACATTAACCTTCCTCCTGTGTTTAGCTTTTACAACACACCCACCATGTTAAGGGTCGATTTTGACCTGTGTCTTAAATCAACTGTAAATTACACTAAAAACAATTCTCTGACAAAATGAGAATTTCCTAAATCTCACATGATTGGTAGAAGATCTGACTGTCAGTGTGGTGCCTGACAGTTTGCATATGATTTCAGTTTTTGCTTTAATTATTAGATATTGATCTAACCGGGTCAACAGCGACCCTAACACGACAAATGCCATAATTTTAATGAGGGCAGTTTATAATTTAGTCAATTTAATTTTTTACTTTTTTATTTTGTTGAAATGGAGGTTCCTGACAAAGTCCAAAAATCTTGATGCAAAAAAAACTTATTTAAGCATTTAAAATGGAAAAAATGGGTCAGTGCAGACCCTAACATAGGAGGAGGGTTAAAGCGAGTCTGAGGAATGACATGCAGAATTTGTCTGCTTACAGAAGCTGACAGATGAATGAATCAGTACAGAGCATAAATAAGAAAACAGTTCATGTAGAAAGGCCTTATAAAGAAAGATATACCAGTGCTCAGGTCTCCTGTTATGTAAGCGGGACAAACCAACTACCTCATTCAGTCGGTTCATCTTCATGAAGTATTTAAAGGCTTCACAGACATTTGCAGCACTGCCTCTGGGTTTTTTTCTCTCTTTCTCTCTTCACAGATACATTTCTTATACCTCCTCCATTGTTACCTTCTTTGTTGTCATATTTTAAACTCTTCATCATTTTAGGGGAAACTTCTGACTCTGAGAGGTGTGTATCGCTTGATGCCCATTTCATTGCAAAGGAGTCACACAGTTTTGTGCATGAACACACTAAAATGATTTTTTTTTATTTTCATAAACAGTAACTCATGTGCAGGAATATAACAGTTGTTAGATCGAGTGACATCCGGGAGAGGGGATCTGAGAGGTGTTGGGAGCTGCAGAGAGTGGTCAAGTACTGAGTTTTACAGCAGCTGAAGTTTATTCACAGCCTCACGTGTGTACAGCACGGATACAGCAGGAGGTTCCAGGCTGCAGCAATACCCTCTTGAGCAAATCATATTTCCCCACTATGTCTAACCTGTCATCTAAAATATGAGCATTCCTGTAATAGACTGAGTGTTGATTTTGTTCTTTGTCCATAATGAGTGCACCATAATCCTCTCTGCCTCATTGGTTCTCTCTCATTTTTATAAACTTTATATAACAAAGGCTTACTTTTCATGAATCTGAACTTCATTTTATCTTGGTGTGGAGACATGTCATTGAACAAGTTTAACCAGATGTCTCTATGATAAACTATTAATCAAGATGAAGATGCAGCTGACAGAGCAGTGAGATAAGTGTCTAGCCAGGAGTGTAACTTAGACTGAAGGACATTAGGGGCGGAGCCTGCGCCCCTTGACTCTACAAAACGGAAAAGATGTCAATGAAAATAAATCTATTGTGGCTACAGAAAGAGGATTTGACTTGGAAAAAGCACAATTTCTCTGTATGACCTTAGTAGATCAGCTGTGACAGGACAGAAGCATTGCATTGTGGGAGATTCTGAACTAAATTGTTATGGTACAGAGTTAAACAAAAAGGGGAAAAGACCCAAATGCAGAACAAAAGGATTTATTTAAAAATAACTAAATTAAAAACAACAAAAACTACTTAAAACGTCCAACTAAAAATTCCCAAAAAACACACAAGAAGCAAAATCCAAGGAACCAAATATCGCTGAGGACACAGGCAAAGGCACATACCGACATACATACACAAAATGAACCAACAAAGAAACAGGAGAAGACAGGGACTATATATATACACAGGGAAACGAGCAACGAGAGGCAGGTGAGACACTGAGACACAGGTGAGGACAATTACTGAGGAGGGAAAACTGAGGAAGTAAAACAAGACTATACACACAAGGATGGACTACTACAAAATAAAACAGGAAGTACAGACAACTAATCTAAAGAATAAAACACTGAGAACATGAGGGAAAGAGTCAGACACAAGCTGAAAACTCACAAGACAGGATCGGGGGGAACAGAAAGAGAAAATACACAGAAAAAGCACTCAAATAAACAATATCAGGAGAAAACTATAACAAAACATATCATGATATAAATCATCTTAAGTAAGGCAAGAAATCCAGATATTAAAGAAGTTTAATCGTTAAGAGAGTGAAATACTGCAAGTTAAAACACTAATACAACCTTGATACCAGTTTCTGATTGATCTCTTGAGCTAGTTTGGAGATGGAAAATGTTTTAACTAAAATGTTAAAATGTGATGAGTTTTTATCGACTCAAAGTAGAGTAATCAACAACAGCGGTGGCAGTAGCTCAGGAGGTACAGCGGTTGTCCAATAACCGGAAGGTTGGAGGTGCGACAACAAAAGAGGTTGCTAGAAACTCAAATCTTAAGATTAAGAAAAACATAGAGCGGAAAAACTTTGTCTTGTTACAACATTAGCTATTTAAATTTCGCAGACTGGTGTCCAGGAAAAAGACAAAACAGACCTTCATCTCTGTGGTTGGTGCAGCTTTATTAAATTTGAAAACGTTGAAATCTTTGCAGGTTCACAGTGGTTACCCAAAAGCCAAAAAGAGTTCAGTGTTATTTATCATCTATGAAAGCTGTTTGCTGGAGATTCCACACTGCGAAGGATTGAAGTGTTATCTTAGCGTGCACAACATGAATTAGTTATTTAAATCACTTCTGATAAACAGCAATCAAGTACAAGCAGAACATGCAGGGATGAACGTACTCTGCACAATTTTCTTTATTCAACTCCAAACAACATCGATGTCAAACAAACTCCAAGGCAGACAGGCTAGTAGCCGGGGACGTGACGGAAGGAGCCCACGTTGGGGTTCATGGCGGCCCATTCGGTGTAGCGGCGGTACTCGCCTCTCTCCAGCAGGTACTGACGGCCGCGGTAGTTGGGGAGCTCATAAAAGACCCAAGCGCCTTCCTTCACCTGGGCGGAGTGGACCTCGTTGAAGTGCCAGTGGTCGGGCAGGTTGCTCAGGTCCTCAGTGCACTCCAGCATCTGACCGCTGAAGTCAGGACGCTCGTACACGCGGAGGATGGAAGATCCGGAGACCTGCTTGACAAAGACGGGGGAGTAAATTTCCTGTTTTCCGTTGACTGTGCGAACTTCCAACCATTTTTCTACCCTTTGACTCTCATTGGTTGAAGGATGAGAACGATTCCCATTTGCATGATGTGCAAAAGTACACAAACCAAAAAGCAGTATGGTTAACTTGCACTGCTTGAGTTTATGTACAGGAACACTTTAACACCAGAACATCACATTTTGGTCTTTGTTTTTGGGGTGCTTTCATATTTGAAGAAGCCAAGCAGGAACTATCGGAGCACTCAGGAACTCTTTTAGCTTTTACACACTAAACTCTCAAGACCAGGGTGAATATTGTGAGAAAAGGACATTGTCGGGTACCATTGAAGGACTGTCCTCTGCAACTTTACAATTGTAAACATAGCTCTGTTCAAAGTGTATTTTCGGTTGCAAACCAGTAATATATCTGCAGCTTTTAGCCCTAATCAGACCACAGATGATTAAATCTTCAGTTTGTGTTTGTTAGCCCAAGGCACATCCATAAGTACATCCATTTCGAAGTGCAGAAGGCTCTTTTTTGTGGGTTTTATTAATACTTACATATCGTATCAGCCTGCAGGACCTGATGCTGTCATTGTAGCCCATCCAGCGCTGGTAGTCTGGGAACTCCCCTCTGACCAGGACGTACTGGTAGCCCTGGTAGTTGGGCCTCTCGTACAGGACCCAGGCCCCGCTCTCCACACGGATGGAGTTACAGCGGCTGAAGTGGGTGTTCAGCTCTGGACAGTCGCTGCTGCACTCATAATAGCGACCCTGGAAGTTTTTGTCCTCGTAAAACACAATCTGGAAGAAGACATGCAGAGGATATTTTAAGTATTTGCAAAAAAGCTACGCTGGGAAAGCCGTAATGCATCTGGCTCCTGCTGTTAGCAAATAGCTAAACTTAGCATGTTTCAAACAGATCAATCGTTTTTCAAGCTTTCAAAGATGCCACAAATATTTTTCCAAAAGATCAAATTATGCATTAGAAATATTGTCAATGAAATGACCTTCTTGTCTCCTACCTTTCCAACACGGTCCATGTTTAGGCCTCACACCGACTTCTTGGTAACCGTCTGTAAACTCTGTCTTCACACTCACAATCTTGCCTGCAGGCCCGTCCAGATTTATATATCCAGAGTACGTGCTCACCCTGATGGGCACTGCCAGGCTCATCATTGTCATTTTAATTGCCTCAGCATTTATATCAGCACAAAAGCTGATGCTGCAATTGTTTTAAAACAAACTGGGCTTTAAACTGTGTTTACTCACTGCTGTGGCCGCTGACCTTTGGATCTGCCAATGCCTGATTCCAGAAACGATTTTTTGATCCAATTAAATTCTCCCCCTGTGCAGCTGATCCGGAGGTTGAGGGGTGAAGTTGGCCTGTGGCCACATGGAGCCGTGCTGCAAGTTTTAACATCTGTGCAGCAGGGCACAGGTGTATTACGGCTGCCATGCTCCACCCTCTGTCTGCATCCACACCTCGGTCAGCTGACTGCCTCTGGCAAACGACTGCACAGAAGCTCCAATATTCTCTGCTTAAATCAGCTGCTCGGTGGGTCAATAGCAACAGAAAAACATCATTCATCAGAATTTTTTTTTTTTTTCTGCATGCACAGAAACAGCAAATCTGATAATGCAGCATTCAATCAGTTCAATCGATGAATTAGTCTGCAGTTTTTAGGGATGACTAAATCAAACTTTTAAAGCCTTGTGAACTTCATTTGATATGACACTTTCTGTCTCCTGAAAGCTCTGTTACATTCATACACTGATAGAAGGGGCTGTAATGCTAAGCCCATCAGTATTAGCTAACCTCGTGTATACACACCACAAGCCTCTGGGGGCTATTTGGGGTCATTTGTCTTCAACCTGTCATGTCCTTTTCTCATCTCACATCTTTTGCAGATTACAACAAATATTGTATTTTTTATGTCATATAAGGGTGCATGATACTGATCATTTATGTGTGTTTATATTCTGCCAGGCAGAACTAAAGAGACGAATCAGGTTAAGTATCACAGCTGGCTTTGATAATGGCTCTGTGCAGGTCCTGAGCTGTCTCTACATGTGCATGGAAATCCTCAAAAAGAGCTCAAATTGAACACCTTCATATCTCAAATATAAGAGTTTTATGTGGTAACAAACAGAGGCATGTTTTAGTTTTTCTTTTAAGATTGTTGTCTCTATATTTATATAGTTTAAAACCTTTGACTGTATTATATGTGACATCTTTATGTTTTTGTAAGTCTGAATCACTTCTTTCTTGGCTTCTTGCAAAAGAGATTTATAATCTCATCTATCCAATTTAAATGTATGCATAAAGCATGTTAGAATAGAAATGTTGACCAAAGTGTGGTACATTGTGAGTATAAAAACCAAAACACAACACACCAGAGCACCGAAGAAGTAAAAAGTATGTTTACGCTGAGCCAAAAGCAGTGGAGTGCAAGTGTTTTAATGGGTTTGGCTAAAAATGAGGCAGTAAGGGGGGCATCCAAACACGTACAGGCAAAGTGGTACAGAGCTTTGGAGATGCAGCTGAAAAGACTGAGGTTTTATAAGGTCTGAGAGGAAGTTTGATCCCACAAATTAGGGATTTAAGGGTCAATAAAATCTTCAAAATAATGCCAAATGACTCCATGCTGTCTAACTTGCAAAAATGACATTTATTAGCCACATTATGGTCCTTGACATTCACCAGGTAAACAGTCTGGTGAATGTCAAGGTATACAATGTCTATTTGAAGGTATCTTTCACCATGTTTCAAAGTGGATGTGGTTCATTACCTGCTCTTTTGCAGATTCTGTTTGTCATGGGAAACTGTTCTGTGCAACACAAGAGCAAACGCTGCTCTAAGGTTAAATACTCCCAGAACATGCTAAAACAAATTTTGATTTATGGTTAAGTTATAGAATTTACAATAGTAATCTTTACAGTGATGTAAAAACAGAAAACCAATACAGAATGAAACACAGAAGCAAAGTCCTGACTTACTTCACTAAGTTTGTTCTGAAACTTTGGAAACTTCTATCTTATTTTCAATTTTTTCTTTTGAATATGGCTGTTTTTATGTGCACATATGTACCTCCGCTTACCTAAATAAAATGAGATAATTAGTCTGAAGTAGTCATCTGATTTTCTTTTCTAGCAGGACTTTGCACCTGCTAACAGTGTCAAAACTACCACCAAACGGTTCACTGACCATGGCAGTGCTAATATGTTTGGCTCCGACCTCACCACTCCTGGCTAAATAACTTTACAGACACATATTAAGAGGTGATGAGACGATATCAAAAACCATGTTTGCTCAGAGCTTGCAGGTGCATGCTGGGAGATGGTGGGATTTGAAATCTGAGCTCAGGTTCAGGGTAGCTGTGGCACCAGCAGCAGAGAAATATCACAATGTTACACTCTCATTGTACATGTCCAATAATTATACAGCTTAAACAGACTGTCAGGTTGGGCGAACAAACTTTAATGGGACTGTGAAAAAGATGACCAAGGTGACCATGAAATATGTGCAGCTGTAACTAACTCCACCTGAACTGGCTCACAGCTGTTGCTCCATTTTAAAAGTTAAAGCATTTTTTATTTTGAAGGTTATCCATTTGTGTCAATTTTAGTGCCCCTTAAGGACAGAGTGTTACCTCTAAAACTCTGCTTATCTTCGCTGTATATGTGTTGATTGTGTTTTCTCATTTAAAAAAAAAATCATCCTGATTTGTTTTAGGTCAAGTACATCACTCAGGATGAAAATCAATATATAGAAAAGCGTAGAAACAGGGTTCTTGGTCACTGTGCTGTATCCTTAGCTGTCACAGGTGTTAAAATTATTTATTATTATTATTTTAATTTTTCCCTCAAGAGCCATCAATGTTCATGTAAGTCTGTCACCTAAATAGTTATAACTTCTCCAAGGAGCTTTTGAAGGACCATAAAGTTAGTTGTAGTGATGTGTATATTGTTGGGGGAATAATTTCATAACTTTCTCTTGCATTGTATTCTCCTTTTTCTCTCTGTGAAAAATCTGAATGAAACCTCACAGTCATTAGCAAACAGCATCAAAGAAGTTTATTGCAATACTTGGCATTAAAAAACTTCTACAGCTGCATTATTCTTCTGATGGAGCCCACATTTGCTTTCAGAGCGCCCCAGTCTGAGTGGTGGGAGTAGTCCCCTTTCTCCAGCAGGTACTGACGACCACAGTAGTTTGGGTGCTCAAAGAAAACCCAGCAGCCTCCCAGAACCTTACAGGACTGCACTTCCTGTCTGAGCCATTTGTCCTGGACGGACTTCATGTTGTCTGTCAACTCCAAGGATTGTCCAGCAAAGTTTGGCCGGTCAAACAGCTTCAGCTTGTACGGCCCTTTGACCTGAAACAAAAACAGTAAAAGAGATGGGTTCATTTTAATGACGGGAATGAAGAGAGTTTATTTTTCATGTTTCTGTTTCTTTGCTGACTTACACTTTTAATGATCCTACAGGATCTGACACAGTCATTAAAGCCCATCCAGCGGCGGTAGTCATTGTACTCCCCTGGGCCAACGATATACTGGTAGCCCATAAAGTTGTTGCGCTCATAGAGAACCCACCAGCCTCCCTCTACTCTGACCGAGTTGCATCGTCGGATGTATCCGTGCAGGTCCGCTGAGTCTCCTTTGCAGTCGTAGGACTTCCCCTGAAAGTCCCGGTCCTCAAAGAACACAATCTGAAGAGAAAGACACCAACAATGTCATACACCTCAAAATGCCGCCTGTGCCTTTTGGGCCAACAAGGTTTTTGTCTCCTGGATCTATAGAAACACATTGAAAAGAATGTTAGAGACTCACCTTCTCCATCTGCAGGGCTTAATGTACTAAACGCAGGAACAAACACAGTACTCTTTATAGATACCACAGACAATACTAGCAAATGCATGCTTAGCACTGTGTGTAGCTTTTATTACAATTCAAATTTCATCTAGAGTCTGCCCATTGTTCTTACTCACCGTATTGCTGGCCCTCACACAATGCTTGTTTACCAGTGCTAAGTACCTAAACAACTGGCATAAGCAGCTGCTTAGTCTACACGCTGCAGTGGCAGGGTTTTATTTATATGATTTTATGTTAAGGCCTCATATGAGCAACAAATGGCTGACAAAGCTAAAAACGTAAAAGCCCATAACTACTGAAAACTACTTTTTGACTATTTTTATTTTAGATTAGGTTAGGGTTACGGTTAGGGTTAAAATATGGGAGTTAAATGGTGACGGAGAGATTGATGAGGCATGTTCAACATTCCTAAATGCAGTGAAATTCTGCAGGTATCAACACAGCATGGCTCTTAAGTAGAAGAGTCCTGCTGCTAATCTGGCCTGCTGACAGTCCTGACCTGTCATTGAAAGCATTTGGTGCAACATAATCTGAAAATTGTATCAAAAGACACCCTGAACTAATAAGCTGCTGAAATCCTATCCTATGTCTTTTTTTTTACTGGCAGGACGGAAACAGATTAGAGGACATGTTGACTTGTTGTCTATATACCGTATACTGCGGCCCTAAAGCCTAGTTTATGCCTCAGTGTCAACTTTACACTGTAGCGTCTTGGAGTTTCAAAACTATTAGTTTTTACTAGTGGCCAGATTTTTTTAAATAGTATTCAACTTGGTACATCAAAAAGACAGAAATAATGCACAGACTAGTGGTTAGTCAGTCAGTGGGTGAAACTCCTTGTAGCTATACTGTAGTGGTGTTGGGGTAACTGCCTTGCAATACTCTCCTGCAATGTCAGTTTGCAGTAAGATCTCAATGCTAGTCATATTGCAACTTTCTAGTCCAGCTGCATTACTTCTTTGCGCCCCAAGAATCTTGGCAAGCTAATCTTGGTTTATACAAACATACATGTTGGAGTTGGAGCTCCTAATTGTAGAGCAGCGGTTGATCAAACTGAATGATTGCAACAAAGAAAAGAGGAAAGCTGTCAGAGGAAATGGAATGAATGGCAAATCTACTGCCAACATATGGCCAACATCTCCAGGCCTTGGGCCTCTATGGGCTGCCTGGGTTCTTTTAGGTTCATTATATCATTCTGAGTTTTTATGATACGTCTCTTAGCTTCGTATGATATTCTTTGTTTCTACATATGTCTTCTAGGTCCTTCTAGTGTTGTTTATTTGGGTGAATTGTCATGTTTTTATTCTGTAATGCTTTGTTTTTATTTTTGCAAATTGTCAAAGCACTTTGTAAATCACAGTTCTTTATAAGTGGTACAAAAATAAGTTGTTATTGTCATTATAATGATTATTAAATTGCTGAGTTAAAAAGTTGCTACAAGGTCTGTTATGGTCTGTTTTTAGACTTGGTGAAAATGTACGCCCTTATTCAGCTCTTTATATACTCAGAGCTTTGCAGTTGACACGTCTTTGAGGATAAATGAGGCAAATGTCGCAGCTTTGAGTAACTGAAAAGACAAAAACCAATAGGGAAAGAAATGCTTTTATTTATTTTTTCATTTGAGTGCAATGATCAGGAGGAAAGGGTCCAAAAATTGGGAGGGCAGATAGAAGGCTGGATAGTTCTCGAAGGAACTCGTGAGAGGGTTCTACAACTTTCCCAAAATTCCAGAACTCAGTTTACATCACGAATAATGATTGTAGAATAAAATGGGAATTTTATTCGCCCTGGGGGACTCGAGAGTTCTGGAACTTGAAAGTGTTGCGGGTGTTGTTTTCCTTTAGAATTCTAGAACTCTGGCGGCTTTAGTTAGCATCAAACTCGTTGCAAAAACTGCAGAGTGGGTGGTGACTGTTGATCTAGAACTCTTTAATCATGCGGAAGGAGCCCACAGCCGGGGAGGTGGCGCCCCAGTCTGTATAGCTGTGGTACTCGCCCGGTTCCAGGAAGTACTGGTGTCCGTGGTAGTTCTGCTGTTCGTACAGGACCCAGGCACCATCCATCACCACACAGGAATAAATCTCCTGCACCTTTATGTCATCGTAAATCGATGGGCAGTCGTTGACATACTCTGCGGACTGACCTCCGAAATCCTGCTTGTCGTAGAATCTTATCTTCCAAGAGTTGCCATACACCTTGAAAAAGAGCACAAGTCAATAAACAAAGTTGGTGTTTTGTATGAAACTTCTTTGATCTATTTACCCCTTTTGCGGGAGTTCACCTCTGCAAATGGGTTTCTTGGCTGTTTTCCTAGTTTCCTTCAATAATTGATGTGCATGGGCATAAAGCACCCTGCTGCCAACTCATGAGCCTTTTATCTCCTTTTTCTCTGCAGGCCTTTGACTGATTATTGCTTGGTTGGTGTGCTCAGCGGTATTTTACTGGAGCTGGACACTGTCCTGCAAATAATTAACCCATAATTGTGGAAAAGTAATGTTGTGTCCTACATTTAACACTAACTACCCAATTTGACAGTTTGCTGTTGTGTTAATTTACACGTTCGTGCCATTAGCTTACTTCACTTTCATAAAACAAGTGTACCAACAGTATTCTTGCCCAAGCCAGACAATCAGTTCCTGAGTTTAACCTTCAAAGCTACATTTACACTCCAAAAGCATCAAATGGTCTCACATTTCTGATAGCGCGACAAGACTTGATGCTATCATTGTATCCCATCCACCACTGTTGATCAGGGTAGTCCCCGGGGATCAGGATGTACTGGTTGCCGGTGTAGTTTGGACGCTCATACAACACCCAGCAGCCACTCTCAACCTTGATGGAGTTGCAGCGACTGAAGTACGACCGTAGGTCGGAACGATCAGAGCTGCACTCAAAGGTCCGGCCTTGGAAATTCTTATCCTCAAAGAATGCAATCTGGAAAAAAAAAAGGAAACAGGGACAAACCCTGGTGAATTACCTCTCAAACACTGAAGCATGCATGCCTGACTGGCTGTAGAAACTCTAAAACATTGAAAAATAGACTCCTCTCCTTACCTTCCCCATTGTTGTTGGTGTCACTTGCCTCCCACTCAGCTGCAGCTGTGTTGCGGTTTATATCGAAATGCAGAATGTGCAGACGAGGGGAAGCTTTTGTCATCTAAATTAGTATGATTTGCATATCAGCAAAATGGTTTGGTCAAGTTTGATTTCCCATTGTCCACACGTGATAGGCCCTATCAAAGAATAGCCAAAACGGACATAAAACAAAACCAAAGGCAAACAGTCACACATCATAATAGTGGGTAATGTGTGCTTAGCTCTGCACTGGTATGATCATTTTCAACCAGCAATAATCTTTTATGATGCAAGAATTCATGTGAATTGTTGTCTTCTAATTTTCTAGTTTTTATTATACAAAAGCATCATAAGTGGAAGGTCAAATGCAATCTTTAGCACTTAAAAAGAATGTTGACTGCAAACCTTGGGATGTCTCAGCTTTAGTGACCTGTCCTTTCAATGTACTAGTGTTGGTATAGTGCTGGACCTACACAGAAATCACTCGGTGGGTCAAGTCATTGCAACCAAGGGGATGGTTGATTTTGCCTTTTTGGTTCTGCTTCTTATTTAAAGTTGATGGTGCACAAAGAGAGCCTGATTTGAACTCCAAGTATCACTGCAATGAGCACTTTGCCTTTTGGACTGCAGGATCCACTTTCAAGTATAAACCAGTTCTCCAAACAACGTGGGTCTGCTTGCTGTGGTCTTACTGGAATACTTTTGCAATGAGTGGATGCTGATGGTATAATATTTTTGATATGAAATCCCCCTTACACATTTGTTTTTAAGACTTTTTGGCAAAATTTTCATTTTTGCCTATCTGTGGAAAAGGTTAGGTGATAATACTGGTAAAATTAGGGTTAGGGTTAGGGTTAGGAGTAGGCCTTTGTACCATAAAGTGTTTTCCCCATAAAAAACACAATTACTTGCAGTATTTGAAAAAATGCAGTGCCCTAAAATCAAGTAAAAAGAGTTCACTTTAAGCTTCCCTTTTTTTGTCATCCAAAACATGGGCTTCATCCAAACCACCAATGTGACGGAGGTCATTTAATTGTAATTTGACCAGAAGATGGCACTCAAAGACACAAGTAATGGTTTCAAAGTTTAACAAACTTTATAATTCTAATCTCCTTCATAAGGTTATAATACTGTACTTTGAAAAATGATCTTAAACTATAAAAATAAATCAATCTTTTTGGAGTGCTTGTTTGGGGGTGGGGCAAGTTTTGACAAATTGGTCTTGAGTGGGTCCATTTGTATCTTATGACTATCAAAACTGGGCTCAAATACCGTGCAGGTAGCTCGCAAAGTGGTGGTAAAAGATGGTATAAGAAAGAGCTACACATTTGCATAAAAACTACACATTGCTGAATTAAGTCCTCATTAAAATTACAGCTTGAGCTCTTGGAGCCAAATTATTACCTAGATTTCTGGTAATTTGTGGCATGTTATTTAGATTAAACTGATTTTGAAGTATCACTAGAAAAATGGAGAGAAACTTGAGAAAATTTATGTGAAAGGCTCCAGAAGAGTTTTTGGATTTTATAGTTTTGCACAGGCTGCTCCAAAGTGGTTCAAGGTTTTTTCTTTTTTCTGGTTTGAATGAATCTCAATTAAACATTAAATATGGTGAGAATTATTTAGTCGTGCTGTTCTTTACAATCTTTATACAGATAGTTAAAACTTGCATTGAACTTATCCTCATCAGCCTGAGAAACATTAAAAACCTGCAGCTCTATTTCCCCCCTCCTCCCCCTTCCCTTCTGTCTTCCACCCATTTCCCTTTCCCCATTGTTCTGAATCATGATAGCAGAAATGAAATTAAAAGCGATCACGGAGCTGCTTATTCATCAGCTTCATCAGATCCACATAATTTGAATGACAAAACACTGTTACAGTGCGTATGAAGTATAAAAGCCTGCTGTCAGCTGCAGGTCGTTGGACAGATTCCCACAAACACAGATCGTCAAACATGGGCAAGGTATGTAGAGAGTCGACCAGAGAACCGCAACTTTGTCAAACAGTTTTGTCAAACAATGTGAAATAAAATGTAAAAAGTTCAGCTAAAAAAGTTCATTCAAGCTAAACCTGAGTCACTTTTTATTGCTGTTGCATCAAACAGATCATCTTCTACGAGGACAGGAACTTCCAGGGTCGCTCTTATGAGTGCATGAGCGACTGCTCTGAGCTGGGCTCTTACCTGCTCAGGTGCACCTCCTGTAAGGTGGAGAGCGGCTGCTTCATGGTGTATGATCGTCCAAACTATGTGGGGAACCAGCATTTCTTGAGTAGGGGCGAGTACTCTGACTTCCAGTCCATGGGTTTTACCGACTCCATCCGGTCCTGCCGTTTGATCCCTCATGTAATCATTGATTATTAATATGAACTCTCATGTTGTGAATGTTTGATGCCTTATTCTTAGTCAGACTCTGATGTCGTAGAGTCCGTAGAGCGCTTTCACTTACTTTCTGCTGTGCTGTTAAAAATCACACAAGTATTGAGGTAGACTATAAATTCTGCACAGCGCACTCAGATTTTGGTTCGTTTTTAACTTCTGCAGCACAAGATTGACTTCTAAATCTGCTTTATGTTCCCTTCAACAGTACAGAGGCTCTTTCAGGATGAGGATTTATGAGAGAGAGAACTTCCAGGGCCAGAGCCACGAGCTGATGGAGGACTGCGACAGCATCCAAGAACGCTACCGCATGTCTGACTGCCAGTCCTGCCACGTGATGGATGGCCACTGGCTGATATACGACCAGCCTCACTTCAGAGGCCGGATGATGTATCTGAGGCCTGGGGAGTACAGGAGCCCCAGGGAAGTGGGATACAAAGGCGGTAGGCTCAGCTCTGTCAAGCGCATAACAGATCCCTGCTGAGGCGGAGGAAAAGAAATGGATGGATGAATAAAATGAAAGAGGAATCAAACTTTTCTTTGTACCTGTGTTGTCTTTTATTTAGCTTCATACAGGGTCATTAACATCTAGAAAGTTCAAACCTGCACACAGGGAGTCAGAAGCATCACTCCAAGGCTCAAGGTTCAAGGTAAACTTTAGTATCACTGTGAAGGGTTTGTTTCCGGCTGGCAGTAACAAAAGTCAAGGAATAAAAAAACATGTAAAAATATTCAAAAACAGTCACCAAAACAAAACGCTGGATAAAAAATAGAAAGACGAGTAATAGTAGCTGGGACAAATGAGGTTTTGAGTCTCTTATGGCAGAGGGGAGCAGACCGAACTCTGTGAAAAGAGAGTGGCTATCATCAGCCAGGACAGATTGCAGCCCTCCTCAGTGTCCTCTCTAAGGAAACTTGACCTGGAGTGGATGCACTGCAATCAAATATCTCTCACTGTTTCTGCACCACTAGCTCTTCAAACGATCACAGGCATAAATAAGGGTTAACACAATCAAAATATGGAGTCATAAAACCTTATCTATAAACTTTTTTATGCCAAGCATTTGAATGTAAATATTACTCCAAGCTTGCAATCAAGTTTGTTTAAAACGCACATTTAAAAACAGCATTAACCAAAGTCCAATGAAAAGAATAGTAGCCAAAAAAGCAACTACAGAAGGACAGCCATATTGCAAGCATGTATTGAGGTTTGATATGTAAACAGTTGCAATGAAGATCAGCTTAATATGTGGGAGCAAAGTGACCCAGAGCTTTGGAGCTACAGACAGAAATGAGGCAAAGCCTGAGAGCTAGTTCTGGCAGACAACTTGGGTCGCTCTCCATCACATGAGTCCTGCAAGTTCGGCGGTCTATTTAAGCTGCAAAGTTTCCAGCCTGACCCTCTGCTCTGACAAAGGCACTATTGCCTGTCAGTGTTTCTACATGCATTGTTTTTTTTTTGCAGCATCAACCTGCAGGCTCCCTGGCTTTAATATATTCAGATACAAATTGTCTGCACTAAATAAAACCCTCAGTGCATCCACTGTTTTTTTAGAAGCTTTGACATTTTAATATTGACAAAAGTTAGCATGAAAGTGTTTTCATTTGGTGCAAGTTGCTAAGCAACAGAATAAAACAGACTGTAAAGATGTGTGGAAAAAAAATGTAGGTTCCAGTTTTTAATGCTACAAGACAACTGTGGAAAGTAAGGACCTAGGAAAGGGCCCAGTAAATCCTGGATGATCAGAGTCATCCCCCATTTAACACTGACTCTGGCTGCAGATACAGCATGGCAGCACGCAGGACAAAGAGACCGGAAAACTCATCACTCATTTGTGAATCATTTCACCAGATGTTTAGTTTTAAGTAGAGCAAGGACATTTCAAATCTTACTGATTTATGAGACATACACTCTCATATTAAGTTTGATGCCACCAACATGTTTTCAATAAGTTGACACAGGCATGGCAAAACGGGTAAAAGGTTGTTTAATGCTGAAAAAAAGGTGGAGGAACATCTGCAGACTAATGAGGCAAACTTCCAACAGGTTAGCAACAGGACTGGGTACAAAATGGACATTCATAGAGGCTGAGTCTCTCAGAAGGAAAGATGGAGAGGTTTACCATTGAGAGACTGCGTAAGCTTATGGGTCAATTATTTTATAACAATGTTCCTGAGTGTAAAATGTCAACGAACGAGTAGATTTCCTCATCTACAGTAATAACTGTCATTAAAAGATTCAGAGAATTTGGGGAAATCTCTGTACAAAGGGGACAAGAACCAAAACCAATAATGGATGTCCCTAATCTTCAGGCCTTCAGGCGGAACTGCATTAAAACAGACATGATTCTGTAGTGGAAATCACCGCATGGGCTCAAAATCACTTCCAAAAACCATTGTCTATGAGCACAGTTCATTACTGCATCCAAAAAATGCAGGTTCAAACTGAACATGGAGGTACAAACATGATCGAGACATGCAGACCACTTCTCTGAGCCTGAATCATTTAACATGAGAAATTGTCCTGTGGTCTGATGGATCATGTCAGATCTTCTGCACCCTCTTCCATATCTAAAAACAGTACAATACATTTTGTAAATTTTATAAATGAGCTGAAGTGTTTGTACATTCCAATTTGATATTAAATATTTTAAAAAATCTACATTCCCAACTTTCTGTGGAGTTTAAATCAGTCATATTTAAAATTATTTTACCTATATGCCTTTGGAAAATTGGACACTATTGTGAACAGGACAAAGAGTGAGTCCAGCACAAAAGGTCCCAGCTGATGTGTGTGCTCCTGTCCCCCCACCTGTCCCCCCCAGGAGAGTGGCTGTACTTGGCACAGCGCACCACATGCATACAGTCTGGAATAATAACCATTTACAGACTGATTTAACACACAGTATAGGCCTGTATGCTGAGCTGCTGAGTCAGATATTCTACACAATGGCTCTATAGATCATTTAGCTATCACTCTGGGTATAAAAGTGGCCCAGGGTTCAGTTGAGGGAAGCAGCAGTGCAATCAGGGATCAGGTTGGACACCAAAATGGGCAGAGTAAGAGGACTTTTTTTTAATAATAAATAAATAAATAAAGGAAAACAATTTCTAGAACTTTTTATTTATGTCCTGTTTTATTTTTCAGATTATCTTCTACGAGGACAGGAATTTCCAGGGTCGCTCCTATGAGACCAGCAGCGACTGTCCTGAGCTGACCTCCTACCTGAGCCGCTGCAACTCCTGCAGGGTGGAGAGCGGCTGCTTCATGGTGTATGAACGTCCAAACTTCATGGGCCACCAGATGCTGGCGAGGAGGGGCGAGTACCCCGACAACCAGCGCCTGATGGGGATGAGCATGAGCGACTGCATCCGCTCCTGCCGCATGATCCCTATGGTATGAGGCTCTTTGTTGGCTCGTGTTCAGCTCTCGTAAACAAAACCCATTAATTTAACCGGCGACATACAGGAGGATCAATTTTTTATGATTGTAATCTGCTGCGTCTTTGTGTTACAGCACAGAGGACCCTTCAGGATGAGGGTCTATGAGAAGGAGAACTTCGGGGGCCAGATGAATGAGGTGATGGACGACTGCGACTCCATCCAGGAACGTCTCCGTATGTCCGACTGCCAGTCTGTTCAGGTGTTGGATGGCCACTGGCTGATGTATGAGCAGCCCCACTTCAGAGGCAGGATGATGTACCTGAGGCCTGGAGAGTACAGGAGCCTGAGAGACCTGGGAATCAGCCCCATGGACATGAGGATTGGATCCATCAGGCGTATCATGGACTCCTGTTAGAATAACCCAACAGGCTCTACATTTAATAATGTAATCAATAAATATGAATAAAGAGTTTTTAAATTTATCATCTATGTTGGCTTTGAAAAATTCAACCACTGAGCCTGACGGAAATTTGAGGCACAATCATAATAATTAGGGACAAATTTGCATGAATTTGAAGCATCCTGAATGCTGCTATCTTAATAAATGTACTCAAGAGTCGAGCCAAGACTTCTTCAACTTATTAAATGTCTTTTGTCTTATATGATGCATTAAAAATGAATTCAGAAGAATGAGTGTGTGAGCTGTGAACCTGTGCATGATTTACCTTTAATATCTACATCAGACACACAACAGATACAGTTTGTATTGAGCAGGGTTAAATGAAAAAGAAATGTGTTACCAGTTAAATAAATCAGATTAAGTCAAAAGGAACAAATTAAACATTTACTCTAATTACCACAGACTTAAAATATAGACATTAAATGAGTTTTAAAATGGGTCAAAGCCTGGGTAGGTGACCTGAATCTCACCTTGTTTCAGTTTCAATTTGCAGAAGTCTAAAATGCTGAAGACCCAGGACATGTGAACTGTAAGACTTTCAATGAAGTACTAATAAAAAGATCATCTTCTATCACATTAATCACACAATTCAAACAATGAATCACTTTAAATTGTACCATTGGTGGTTCACAGGCTAAGATGATATGCTTTCACAACAACACCAAAGTGGGCACTAAGTGTAAGATTAGACCTTAGTTAGTTTTCTCAGTGGCCTTCAAGTAAGGTGTTAACGTGGTTTGGCGGCGCCAGAGTGAATCCCCTTGGTGGATGGCTCTAGTATTGTTCAGTTCGTCCAATGTTTTCTGGTAGGTGTTAGAAACGGTTGCATATGACAGTGTCTCTGGAAGTGACAGTGCAGACCTTTAACCTTTCAAATTAAAGCAGCATGTGACACTAAACAAAGTGTCAGAAATGTAAACAGATAGAGGCATGCAGAGGGGAGAAACACTTTTCTCACCAATGAACACTGTAGGTGCAGTTGACTGTTTTAATTAAAGTAAATCATCCTAATTTTCCTGTAATTTCCATTACAGGAAAATTACTTAATCAGAGCCTGTTGAAGTTTCATTGAACTCAAGAGTTAACTCAAGTTTAATAAAATCGAAGTGTATCATGATTGGCTGGTTTTGAACTTTGTTTTAACGCTAAATATGAAAAAAGAACCCTTGGATGTATGGCTGCATCCAAATCTCAGGGTTTAAGGATTAATTATTGTCATGCTGACACGTGCTGTCACACGAGCTGAAATTAGATTTTTCTCTAAGGTTCTAGTTAAAATCAAATACAAAAACATTGAAAATTTTAAAAAATAAGACGTAGAATGTTAAAAACAAGTAAGTCAGACAAACATAAAAGGGGTAGGGCTACAAGTTTATGTATGAAATCACTACTCAACTCAACTCAACTCATCTTTATTTTTTACAGCACTTTAAAACAACCACAGCTGAACAAAGTGCTGTACATAAATAGACAAAACAATGCAGACATAAAAAAACAATCAAAAAACAGCTAAAACGATGGATAAAATAAAAGCAGAATTAAAAAGTAAAATATAGTTTCAATGTTTTTAAAAACTAGAACATTTATATTCAGTGGTGTACACTCAATAAAAAAAAACCTTGATGTCTGAAAAAACACCTCATAAGTGCCCTCCTGAATGTCTTTATAGTTGACAAAACATCATAAAAAGACTCTCTCTACTATCCTTGTGATTGAAATTATTAAGATAACACCTTAGTTGATACCCTTTCAGTGCAGAATATAACCTAAGTGCCCCCGATTGCTCTTTAAGTGAAGAAAATGTAAACAAAGTACCGACTGAATGCCATTATAGTGATTAAAATGTAGACACGGTACCCTCTTGTTGCTTTTTCAAAGAAGGAAAGTACAACTACGTATCCTCTAGTTGATTTGTCATTGAATAAAACATGATCAAAGTTCCCAGTGGCTTTTCTATTGGTGGATGAAATGTAAACAAAGTACCATTGGATGCCCTTCCAGTATACAAAATGTAGACTAAGTACCCTTGCCATTTCTGGTCAATTAGATGTTAGATGTAAATAAAGTAAACACTAAAATGTAAATAAAAGTACCATTTGAATGCCCTTTAGCATTCTAGCATACATGTCTTTCTGGTTAATTAGATGTAAATTAAGCGCCCTCTGGTTGCTCTATAAGGGGATAAAATGTAAACAAAGTGCCCTGGGGTTGGTTTTTAGTGGATAAAAAGTATGAAAAGTGTTCTTTGGAAGCTCTTTATTGGATGAATAGTAAACAAAGTGCAATTCTAGACAAGCTTCAAGTGGATAAAATGTAACTAAAGTTCAAAATTAATTTTTTTTATACCTTTTACACTTTTCTGCCTCTGCCCCTTAAAAATTCAGAGTACGCCACTGTTTATATTTCCAGTTAAAGAGAGGAGATACCTTTTTTGTATTTGTGCAGTTAAGTTAAGCGAGGTTTAGTACAGGCCAAAAGGTGTCTATGAACATGTACAACAACTGATAATAATTATCTGAAATCCATGAATGTGTATATGTGTGCCACATTGTTCAAAGTGAAATCAACAAGCTAGTACAAAAATTCTTACATTATGTGATTTAATTATGATTTCAGCTTCTTTTACGTTCGTAAATACAGATAGTGAACAATTTTCATCAAACTTTACTCACAAAAAGTAACACTGATCATACGATTTTGGGCTATTTGTTCTTTTTTTACTGAATTAAAAATCCTTTGTTTTACTTGAGGTTATTTCAAGCATTTCTTTAATTGCACGACACTAAAAAAATGGACTAAATGACCATAAAAGTTCTGACCAGGCCACTTTAAAAGTTTATGGTTAAATAGTCAAACACATCCTGTCACTTCACCCCTGCCCAGTCCAGAATTGTTAAATTTTCTCATTTTAAAAACCAACATTCAGAAAAACTTTTTTATATTCAACTCCTTGTTTTCTTTTTTAATCCAAAACGTTTAACATTTTCACAGGTAAATTCTCTTTACACCTCAGTAAGTGAAACATCCAACACTCTGAGGGGTCATGGTGGAGGTCACGTTACAGTTAGAAGCTTCTCATCATTGTCCTTCTGTGAGACAACAATGCTGCATGTATACAGTACATGCATTGCCACCACAGTGGTATAGTGCTAGATAATAACCCTTTAGCGCCCTGACTGCTCAGTAGGCTTCTATGGCATGTTGCTGGCTCAGGGATTTACACAATAGAAGCCCTACATACTTTTTTTCACATAGAGCAAGTATAAAAGTAACCGTTACCACTGACGGCAGTAGACTACAGCTGCAACTCAGCCCTGAGGAACAAGCACAATCATGACCATGGGCAGGGTAGGTATTTGGACTGATCCACCAAAAGACCAGAAGACAAAGAGTGTTTAAGATTTGTATTTACACAGCTCAGTGGGGATTGTGCTCATGATTCATTGTTTTGCTTGCAGATCATCTTCTATGAGGACAGGAACTTCCAGGGTCGCCACTATGAGACCAGCAGCGACTGTCCCGAGCTGACCTCCTTCCTGAGCAGGTGTCACTCCTGCAGGGTGGAGAGCGGCTGCTGCATGGTGTACGACCGTCCCAACTACACTGGAAACCAATACCTCCTGAGGAGAGGCGAGTATGCTGACTACATGAGCATGATGGGAATGTCCGACTGCATCCGGTCTTGCCGTATGATCCCACAGGTAAGTTACTCTTTCTCTGTGTAGTTCCTCTGTCTGATATCTTTGAAAAGTTGATCTCATGTAATTCCAGATGCTCCCTTTGCAGCATAGAGGAAACTACAGGATGAGGATCTATGAGAGGGAGAACTTCACCGGTCAGATGAAGGAGTTGAACGAGGATTGCGAAAACATCATGGAGCGCCTCCGCATGTCCGACTGTCAGTCCTGCAACGTGATGGACGGCCACTGGCTGGCGTACGAGCAGCCCCACTTCAGAGGCAGAGTGATTTACCTGAAGCCCGGGGAGTACAGAAGTCTCAGGGACATTGCCTCCAGCAACATGAGGGTCCAGAGTTTGAGGCGCATCACGGACACCTGCAACTAGATTTTCTCTAAAATAAAAAGTAACTAACTCGACTATTCTGTCTTTCTCTGGTTGTTTAAGAGTAAAAGCAACAAGCGGGGGAGATGCATGATAATAAAATAAATGCTCGAATTCATTAAAGTCATATCAGGGGTCATAAATTGTGATGCAAACATACTCATTAAACATTTGAAATTCTATCTTTTATGGTAATTCACATTCATGTGTTGTGTTCATTTCAACAATCAATAAAAAAATAAACATACCATGAAAAATTACAGATAAATTCAACAACACGTTCAACTTCTAGATTTATACATTAAATTGATTCAGCGACTATCAGAGAAGCTAGGTTCAGTTGACTTTGCAACAAAACAGATCACTTGTCTAAAAACTCTAAGTACTTTTACAGATTACACTCCGTCACTTACTCATACAACTTTACTTCCATTTTCTAGATGAAAATACTGAGATCCTGTTTGACATTTGTTCTTGTTTACATCCAGGTAGTAGAGCACCAATGCATTATGTCCATTTACTCTGACACAACATGTGACCAGCTTTTAAGGCCACCATTGAAAAAATTATAATAAATCATAAAAATTTGAGTAGCAACTAGAATTTCTTTGAACAACACACATTTTCATGTGTTGCTACAAACCAAATGAACTTACTGGACCTGGAGTCTTTAATGACATTTTCATGGTTCTACTCAATGAACAGCACAGATCAAGTGCATTTGTTGTCCTTTACATTGTAAATGCTGGTCAAACAGTTCAAATGGTTCATCCGCAGCTTGGGTGGATTCGAGTCTCTCTGTTACCCCCAACAGGATAAGCAGTATAGAGAATGGATGGACGGGTGTCTCTGATATAGAAACATCACAAAACTAACTATAGGTTAGGGCTGGAATGTGGATCTCTTGATTGATCAAAAGCTTTGCGTCCTGAACTCCCCCTTCACCACCAAAATTTAAAGGTAATGCCAACACCAGTTTCCTTTAGTCTCACTCATGAACCAGACTCTGATACTTGAAAGCCTTACCTTGAAGCTGTAGCTCAAATTCAATCAGCTGTTATCCAGCAGGGCACAGCGGTCACAGATTTAGAGGCACTGAATTTCATCCTACACTTCACACTTGGCTGCAAACCAAAGCTGTGCCTGCAGCAGGCACAGTACAATGAAACAAACACAAGCACATCATCTGCAAAGAGCTGAATGCAAATCTGAGTTCCCCAAACAGGGCTTTTTCATTACCTTAAAATGCACCTTTAGATCCTGTACTTGCTGATCTCAAACAGATTAAGTTGGTGGGGTCATTCCTGGGGAGGCAGTTAATGCTAACTGACATGAATAAAGGAGAGTTGGAGGGTAGTTGGTTGACTGAGAAAGAAGTACCAGCAGCAAAATATCAGAAGAAGAGAGTGGGGGGAAAAGTAGTAATAGTTGTCAAAGAAGAAAGACAGAAATAAGGCTGTTCCAGGTTTTAATATTGAGATGGGTGCAAAGGGGAAGGAGGAACTCCAGTCTGCAGAGAGAGTTCATATGAGATAGGTGAACTTGACGTGCCACAGTGTCCAACAGTCACCAGGTAATTCCCAGGTAATTCCCACCCCTAGTGTCCTTTCTAAATAAAGGTGTCAAAAGCCCCCAGAATAATACTGATTTAAGGCTCTTGTTAACTTTGTCATTTTTGTCTTCCCCAATTTGATCATTTATTACAAATATTTTATATGGGAATTATAAAAACATGGCTTACTTTGGCTGCTTGGCTGACCTCTACCCCTCATATCAGTTCCACAGAATAAAAATTAAGATAAAAATGTTGTCTGATGGTTTTTGTTTGCTTTTGGATATTACGAGGAGGCATCAAAATGAGTTTCAATCTGTTCCATAAACATTAAAAAAACCCTTACAGGAGCTTTAAAAAACAATAAATCTGGGAATTAATATATTGACGGTATCGCTTCAACAGGGTAATAATTTAAATGTGCTGCTGAAACAATAATAAATTCCCTATTTTTTCATTTGTGAAGCCTCTTTGAAATGAACTACATTAGGTATTTTAGATCAGCTTCTACTGTCCAGACCATGTATCTGACTACCATTGTGCATTTAGAGCATATGATGAAGCCTGTGTGCAAACAGACCCTTAAGTGAAGTTAAACCTTTGTCAGTTTCATTGTAACCAAGTCTTACTTCAATCCAGTTTCTTTTACAGATTAAAAATCAAGAGCAGTGTGTTGTTTAAAGCTTAGCAGTCAGTGCTAACATGTTAACCACTGAGCCACACCCCCCTGCAAAGAGGTTGCATGCACACACTCCTGGATTTGAACATGCAACACCAGCATGTCAGTTCAGCACATACAGTCAAACACCACAGTCCCCTCTCTATGCAGCCGTCAGTCCTGAATAATAAAGTTCTTGACTTTTGTGACAAGTTTTGATGCCTTTTTATCTTGAGGGAGAAGTCAACACTGTCTAAGAATAAATGCACAACATGTTGGTTTAATGATTCTGTGTATTGGCCTATTGTTAAAATCATACATTAAAAGGTACATAAAATAAATCGTAAGTGTTAGTGGAACCTAGAGTGCTTATCTCAAAAACCTCACCAGTGGAGAAAAACATAAAGATAAAATAAAATTGAATAAATAATAATATTTAAATCAATTGTAAAAGCACACTGATATGACTTTTTGTCGATGCACACCTGCATTTTTAATGTGCAACAGTAGAATATGAGTAATCTCTGAGTGTCACAGAAGAGGCATCCTGAAGCTATCTCTTCCCTCTAAGTCCTCGTTTTAGATCTAACTGGTGCATGCATCATAAATCTAAAAGTCATGGGAAAGTTGTTCATAAAACGATGATTAAAAATGCAAACAATCACCATAAAGAAATTGAAGTATTCGACAGCTCTTTTTGCCTCCATTTTTCTGTGGAGAACGAAAAACATGGGATACGGTGCTGAGGTTACTGAGGCTGTTTAAAAGCATATAATAGAAGCAATAGCTCTTACATGCTTCTTCCAACAGCTGTTTTGTTAACTGTACATATACTGTAATAATGCCAAATAACAAAGCAAGCATAAAATATGCTTTGTTCCTGCGAAAGGAATATTCTGTGTGTAGACCGTGAGCCTGTCAGTAAATGAGTAAGCAACTCAAAACTCTATAGGCTTCTATAGTGTGTGCTGGGTCAGGAATTTGAACAATAGAGGGGGCACAGACTCTTTGTCCCTGTCCAGGTATAAATGAAACTTGTCCCGACTGGCAGAGCATCAGTTCATTCGCAGTTCTAACAGAGATCTGGGAAACCAATACAACCAACATGGGCAAGGTAGGGAGAAAAAAAGTTATCCAACATTAAATATCCTAAAGATTTATCACCATCTAAACTCTCCATGCCTTTTTTTTAGATCATTCTCTACGAGGAGAGGAACTTCCAGGGTCGCTCCTATGAGTGCATGAGTGACTGCTCTGAGCTGACCTCCTACCTGACCAGGTGCCAGTCCTGCAGGGTGGAGAGCGGCTGCTTCATGGTCTACGATCGTCCCAACTTCATCGGAAACCAGGTCTTCATGAAGAGGGGCGAGTACGCCGACAACATGAGCATGATGGGACTGAGCAGCGGTATCAGGTCTTGCCGCCTGATCCCCATGGTAGGTACCGCAAAGATCCAAAGAGGTAACACCTGAGGAAAAGCAGGTGGTTGGAATCCTAAAACTGAAACACCTTTCTCTCTCTTTGTAAAGCAGCACAGAGGCCAGTTCAGGATCAGGATCTTTGAGAGGGAGAACTTCAACGGCCAGATGAATGAACTGACTGATGACTGCGAAAACATCCTGGAGCGCCTCCGCATGTCCGACTGCCAGTCCTGCAACGTTCTGGAGGGCCACTGGCTGCTGTTTGAGCAGCCCCACTTCAGGGGCAAGATGGTGTACCTGAAGCCCGGAGAGCATAGAAGCCTCAGAGAGCTGAGCATGAGCCTCTCCAGAATCATGAGTCTGAGGCGCATCATCGACGTGTGCTAATTGTACATTTTAGCTTCAATAAATGATATAACTTTCTAAAATCTGATGTCATTAAATTCTTGTGGTGTCACTTTTTTGTATCATATTTCACTTTTTTACAATCACTTAAAATGTAAGTAGCGGTTGTCAAAAAAAGTGTTACAACATCATGGCAAACACTTGGTCAGTCTTAGGTTTTGAACTTCAAAATTTCAGCAGGATGTATTTAATAACACATGTTGAAAAACCCATCAATTTTTTAAAAATCCACATAGTTGAGGGCTGCATATATAATCCCCCCAAAAAATGTAGGAAAATGAGAATCATTTCTATCAAAACTAGATATGTTCTTCAACCAGTCAACCAATCTTTACTTCTACAGCAATTCAATTGACAACAAATGTTATCCCAGTACACTTAAAAACATAAAATGTCTACACCATATTATGCATTACAAAGACCTTACATCAAGATAGGGTAAGATTTAGTGTCATCTAAGATCAGACCCTCCCTGGTGCCATCTTAATCCACCATTAGTGGAACACTTTGCATCAGTTAGCAAGTAGAAGCAGTATGGAAGAACTTTCTTTAACAGGCAGAGACCATGAGCAGAACCAGACTCATGTTAGACAGTCGTCTGCTGAGATTGTGTTGGGATTGGAAAGGGGAGGTTGAGGGAAATGCAGAAAAATAGAGATGAAAAGAAACAAACAATGACAGTTAACCCAGACATATGTTTAAGATAAGATAACTTTGTCTGTTCTAAAAGGAAACAGAAATTCATCTTTGACACGGATTCATCACAAAAACACATTCACACGAAGCAACAGATGAAACAGTGCAGCCTATTTTGTGTTGTTTCGATCAGTTATTGCTGAGGGGATGAATAATTTCTTGTAGATGTTTTTACAGGCCAGTGGGGTTCTGTATCATCTGTTAAAGGCAGCAGCATGAAGGAGTGGTGCAGGGGGTGAGAGGGGTCCTCAGTGATGAGAGTGGCTTTCTTCACCACTCAGCGTCTATACAGTTCAGTCGGAGGGAGCTGGGTTGTTCTGGTTATTTTTCTGACGTGATTTATTAAGCAGGAGAGTTTTGTTTTGGTGGTGGTAGTGAGGAAGTTGAACCAGGGTCAGAAATTATGGATGAGAGTGGATTCAATGAATGATCTGTAAACAAGTGTTATCATGTTATCACTGTTGTGCCATTTACACTAAACTTCTAAACCGTATCTCTGAGGCTGAGCCCAGCTACCCTTCAGAGGACACTTATTTCAGGTGCTTGTATTCACAATCTCATTCTTTTGGTTACTGCCCATAGCTCATGGCTATTGGCACAGATTTAAACGTAGATCGACTGGTGAACTGAAAAAATTGTCTTCTGGCTCAACTCTATTCATCACGGTCCGATGCAATGCTTGCAGTAATGTTGTCGCCATACCAATCAACCTGTCAGTCTCACAATCCATTTTCCTCTCACTCCAAGATAATTGAACTCCTTCCCTTGGGACAAAGCCTTACTTTCCACCCAAAGAGAGTAGTCCACCGTTTTGTAGCAAAGAAACACAGCCTTGGATTTGGAGATTCCACTTCTTACTCAGCTGCAAACTGCCCTAATACTTGCTGAAGACCCCTGCCTGTCCATAAAAGTCACAAACAGAATCTGTGACAAGGGACAGCCCTGACAGGGACCAACATGCACATATCTAATGTCTGACTTCGTGCCAAGTATGCAGACACAGCTCTCATTTTAGAAATACAGGCATCAGTTAGCTGACAGTGACAACCCCCAAACCCCATTTTACAACAGTGCTTCCCACAAGACTCCCTGGTATACACAATCACAAGCTTTCTCCAAGTCTACAAAACACATGCAGTTTGGATGAGCAAACTCCCAGGCCTATTGCAGGAGCCTTGTAAGGATAAAGAGTTGGTCCACTTTACAATGACCAGGATGAAATCAGCATTGTTCCCCCTACATCCAAGGTTTGACAATTGGCAAGAGCCTCCATTCCAGCACCCTAGAGTAAGGTTTTCTTTGTAGAAAGAGAAGAGTGATACCCCTACAATTGGAGCACACTCTCCAGGTCCCTTTTAAAGATGGGAACCATCACCCCAATCTGCCACTCCAGACCCCTGACCTCCATGCCACATTGACTCCTGCTGCCTTGCTACTAAGGAGTTTAGTTACAACCTCTCCACCCCAAAACAGCCTGATACAAACCCTGCTTTCTCTTCCAGAGGTGTCTGATTGGAGCTAGAATTCACTTAAAGTCAATCGAAGGTCCTTCTCCATAGCCTCCCAAAACTCCTCATACACACATTGTTGAATGGCAGTAATAGCGTTTGTGATAATGGAGTTGATAATAGTTGGAAGAGGGAGGATCCACTCCAGTCACGAGACTCCTCCCCATCCAAAAAGTAAAAGCCTTATGCTGGTCTTCAACCAGATTCGTATTTGGTCCGTGTCCACTCTAAGCTGGTGCAACTCTTCGCCCCTAACTGCATCTTCAGAGCACAGCATGGAGCAACACCACCAGACAGCTGTATTGACAAGACCAAGGATTTCCCTCATATAATAAAGTGGTTCCCCACCTCCACTGTGAGCTTAGGCAAACCTCTGACCGGTTGACTTCATGCCTGAAGCTACAAGTTTGGATTACCTCTGAGGAAGTACTGTGGGTCACACTGGGTCTCCCTTTGCCCAGGTGCTGCCATACAAGGCCTTATTCTAAACAGGGCTTACACATTGCAAATGATTACTAATGTTATTTATACTATCCAAGTAATACTGATTCCTTCTGTATTTTGACTCTGCTATTTTGCCATCTCATAAAATCTTACAACCAAATCTCCAGTCATCTCCTCGTCATTTGATTTAAGCCATTGTCTTCCTTATTTTTAGTTATTCGCCATTAATGGTTTTCTTATCGTAGTCATTTTTACAGCTCATTTCTTCACCTGTTTTAGCAAAAGGCTAAGTGTCTTGTTTTTTGATTCGGTCAAGAGTTGAACATATCTCCGAAGAAGGACTGACTGACTTTAAAGTTGAATGTTTTTTGATTTCCTCCTTGGTCGTGGTGCCCCAATTTCTCTATGTGGTAGGGTATAAATATCAACTCATGGGAAACAACCAATGAAACAGCGACAGACTCAGGGATGGACAAGGCACACCCATGTGGACTGATTCAACAGAATAACTACTAAAACTCAAGTTGCTAAAAAGTTCATGATGGTTCTGATAGAAAGGTGTCAGGACACACAGTGCATCCCAGTTTGTTATGTCTGGGGCTTTGGAGCTGCAGACCTGGCAGGGTGCCCAGGCTGACCTCTGCCCCCGCCAGGTCTGGACCTCGTATGTCTCCCTGGAAGTCTTTGAACTGCTGCTATTGTTGTGGTGGCTGTGTTTGTTTCTATTCATTCCTTTCTTTACCCATCTCCCTCCATCTCTCTGTCTGAGCCCAACACAATTGCAGTAGACGGCTGCTAGACATGAGTCTGGTCCTACCAATGAGAAGTTACTTTTCTCTTTGTTACTTGAATTGTATCAGAACCATTTTTGTACAGCTGAGTCGCTGGGTTTGCACTTCCAGATCTAAGTTATACAAACGCTTCATGGTATAAAGAAGGGATTGGCCTGTAGTTTGTACATACAGTATGAGATGAGAAATGTAATTTTTCCTGAGGGGTACTTGCCCAAGAGATAGTTTAAGTTTGATACAGAGGTGTGTTTGAGGGGGTCCCAAAAGTCAAAGAGCCCTAATGTACAACAGGCACACAACTGGACTCCAGCGCAAGTGTCTATGAAATTTGCTATGACACACTTGCCATTTTTAAGACCAGCACCAAGATTGAGTGAACAGAAAATGAACGTGCAACCACATTCGCACCTTTGGGAGTGTTAATCTTGAAATGATGTGTGACCAAATGTAAAGGTGGTGAGTTGCAATCTAATGGACACAGAGAGCATCTTCACCCTCGACCAACATAATCCTGGTCTGAAGCTTGAAGCCCAGGGTGCAGTGCTATCGTGATATCTAGAGGATATGTTCGTTGGAAATTAGCTAGCATATGAGTACGCAATGTGCATTTCTTGCACATTTTAGATCATTTAACAGGGCCCTTAAAGTCTCCAATACACTTGTTGAATATTGCAAATGGCTGCTTTGCTAGTGGTGTTGCAATGGTGGGTCACAATACACTGATTCGGGTGAGCGGTTTGTGTACACCGCCATCTTGTGGCGGCGCCATTGCTGCGGTGTGCGACGTCATGAAGTTGTCATGCTATCAACAAATAAACGTATGCTAGTAAATAGTGTCTGAGAGCATCATTGACAGCATGAGTAAAGTCACCTGGTTTGACGATGTCAGACAGTGGCCTCCGTTTACTGATGAAGGTATCTCAAATTAATACCGATATTAATTTGGGAATTAATAAGATGAAAAGTATGAAGTATTTCATTGTGAAATACTACCGTAGGAGGAAATGTGTGTGTAAACACTGGCTAGGCTACATTTATACTGACCCTCGCAAGCTAACAGGCAATTAATCATTATGTACAAGCCTACGTGATTAAAAAATAATGTGGGAATTAAAAATTTGTTTCATGGGCTATCTGTGTGATGCCGAGAAATGCATGCCTACCAAGATCTAAATGGACGGATGTTACATTAGCTTTCAGTAACGGCATGTGTGTCTCACATATCGACTTTTTCCACGACTGTAGTCTTTTACTGTTGTTGTAACAGCCGATGACGGCACACGTCCTCCCAGACTGTCTTGACATAGTTGTGCAGGGTTGCTTGTGTCGCTGCTCGCTGCTCACAGAACTGCTTCTCGTTCGCTTCGCGCACACCGCAGTAATGGCGGCCGTACTACTTCCGGTCATTTCGCCGAATCAGTGTATAAAGAATATGGTCTGGGCCTGCTTTTGTAAAGTGCCTTGAGATCACATTATTAAATTGGTTGATCAGTTAAGGATTAACTTATGTGCTTCCTCAAATAACTATGATATAAAAACAGACACTGTCAGATAAAAAGAGATCCCGTGATAAAAAATATTCTAATGTCCAGAGGAGAAGTCTTGGTTTAAGGTATTCTCATTTAGCATTTTAAACAGGATGTAAAAACTTAATAAATGTACAGTAGCGGGTCATATTTTCATAAACCAATATTCATTAATGCCTTTAGTCTTTATAAAACATCTGTATGTGAGTCTTCAGTATGAACAACTTAATGACAACATGGTAACAGTTGTAAACAAAACATAAGAAACTGACATCAAACAAATACTCAGTCTGGTAAATGGCATTAACTTTGAGTTTGTTCACAACATTTTGACATAAACACAAGTGCTGCGTCCGAACTGCCCGCTCGGATACTACATGCTACTGCTACGTGCTACTGCTAGATCCTACTCCTACATACTAAAAACGTTGGCCCAATTCGGACACACTAGACGAGCGGTGGGGAAAGACGACCCCCGCAGGCAGAGAGTAGGTACTGCGCCCGTGCAGACAGTGGTAACTGAAGCCCCTCATCTGCGGGCCTGGCTGTAGTACTGCAGCTGTGCAGTTTAATGATGGAATAAGTGAGCTTTACCTCCATGATGTCGCCACTTGCTCATAAAATGATTACTTGGGCAAATATGACACCATGACATGACAAAGAGATACAACCGCACATTTTTTAGGACAGTGTGTGAAGTTACATGAAACTTACATCTGTACTGCCGCGGTCCCGCCTGCTGCTGCTGCTGCTCCAACATGGTGCGCGCTGCTGTGGCCAGCCGGCGTTCGCGACACTTTTAAATAGGCAGAGCAGCTGGTGGCGCTAGCATCACATGCGCTTCTACAACTTTTAAGAGGACGAAGAAGAAGCCCGCGGTGCATTTTGGGTCAGTAGCATGCCCGTAGGATGCACCGAGACCAACCTACAATGTGGGCGTGTCTAGCATCTGAAGTAGTATCTGAAGTAGCATGCTACTCGCTCCGGTGGCCAATTCGGACATGCTAGATACTACTTCGACTACTACTTCGACTACTACTTGGCAATTCGGACGCAGCTAAGATCAAGGTTTCATCATTATAAGATCTTCATTAGCATCAAAGACCAGTGCTTTAAATTACATCCACAGGGAAAATATAGGATTGCATCATATAAAAACAATCTCATGATAGGTCCAAAAAAGTAAAATATCCAGCTTCACTATTTTTTTTTTTTTTTTAAACTGCTGATTTTATGTTTATCTAGTGTATACTTTTCACTTACTTTTTTATTTCTACCATATATGGAATGAGGCAGGCTCAATGTAAATTATATACTGGCATGTCAGACTGTTTTGGTCACATATGGGGAGGGCCATGTCTATAAATTGTCCACTTACGAACCAGTGGGCCATACAGTGTGTTTTTAAAGTGTAAAGAGGACTATTGTTTGTTCCTCTGTATTGTAGTTCCAAAGAATGCTCTTTGTATTGACTTCCCTATGGAAAAATCCATTCTAAAGTCTTCTAGGGGATCCAGTCACATGGAAATGTGACAAATGCCCCTCAGCACTCTATAGGCCTCTATACCATGTTGCTGGGTCAGGGCTTTAAACAATGAGAGCCGCAGATTCTTTGGGTTCGGTCAGGTATAAAAGTAACGGTTAAAAGAGGACCAGCATCAGTTTAGCAGCAACACAGTTCTCTGAGGAACTAACTCTCCAACCATGACCATGGGCAAGGTAAGCACACCTACTGCAGCATCTGTTTCTAATGGGTTATCCATTATTGCTTCATTACTTTTTTTAAAATATACGCCTAAGCTCATTTTGTCCTTTCACAGATAATCTTCTATGAGGATAGGAACTTCCAGGGCCGTTCCTATGAGTGCATGAGCGACTGCTCTGACATGACCTCCTACCTGAGCAGGTGCCATTCCTGCAGGGTGGAGAGTGGCTGCTTCATGGTCTACGATCGTCCCAATTTCCAGGGTAACCAGGTCCTCATGAGAAGGGGCGAGTATGCTGACTACATGAGCATGATGGGGATGAGGGACTGCATTAGGTCTTGCCGCATGATCCCCATGGTAAGCTTATAAAGACACTGTCAAAAGCAATTATACATCTGCACACAAATTCCCCCAAATACTGACTTTTGCACATTTTTTTAATCATTTCCTTTCCTGAAAAGCAGCACAGAGGCCAGTTCAGGATGAGGATCTATGAGAGGGAGAACTTCAATGGTCAGATGAATGAGCTGACTGATGACTGCGACAACGTCCAGGATCGCCTGCGTATGTCCGACTGCCAGTCTTGCAATGTGCTGGATGGCCACTGGCTGCTGTATGAGCAGCCCCAGTTCAGAGGCAAGATGGTGTACCTGAGGCCTGGAGAGTACAGGAGCTCCAGGGACATGGGCATGAGCGGCACCAGGTTCATGAGCATGAGGCGCATTATGGACATGTAAAAATAGTGTTAAATGAATAAATAAGCCAAAATAAAAGTTTTACAAAAAAAAATTCTGCCTGTTGGGTCTATTAAATTGATCTCAAGTCACCTTTTAGTGGCCTTACATTAAAATTGACAACACGTTAGCATCTTGGATACATGACAGCGGGTTTTCTCGTTAGCAAGTCCCAAATTATTTTATCATACAAGCACAAAGTTCCTTAGAAGGACAACAAGATGAGGCAGATGTCTTCCAAAATATATTGTCAACTGCGAGTATGAATGAGAATCTGTTTTTAAGTCTTAAAAGAAATACTGTCACAGACAAGTTGCATAAAACTTACTACGAGATGGGAACTTTTTATGAGATTATTTTTTGGAGGACTAAAATCAGAACTTTTTAATCTGTGCCACATTCAACACACTGAAAGATGCTCTGAAACCTACAAGGATTCTTACAAAACTATTGACAAGACTGATGGGCACCTTCATGGTCTCTAAAGAGGTCAGTTCAGTACTTCAGATAACCTCTTGACCTTTTAACCCAGTGCAGCTGAGAGTTCAAAGGTGAACCCTGCCAATGCTTTGTTGATATTGGCAAGAGTATAAGGCCCAATGCTTTTGTTTTGCCTGACCTTCTCCTGAACTTTTCCCTGGCACTAACATTAGTCCAAACAAAAAGTCCAATCCATTTGGCCGACAAACCACCATCATTCCTGGATCTGTGTTACCTTGGTTAGGTAATGTAGGGGAAGCATAAACCAACACATTACCACACACCAAAAAAAAAACAATAACCAAGTACAAAAAGTTTATTATTTAACAGCACTAGCTGACAATTTGGAAAATTTGCTTTAAATTAGTCGCCCATGAGACAGAAAAGAGTAATTTGATGGGATTAGAAAATTTGTTTTATTGGTGCACACACCATAAAGACAGATCTCTGGTTCCACTGTAGCAAACCAGACATGGAACTACAGTTTATCGCTTGGTAAAAGAGAAGAACCGGAAGTTTATAAAAAGTCACCTTGGTCATTTCCAAAAATTTTCAGATGCTTTGAGAAAATGAGATTCTTTTCTGATCAGGGCAATGCTACCCAAAAGTTCAGGGTCTCCTTTATCATAATCTTTGTTTGATGATGCTGCATGTGTTTTTAAAGGCAGGCAAGTTTAGCACCTGGACACTTCTACTACAGAGCCATGCTGTTGTAATACGTGCAGAATGTAGTTTAGCATTGTCCCTGGAAAAGTCATTGTCTGGATGGCAGCATATGATGCTCCAAAACCTGTTCAGCATCAATGGAACCTTCCCACTGGCTTTGAACTGTCTCTCTGCTCTTTAGGTTAGAGGAAGCAGTGTTCATTATGATATATTAGCCTACAGGATGGGTTACTACTTAGCCTCAGTTCATCTTAAATCACTGGCATCACTGAATTAAGTTTATATGTGGTTTCTTCTTTGCATGGTGGAGTTTTAACCTGCATTCATGGAGGCAGCAACAAACTTTGTTAACTGACAGAGATTTTTGGTAAAGACTTAAAGCCCATACAGTGATTGCCGCTACAACGGCCCCTGACAGTAGACAGTATAATTCTACACAGTAATGGCAGGAAAAAGAAAAAACTGACAAAAAAAAAAAGAGTACTCTGATCTTTGAATATTTCTTATTGCTCACAATTCTGTATTTTTGTATTTCAGTACCGTTTTTGCTCAGTTACACTTCAATCCAAACATATCCAAACATACACTGACATACAAACACACACACACAGTAAACCAATAAAGAACAGAGGGGAAGACAGGGACTATATGGACACAGGGAAATTAGCAACAGGTGAGGCAGACAAGACACAGGTGAAACTCATGGGTGATTAACAAAGGAGGGAAAACTTGGAAAGTAAAACCAGAATAGAAACACAAGGATGGACTACTACAAATTAAAACAGGAAACACCGAAAACTGATCTTAAGAATAAAACGCTGAGAATGTGAGGGGAAACAGGGTCAGACACAAACTGAAAACTCACAAGGCAGGATCACAGAAACAATAGGGAACAGAAACACCAGAAACAACACAAAGAAAACACACTCAAATAAAACCAGGAGAAAACTAAATAAACAGAACATATCATGACACTGACATTTGTATAGATTTCTTAGTTCTACATTTCTTTTTTTTTTTCTTTTCTTTTTTTTTACATTTATTATTACCATAAATGCTTAAGTTTAAATTTCTGTATTTTTGGCACAACCCTAACTTGTTCATGAAACAGGTGTTTCTCTTTCAGTGTGTCAGATGTGATGTACATTGTGTGCTACTGGATGGCTGAAATTTTCCTCAATAAAGTACCTGCCAACCACCCTACTGTGTCATTTCTGTTATTAATGCAGAGCCGCCTGAGGGCCTGAAGATCAGGTTCATCCAGTGTTGGTTTTGGTTCATGTCTCTTTTGTACAGAGGTTTCTCCAGATTCTCTGAATCTTTTGATACAATTCTAATTTTATATGGAGGAAGATTATTCTGGGATTGTTGGAGTATTTTCTCACATAGTTCCTCCCAAAGTGATAAACCTCCTCCCATTTCTTCTGTTAAAAACCTCTCCGAAATGTTCTTTTAGTACCCAGACATGTTACTTATAGGTTGTAAACCAACCTAATTAGCTATGGACTTTTTGTGTTTGTATTAAACAACTTTTTCATTGTTCTGTTGTCCCTGTCACAAATTTTTTGGAATGTTTTTTATAAGACAATAAAAAAGTTAATTTCCAACATTTGACATATTTTCTTTGCATTATTTTCAATGTAATATTGGGCTTAAACCATTATAAACATTTATGTTTTCATGCTAGCTCAACAAAGTTAGGTATGGCTTTCTTGTGAATTTATTTAATTTATTAAGCATTCTATTTGGGAACGCTACCCACAAAAGTAACAAAAGTACCTTAAAGAAGAATACAAACTTTTTGGAAAGTTGACTTTTGTCATCCACATCTCTCAAACGGTCCTTAAACAGGTGCTACAAAATACATCGACGCAAACTTTTTGTTGTTGTTGTTGATGTAGTTAAATAACATGACACAACAACCACATATTTAAACCACTGTATCAATGTTCAATGTTTTGGACTTGTTATGACCCCAACACCTGACAAGCTACACCTCCATGTATCCTTAAAACCAAGAATCAGAGAAATTTAAAACTCTCGCCAAAAAAATGTCATGAATAATCTTAGGAATAAACAAATCAGCAAATTATAGTAAAGAGTGTGACTGTGAAATACATGAATAAATATTCTCAGTAAGTCTGAGGCCTTTGTGTGTGTGTGTGTGTGTGTGTGTGTGTGTGTGTGTGTGTGTGTGTGTGTGTGTGTGTGTGTGTGTATGTGTCACAAATGAGTTGTCCAAAAGCTAAAAACAACAGGTCATTAGTAGAGTTTTCAACAGTTGTATCACCAACAGTCACAACCAGCTTTGTTAGGAATGCTTTCAAAAATGAGAGAAAAGGCCTTTTTAAAGCCTGTAAGGTTCTCAGTCCCCTGAAGAATGGGCATTAACCTCAGCATTACAGGGTCAATGGTAATAGTTGCAAGGTAAGGGGTTCTCTGAGGGGGCCCGCCTGTTCTTTACATGTAGTTGGGTATAAAAAGAAAGGGTTAAACCAGGTAGGTAGGCAGTTCAGGAGCAGTAGCAGCAACTCAACAGCGGCCAACATGAGCAACACCGGCATGAACATGAGGGGCAAGGTACTTGTGGAGAGCACATTTTAAAAAAGCAGCTGTTCCATTTGTAGCATAGAGTTACTATATTATCACTTACCTCTTCTCATGCGATGATTACAACTCACTTCTTTTCCAGATTGTCTTCTTCGAGGACAGGAACTTCCAGGGCCGTTCCTATGAGTGCATGAGCGACTGTGCCGACATGTCCTCCTACCTGAGCAGGTGCCACTCCTGCAGGGTGGAGAACGGCTGCTTCATGGTCTACGACCGCCCCAACTTCCAGGGAAACCAGTACTTCATGAGGAGGGGCGAGTACGCTGACCACATGAGCATGATGGGAATGAGAGACTGCATTAAGTCTTGTCGTGTGATCCCCATGGTAAGTTTACAACAGCGTCCACTGTGCTGTGACTCTGCTGCAGTTTAAGCCGTTTGAATTTTGTAATTGAGACTTGACACTTTTATTCCCGCACAAAAGCAGCACAGAGGCCAGTACAGGATGAGGATCTATGAGAGGGAGAACTTCAATGGTCAGGTGCATGAGCTGATGGATGACTGTGACAACATCATGGATCGTTTCCGCATGTCCGACTGCATGTCCTGCAACGTGATGGATGGCCAGTGGCTGCTGTTTGAGCAGCCCCACTTCAGGGGCAGGATGATGTACCTGAGGCCCGGAGAGTACAGGAACTTCAGGGAGATGGGCATGAACGGCAACAGGTTCATGAGCATGAGGCGTATCATGGATTCTTGCTAAATACTTAGTCAATGTTCACTAAATGTGTAATTGCCACTAAATAAAGCACTATCTGCACTAATCTTTTTCCTGACTGTATTAATGAAATGGGATTCAGCATGACGCAAAAATATTCAAGTCATGGAATTCTGTACATTTGGTTCTTTTTTACTGAGCAAGTACTTGCTAACCAAGCTTAGATTGTTTTAAAGGATAGCACTTGTAGCTGTTCAATGTTTATTTTGAACTAGTATTAACATCTTACCACCGTTGGAAAAGTTCAACTTTTTTAATTAAATGTTAAAACTTGTAGTCTACTGGTCAAAAGAAGTATGACAATCTCCAAACAAGGTAAAAATCAACCATATATTTGATATAATGTTGTTCACAGATGACCAATCTAAGCTGTTTAACTGCAGTAATCCAAAGAAATCATAGGTATACTGATAAGTAAAAGGCTTATAAAAAAGCTAAATTAAAGCTAAGTATCCAGAGTCTTGTAATTCCTTGCCTCATAACCTTGCGTCGTATCAAATAGCCTTAAGCAGAACAAACTCAGTAGAAATGAAATACAAAATTTAAGTATGTTTGATTTAGACTTTACTCAACTGATTACAAAAGTCATTTTGTCTTCATCATCTTAGAATCAGCCTTACATTTTACATAGGAGTGGTTCCCTTTCCACAGAGCCCACCACCTTGCACTGCCATGTTTTCATATTGTGTCTGTGCAAAAGAATTTGTATTGATAGACATTTTTGATGGTCATATTTATCATGTAGGCCGCCAAAACTTCACTGATGGGAGGGATTAGGAAGTGAACCTTTCATTTTAGATAATTGCTCAATTCATTTCTACTGGACATACATGGTAGCTTTCCACACATAGTGGAATTTGTAGAGGAAATTACATAAGTAGTTATCTTGTATACATAAGTGTCATGGAGACATTGCATATTCAGTGTTACAGGTCATGCATCCTACATTTGTCTAAATGTTGTTAAGGTGATGCACTGTTGCAAAGTAATGTTCGGGAGGTGGTGCAGAAGCTCAAGGAAGTCAACATGAGGAAGGTCTGGGAAGGCGTGAATACCATCACAGGCCACAACACCAAGACCAGAGCCGTAGGAGGAACAGTGGAGAGGGCGAATGAACTGAAAGAATTCTTCAACCAGTTCAATCAGCCCATGTCCCCCTCACCCTTCACTGCAGCATCTCCCTCTCTTTCCTCAACACACCTCCCCTCAGTCATTGCAGTACCCTTCTCGTCCTCATCACCCTCAACTATGACACAGACCTTTCCAAGCACCGCTGTGAAAAGGTCAGCTGAGGAAGCTACACCCCAGGAAAGAAGTTGGTCTGGACAAGATGTGTTCTAGACTACTCAAGACCTATGTTGTTGAACTGGGTGAACCACTTCAAGTGCCCACCTTCTGAAAGGCATCCTGAATTGTTCCAGTTCCCAAGAAGAACCGACCCAGCAAGCTTGATGCCTTCCGGTGGCACTCACTTCACATCTGATGAATACAATGGAGCAGCTCTTCTTCAGCCTTCTCAGACCCCAGATGCAACATGCCCAGGACAGTCTGCTGTTTGCATACCGGGCAGGTGTTGGTGTGAAGGACACCATCCTTTACCTGCTTCACCGAGCCCACTTGCATCTGGACAAGGGGAGTAGCACCATAAGGATCATCACCATGAGGGACATCCAACTGACACTCTGATCCGTATCACCAGGGCACCTCAGGGGACGGTGTTGGCCCCTCTTCTCTTCACCCTGTACATCGCAGACTTTTATCTCTTTTACGTCCAGAATGTTGTAGCCATCAGTGGATGACAGAGAGGAGGAGAAGAGGGGCCTGGTGAGGAATTTTGCTGTCTGGTAACACAGGAACCATCTGCACCTCAACACCAAGAGGACCAAGGAGCTGGTCATTGACTTTTGGAGGTCCACACTAAGGTCAAGAAGTGACTGTGGCTAGCAAGCTGGACTGAATATTAAACACTGGCCACCTGTACTTTATGAGGAGGCTGCAGTCTTTTAACATCTGTAGCAAACTCCTGTGGACGTTTCATCAGTTTGTGGTCACCATGGTGTGCTGGGGGGCAGCACATCCAAGAAGAACACACCCAAGCTGGAAAAACTGATCAGAGGAGCTGGCTTGAAGCTGGACTATCTGGTGATGGTGGCAGGGAAGGGGACTATAGACAAACTACTGGACATTATCGATGATGCCAGTCACCCTCTGCACACCGTCATCATCAACCAGAAGAGCCTGTTCAGTGACAGACTGTTTCTTCCGAAGTGCAGGACCAACAGACTGAAAAAGTCCTTTGTCTTTCATCAGACTGTACAACTCCTCTCTGGGGAGGAGGAGGGGTAAGAGGAGTACAGACGATGGGAAGGAGCAGCAGCTGTCGTAGTGGTTATAATGATAGCGATGTGCAAATGTCCATACATTTATTTCTTACTTTGACATGTAAATACTTAATTTATCTGACGTTTTGTGATATCTTTATTCTTTGTATATCTATTTCTTACTCATTTGACTATTCTGTTTTTTTTTCCGTACATACTGATGCTGCTGGAATTTTAATTCCCTTGAGGGAACCTTCCCAAAAGAATCAATAAACTTGTATCTAATCTAATCTTATCCGCGTAATGATGCGTATTGATGTTGCAAATCAGTAATCAGTGTTACATGGTGATTACATATGGTGATGTTATGTGGTGACTCAGCATGTTGAAGTTACATGATGATGTTACATGTCGATGTCACACAGGGATGTTACATGACGATGTTACATAGTGATGTTACACAATGATGTTTTTTGGCAATGTTACATTGCAGAACAACATCTTTTGCATTGACTTTACACGGTGAAGTTTAGTGGTGATGTTACAGTAATCTCACATTAAGTTACATGGGGATGTTTGTGTCTACATAATGTAGTCACCATATGTGTTAATATTAAGTGGTGGCTACTGTAGTAGTGTTCGTGGTTTTGAACAAGTTAAGACAAAGTTATCTGGTAACGTTGTAGTGATACTAGGTAATGGCATTATTAATTGTTACTTTTTTATTTTAACTACCCAAAATCGATCAACTGGCATACGCACACTACATACTAACACTAACACTAGTATCTTATTTTAATCATTGTATCCCATTCTTTTTTTCTCTCTTTTTATCTTATACTGTATTTCAAGATATTTCAAATGTTATTGCTTTTATTTGTTTAATATCCTTTTTCCTTGAATGCTGTTGAAATTACTGCTTCATTTCAAAATTCTGTAAAGAACTTTAAATTGCTGATAGATCAACTCACCTCGCTTTGCCTTTCCCAGCCTAACAGATTTTCCAGTTTCATTTTGATTATTTGCCAGCTGACTGACTCCTCGGCCCTGCTAGAGGTTGATACCGAATAACTTGCTTTTCAGACAATATGCATTGAATCGTGCAAATTTAGATTTGAAAAAGGCTTTGTTTGTCTAGTCAACAGCGAACAGTTTCTAAAGTCCCTGAGGGCACAGTCATATGACAATGTAACACTGTAATAGACAACTGTACAGTGCTCTATACCATGTTGCTGGGTCAGGAGTTTCAACAAAGGGGGCCCACTTGTGCTTTAGGGTTTGGTCAGATATAAAAGCAAGGGTTAAAGTGAACAGGACAGCAGTGCAGCAGTAGCAGGAGCCACAGCAGCAGCTCACCTACAAACATGACTACCACTGACATGAGCATGGGCAAGGTAAGCCTCAGAGAATTAAAAATTGAAAATGCAATACTTTTTCTAGTATTGAATGCAATGAAGGGTTCACAAATGAAGAATGACAAAACTTAAACCAACATGTGCCTTTTTTTTTTTTTAGATCATCCTCTACGAGGATAGGAACTTCCAGGGTCGCTCTTTTGAGTGCATGAGCGACTGTGCCGACATGTCCTCTTACCTGAGCAGGTGCCAGTCCTGCAGGGTTGAGAGTGGCTGCTTTATGGTCTACGACCGCCCCAACTTCCAGGGAAACCAGGTTCTCATGCGAAGGGGCGAGTACGCTGACCACATGAGCATGATGGGAATGAGCAATGGTATCAGGTCTTGCCGTATCATCCCCACGGTAGGTTGGAAACAGCTTTAGTCATGCTATGGCTCTACAGTGAGAGAAAAAACCTTCAGAACTACATGATAACACTTTTTTGTTTTTCACGATCAATAGCAGCACAGAGGCCAGTTCAGGATCCGCATCTTTGAGAGGGAGAACTTCAGTGGTCAGATGAACGAGCTGACCGATGACTGCGACAACGTCCAGGATCGCCTGCGCATGTCTGAATGCATGTCCTGCAACGTGCTGGATGGCCACTGGCTGCTGTATGAGCAACCTCACTTCAGAGGCAAGATGGTGTACCTGAGGCCTGGAGAGTACAGGAGCCTCAGAGAGATGGGCATGAACCTCTCCAGGATCATGAGTCTGAGGCGCATCATGGACATGTGCTAGATGTTTTCATTTTGTAATAAAGATGAAACATAAACATTAACTTTGGTCTTTCTGTCCTGTTATTGTCAATGCTTTATCACAACAAGATATGACATGATGGAAGCAACACTAAAAGACTAAACCATTTTTTAAAATAATATACAGTTTAAAACTGCAACTTAAAATATACTGTAAATATTTATTTTATGGACAGGACCTGCTCATTTAGATTTGATTAAAGATCAAAGTATTCAACATATATAACAATTATATTTTCTGCATAATTGCAAATGGTGGACATTGAAGGTCACTATTCAAACCCTGAAAAGTAGGTGGTTAAATGCACATCTCAAATGTGCAGTGGCATAAAATAAAATAAAGAAAATGACAAGCAAACAAACTGACTCCATGCAATAAAAGATTTATTATGTTAATGGAAACTAAGCCAATGCTACCAGACAAAGAAAAAATGATACTAATATTTTCTTTTTATTCATTTATGAACATTATTATGGTAATCACTATCCATTCCTAATTAAATTCATTGTTCATGGCTGGGGAAAATCTTAAAAAATACTTAAAAACAGGCAAAGAAACTTAGGCTGTTCAATAAGCCAATCTGATATCACTAAAATTCCCCAAATTATTAAAGTTCATAATTTTTAATGTAGTTTGATTTATTTTGTTCAATATTTTGTGTCCAGCTAAAAGTTTAAATCTGAATCAAATATTGCACACTGCTGCCAATTATGTCAAAAAGTTTTACAGTTTGCCAGCCAAACAGATATCTCATCCCTTTCCAATAAATATCCAGATAAAATATATCATATAAAATATATTAATAAACAGCTATAGCCAAAAGCAGCAAAATAAAATGTGATGCAAAAAAAATTCAGAGTCAAACCAGTTTGACCTCATTCATTATCTCTGACCTACTTTAATGTCTGATGAGGGTTCATCTTACATTTTAAACAGCTTTATGTACGTGGGTCGGTTATTTGTGCAACAGCAAACATGTTCTTTTCATAAATTAAACAGTTTGAGAGTTTCTCTGCATACTGTCTCCTGAGCTGCCCTGCCCTCTTTTATGTAAAGCTTTGCCTTCAGATGAAATGTAGCTGATATACTAATTCTGACATATTAAGATTTGTGCATACAGCCCTAATGTTGATTCATGTGCAATATCCTAATTTGGTGAATTAAATAAAAAAAAATCAAAACAGGCAGTGTAGTTTGTGCAGTTTGTGTGTTACAAGTGCCATCGTGTGGTCTTCAAGGGTAGAGGCACTGAAGAACTACAAGTAACATTACTCATAGGGTTTGTTGGTGTGTGTGTGTGTGTGTGTGTGTGTGTGTGTGTGTGTGTGTGTGTGTGTGTGTGTGTGTGTGTGTGTGTGTGTGTTACAATTGTTCATTATTTAGTAAATAGGCTAAAACTCTAAAGTCTATGAACAATGAACAGACAGTTTTCTGGTAAAACTTACATGAAGTGAATTCACAGTTATAATTTGTAAATGATAAATGGACTGAGTTTGTATTTCTCCAATCTTCTAACCAACTCAAAGCACTTTTACATCATGTCATATATTCACCTACTGTATTTACACTGTATTCACACATTGATGGCAAACGCTGCTCTGTAAAGCACCACCAGTTTTGACCAGTTCCACAAACACACCTCTGCAACCAATGGGGCAGGTGGGGTCAAGAGTCTTGCTCAAGGACACTTCAGCATCTGGACACCTGACGTTCGGGGACAAGTTAACTCTCCTGACTGAAACACAGCTGCTCCAAAGTGGCAGTAAGTAAGGGCTTATCGTAGTGGCTCAATGTCGTGTAGTGGCATTACACAGGTTTGCTTGTGTATGTGGGGTTTATGTAGTCATGTCTCATTGTGATGACTCACATCTTGATAGTAGCACCTTGGATCTCACACTCTTGACTCCAACACTTCCTCTCAGGGCACTGCTGTTTTTCTTCCTGGTCATAGTTTGTTTTGTTTTCATATTTACAAACCTCAATGGCTTTGTTAAATGTGCATTTCTGCAGTTCATGAATATTCATACTGAATCCTCTGAGTAGGCTGAGCAAATATGCAACTCTGTATGTTTTATCTTAAACAGTTAAATCTTATAGGAATATATAACCAGTCAGTTTTCCTGGATTTCAAACATGGTGCGACCCTGCCATCCAGTGGCATTGATGATGTTTACTGTTTCAAAAACTATATTCACTGTAGCAGTACTACCTGTAGAGCTAGAGTATTACTGTAGATCTCTTATCAAGGTAAAGATTACTTCAATACTGTGTGTTTTGAAATAAAATTTCCTTTGAATCAAACAAAAGACTACTTCTGTTTTAATATGTCACTTTTGTAAACCTTTATTTTGATGTTTTACTTAGTGGCAAATCGTCGATTCATTATTTACATATTTTCAGTTTAGTTTTTCCTTGCATAATCTTTGGTATTTGCCATATGGCAAACAGAATTAGATATTTACTTATTGCTTTGATAAAGTGAATAATTTTACAGTCACAGAGTCATCTAAAGTCATTGTAGTGTAACTGTATTAAGTCATTGTGCTGGAAATGTAAGTTTGTTTTCATTTGTATATTCCATGCTAACAAGTTAGAAGTGAACCATTTTTAAGGATTGTCAACTTTTGCAACCTTCATGGTGAACCTTCTTTGTAACATTAACACACATAAATCATTTTTATGTCTCATGTTATGTAGAAATTTTGTCATTTTTCTCCAACTTTTGGCCTTGGAGTGTATTGGGAAAATCCTAAAATAGTTATTAATTTTTTTTTAATTGAAGAAGACCAGACTCAAAATCACTTATCATTCAAATATTTTGGCAAAAACCGTAAATATTCACACATTTCCTCTGACTGCCCAACCAACAACTATTATTTGTAAATTTAATGTTAAGACACAAGTCGACGAGTTCTTGTTGGGCTATGCAAATTATAGGAATTAATTGAACTGAGCAAGTTAACACATTACTTCTATAATTCGCTTTCTCAAGACTGTTAAAATCTGAACTCCACCGAAACACTCGCCGTCTGTTAGCAAATCACTGTTAAGATCGTCCGGCAATATGTGCCAAGAGGAAATCAGTGGAGGTTCATTCTTCTGGAAAACAGAGGACAGACTGGTTGAAATGGTATGTGGCCGCTCTGAGCTAAACATTTCATTTGTTTATTCTAAACAGGAATATAAAGGAGGAAAATGAGTGAGGAGGTCAGATTATTAAATTGTAAAAATACAACAAGTCCTTGCAATGTAGTCAACCCTCCTCTCTCACATAAATCCACATCTTTCTGCACTTGCATGGGTGCATTCTGATGTGCAAATGGAGCAAGTTATTTACGCAACTTAGGCATGTAAACAGAAAATATTCATGCATTCAGATACAGGCGGAACTAGCATGCAAATAATCCGCTGTGAACACAACATAAGATGATTCTCACTATGGGGTGCGCTTCCTATTGACTGGGTTTGAAGCATGACATTTTTACTAACTAATTATGCTATAGTGTACTCCTCACCTCAGGCTTTGGCTTTCAACATACACATGTAAAAGTCCAGGGAGCCTTGAGAACAGTCATTGCATTCTAGTAACTCTTATACACCAAAGTCATCCTGTCTGACCTTGGCCATTGCATTGGCTCATGCATGTCAAAAAAGCCGAGCCCAGCTGAGCTGACTGTAAAGCCAGCTCATACCAGCTGGCAGCTCAGCCTGTTAACTTCTATGCATCCAGCTGGCAAAGGCCAAATCGGTGTCTTAGTTACAGCGCTTCAGCCTGCCAACTCTTCCTGCTTCCTCTGCAAACAGCAGTCACCCAGCCCCTCCTTTTTTATGCTCTGTCCGATTTAACCAGGGTCAAATGAATTGTCACTGATGCCTGTTTTCATGTATGCTCAGCCTTTGGCATACCACATCAGCAAGAGGACGGGCAGGGAGCTCTCAGAGCAGAGCCATACTGCCAAATAAGAGTCATTGCATGCAAATGATAGTTCTTGTTCACAAAAAGACTTTGTCTATCTGGTCCATAGGGAAAACAATGTCCAAATGTATGAGAGCCAAGTCATATGACCATGTTACATAGTAATGGATAGCTGTACAGTGTTGCTGAGTCAGGGGTTTCAACAATAGGAGTCTACTTGCTCTGTAGGGTTTGGTCAGATATAAAACCAAAGGTTACTGTGAACAGGACAATAGTTCAGCAGTAGCATAAACCACAGCAAGCCAATCTACAAGTATGGCCACCACTGATGTGAATGTGGGCAAGTTGGGGAAGGTAAGCTTCAGGACATTTGAAAAGAGAGAGAGAGAGAAATGTCACAAGTTTCTAACTTTACATGTCCTTTTATTTTTCAAGATAATCCTCTATGAGGACAAAAACTTCCAGGGCCGCTCCTATGAGTGCATGAGTGACTGTGCCGACATGTCCCCCTACCTGAGCAATTGTCAGTCCTGCAAGGTGGCACATGGCTGCTTCATGGTTTATGATCGCCCCAACTTCACAGGAAACCAGGTTTTCATGAAGAAGGGCGAGTATGCCGACTACATGAGCATGATGGGAATGACCAGCGGGATCAAGTCTTGCCGTATCATCCCTGTTGTAGGTCTTAAACAGCTTCAATCCTGCAATGGCTCCACTATGTGTAAAAACATCCACATTAATTTACATGATTTTTTTTCCACTCTCCAATGAAAAGCAGCAAATGGGCGTCTACAAGATCAGGCTCTTTGAGAAGGAGAACCTCAAAGGTCAGATGCATGAGCTGATGAATGACTGTGACAACATCGAGGATCGCTTGCACATGTCGGAGTGCAAGTCCTGCAATGTGTTGGACGGCCACTGGCTGCTGTATGAGCAGCCCCTCTTCAAAGGCAAGATGGCGTATCTGATGCCCGGGGAGTACAAGAGCCTCAGAGAGATGGGCAACCTCTCAAAGATCATGAGCCTGAGGTGCATCATGGACATGTGGCTAGATGCTGTATTTCATAAATAAAGATGGTTTAGAGTAATATTCAGACAGCCCCAAAAAAGCCAGTTGCTTTTGCAGTCTATCCAAACCATACATGCATTCACAGAAAGACATGGTTTTAAAGAAATGACTGCAATGTCAACTGTCAAAGTAAGAAGCAGGAAGAAATACAGTGAATGAAATATGATGCAAAGTTTCAGTAAAACTCTGACATTGGTCAAAAATGAACATGTTGTGTTCTCATCTGTTTCAACCAGCTTCTTCTTTTTTTACATAAAACTCTGAGTTTCTCTGTGTGCTGTCATGTGATCTGTCCTTTCAGGTATTTTGTAAACACTCAAGTTTGATTGATTGTATTTTTATCTTTTTATCCTCTCTTTGATAAAGTTCTCTTGCACCACTATTGTTCATCAGTGGAGGTGACGAAAAATCCCTCTATGTGTGTGTTATTGCCCCCACTGCAATGGACTTTCTAACCATGTTTCTAGGACGCCGGTGCTTGCAAGCTATCTGACTTTTCTGATTTGTTTTCAAATGTGTCTGATCTCACTGTCAGTCCCTCCTCCGACATAACAAGTGTCCCTGTCTCTGATGACGCATCCCTTGATGTATAAGATTGAAGTTTGGCTGTGGGAAAAGACCAGCTCATTGGGTCTCAGCAAGCTTGTTGACCTGTTTGTCCATTGCTTGAGAACAGAAAGCTGATGCACAACCGGTAACTAACCTTTTTGATACAGAAGTGGTGGTAGGTTCATTTTTCAAGTGTTGAGTTTAGCCCATGGCCATAGACTGTCTAGCCATTTGGAGGCAGATAACGGGGCATGATAACAATGACTTGCTGCATTACAGATGTTGGTGATCAAAACCCCATTAAACTGCACTTAAACCAGCCTAACCACGTCAACATTTGCCAAAGACCTGGACCTTCTTAAATGGTACTGGCATGCTCCAATTACACAACTTGCATCTGAACCTCAACCTCAACCTTTTGTTAGACCTGACCATTTCTGCTAGTGCACATGGTGTTGTTACTCCACATTGTCTAGCTGGACAAGGGAAAGTGCACCCCCTGCCAGCCAAGGTGCAAGGCATCCTAGATCTTCCTGTACCAGAAAACAGACAGCAGCATTGGCATGAGTGTACCTCTGTTTCTGAGAGGCTTTTGCCTGACTGGTTTGGTGACCCCAGCCTGTCAGTTTGTGTGGATTCCTGTGTGTCAGGAGTTATTTGACCCAGCAAAGGCCCTTCGCTTCTTTTGGCTGCGCCAGAATTTGCACACCCTTTAAAGTTAAGGTGGATGCCAGCGTTGCTGATTCAGGGATGGTCTTGTTACAGGGAAAAGGCTATGGTACTGACCACCAGTATCACCAGTAAGGAAGTCCTTGCATTGCTCTGGTTCTTACAATACTTCAAGATTTATGTGAGGTCCAATTCCAGGGTTACACAGTCCTCTTTTAAATCTCCTCCCCTCTATATTTGGCTTTGTTGGAACTGTTCTCTCAGTGGTCTTTGTCTTTTTCACTCTGTATGATTAAAGTGTTGAATCTTACAACTTTGTCCATTGTAATTTTTTATTAGTTTCGAGTTTAAAGAAAAGAGAAAAGATTGAATATCAACTGCATTTGCCCTCTCAAAAGAAAGTTCTAAACTCTGACCAAATCACATATAGAGCAAACAAACCTTGACATGCTGTCTGCAAGATTTGCATTAGCAAACAGTGACAGCGAAAGGTGGGAACACCTCAAATTTGAGAGAACATCTCAGGATCAATCACTTCCTGACTACGGCCAGAAATGTCTGCCATATCAAGTAGAGCCACACGCATATCTGTGTGCACAGTTTGCAAACCGTGCACACAGATTATAAATTCATACCAACTGATGAGCGCACATGGTGTGCACTAAGCACAGCTGTTAATATGAGACAGCATCACACTCTCATCAGAGACTCTGGTCTGTTAAATACTTCATGCACGTCCCTAATAAGACAGGCCTCACACTTGACAGTTTAAACCCAGATTAAGGGTCCAGATTTGCCACTCATAATGACTCAGGGGAGCAGTCAGTTAATTGTTGAAATAATCCTCAAGTATGTGTTGTCAATACAACTTCTGTACTGCTCCTGACTGAGTCTGAGCCTCAAACTATTGAACATGTAATATTTACAATACTGGGAAAATAATCATTAAAATTGAACAATAAACAAAACAATAGAATGCTCTTTGTTGCAGTGGTGCTGATTGGTGCAAGCTGAAGCACTTTTTAAGTATTATTAAGACATTTTCCATTTAAAAGTCGTAGAAAATATAAGCTCTTATACACTGAACAAGTTCTTTATGAGACTTTATAACTGGATTGAGTTGTGGGGTCAGAACGTGTTATTTCAGGATTGCATGAAAATTTTCATGGCGATGTAATACACTGTACCCTTGAAAGGCATGATGTTTTCTGATTTAAACACATTATAAATATTGTATTAATGAATGCTTGTGATGACTGCTTGTGCATTTTTGCAGCTTTATAAATGTGCTCATAAATTGACTAAAAGAAATGTTTTTTTTATTATTGTTTGAATATTATGTTGACAGTATGCAAAATATATCAATCCAGTTTCTCAGAGCAACTTGATTTTTAACGCTGGTTTTTACGAATATTCTATACTCTATGAAAATGTAGGGGAGATTCAACAGTATCAAAATTTGGATACCGCCCAACTCTAGCTAGTGCCATCCATGCTTAATTTACGCATGCTTAATTTTGTTCAAAACAGTATACAGATTCAAATTTCTGCTGCAGAAGAAACCCAGTAAAATCTGAATCTAATTCAGGACTTTACTTCATATCTTCAAATCTAGAATTGAGTCACTTTGATTATATCTAAATTAATCAAATAGGTACAGTGATATATGCAGAAGCTTTTTGATGTGGTATAATAGAGTCTCTGAATGCATTAAAACCCTCTCCCATCAGCATTCACACACTGAGTGACCAGCATGCATACTCATGCTGACTCATGACTCCCACACAATAGTGCCATCAATTGTTTAGATCCCCCGTTAGGTATAAAAAAGGCTTAAATCCAGGATAGGATTGCTACAGCATCACTCACTGTATCAGCCACCATGCACGGAAAGGTAGGTTTGTGGTAAACCATCATGATATTTTCATCAGGTTTTTTCATGGCTTTGTTTAATTTACAGTAGATGTTGTTAAATGCAAAATCAGGCCACATGGATGCATTTCCTATGCTTAACTGAACAGCTGCATACATGTGAAAGTGAGAGTTAGTTGATCAGCTGTTGATTGGTTTGTTTGATTCCAGATCATCTTTTACGAAGACAGGAACTTCCAGGGTCGCTCCTATGAGACCAGCACCGACTGCGCCGACATGGCCTCCCACCTGAGCAGGTGCCACTCCTGCAAGGTGGAGAGCGGCTGCTTCATGGTGTACGATCGACCCAACTTCCAGGGAAACCAGTATCTAGTACGAAGAGGCGAGTACTCAGACTACCAGCGAATGATTGGTTTCGGCGACTGCATCAGGTCCTGTCGTATCATTCCCACGGTATGACTTCATGATATCTAACATGTTTAGTTTCTAAGTTACTTAACAACTCCTAACTTTTTCTTTACATCTTTTTCCACAGCACAAAGGCTCCTATAAAATCAAGATCTACGAAATGGAGAATTTTGGAGGCCAGATGATCGAACTGGTGGAAGACTGCGACAACATCCAGGACCGCCATCACATATCCGACTGCCAGTCCTGCAATGTGATGGATGGCCACTGGCTGATATACGAGCAGCCCCAGTTTAGAGGCAGGATGATGTACCTGAGGCCCGGGGAGTACAGGAGCTTCAAGGAGATGGGCTACGACGGACTGAGATTCAACTCCATCAGACGAATTACTGACTCCTGCTAACTGTACACATTTAAACCAGTGATACACAGTTTTCAACAAAGCATTACCAATTTTTTCATGTTCCTAATCTATGAATTAGATTTCATTGTGTTTGTATATTGTTCAATTTGACTGCAAATTTTGAATACAGACTGGAAAAAGAGATCTGGATAGTTGTTGCTCATTAATTGGTGCTGTTATTCTGTATATAAGTTCCCCTAAAGAGAGATTTTTTGTTTATATGCTTATTTACTTCTCATATAGTCAACTACTTAAAGTCAAAGTCATTCCTAAATAATTTTTATAAAATGTAGAGGTTTATTGAATGAGATATTAGGATAAATTTATCATTTATTTACTTGTTTTAAGATAAAATATACATTTCAAAAGTTGTATAAGCACAAACAGAAGTATTAAGTCATGAATATGGAGCTCTACCCATAAATATTACACACACTCACTCCTGTAATAGATTTCTAAAAATAAATATCCCCATATTTGCATGCTGATAAATGAATGTGTTTATTGTTCAGTGTATACAGCAGTACAGAGGGAGGGAGTGGTAAACCAGGCAGTGAGGCAGTTTCCTTTGTTATATCATATAGTACTATGTGGCTGATTCATTTGTTGAATGCACAATGCTATGGACGTGTGGGTTAGAAAGGGGATTAGTATTTGAATGCCAACTATGTGGACTCGTTTGAAAAGGTGCTTTTAACCTTTCACAGACCAGAATGAGCCTTTCACAAGATGTCCAGGGACGAGTTGGGGTGCAGTCGCTTAAGGATGCAAACTGAATTAACAAATTCTAGTTTTGCAGTGGAGTTGTAAAAATGTGTCGATTCAGTGCCGAAGAAAGTTTCTATTTTTTAGAAAAATAAGCCAGAGTGTCCAGAATAGTATGAAGACCGTTGCTTGAGGATCACAATGTGCATACAGGAGTTAAAGGTGTAAAAGGGAGACAATTAGGGATCAGAAATAATCTAAAATCAATCTGGCAGACAGTGTAAAAATGCTAAAACAGTTGTAATCCACTAATTTCTCTGTTAATATATGAATACAGGATTTTAAATGATTCGCATGCATATTGTTAAATATCCCTAAGAAGTTAGTGTATTCAGCGTCTGTTAGAGATATGCGGTCAGGAGATCACAATCGATCATTTTCATAAATGTTTATGTGAAATCATACAGGTAGACAAAGCGTCCTGTTCATCTCCCTCGTTCCTCCAGAGCTCGAAGATCAGTGGTCAGAGTTTTCCACGAACAGATCTCTTATCTTGAACATACCCTGCTCAGCACAGGTTAGTAGTTCAGCACTATTTACAGGACTGGGCCAAACCTCATAGCCCTGAAGTTTTGCTTTCCTCACTTGCGCCTCAGTCACTCCCACCAGAGATGCACACAGAGATGCAAGGAAAGAGTGAACAAGTAAAGCCAGATGAAACTACAGTTAAGGGTTTTGGGGTCAAGGACTGGTTAAAATCACCATTAGTGTTGACTTTATACACATCTGTCCAAGGTTCCACCGGGTGTTTATTACACGAATTGATTTAGATAAACATGCATGAAAAGTATTTGTCTGTCTAAACATAAATAATCTATACCATTATATATTTATCAATACTACCTTATTTGGTACCCCTTGGTAGTACCAGTCGAACCTCCTTTTGCCTTTAGAACTGCCTGAATTCTTCATGACATACTTTTTACAAAGTTTTGTAAATATTCCTCAGGAATTTTTGTCCATATTAACACGACAGCACCATGCAGTTGCTCTAATGGATGATATCTGGTGACTGTGGAGGCCACTGGAGTTCAGTGAACTCATTGTCATGATCAAGAGACCAGTTTGAGATGATCTTTGTGATGTGCAGTATCCTGCCTCATAAGTAAAATAATAAATAATAATAATGCATCAGATTTCATATAGCGCTTTATCAGAGACCCTCAAAGTGCTTTACATTGGATACATCATTCATTCGCTCACACAGTCACACTTTGGTGGTAGTAAACTACCTTAGTTGTCACAGCTGCCCTGGGGCAGACTGACGGAAACATGGCTGCCAGTTTGTGCCTACGGCCTCTCCGACCACCACCACACAACACTCACAATCATACACCAGTGGAGGACACACACTGGGAGCAAGGTGGGTTAAGTGTCTTGCCCAAGGACACAACGGACAGACTCGGGATAGGGGGAATCGAACCGCCATTTCCAGTTATTGGAAGACCGCTCTACCTCCAGAATACTGCACAGGAGGTAGAGCGGTTGTCATCAGAAGAACAGAGGTTGGTACTAAGGGGCCCAAAGTGTGCCAAGGAAATACCCCCCACACCGTTATACCAGCAGCAGCAGCCTGAAATGTTGATAAAAGGCGGGATGGATCCATGCTTTCATGTTGTTTATGACCCACCTATGGAATGTCACAACTGAAATAGAGTCTCATTAGACCACCAACATTTTCAATGAGTCTGTGTGAATTGTAGCCTCAGTTCCCTAGTCTTAGCTGACAGGAATAGTTCCCAGTGTGGCCTTCTGCGGCTATAGCCAATCCGCTTCAAGGTTCAACATGTTGTGCGTTCATAGATGGTTGTGTGTGACAATCCCAGTAGATCAGCAGTTTCTGAGGTACCAGTCCATCTGCCACCAACAACCACACCACACTCAAAGTCGCTTAAATTTTCACCATTCTGGTGCTCGGTTTGAACTTCAGCAAGTCAGCTTGACCACATTAACATGCCGAAATGCATTGAGTTTCTGCCATGTGATTGGCTGATTAGCTATTTGTGTTAACGAGCAACAGAACAGGTGTCCAGAATAAAGTAGCTGGTGAGTGTATGCGCACAAAGAAGAGAAGCCAGCTGTGTTTCTGGGCTTTTTGAAGTTATTACAGACTGTAGATGATGAAATCCCTAAATTCCAGCAGTTGTAAGTAGAGAAAAGTTGTTCTTAAACTGTTGGACTATTTGCTCACGCAGTTTTTCATGCTCAGTGGTGAACCTCACCCCCTGGCCTTGCTTGTGAACGACTAAGCCTTTTGGGGACGTTCCTTTTATACCCAATCATGACACTCACCTGTTTCCAGTGAACCTGTTCACCTGTGGGATGATCCAAACAGGTGCTTTTCAAAGATTCCTCTTCCTTTCCGGTCTTTTGTTGCCCCTATCCCAATTTTTTGGGAATGTGTTGAAGCAATTAAATTTAAAATGACTGAATTTTTTTTTCTTTTTTAAATTAAAGTCTATCAGTTTGAACATTAAATATGTCGTCTTTGTGGTGTATTCAGTTGAATATAGGCCAAAATGGATTGGCAGATCATTTTATTTGGTTTTTAATCACGTTTTACACAATGTCCAAACTTTATTGAAATTGTTGTGTATTTATAATGTTTATTTTTGACTTTAACATTCACAATAATTAGACAAAAAGGAAAACTGAGGTCCTTGGACAGAATCTTGACTTTGACTACAAAGACACAAAGTATGACTAAAATGAACTACAGATATCTGAAAAAAAAACTTTAAATTCAGCTGAATTAAAATTTCATGTCAAAATTAGTGCCATTCAGTAAAACCAATGGGAAAATTTTTGATGAACAACATATTTTCATGTATGATTATGACTATTTGAAATCTGTCAAGTTATTCAGTCACAGAAATTCTCCTTGTTTCGTAATCTTGTCATTGAATTTTACACAGTCTACATTTTTTTACAATCACCTGTCTTTAGCTACTGCTCTGTGGACCACGGTATTGTTCTGATCACTCTGTTAAATTGAGCCCATTTTGAACAAGATTTGATTGTGTTTTTTTCTCCTGTAAGTATGTGTTGTGTTTGTGTAATTTACTGGGAAGGATATATTAGTTAATATGTTTAATTGGCCCTTTAAAGAAATACGGGTTTGTTGAAAACATGTCCTCTGTTGTTCAGAGGCAGAGACAATGCAAAGCAGGGCCTCTCCTCACAAATGCAACCACCGCAGTTCAGGATGTGTTAGGGGTGACTTTGAATTGAAACATACGCGGGGGCCTCTGTTCCATGTTGCTCTGTCAGGACTTTGAACAATAGGGTCATGCATCCTATGGCTGTGAGGTCAGGTATAAAAGCAACAGCGGGACGTCGAGAAGCCTGTGCAGTCTTTTAGAGCCAAAGCAGTAGTAACTGTAGCCATGACCATGGGAAAGGTGTGTAAATCTGGAGTTTCCATTTCTGACATTTTACATCAAACTGGAGTCAAAGATGTAGGAACAAAAAGGGCAAACTGTTGGGCGTCATCGTAACAGATTTGTTTTTTTTTTATTTTTGCTGATTTCAGATAATCTTCTATGAGGACAGGAACTTCCAGGGTCGTTCCTATGAGACCAGCAGCGACTGCCCTGATATGTCCTCCTTCCTGAGCAGGTGCCACTCCTGCAGGGTGGAGAGCGGCTGCTTCATGGTGTACGACCGTCCCAACTTCACCGGAAACCAGGCCTTTGTCAGGAGGGGAGAGTACTCGGACTACCAGCGTATGGGCATGAGCGATTGCATCCGTTCCTGCCGCATGATCCCTATGGTACTGTAACTATAAAATCTCCTGTATTTCCTTTAATCTTCACTAATATGATTGTAAACGATGCAGCGAAAAGACAAGATTTAGTGACACACTGTTTGCTCATTTATCTAAATTAACAGCACAGAGGCCAGTTCAGGATGAGGATCTATGAGAGGGAGAACTTCAATGGTCAGATGAATGAGCTGATGGACGACTGTGAAAACATGCAGGATCGTTTCCGTATGTCCGACTGTCAGTCCTGCAACGTGATGGACGGCCACTGGCTGGCGTACGAGCAGCCCCAGTTCAGAGGCAAGATGATGTACCTGAGGCCCGGAGAGTACAGGAGCCTCAGGGACACTGGCTCCAACATGAGGATCCAGAGCTTGAAGCGTATCATGGAGTCTTGTTCTTAGAGCAGAGGTGTATGAAAACAGAGTTCTCAATAAAATGTAGTGATTCTCTTTTAAATGAGCTTCTCCATCACTTCTTACTGGCTGCCTTCAAACTCAAACATATGGGACACATAAAAGAAATCTACAAAAAGTCATAATTACAGTACTTCCTCAATATGTTTTTCATGTATTTAGCATTAGATATATCTTCACAACTAGTAATAGTTTTGGGCTTTGAGGGGGAAAACATTGTGTTCAGGCGAAATGGGAACTAGTTTTGACATTGAGGGTTTATTTTATCATCATTTACTCTAAAATAACTGCAATGATGATATCACTTACAGATTCATTACAATTTTAAACCAGATGTTAGCTGTAGATGTAAGCCTAAAATGCACCTTTTACCACATTGGCAGTTTAAGATACCCCGACTAACAGAAACAAATTCAGTTTTAAAGGCACTATGGGGTGTTTTAACAGGTTGCAAAATAGACTGAAACTAATACTAATGCCTTTGTATGACTTTCAAAACCAAACTTGACCATGGGTAACATGATAAGTAAATTCTCTATTGTAAATTTTGATGCTTGAAACTACAGGGATGGGGTAGATGTCCGACTAGACCGTTGACAGGAGGCTGAAGAAGCAGCCTGTTTTTTTCCATGGCAAACACTCACTGTTAAGGAGCAATAACTATTTTCACAAGTGCATTATGAGAGATAAGAGGTATAACTTACACAAACCAACACAAACCAAAATGTCCAAACAGGAGCTTTAAAATAATAATAATAATAATAAAAAAAAAACATTTAACTCATGTGGACCTTTAAAAAACATATCATAGAGGGAAAAATGCACATAAAGATTCTTAGAAATAAAAGCTGGAATAAAAATCCAGTTCTATTAAAAAAATGGTATGTAGTGCAAGATTTCAATAGACTACTTCCCAACCATCAAACACATTTCAGAAAAGTTAAGACAGGGACATCATCAATCAATCAAATTTTATTTATATGTTTACCATTGTATATGTTTACCATTGTGTCGCATCACCTCTTCTGATAACAATCCTGTTCACATTTTGAGACAGAGAAGAGTTGTTTCATGCCTGATATAAGATTTCAGACACTTGACAGTTTAGGGTCTCCTTTTTGTGACATAATAATTCAAATGTTTTCAATGGGTGACAAGTAAGGACTGCAGGCAGGCCGGTTCAGCAGCAGGACTCCTCTACAACAGAGCCATGCTGTTGTCATACCAGCAGAACATGGTTTGTCAAAGTCTTGCTGAAATATGAAGGTCTTCCCTGATAAAGTCATTGTCTGGATGGCAGCAGATGTTGCTCCTAAACCTGTAGCTATTGGTCTTTCTCCTCTTTAGAGCAGAGGGGCAAGCGTCCATGATTTCCAAAAAGAACGTCTAATGAATATCAGATTTTGATCAGTTGGACCTCAGGACAGTTTTCCACATCCAATCTCAAATATGCTCAGGCTTTGAGAAGTTTCTGGTATCTCTCGATCCTGTTTGTTTATGGTTTAGTCATTGCATGGTTCAGCTTAAACCTGCATTTGTGAAAGCAGTGACAAACTGTGTTCTGGGACTACGATTTTTGGAAGCTCATGTGGTGGCTTTCACTGCAATGTCCTCTCCATCTTTAATGATCAGGGCCATCCAGTGTTGGTTTTAATCCTTGTCTCTTTTGTGCAGAGACTTCTCTGAATCTTTTAATGGCATTATGAACTTCCAATGATAACATCTAAAAATTCTTTGCAGCTTCATGCAGAGCAACATCATTCTCAAACCAATTGTCCAAAAGTTTCTCAGAATGTTGGACCTTCTTATCTTCACCTTTGACCCCAGTAATGATCTAACCTGGTGGAAATCAACCAAAGTTGAGGGATATTCACACACACTTTGTTTTGTCCCTGCCCCAACTTTTTCCATCAAAATGAAAAAAAAACACGTCTTTTGAAAACTAATAATTTATTTTGGTTCTAGCATTTCATATGGTAATTTTGTACTACTTTTAGGAACACATAGGCTTTAAGAGATTTGCAAAATGTCACAATATGGTTTTTTTTTTTAACTCTTTTGGAAGTGGGATTTTAAAATTGTACAGGTACATTTGATAAGAGATGCCTTACTAAATGCAAAAGTCAAATAGTAAGCGACAGGTTAGGTATATGTGAATAGTGTTTTTGAGTTTTAACTTCATAAAGGAAAGAGAAAAAAAAAAATTATCTACAGTTATTCTACGCCTTTTTCACTCATCATCTAGCGGTGTTAAAACTCCTATGAGGGTTTTCCATACAATAAGAAATTGATAGAAAAAGCAAACCAGACCATCAGCGACAAGACTGACGAATTTTATATCGTAACTCTTCTGATCTGAAATCGGTGTGAGGTGGTAGCCAAAGAAACAGGCCTGTTTTCATGGTCCACATACAACATTTATGATAAATGAAACATTTGACTGTCAAAAGTTGGCAAAAGACTTTTTTTGTTTTCACACTACTCAGACATGTAAAGTACAAGACAACAAAGACTGCTATGTCCACAGGGGGCGCCAAAATTGACACAAACTAAGAGCTCCTCATAAGAGGTATAGGTACTTGATTGTGATTGGTCAGAATCCCCCCAAAATTGTGAGTTGTGCTCAAAACCAAAAGTGATGCCAGGGACAACCTAAACACATCAAGTCAAATGACTCCACAGGATGAGATCAGCTCTTTACCCTTCTGCCTGCTGACACTGTGGCAAATAAACACGTGTTTCTGTCTCAGGCTGATCTTTAAACTGTCTTAATGTAAAAGTACTGAATATAGCTGTATTTTCAAAGAACAAACCATTGATATGATGCTAAAAAAAATCATAGCACAGACATACCATGAGTTCACATACACTAAGCTGGCTGCCACTCACCGGAGAAACCAAGAAGAAGCAGCAGCTGCTAGTGAGCTAACTGTAGCCACTTTCTACTTTTTTTCACAGTATTAAACGTAATAAAAAACTGACATTCAAAGATTTTCTGTGAATTCAAAAACAATATTAGAGCTTGTGTCCATTTAGGTTATCAATAGATTTAACATTCAGACTTTATAACCGCTTTTCATTCAGTTCCATATCATACGAAGCAGAATACTTCAAAATAAAAGCGTTGTTTCACAATGCAGGAAATTAAGAAACCAAAATGTAAGACAGAGGAAAATATCAAAATAAAAGCATGACAAACAATAGTTTTATGGAGCAATATCTCCTTCATAAATGCTCAGTCAGGGGACTGATGATGTGGATGAATATTAAATTTAAACATTATTAGAAATAGTTGATGACTCGTAAGGTCATTGCTTTTATTTGCAAAAGTTTATGAAGTGCTGCTCCACTCTTGTCCTGCCTTTCTTCAGTTTGATTGTGTTTTTTGTATTCTCAATAAAAACTGCAATAATATTTATGATGTTATGTTATAGATAAAAGTATGATATAACAGCTTTATCTTGGATAAAGATTTTGTAATCCAAGAGAATCGGATACCGGAGAACCTTTTTGTGTGTACATATTTGGTTATAGGTTTAGTCTTTCATTGTAGAGGTGAAATACAACCTGTACAAAAGACTCACTTGCTCGACAAACACGTTTATGAATTGAACATCTTTTTATTTTCTTGGGTCAAATAAAGAAGTCTAGCACACATCGATGATACGCCTCAGACTCTGGATCCTGATGCCACTCAGGCCCATCTCCCTGAAGCTCCTGTACTCGCCGGGCCTCAGGTAAATCATCCTGCCTCTGAAGTGGAGCTGCTCAAACAGCAGCCAGTGACCGTCTATCACGTTGCAGGACAAGCACTCCTGCATACGGAAACGCTCCATGATGTTGTCGCTGTCCTCCATCAGCTCGTTCATCTGACCGCTCAAGTTCTCTCTCTCAAAGATCTTTATCCTAAAGGGACCTCTGTGCTGTAACCGAATGCAGAGAAGATGTCAGGATCATTCACAAACATCAATTCAACTATAAAATTAATCAAATCAGATACACATGTAGCTGAGATATCTTACAGATGGGATCAGTCTGCAGGACCTGATGGAGTCAAACATCATGCCCATGCTCATCAAGCGCTGCATGTCAGGGTACTCGCCCCTCCTCAGGAAGAACTGCAGGCCCTGGAAGTTGGGGCGCTCATAGACCATGAAGCAGCCGCTCTCCACCCTGCAGGACTGGCTCCTGCTCAGGAGGGAGGTCAGCTCAGAGCAGTCGCTCATGCACTCATAGGAGCGACCCTGGAAATTCCTGTCCTCATAGAAGATGATCTGAAACAAAACATTTACAGTGGTTTGTTTTGTGCCAACCTTTAGGCTGTCAGTAATGTAATTTATGTGGATGTTTTATCATATGAAAACACAAGTAGATAACTCTTTACCTTGCCCATGATGGTGGTTCAGGTTGTTCCCAGTGGATGGTCAAACTTGCCCTGCCAACTCCATGATTCATGGGCCTTTTTATACAGAACCCCAGGGGCCATGATGTGTTGTTATTCAAATGTGCAAAGCTGATGAATTAGCAGTATGACTTTTGCTGAACGGGGCCTATGATAAACAATGGATCTCCATCCATACATTTCTGGCAGCACTCATCTGCACTGTCTATTGAAAGCATAAGCTTTGTGTGTGATCCATTCTCGGTCAGAAGGTTCTGCGCATATGGTCTGATCATGACCGATCGAAAGAGCCTGACATCAGGACACAAACCCTCAGACCCGTGTGAAACCCAGAACATGGACAAACGTTCGGTTATTATAAAGAATTTCAAACAGCTGGGTTTCCACAACTTTTCCTCTGTAGAGACAAGTAAATGAAAAAAATGTTGTACAGTAACATGAATGTGCAGTGAGATTACAGAGACACTCTCTATGTTTGAGACCACATCAGAACTTACAGGTTTTGACTTAGACATGACCTGCTGTGTGGCAAAATCTACATCCAAATCAGACACAGATGGTACTGATCATTTTGCAAGATTTCCACAAGTGCTGCCAATATATATGATTTTTCCCATTACACAAATCACATTAATCCAACCAGACATCTCATATTTATGCTTTGAACTTCTTATTGCAGGGGCAGCAGATTACTTTATGAGTTTAGTGTCTCAGCTCTGACCTCAATATAGTCTTTGGAGTTTTTCTTCTCGTGCAGAAATTGAGAAGAAAATATCTGAAACCCTAATCAAAGCCTGCAAGTGATGCTAGGTGGTGGTGGGACTGAAAATATGAACCCAGCACTTGAGGTGAGGTTGTATGATTTAGATGACACTTGTAGGAGCGTAAGTTTGCCATTTGCCATTTTTTTGGGTCAAGTTTTCCACATCAATTGGCATTCTTTACGAGACCCCGTCCCAAGCACTTATCTCAAATTTGTAATTATTAACAGATGCAACACGGACATGATGTCTGCATGCGGTGGACAGATCAGTTGTTCAAGTCTGCAGGCTTTAAATGCATGATTTTGACAGCAATGATGAACACACATGAACGCCTTTATGGGCCAGAAAAAGGTGAGTCAATGTACCAAGGAGAAGGCACAGAAACATGTTAGAGTGACTGTCTGCAGGAAACTGTGGTAGCCTATACCTTGTGTCCTTGCGGCAAAACTAACCAACATCTTTTGTGGCCAATGCACTCATTTTTGACATGTCACTCACAATACCTTACGTCGCAAATACTGAAATATCCCTTTAAAAAGAGTGAGGATGTGTTTGTCATGTGATTGCGAGACTGACACACCTTATATGTGAAATCAGTGCAGCTGTGATGGAGTGAGACTAGGAAAGTACTTGTTCACAGTTTGAACTTGTTTGAAATCACAAATTGAGCACTTTTCATCAACATAGAGAGACCAGGTGCAGCTGCCAAAACCAAAAGTAGTTTATATTCTGGTTTAAAATACCTGTTCAAGTGTTAACATGGCATAGCTTAGTTTACTATCTGCCATTTTAGCAGCAGTCTTCTCTGTGCTATCCACTATCACCTACACCCATGCTTGGCTGTTTCATGCTACGTTTGCAAGGCAGAGTGACCTTTGTGTCGACCTCATACCAACCCAGCAGGACAAGTAGCAAATAGAAATAAAATAAAAATAATCTGAATCTTAGAAAAAAAATTGAACATAGCCTTAATATCTTTAGGTGTTACTGCTAGACCCTAGTCCAATTTGAACGCTACACTACTGCTAGTGTAGTCTGAGAAGAAACAAACATCAACGTATCAATGTTGAGACGCTAGGCATGCAATTATTGAACACAGCTGGGAGACGATCAGAATGACTGTTTGCATGAGACAAATTTTAATTAGATCCTCTTTTTGTGCCCTCAACAAAAGAAACTGAGCTTTACCTTTATACTTAATTCAACTCCTAGAACAAAAAACCCTCCAAAACATTAAAGATTAAGCTTTACTTTCAATGTATTGTATGTACATATTGTATGTATTTATCTAGAATTAGTTTTGTTTGACTGGTCACTTTACCTACTTTTATGGTTAGGCTTAGACTTAGGCCAACCTATTTTGTTTCCATTAGACTCCTGGTTTTGTGCAGCTTTGTTTGTTTTTTTGTCCTATATTCTACTTTTGATTTAAAGGAGAATGCAACTTGACTTGAAAATGAGAGCCACCAACCAACCATGACAGTGCACAAACGTAATAATTCACACAATTGGGGAAATTTTTATAACTTAGTGTATTTCGCTGAGTTGGTGTAGTTACTAGTAACACTTTCAAGAATAGTTGACTGATCTGTGAACATACAACTGTGTAACCAAGCTGGATTGTGCCGATTAGACTGTATAAAATATGGACATTGTCTCAGGGACATCACCTGGATCAGAGATTTGTAACCTATCAACACCATATTAAAAATGCTGACTTCACCAACCTTTAAGCTGACCTACCATTTAAGGCTCTTAGAGGCCTCACTTACTGCTACAGGGTGCCCACCTGTCAAGCTAGGCAGCTGTACCTCTGATGCACCAAACTCTGAGAGTTTTTTTCTTTTTTTGAATGGGTGTGTATGTGGCTTCCACTGTTTCTGGAGTCAGCACCAAGTGGACGCTTGGAGAACTGCAGTTTTTAACACTTGAAGGATGATGATAATGATTATTAAGATGCAGTATTTAGTGACATCTATCAGAACAGACTTGGTAGAAATGTTTAAATCAGTGTAAAATCACCTGAATACAAAAATCATTTTATTAATGCTAATTGAAAATGAGCCTTTTATATCTACAAAGTAGCAGGTCCTTTTCCACAGAGATCCTCATATACATGTTCCTATAGTTTCGCAGAATGGAAAAATAAGTTTTTGTTGGGGGGAAAAAAAATTGTAATGATGGATGTTTTTATGCTTAACCATTGATGCGACTGAAAATGGACTTTTAAAATACACATTAACACATCAGCCTGACTAAAATATGACTTTGTGTTGCAGGGCTAACATATCCAGATATCTAGGAATGATTTTCTCTTATATATGCCTCGGTTAGACTCTAACTTTTGCATATGCCCTACAGTTAACATATGTGGTTTTAAGCGCTTAGTGGAGCAGCATGAGTACATAGTTTAAAGTCAGGTTATCATTCGACAAACAACCAGTTTGCCTCCTGCTATCAGGTTTGTTGATTGTTTTGGTCCATGACGGGTCAACCAGAAGACTGCCAAGCGGTAACGGGCTAAAAGGGGACATATCGCCACCTACAGTAGTGGAGGCTGACATACTTTTGTCAGTCGATTTCTTAACAAGAGCTTGTAGACCAAGACAAGGATGGTAGTCTAGTTAGATTACCTCACAGAGCTGTAACCATAGCTGGACTTCACTGTGCAGGGATCATTCATTCAGAATTCTACCAAGACAGCTGCAAGAAAGCATCTGGATTACAGTGGAAACCTAAAGAAGAGAGTTTAGCAGGACTGTGGTGCAGAAGAAATCAGTGAGTTCAAAAGCGACATTAAATACTACTTTAAAGGTCCTATCAAGAGTTTCCAATTGGTCACGAAACGAACAGTAATGTTTCTCTATGATGCAAAAAAAAAGCAACAATTCAAGGGTTACCACTTTGCCGAGAGTTGGTGTCAAAGTCAACACACAGACTTTTCCTTGTGTAAAAATTATTCCTGTTTTTACAGCTGAAAAAAAAACCTATCCTGTCTCAAGAGCTGAATAAGAAGCATTCATTCAGTCATTTAAGGTTTATTTGTACAGAGACAAGTATGAAGGAGATGCCACACGCTACAGCAGTAATACACAAAATGATCTTCAATGTAAAAATCAACAAATGCACAAAGTAGAGGTGAAATTCATTCAAGTTTATTGCTGCATAAAACGAGCACAAGTGCAGCTGTTAGGCCTTGAACAGCAATGCAATGATGAAAAGAAAATAATAGGATGCAGTTTGAAAGCGTAAAATTATGTACATTTTCATAAGGCGTTAAACTGAGCTGAATAGGGTTTACAAAATTCTCACAAAGGACAAAATTCACCCTCTTTACTGCCCTGTTAGCTCTGGTGCAGCTGCAGTCTGCTCAGCCATAATGCTCCCCGTCATTAAGGGAAAAACACAAGAAGAAGAGATACATTCAACTCCTTTTGCAGTGGGAAACAAATATGCACGCGGTTCATCATAAGTCTCTGTCTACTTACTCAATGCAGGATGACAAATCAATGAAAACACATCCACAAAGGAGGTTAAAAATTCAACATTTTAATAAACAAAGTGTCTGATATTTACAGCGAGGCGTGACATCGATGGCTAAAACTCTGTGACCCTTCTGAAGGAGCCCACGATGGCGCAGGTGGCACACCAGTCGCGGTACCGCCTGTACTCCCCAGCCCTCAGGAAGTACTGTCGACCTCTGTAATTTGGATACTCGTAGAAGATCCAGTAGCCGTTCATGACATTACAGGAGTAGACGTGGCGGTGATGGAAACGGTCAGACACACAGGGACAGTCATCCACAAACTCCATCATGTGACCGCTGAAGTCGGGCTTCTCGTAGATTCGCAACCTGTAAGAGCCTCGATACTGCGAAAATGAAAAATGTAAGGTTTTACCACTTAAAATGTCAAATTTACAAAACTTAAAAATCACTTCCTGTAGCTTTAACTCTGATTTTCTTTAATAACTCACCACTGGGATCATCCTACACGAGCGGATACAACTGCTGAAGCCCATCCACCTCTGGTAGTCTGGGTACTCCCCCCTCCTCATGAAGTACTGGTGGCCCATAAAGTTAGGTCGCTCATAGATCATGAAGCAGCCGCTCTCCACCCGGATGGAGTTGCAGCGGCTGAAGTACGAGTGAAGGTCCGTGCAGTCATTGCTGCACTCATAGCTCCGACCTTGGAAGTTTTTGTCTTCGTAAAAGATAATCTGTTAGAAAATCAGAGTTTTTATTGTAAGTTTTGCTTAAAAATAAGACTTAAAGTGGATTTTAAAAACTTAAACAGAGTGTAAACAGAGAGAAAAACAGCACTCACCTTGCCCATGGTCTCCGTTGGAGAGATTCCCCATGTTTTCAGGGCTTTTTATACTGCCTCTCCACAAACAAAGCATTGTTATTCAAATCCTCTGCTAGTTATAACTGAAGGCTACTGGCACATGTTTATCTTTTTGTTGTGAGCCCAACATGGGAACAGAAATATGGATCTGTATTTGAAAAAAAAGGGGATAAATAATTAACTGGTTTGGTGTTTTGACTTGCATGGACAAAGGAAAAGACTAGTATGGTATCCACACGTCCAGCAGACAAAGGCTGCAGAACAATATGGAACAGCGCTCTGCCATTAAATATGTTGCATAACAGAGCAGGAAGCTGTTCAGTCTGAGCGATGCTGCACCTGAGCAGCTCCACTGTACGCTAAGAAGTGACTGTATACTGTGCTGTGAGTCTGGATGGAAAGATTCGATGTAGATCGTTATTTATTTACTCTCTATGTGACCTTTATGTGGCGTTTACAAGATCCACATCTCACCTCAGGGTCACGTGTTTCAGTATGAGACCACTTTGACTCAGTGGACTACATTTCCCTTGATGGGGTGCAGCCATCTTGACCCTTTGAAAAAGAGTCGAGAGTCTGAAGGTGGAGCAGATAATGACTATTTTTTAAACTTTATTTTATGACATCTGTGTTCTTCACAGTTCATCTGTTTCTTCATGTTTATAGTTATATACTTATATTAATGATCTGTGTTGTGATATGAGGGCACATATTGAGTGGAAATGGATAAAATGGTGCAAAACAAGATCCAAGATTATGTTGTGTAATGATTCATAAAATGTAACATATAGTATAAAGATGCATTTTAATGTGAAAAACTTTGATGTCTTCATTTCAGCCTTTTTAATCCTTTTGATAAATCAGAGGAAATAAAATTATAATTGGAGACACTGGATTTCTGATTTTTATGAGTTAGTGGCCAAAGTTATCAAAGTTATTATCAGAAATGCCTGAAATATTTAGATATGTTGGTAAGAAATATAGACAACATAATCACTGATGAGCAGAAACCTCCATATTTCACCTTTTTTGATATATATCTTTTGCATTATTCATTACTATTCATCTCTACACATGCCTTTCTAATCTTGTTGGTGCAGCTCACGCAGAGTTAAGTTTCATTAAAACACTGATTGTTTTTTTTTCAACGACCTTGGAAGAAGTTACGAGATGTCTGCTTGTCACTGATGATATAAAAGGCAATGTCTTGAAAATATTGACATAATAAATGAAGGTTTTTGTGAAATTCTTGCTTTTTAAGATGCACCTGGATCATCCTGTCTGCTCAGTTTGTGAGATTTTTAAGTGTGACAACCAAAGAAGAATAAATAAGTTCACACATCTTCCTTCTCCTTTTGCAAATGTTTTACCATTGATGTTTCTTTAAGAATTTCACTTTTTGTTTCGTTGTTTATATATTATTTAACATCATTATTTTTAAATTTCATAAGAAGATGTCGATGAATGACAGAAGTTTTGATTTAATTGACAACTGCATATGCTGAACAGGTTTTAGTGTTTTAATTTTCAAAAATGTTAGTTCTATTTAAGAAAATCTTAATTTAAAGTTTATAACTTTGTTGAAAGTGTTATTTTGGCTGTCGTACATATTTGAACTTTTATCCTGACAAACTCAGACATGTGGCATTGAAGGAGTCTGTAGCTTGAGGCTGTTTTCAGTGTTTGATATTATAAAATTATCTTAAATATCATAGTTTGTTATTTTTGGTGTGATTTTGATATGTTGTTGTTATAGAATCCACTTTTCAGATAACCTACTGCTCCTAAATCCTGGTTTATTTTCAGATATTTATATTAATTCTGCCAAAAATGCACATGCTCACATGAATCGTGCTCATTATCTTGTTAATGTAATTTCAGGTATACTAAATGTCTCCCGGATATAAAAACTTAAAATAAAAGTCATTATATTAAACCAGTTTCTGGTCAGCCTTTCAATAGTTTTGAATTGCTAAAGCTATAAGAAATGTCCGATAGTGTTTTTATGCTGTGCATTCACAAAAACAACCTAAAAGATTTCTTATAAATATGTTTAGGATCATGTTTGCACTGGATTCATCCTGATCTCTTCCTGTTTAAACATTTCTCTTCCTTTCTGTCGGCTCCATCCAGAAACACTGTGTTTATGTTTCCCTCTCACTCTCTCTAGTCCGTGCTACCGCCGCTCTACTCGCTGTTTTTCTGTTTTACACTAATCACACGGATACATTCTGACACCACAGATCAGCTAATCCAGACAGAGGTCCCGATGTGAAAGAGGGCAAATCTGGTATTGTCCTGTACACTGGGCTAAAGCGCAGCGATTAGACTGCTCATCAGAAAGTTTGAGAGAGGAAGTGTTTTAGGCTGCAGCTGCCGGGCTGCAGAAAAGCCAGTTAGCATGAATTTCAGAGGGTTGTTTTTACTGAAAATTAACATAATAAAGCTTTGTACTCATTGTAAATTCTAGTGCTTTACTATGAGGCTAACTAAGATACACAAAAATAAAAATAAAGTCTTATGAAGCAGTTGAAGTTTATTGGGCAAACAAACAGACGCATTACAGCATTGCCTTCCTTAGCTGTAGTCTGTGATTCTTCTGAGCGAGCCGATTTTCGGGCTGACTCCTCCCCAGTCGCTGTACTTCCTGTACTCCCCGGGCTTCAGGTAATAGACGCGGCCTTTGTAGTTGGGCTGATCGAACAGCAGCCAGTGGCCGTCCATCACGCTGCAGGAGTTGAAGTCGGAGGTGTTGAGGCGGTCTTGGATGTTGGGGCAGTCGTCCATCAGTTCGTGCATCTGGCCGGACATGTCTGGGCGCTCGTACAGCCTCACCCTGTATGAGCCTCGGTGCTGGAACAGGACAGAAAACCCTGTCATCTTGACTTTAATGTAGATATTTACCTCGCTATGCAAACTTGAAGGTTTGATTTGCAACAAAACAAACACTTAGCAAGCATCAAATCTGAGACATGACTGCGAGTCTTGGTGCCTTTCTCTTTACTCCTCATGCAAAGGCCAAAACATCGTCTTTTAAAAGCAAAAAGCATGACCTACCTGAGGGATCATCTTGCAAGATCGTACGCAGTCGTTCATCCCGAGCACTCGCTGGTTATCAGAGTAATCCCCTCTCCTCAAGTAGAACTGGTTCCCCGTGAAGTTGGCCCTCTCATACACCATGAAGGAGCCACTCTCCACCCTGATGGAGTTACACCTGTTGAAGTAGGAGTGGAGGTCAGCACAGTCGCTGTTGCACTCATGGGAGCGCCCCTGGAAGTTTCTGTCTTCGTAAAATATGATCTGCAGAAGCAAAAGAAGCAGGATCAGTTTTCATAAAAATCTGCAGAATCATTACACGCAGGAGTAACAGAAAGGTGTGATCTCCTTTACCTTCCCCATGGTTATGTCGACATCAGACTGTGTTAGCGCTCAGTGCTGTCTCTGAGCCAAGCCGCTGTGCTTTATAAAATAAAAGAAAGAAAGGACTCCTGTGTGATTGCACAGCATAAAGTATTGTCATTTAAATGTATCCGCTCTGTGATGATGGATCAGGAGGTGTGTGTGTGTGTGTACGTGTGAGTGGACGGGCGGGTGTGTAAATCTGTTTATGTATAGATGACTCCTGATGTGTGATGAGTTATTGTTCTTTCCTCCATGTTCATCACAATCCAGCTCCAGAAAATGCCACAGAACAAAAGGCCGTAATGAGAGTGGACCAAGAGGCATCAGCAGGATTAAACCGATTTATTAGGGCTGACACATCCACCAGGAAAAGGAAAAGAGTTTTATTTCCTCAAGCCTAAACAAACATAATTTATGAGGTAGAAGAAGATGTGGAATATCACCTTAAATCGGTGATTTACACACAGTGGAGAGATGCAACTTTCTTAAAGGCCTCACAACCGATGCTGACTAACTTTTGAATAAACCACTAACACTTCATTTTGTACTTGCTTTATTACAAGATTAAACTTTAAATCAAAGAACTTCTAACAACTTCTGACTTTTGCCTCTTTATCGGCTTACGTGGCTAACTAATTCAGATTGTTTTGGAGCTGCTCCAGTCAACAGACGCTTCAAATTGAACAAATACAACATCGTGGAAAAAGACAGAATAAGCAAAATCTGTGTTTCTCCACTGTGCCTTCCAGTTGTTTGGTTATTATCTAAACACAGGCCTTTTCCAACACCCTCCACACAGCTCAGGAATCCACAGAAACAGCTCAGTGGTCCACAATGCGTCTGATAGATCCAACTCTGGCCGTTCTGCCGCCCCACTCGCTGAACCTCTTGTACTCTCCCGGTCTGATCAGGTACATCCTGCCCCGGTAGTTTGGGTGTTCGTAGAAGAGCCAGTTGCCGTTGGTGACGCTGCAGGAGAAGATGTCGTTAATGTGGAAGCGGTCCATGACGCTGGGACAGTCGTCCATCAGGTCCATCATCTGACCCCCGAACTCGATCCTCTCGTACAGGCGCATATTGAAGGAGGTGGGCTGCTGGCTCTGAATACGAAAGAAAGATAGATAGATAGTAGGTAGGTAGGTAGGTAGGTAGGTAGGTAGGTAGGTAGGTAGGTAGGTAGGTAGGTAGGTAGGTAGATAGATAGATAGATAGATAGATAGATAGATAGATAGATAGATAGATAGATAGATAGATAGATAGATAGATAGATAGATAGATAGATAGATAGATGTGTTGCTTAAGTACATGCCATCATTTTTGGGCTCGAGAGCAAACCGAATGCTACTTTAACCAAAGATCACCACATGTTTCCGGTGAGTCTCAGTTTCACTGTAAACTGAGAGGCTGCACTCTGGTTTTCAGCAGCTGTATGAATCCCTGCATTTGATCTGCATTTTGGGTCCTTTTCTTTGTTTAGGTTTAACCACCTACAAACTTAACATTTTAGCTTTAGGCCACATCACATTTTCACAGCATTTCTATGGAGTAACGCACAATAAATTTAGTCTGATCATTAGGACAAAAATGTAAAGGGTCACATTAAGAGAATTTTTAAAAAGAATTGTAGCGTTAGGTCATAATAAGGCGCCATTGACCTTGAGGTCTATCTATGGAGGTTATGCCTTTGTCCACTTTGCTGTCCTCTCCAAATAATAAAGACAAAAATCCCAATTGTAAAATTAACTTCAGAAGAATAAACAACACAATGTCTTCGTAGAGCATCGTAGAGCACACCTGAAACTAAAAACAGATTTTATATTGAGCTCTTCTTCTGTTTTTTTCTGTGATTTTAAAATCTGTTTCTCTTTCTTGGAAAATTTGTCAAGACCAGTCTTTCATTTGTTGGTTTTGCCTGATATAGTAGACAATGAGGTCAACAGCGCACCTTTTACCTGCTTTTTCTTAAAGACCAATCACAACTGAGCAGAGGCCAGAAGTTGTGATTTGTCCTGCCAATGTGAGTCCACTACACCTGATAAATTTCACCAAATAATGCATAAAACCAAATTACTCACCATGCTGATGTGTCGACAGGAGCTCACACAGTCGTTGACTCCGCTCCAGTGGTGAAAGTCCGGGTACTCTCCTCTCCTCAGGAAGAACTGGTTTCCAGTGAAGTTGGGTTTGTCATAGATCATGAAGCTGCCGCTCTCCACCCGGATGGAGCTGCAGCGGTTGAGGAGACACGTGAGGTCTGCAAAGTCATGGCTGCACTCAAAATGGCGTCCAGAGAAGTTCTTGTCCTCGTAGAAGATGATCTAAGCATGGAGAAGGTCATGGTTATGTTTTCTCATAGTTATGTTCCAAACTAAGGCACCCTTTTTTCTGCTTTTCAGGTGTTATATCCTCTTTTAATCTGAAAATCAGGACTCTCAGTGATGCTCAAGGATTAAAAATGTAAACCTGCAGGGAGGCCCCCTTTTACAATAAGAGCTTTCCAGCCCTGTGAAAACATCTGACCTGCCTTGCTGTGAGCGAGTGCTGGGAGCTGTGTTGTTTACCTTTCCCATGTCGGCCTGCTCGTCTGCTCTCTGCCTCTTCCTGTGTGATCCATCCAGCTCTCTGAAGACTCCCACCTGTCACATATATACTGCATGTGAAGTGCAGACTCTGCAGGTGTCATTCATATTGAAATGTGCAGGAATCTTTGGCATTTATGCCGCCCTGTTGTCCTGAAGAGATGTTAGGAGTCTTGTTTGAACAGGTGAGAGCTGACACCGGTCTGAACTATCTGTTGTAACAGAGCAGGTTGTGTTTCATACATTATTTCTGACCAGTTGAGTCTTTTGCGCTGTTGATGATTTTTTTTTTTATTCTTTAAGAAAAGGTTAGTGTCAGCAGTTTTTCTAATTGGAGCATTCGCCCTCTTTATATATATATTATAATGATATTTTAGTTGTTTTAAGTTATTTTCTGTCAAATTCAGACTTATAAAGTTATCTCAATTGTACTTCAGCAGTTTTCGAAGAAGAACCGCGTATCTTATCAGGCAACATTTTGCTGGGCTGATCTTCTGTGACCTGCAACTCCGACTTTGTGTCACTGCCATCTTGTGGAGAGAGTTATTTTAGTGCAAATACAGAGAACTTTTATTTTCAATCTCTTAACTTCTGAAAAATTATTCTGCTTTTTTTTTGTTGTTGTTGTTTTTGGCACACTCTTATCACTAACTTAGAAAAGAAAATGATCCAGACAGGGTTTTATGTGCAGCTTAATCAATTTAGGAGTTGATATGTAGAGCTGATATGTACAAACAGCTATTAAACTTTCTATTTTTGTGTCATACATTAAGCCAGTGTTCAGTCAGGTGAATGTAAAGGTCATCATTAGAAATGCATCTGTAAGTCTGTTTTTCTTTTAATGCAAGTCTGTAACAGCGCCTCTCACTATCATGTCTTTTTATTTCATAGGAGATTCGTTTGCATGGAGGATATTTTCAATGCTGAATAAATTTATTCTGGTTGAAGTGTTACATACCATGTGACTGAATCTGGTGAGGATTTTACATGCACCTTTAAATTTGAACGGAGCAACTGTTTGACGTGCAAAAAAGGGAAGCAGGTGGGGTCAGGTTTTATTTTTGTCTGTGATCAAACACTTTTTAAAAGTCTGTACTGCATACTTCCCCATGGTCTTAAAGTGGTATAGTGTTACGTTCTCAGAGTGTGTTTAAAATATGTCAAAATGGTACTAAATTTTGGGCATGTGCAGAAAGAACTTTGGGTTATTTTTGTTTTGGTTCTTGAAAAGGCCTGAACTTCCCCTCTGCAACATGTTTTGAATCATTTTACTCTGACTGAATATGAAGCATTCAGGCTCCTGAACCTTGGAGATATTGATCCTGCACCAGTGTAACACTGTTGTCCTTCAGTGTGTTGCAGAAACGGAACAGATGTACTGAGGTTTACACATAAACACAAAGCTCTGTTTTGTCTTTTCAGCTTCACCGTCTCACATTTATCCAGTCCTGCCTCTGAAGCTTCTATTTCACTGCTGCCAATGCACGATGCTGGGACAACTTTGTGACACCATTACGCCAACATGACGTTCACACCAAAGGCGAGGGTTTAAACACTGAAAAAAAGAATATTGCACCATAAACTGGCGATTGGAAAAAGAATTGCCTGGAAAAAAATGTGGACCACAAGGCAGAACCCAGAAAGTGAAGCCAAAACACTCACAGATATGATTAGGAAGTCTTTTTCACAAAATTTTAACTTGCTTCTTGTAATTTCATGACTTTTATCCCGAGAACCATGACTTTACTTTCTCAAATGTCTTTATTCTCATAATATAGCGTCTTAAATCTGGTAATACTACACCTTTGTTCCTCAGTTTAGGATCAGCATGCCCAGGTACACCGTTGCCTCAATTTTCAGGTGGTGAAGAGGCAGCTGAGCCAATTTACTAGTGGATCTACATTCCTACTCTCACCTGTGCTCATAATCTGATAACCAAAAGCATGAAATCAACAGGGTAGAGACAAGTTAGATGCTCAAAGATGAGCCATTGAATCAAATCTTGGCTCTAACACAAGACATGAGCACATTTCACACGCAGTCAATGATTTGAAAGCTCTAAAACTGAAGCTATAAATAAACAATAAGGCAAGATGACAAAAAAAAACTGCTTAATAGTTTATTTTACTCTGTAAGAGTGTGATCAGCAGTGCAGAGACGAGTGAAAAGCCCTCTGTGTGAGAAGAGGACAGTCAGAAACAAGATCCTTCAGCTGAACAATACAGAACTCCGGAGCCTCAGTCTTGTATGTGTCAACGCTCGCAGTAGTTTATTCAAGCCTCTGATAAAAGTCAGGATGTCACGCCATGACCAGCTCGCATCCTCAGGGGAAAAGGTGCCCTCCAAATGCAGAGAGCAAGAACAAAACTGAAAGCTCTTGAGCAGTGAGGCTATTTTATTCAGCGTGTGAAACAGAGCAAAGAGCAGACATGTCACAAACACCGCCCTCCCATCTTTAGAGGTCTTTGAGCCGTTTGATGGAGCCGATTCGGGAGTTGTTTCCATTCCAATCGCTGAAGCTCTTGTACTGGCCGGGCTTCAGGTAGAAGTGGCGCCCCCTGTAGTTGGGCTGCTCGTACATGAGCCAGTGTCCGTCCATGACGGTGCAGGAGTTAAAGTTGGAGCTGTGGAAACGGTCCATGAGGTTAGGGCAGTCGTTGGTCAGCTCCATCATCTCACCTCCCATGTCGAAATGTTCGTACAGCCTCACCTTGTAGCTGCCGTGGTGCTGGAACAAACAAGGGTGAAGAAAGTTTATTGTTAAGAATATTATGTTTTATGTAAAAGATTTTTAAAAAAAAACTACATAGAAAGCAGAAATTTACATTTACTGGTAGAGCTGGGAGAAAACATGAAAGCACTCAGATGACAAAACAATCAGGCTACTTAACTTAGCATCAGGACCAGAAACAGGCATGGAAAGTTGGCCTAGCTCTTTGCAAACATATCCAACTACATCCATGATAAGAAATACTTTAAATCTGATCAATTTTACCTCATCAGAATAAAAAATATGACAATGTTCAGGCTGCAAGATGATGCCACTGCATGGACATCGACAGCTTTACCCAGTCTTTATGCCAGGCTAAGCTAGCTACCATAAATAAACAACTTCCTGTTTGACACCAACTTACTTCCTAACTATTCTTTTGACTGATTTTGTTTGGTTCTGTAACTCATGATCTACCAAAAGTAGCCTACACTTCAAAATAAAAGCATGGTTTGACATTGCAGGTAATGTCACAACTTAAACGACACAATGTATTCTCCAGAGAAGATTCTATAACAGGGCTGGATAGGTGGATTAATCATAAATTTGCACATCATTAGAAATTGATTACTCAGCCTGACTGATTGTGTTGTTTTATTTTCAAGTTTTCCATAAATATCATTAAAATATTGTAATTGTGATATTTTATGGCTATGATAATCGTGAGGTGTCTATTTCTGGTCAAATCCAGCTGTTTAATCCTTATTTATTCAGGACAAATTTTACAGGAAAACAGATTTGGAGGCAAATATATAATCAAAAACCTTATTCTGCTCTTAATTTAAAAAAATATATATATCATGACTCGGCAGGTCTTACCATGGGGATCATTCGGCAGGACCTCACACAGCCGTTCAGTCCAGCCATGCCCATGTAGTCAGAGTAGTCCCCCCTCCTCACAAAGTACTGGTTCCCTGTGTACCCGGGTCGGTCGTAGATCATGAACATGCCGCTCTCCACCCTGATGGAGCGACAGCGTTCAAACATGGAGTGGAGGTCAGCACAGTCGCTCATACACTCATAGTGACGACCCTCAAAGTTTCTGTCCTCGTAGAAAATGATCTGAGGAGTGAGAAACAATCATGTTTTCAGTCAAAGTCCTGTAGCTCACATGTTGGGAATAATCTTCTTTTGAAAAGTTAAATCCAGACACAAACCTTCCCCATGTTGGCTGCTGCTGTTGGTCAGACCTCCTCCTGTGATTTTCCTTCTCCACAAAGATGACATCCATGTTTTTATCCTGTGGTTGTCGTGTTGTGGATTGTTATTCAAATGAGGTCTGGTGTCAGCAGAGACTCTATAGGAGTCTTCCTGCTCCTGTTTGTCAAACATTGAACTGATTCTAGCAAGAGCCACAGCATTGAAAACACTGGAACAGTCAAAGTGGAGCTCTTTCACACTTTTTCTGTCTCATTTTAGTGTTAAAGTGGGTTTGACACATTTATACAGAGCAGAGGAAGCTGAAGAAAATCTGTTAACACGAGCAGAAACACTGATTAGTTTTAAATATGTTCTGTGATATAGCTGGAAAAACGTTACTGTGGCACATACAAAAACCATTCACACTATACTTGATTTCTGTTTGATCAAATATATGAATCTCATGAAGAAATCCGTCTTTAAAAAAACACCTCATAATAAATTTGGAAATAGCGAATTGGCAGGTTTGCTCCCCCTTGAAAGTATAGTTTGTGTGTTTCGTACAAAATGCACTAAAATGGCATTCCCAGGTCATTTGGGAAACATGATCCCTCCGGCAAGCTCTGGGTTTACCCTGAGGCCTCCTCCCTGTTGCATGTTCCTGAAACCCCGCCAAAAGACAGCGGCTCAATTACATCTTCATGATACAACGGAGTAACAGCTTTACTTCAGGCTGACTCTAAACCCAACCTGCTTGCAGGTACTGATGGCTTAAGTCACTATACCCAAAGCTCATGACCGTACTACTGACACAGGACTAATCCACCTTTAGTTCTCTCATGAACTAGACCCCAAGGTACTTGAACTCCCCCATTGAGGCAAAGACTCCCTCCCTACAAAGAGGGGGCAGTCCACTGTTTAGTGGTGGAAAACCATGGCCTTGTGCCTGATGTTGCTGTTCAATGGAACAGCAATCAATTCTTCCAGGGGCATTATCTAAAGCTGCTTATGGAAGTTATTGTTAAGATTAACGCAGCATGTGACAAAGTACATATCAAGAGAAATGTAAACAGACGGAGGCATGCAGAGGAAAGAAAAGCTTCTTTCCCAACAATGAATGAATTGAATGTGCAGTTATTTGTTCTTGTTATAATAAAAATACATCATCTAGTTTGTTGAAAACAGCTGCCAAAGTAGATTCAACAAACCCTTCAATGGCAGAAGTCGTCATCGTGGCTGTTTATGGTAGTGACACATTGCTCCTGTGTCCTCATCTGAAATAAAGGACTGTGATTGGGTCGGTACACTAGACGCTGAAATCATTTAAAATGAAAGCAGACCAAACAGGGAGGGAATAACGGCAGATTAATGGCCTCAGACTTGGAGGTGCTGATTCTCACCCCATCTCCAACCCGAAAACGTCAACAAAACCAGTTTTAAATGTACAATGTCAATATGTTCGATTTTTCTTCCTGTTTTCTTATTGATTGTTTAACCAATCAAGAATTCTTATTACCCATCTGAGTTGAATCCTTGATTCTGATTTGTCAAATCCCACTTGATAAGGATGATCAAAGTGAAGGGAACAACACAAGCAAACATCAGTTATGTATTTTTTGTTCTTTTATTTAGGTACAGTCTCGCACTCAGTATAACATACCCACAACAAGTTTCATATCATTAATATAACTTTTTATCACCTACAAATCTGCATAACTTTTCTAACACCTTTGCAACATACACCATCACTTTTGAGATACAACCTTTGTACTAAATAGATTAAAAATCAGTGATTCTCCTGAAGGATCCAAAGGTGGCGCTCTTGGCCCCCCAGTCACTGTAATTCTGGTACTCTCCAGGCTTCATGAAGAACTGGCGGCCACGGTATTTTGTGTGCTCATACAGGGTCCAGTATCCTTCTATGACCTTACATGAGTGGATGTCACTGCTGAGGAAGTGATCCTTCAGCAAATCACAGTCCCAGCTGAACTCCCTCATCTGACCCTCGAAGTTTGGCCGCTCATAGATACGAATGCAATAGGGGCCGTCTCTGGGCTGCAGGGATACAGCAGAGTCAAATATTATGTCAAGTTTTTTCAGTCACATCTATTGGAGGGACATGTTTTAAGGCCCTGTGACAAATTTGGCACCACCTGTGGACAAAGCATAACAGCTTATTGCTTTGAAGTTGAATTGAACACCTCCTCTTGTTATTTCCTCTCAGCCATTTGTGTCATGCACTGAGAATCTTTGCACTGAAAAATGAAATCAAAATGTTTTCTGTTAGGCACCTTTTCCTTTGGGAGGTGGCTGGTTTTGGACGCAAGAAATGATTGTTTGCATCAGTTATTTGCAGCAAATGGTCCGGTTTGCTTTAGTTGGGATCAGTACTAATTTCTTTTTCACAACCACTTCAAAATCTCCTCACAGGAGTTTTTGAAATTAAGTAATAAAAGAACTAGACTAGTCAGTATTTTTTATAATCTTAGCCAGTGGGAGCATGTAGGTATTAAAACAAAAGAGGCCCCAGAATGGAGCCCTGGGGGACCCCACATGTTTATCTTTAATCTACTGATACTCGCATCAAAATTTCCTTTGGTTTTAATTTTTAAACACAGAAAAAGTTGCTTATCAGACAATAAAAAAATGTTCTTGCACATCTTCACTGAACAATATTGCATGCTGGGAAGGATTGTATGATGTGTCCACATTTATAACAAAAGCTAAACATGGACTCACATAGGTGAAGGTCTGGCAGGAGCGGATGTTGTCGTTGTAGCCCATCCAGCACTGGTATTCCGGGTACTCTCCTCTGGTCAGGACATACTGGTAACCCATGTAGTTCGGCTTCTCGTACAACACCCAGCAGCCGCTCTCCACCTTGATGGAGTTGCAGCGGCTGAAGTGAGGGTGCATGTCAGGGCAGTCGATGTCGCACTCATAGTAATGGCCCTGGAAGTTTTTATCCTCATAGAAAATGATCTGGAGAAAGAAACAGACACAGTGTAAAGTCAAATTCTTATCAAATACTGTTCAAATGAAATGCATGGTGTTAGATTTCCACAGTAAATTGTCAGGTTGTCACACTTTAACCCACAAAACTTTGTTAATCTGTAGAAACTCTGTTGATCCCTCTCTCTTGATTTCCTTTTCCAAATAGCTGCACCAACCATGTCTCAGTCTTATGATCCCTGTTTTTCTGTCAAAATATCTGCATCTATCACTGGATTCACATTTTCCTGATTTCTTGTGAGCAAACTAGTGTGTGGTGACTAAAACGTGATATTGTGTGTTTTTGGGAAGACTGGATCTGATCATTTTAAATACTCCAAATTAAAAAGTTCACTTACACTTTAAAAGTCCAAAGATTTAGCAGTCATCATGCTAAATTGCTTTTTTCAAAGATGTATGAAGTTTTGTGTTCACCTCCTGTTTTCTTTGCACAGCTTTCATGAGAGGTCATAAAGTTCCAACAATTTGCTGTCTTACCTTACTACTCATCGTGTAAGTGGGTGCTGGAGCTGGATACCTACACGAGACTGGTGTTCTCACAGAGCAGGAGTAAAGCTTCTCTATATAAACCTCAGTCAAAAGGTCTGCAGATCCCAGTCTGGTCTTCTTTTCAATGAGGAGGGATTTAACGTCCCTGTCATCGCTGCCAAAAGTCTTGATCCCAGCCGAAAAAACCCTGAATCATCAAAGCAAAACTCCTAGCAGGCAAATTACTGAAGCACAGTGCCCTTTTGATGTTGATATGGATGTTTGATTCCCTAATCCTGTATCAAGTGGGTTAATCTTTTCATGCAGAATCAAACAGATCATCACAAAGTAACATTGTCTTCTGAATCTGAGACATTGTTGATCAAAAAGTAGGCAAAATCTGAAAGAATACATACATGTTTGTGTTGACAAAAGGGAAATTAGCCATCCAGCTAAGTTTGGGCCTCAAGTCTTTTCATAGGTTTTTGTTAAGGCTCTCAGCAGGATGTGGTGATACAGCACACCTCTTGGCCGTCACACTTCAATCTGGTGTACCCCAGGGCTCAATGATAGAACCTTTAGTATATACAGTCTATGGTCGTGACCAACAATTTTTTATGTCACCATCAAACAGCGTGCAACATGTTTCGTGAAAACTGTTCAGTTTTAACATTTTGTCCATTGCATCTACATAATACAATAGTTTGAGGACAGTAATTGGTACTACAAAAAGTGAAAACAGTAGAAGCACAGAAACTTTCTTTCTTTTCTTTTTTTATCAGTAAAAAAAGGATCAAATGTGCATCATGAGAACAACAGCGAGCTGCAGAAGGATGACTTCAGTCCTGCAGAGACTCTAATGAACCCTCATAGTGCTCTGTTCTTCCCTCATGGCAGCCATTGCTGTCCTGGGAGTGACACAAAGAGGAGTAGAGTTAGTTATGCAGATTTGATGTCTCTTTATGTCCACAGGGTGGCAATGGAGAACAACAGTGTACAGTCTAAGCCAGGATATAGTTTAAAGTTGTGGAAACTTCAGGATCTCTCCTCTAAGATCTTGAAAAGGATGAGGATTGTCTTTCTACTCACACTGAGGAAAGAACGTGATGAAGAGGAGGTTGATGAAGACCGTGCTGACACTCGTGCAGGCGGTGCGTTGGCTTTCGTCTTCTCAGACAGCCATTTCTTCAACTTGAGACCTTTGATGGATTTTGATTAAAACTATTTAAACTATGTCTTTTAAATTGGAGGGTATAGGATACAAGGATACAATTATAAAAAAAAACACTGCAATACCTCACAGAGAGATATTTGCACAGCTTAGATTGGATGTAGTCACCAAGAAATAAAGTTTTACTTAAGATTTCTTTCTGGAGTCTCTCAGATTGGGAAGTTTAAAAAAAATGCCTGCACCCAACCACATAATATAATCTTAGGAAGGGCATCCATCTGCCTTCTTTATGCTTTACTTTCAAAATGCGTTCTTGTTCATACATCTTGCAGTTTCTTCTAAAGGTATGATTTTGGGTCATTCATGTTTGGACAAATAGAAAAGACAGGGGACCACAGAATAAAAGTAACAAAAATGAAGTGCTTTCTCTGCTTACTGTGCTTCTTGGAGTGGTCCACAGCCTTATAGGAGCCCAGCATGGCAAACGGATGGTAGGATAATGTGAAGGGGTAGACGAGTGCACCCTGCAGTGGAAGAAAAACCCTGAGGGTAAGACTTGCTGTATACCACCAACAACAAACATATTTTGTGCTTGTTTCTTGTGAACACAAGTGTCAAATCTTCCTTTACCTTGGAGTGCTGGTCAGGGAATGATGCAGCTGGTTTACATTTGTACAGAGCCAAGATTTCCTCCACCGGGAGGCTGCTCTGAAGGGGAAAAGTTGGAAGAACAAAATAGCAGTTCAACAATCAAAACAGTAAGTAATCGAAGACATTAAAATCATGTGATAACTGTACTTTTCTGTTACCAAAATTCATGTGCATCCCTCTGTTATGTTTGCCAAAGAAGTTCTGGGGGTAACACTTTACAATAACCATAATTTATAAATGGCAAATAGATCGTTTATTAATGTAAGTTAATAGTTACTTTGCCATTAACAAGCGATGAAATTATGATTAATCATTTTCATTAATTATTAATGTACTATTTATTAAAGGTTTATATAAGGTTTAAATATTGGTTGTAAAACACTTCACCTACCATGACTATCCCTGCGAATGATGACAGGATCATTGCCTCTCTCTCCAGGCGATTGGGGTACTGGGCACTTCCTAAGCCACTTGTTGCTCCGCTGTGATTGACAGGGAAGTGTAAAGCATCTTCATTTATAATGATGTGAAATTGTGCTGATGTAATACTTTATTTAAGGGCTACAACATCAGTTTATCTTCGCTAATAGTTGACAGGTTTTCACTTTCATGGCTATAACTTGAGCTTTGATCGGGTTCTTAGGCAGTAAAGAATAAAACAGTGGTGAGTGTCTACTGTTTACTTAAGTTAGAGAGCTAATATTACATTGCAAGATAATTATACTGCTTGTAAGGTAAAAATAAACACCTTGTAGGACTTTTCACTAAAGAGCAGTACTTTAAATACACGAAAATACAGCTTCACAGAAGATTTACTCCATATTTTTAGACCAAGCAAAGACATCAATCTTCCTAAGTGTTGTTCATTCCCAGCTGTTCATTTGATCTCATGAGGAGCAATACATGAGCTGAAACTGTGGTTTACCAAAACAAAACCTCTTTTACTGCGTTGCTGACTGATTAGCCTGGATTTTTTACAGGTACTTACAAATCTACTTTTGTTTTCCCTTCAAGAGATTAGAAGATTAAATCCAAAACAACACAAAAAAGAAACAACAAGATTTTTAGATATAAGGGGAAAAGTTACAGAGAGATTAGAGACAATTAATGCAAGGGTTTTACCTCAATAATATTAATTTTAAAATTTTTAATTAAGTGACTTGTGCAACCAGAGAAAATGATCAGAGGGTAAGTCCCTGCAGAGATTTGGCTACCTGCCTGAAGCTTTACTAATGAACCAACCAGGAAGGATTTTAGTTAAAAATAGTCCAATGATTCTTTATAAGAAACAAACAGAAGTCCAGATCAGCAGAAACCCTGTTCTGCTGCAGAAAAACACAAAGAGCTTACATGATGTCTCTGTCGAGAACATCCCGTCCCTGTTCTTTGTCCAACCACCACAAAGCAACACTGATAGCCAGGTCATAGTGAGCCTGCAATACAGACAGAAGGTCAACTATAAGTACAGTGTAGGTCTGTGTCTCCTATTCAAAATTTACATGATTTAGTAATACTTTTTTTTTTGTTTTTGTTTTACTCAGTTAAAAAAAACCCTTAATATCCCAGGCTTTTACCAGATCATCCAGCATTGTGGAGCCGCCCTTCCCCTTTGGGTCAAAAGACTTCTCTCTTAGTTTTTGCCCGATATAATCACCTCTGTTTACATAAGACAAAGACAGAAAACAGGCACCATGAAACGTTATCTTCCACATTTATCCCTGGGTTTTTAATTTGTACTTACATAAGAGCCTCCACATCTCTTTTCAGCTGCCTTGCTTCCATTTTTCTGGATTTACTTTAAGAAGGAACTCCTGGAAAAACACAGAACATCAAAATACAGTACTTATCATCTGGATGGTGACTTTGAATTAAACACAAAATACTTGTGTCCAGAGAAAAAGAGTACTTTTGTCCTTCTGGTAGGTAAAAAAAAAAACCTACCTTGCCCTTTGCCACTTTGAACGGACCCAGGATCTGTCATGGGCCCAAGACGTCAACATCACAGATACTGACTAAATTATCTCGTCTCAACATGGCCTCCACTCCCCAACCAAGCAATTAAATGGGCATCAACAGCCAACACATCAGCAGATGTGAAAAGAGCATTGTTAAGGCAGGAGGAGATTTGATTAGGCTCATTCAGGCTGAGAAGCTTGGACAAAGGCTCACTCCTCTATCTCCACCTATTCCCTCTTTTTCATGAAAAGGGTAAAAGACAGGGAACCCTAAGGGAACAGTCTAAAGACAGGTCTAAGAAAAAGGACAGGAGAAGCAAAGTCAGGGTAAGAAGTCTGGGTCAGAAAGCACCACCTTAGGATTAGGCTGCACACTCTAACTCCCCCGCTTTAGCGGGGAAAGAAGGAAAAGATGAAGGTAAAGCAGAGAGGAGTCTGGAGAGGGATGTGAGGAAGTTATAGAGATAGGCAAAACAGAGATTAAAGCCTTTCATGTCCACACTCTACCTCCCTTATCCCTTTACTTTAGAGAGGGGAACAGACGGGGAAAATATGTGCTAATTGCAGGGTGGGCTAGCTGTACCATCTGTGTAATCTGACCATTCAGTTTGTATTATTCAGATTCCTGCTAACAGGATATGTTCATAAATACTCAATGATCGCATATAACAAAAGTATGAAGGAAACTTTAAAAGCGAGATCATAGCCAGGATACCAGAGCACAAACAAACACAATCATCATTCTCCTAAAATAGGGGGTTGATTTACTCCTGAAGACGCCAAGCAGCACTAAGAGGATAAACCTGACACCTTGTTGTCACACAAAGCACTTCAGGGAAACACAATGAGACAAATGAACAAAATAAACTCCCTGTAAACACTGGAAAAGAGCAACAAATCCCAAACTGGATCAAGTTTATTTTGTAAAATATCAAATTTTAATTATTTGTAAAACACAGTTAAAATAAAGTTAACATCAAGCATTTGTACTCACCACACAACTCTGCTAAACAGCTTACAGTCCTTCAGTTCACATCATAACACAAAAAACCACAAACACAGCCGTCTGCTGTCATGCAACACTGAATCGGGTGACGTTTGTGAGAATACAAGCCTGTAACGGGGGGCGTGGAGCAGACTTCTCAGGTGAACAGTCTGAGCTGAATTATTTATTAAAAAAAAAGGAAACCTGTCCATCACTGACACAAATTACCCTCCACAACCAACAGGTTAGGTAAGACATGTGCAGGAGTTTGTGTGTGTTATTTTTAGGCTAACACACCGCTGAATAAAACAGAAAAAGTCATTAAAATAAACAAGATAAAGAAGATCAATCCATGAAAATTGGTTGGTTCATTTTTTTCTCTTTTTCTGTCTTTTTCTGCTTCTTCTTCTTCTTGCCGTCTTTAAACACCGGGGAGCTCAGAAACATGTCGTCTGTGAATTTATCTCCTCGTCTCATTTTTCTGTCAGGAAAAAAATGAACACAAGGAATTGATTCTTTTGTGTGAAGCTGACGCAGAAATACAGTCACTGATAGTTTGACTAGCAGTTGTTACCTGTTGAGGGTCGGCTCTTTATAACTGACCACACCATGTCGTCTCCTGGTTCTGCCTCCGGCTGCACTGTCTGGAGTTAAAATAGTGTTGGTCACTGTTGCTAAGACTTTACCTGCTGCAAAAACAAAACAAATAAAATCAGTTTGGACTAAAAGCATAATGCCACTGTTTGAAGCGCAAAAAAGTCGAAATTATGTCAATAAAGTCGAAATTTCAAGATTAAAATTGAAATTTCAATATTCAAGTCAAAATCTGGAGATTTCAAAATGTCGAAAAGTTGTGAATGTTGAAATTTTTAGATTAAAAAAAAAATTTGAGAATAAAGTCGACATTTCCAGTTTTTTCAATTTTGTCTTGAAATTTCGACTTTAATCTCGAAATGGAAATTAAAAAAATCTCCCTCCTGTAATAACCTTTTTCTTTTCTTGTGGCCCTCATCCTCTTTCATACTTATAAGAGCTTCATATTCAATAAATATAAACAAAAACACAAACACCCCACCTGGAGAGGCTTCAGTGACTTCAGCAGACTCATTAATCACCGCTGCTCTGCTCGATGTCTCCCTCCTGGGGGTGGCAGGTAAAGAGCCCACCTCAGTGTCGGCCGTGCTCTCGTCAAAGGCCAGCCATGGTGGCACCTCATCCGTCAGCAGATCTCCCAGAGTCTGATGAACCGCCACCTCGCCAGTGTCCCCCATGTGACCAAAGTAGTCAGACTCGTTAGAGGTCCTCAAGCTGTTCAGCGAACCTTTGTTTTTAGTTTTCCTCCTACAGACAAATGTCTCCCTCAGATTCCTGCTCTGTGTGAGTGTTCTCCGTTTTTGATCGGACTTTGTCGTGGACTTCAGTTCGTCGGGGAAATACTCAAAGATGTCGTCTATTTCATTGACGTCAGGATGTGAGTCGACAACCTGTAATCCTTCTTGTTGGTCTTCAGTGCTGCATGTACTCTCAGTCTGATAAAGAGGAGAGGTATTATTGCTTTCTGCAAAATCGCACAAATCCTGAGATTGAAATCCTTTGTTGCTTGAGCTTTTTTTCATCTTCTGCTTCTTCTTATTTATTTTTTCCTCACACTCTTCCTTCTGAGCACTTTTCTTTTTCCTTGGTGGGTTCTTCTCTTCTCTTCTAGACTTCTTGGGTTTCTGGAGCTCAGTTTCTAAATTACAGATCTGCTCGAGATACGTCGCTTCCTGGTTGTTGCTGCCACTGGAATCCTGTTTTGGCTTCTCTGAATCCTGAGTGGCCAGCCAGTGACGTTTACAGGAGCTTGGTGTAGTCTGGACTCCATCACTTTGCCTGAGTGGACTTGTTTCTGAAAGCTGTGGAACACCTGCTGACTGCTCGTCTACCTCATGGATGGAGGATCCTGCATAAGGTGCAAAGTCCTGATTTTTGTGCTCTATTTCTGGTGAGGATAGTAAAGTGCTCTCCCTGGCGATTGAGACAATAAAAGTCCCTCTGCATCTTGGTTTGTGACTTACAGAGGAATTTGTTGCAACCAGGAGCTCTTCAGGAGGTTCTTGGTCTTTGCATACTCCATATTTTTCCTGCACAACCTCCTCCACATCCTTGTGGATCTGTGCTAGTTCAGGCAGTCTCATCTCACTTTCACGTGATGGCAAAGTAACAAACATGTTCCTGGTGAATGAGGACATCCTCCTGCCTTTGGTGCGGGACCTCCTGCTGGTGATTCTGGGCCAAGCCTCCTCTGGTGGTAATCTTAAACTTTCTCTGGCTTTTGAAAGCCTAATATTAGGATCTGTGAAATAATCATCAAGGTCTGGTGGGGCAACATCAGCCGACTCTGTTTTGGATTTTAATTTCTTTTTTGCATTTTTCTGATGGTCACCAGTGTTAGACTTGCCCAGTTTGGGAATGCGAGAGGTGACGACACTCTTAGTCGACTGGGTCTCGGTAACCTCCTCGTTTCTGACACCCTCTGGTGCATAGTCTACTGATGGTAGCACAGTACTGGTGGGAGCATCCTGAACCTCTCTGGACTGAGAATCTGCTGGGCTCTTGACTTGTGGATTCTCAGACACTTTTGTCCCTAAGGCTTGCTCCTTCTTCTTCTTCTTCTTGGCTTTAGGTTTTCCAGAGCAGTCTGCTTTCTTGGCTTTGGTTTCCACGGTGACTATTTCAACAGAGTTACTGAACGTCATCTCCATTGTTGTATTTAGAAGCATGGTCTTCTCCTGTTTGCTGCCAGATTCTGGTTTAGGATCCAGGGCTGAGCCACTCGGAAGGGGAACGTTGTCAGGGATTGATTGCTTGGGATTTTCAGGTTCACTTAGACATGAGGGAGTTTGACTGCTCTGAGGACAGAGGACTGACTTTATGTCACATCCAGATTGGGAAATCTTCACTGAAAGCCGCTCCACCTCGTCTCTTAAGCTGCTGAGCGGGCGAGACATTTCAATCTGAGGAGTCTGTCTGTGCTGACTTGAAAACCTTTTCCCAGAACTTCTTTTATCTGCAAAATTGTAAAGAGAATAAACCTTGGCTTCTTTTGATCAAACTCTTTATCAAAATCTGATGATTCATGATCACAAAAAACTACCTACCACTGCAAATACCAGAGGCCAACTGCAGTATACTCTCACTGTTAAAGACATCTGCATGGGCGTCTTTTTCAGGCAATGCCACTGATACTTTTTGAGGGGGTAACAACAAAGCTCCAGGGATTTCCGGCTGGGGAGCTAACTGATCTGCAGGACTACGAGTGGAAGTTAGGGAGGGAGAGGAAGTAGAGAAACTTAGAGATGTCATTCATAAGTGTCAAAATCCAAATACTAAATCCTCTTGGATGTAAGTTTATTTTAATCTTAATTCAGTGTTTGCTCACCTGTTTACTGCAAGATTTTCTTTGACTTCATCAGATTCAAAATTCTCTCCTTCAGAAAGTTTAGGAAGCTCCTGCAAGTAACAAATACAGCTATAAGTAAAGATAATGTTGAGTTACACTCCCCGGCGTTCCTACCTAAAGCTCCAGTGAGGAGATTGTAACCAATTTTGGAGAAGGCTGAAATTATTACGGATGATTCTTTATGAGCTAACAAAGCAAATTACACCATTAACAGCCCTTTTCACATCTTTCACTGCCAAGAAACACCGCTGTGTAAGAATCAGCAAAGTATGCTTTGTCCAAAAGTGATGCCAAAATTGACACAGATAAAAGTTTCTCACAGGAACCTTAAACATGAGAACTTAGTCTAAAACTGTTAAGAGGTTCAGGTCTGGAGTTGTCATGACTCGGCTGGTACACACATACGTTTAGCTCATTTTTTAAAGAGAATTTTGCAGTATATATTATAAAGATATATAAGATAATACTGTGTTCCTTTTCTAGATGTAATTACATAAATAATATCCATTATTAGGTACAAACAAAGACATAAATAGGTCACACTCCTTATGAACAGGGTCCTTACACTGTCTTTGAACAAGTCCGCCACCATGTCCAAATGCTGCAATGTGTTGCTGTGGAGGTTTTGCAAGATGAAGAGCTGTGGGAAAAAAAACTGCTGTCAGTCTCCAATTCAGACAGAGTGTTTAAGCATTTGTGTGTGTTTGCCATAAAAAATGCTTTACAAACAATATGCCCTGACAAATAAGTGTATAACAGTAAATAATAGGTTTTTGAAACATCTCTTTTAGTTGACTTCAAACTGTACAGAGCATGGTCAGATCACCTGGCTTCCTGGCTAGTTTGGGGTTGATTTTAAGGTTTAGTTAAGTACTTTAAAAGCTCTCTGTGACCCTGTTAGTACCATAGGAACTGACATATTATTTGAGATCATCGGGTCTTCTGAGTCCTATAAACCCGATCAAAAACTTAAGGCGACAGTGTTTGCAGTGAGGGGCCGAAAACTCTTAAACTATGTGCCAGAGGAGATTGGGTTAGCGGTCAAAAGAAACCCCTACTTCCTGTCGGGTTGTTTGAAATAGATTTTTATTGTTTTTTTGTGTGTTATTTCTTGTATGATTTTATGACCTGCCTGTTTTATTTTGCAGCCCTTGGAAAGCTCTCTGCATCTTTGCTTTTGAAATGTCCTCTAAATTCAGTTACCTTTATTATCACTATTATGTCACGCAAAAACCAACCAGTTTCCTGTGCTTGTATTTCTTTGTAGCCAACTCGAAGCACAGAGCCTCCACTTTTTTCTGCAGGAACACAATCTCCTTCTCCAGCTGCCTGTTTCTCTCCTTCTGCATCCCCAGAGCGACAGCTAAAGCCTTGTTGTTGTTCTTCAGAGAGACCTTGAAGAACGAGGAGGTGTCTGTTGCAGGTAGGAAAAAGAAATACAAGGATTAATAACTGACACAACAATCAAAACACATCTTTTCTTCTTTATATAATAACAGATTGTGTTAAAGTGATTCACAGACTCACTGAGAAGCTTGTTTTTGATCTTCGATGCAGCAGCTGAAGACTGCTTGGAAGATGATCTGGGTGTCATCTTTCCCACAGGTAACATGGCTAGGGCTGGATTATTAGTTCAACATAAAAAAAATAGGTTATTGTAAAGGCATGATACCAGACACCAAACACAATGAAGCAAAAACAGAAATTTAGTAGTGTTAATGGTTGACACGTCTGTTTGAACTGGCCTCCTACATCACACAAGAGTACCTTCTCTTAATATTATTTAGGTAGCTTCAGTTAAATTAAAGGATTAAATCACGATAACCGCCATTTTGTGACTGAAACACGAATAACTTTACTGACAAATACAAGCTACTCAACCGACAGTTAGCACGTTACTGTCTAAATTGAGCAAAAACTTACCACAAACAAAATGTAGCCAGTAGGATACTTTGTGTCCTAGAAACAGAAACCCTTAAAAGGGTCGTGAAATTATCAAGTAATCCGAATAATGTCTGTAGTAGTTAAAATCTTTTGCGATAAACCACTGGTCGCTGTTTGTTAAACCCAAACAAAAAGTCCGCGGCGTTTTAGCGCATGCGCATAAATTGGGGCCAATCGTAAAATGAGCCTGTGAGTTTTGTTTCCCCCGAGAAACAGACGAAAGGCAAGAAAAAGGTCGAAGCTGAGTCCTGATGTTGCCATTCCACAGACGTAATTTAAATCAAGATTTTGATTATTGTAAATTAAACCATATTATGAAACACATTTTCAAATTCTACAAGTGTAAATGTTGCAGTGAGGGTGATATTCGACAAACTGGAGAGAAGGCTTACCTGTAAGTCAGTATCGAGGGTTTAAATTTTAGAAAGCATAGCACACGCCACAATAGCTAAGTCAACGAACCTTACACTCGTATTCATCAAAAACATAAGAACATCTCAAAACACAAAAAAATTAACAAAACACAAATATCAAATGAAATACTAAATATATTATAAGGCAAAAGTATTTCACAGAGCACAAAACCTAACACAAAAGATATAAAAACTACAAAAAAGATTAAGTATATTAGTAGTATATTAGTAAATATGAAATATTTCATATATATTGTTTTTTTCTGAATTTGCTGATATGTTTCCGTGTTTTGTTTTCCTTTTTACTATTACAATTGTACTAGAAACCTCAATTAAAATCGAAATAATTAAAAAAACACAAAACAAAACACATGTAATAAATGAAATAATAAACCTAAAGCAAAATAAAATAAAAATAAAATGCACAAAACTTCTCACAAAAGACTTAAAAAAAACTGCAAAAAAAAAAAAAGACATTTAATATATTCTTGTTTTAAGAACTGTTAAGTATTTATGTGTTGTTGTTTTTTTCCTGTATCTGATTATATGTTTTCATGTTTTTTGTTTTTTTTTTTATTTTATTTTGTGAAATGTTTGTGTCATGAAAACGTTATGCACTTGTAAAATGTTTGCACAGTGATTCTCAGGGTCACCAAATCAGACAGCTTTAAACTTTTTACACTATATTATCAACGCTTCTTATTGAATGCTTGATTTCTCATTCATGTAATGTTCACTTTATATCTAAACACTCACCTTTTCTATTTGAAAAGAGGAGGTCAAATTTTGTCCACTTTTCTTTGAACCCAAAAGATTTATCAGCTCAGTTCAGACTAAAAGCATGACTGTGACATACCCTGAGACATACCAAGTTTCATGGTAATGTCAGATTTTCCACCAGTAAAGTGTTTAGTTCCTGTTTGGCAGCGTCTGATTCTTGGCTGAGGAATTTCCTGCTCATTTTCATAGTGGCTGCAAAGGCCACAGCTTGGACATGGTGACCTGAATGCATTTGTTGAAATTCATTACAATTAAACATTTGAGTGAACCGCAAATCACCTAAAGATCCCCTCCTGCCTTCTAGTGTAGCCCTTTATTGCCTTTTGTGTCGTATTGGATACATTCTTTTATGATACCTCTATCAAATCAGTATCAATATTACTTAAAAACACCTCAACACAGTCTGATAAATGATAAAAATGTCCTGTTGGGGTTTGTTTCCATAAACATCTAATGTATCAAATAAGATAAATAAATATATTTGTTAAATTTTAAGGACTTTTGATTGTTTGGTTTTCAGTAGTAAGTGAAATAAACATTTCAGCTCCAAAAAAACTTGAATTTTCTGGCCATAGTTTGTGGTTTCAGGCATGAAAGGGATAACAATAAGGCCTGTTTAATCGATTTTTCTGGGCATGTTTGGTGTTGCCTGCTCTCTGGATCACAACAGTCGCATTCAGTGCGGGTATTGATTCGTCAGGGCTGCTTGGCGTCGGGAGTCGGCTTTTTTCGGGTATTTTGGAGCTCTTCGATGTTGGACTGCTTCAAACATTGATGTCAAATTCATACAGTGGATGGGTAATTTACATTTTGTTTGCTGCCATGACATTTCGGTCTTATTTACCGTGTCAGCTGTTCAAAAAAAGGAGTTGTAGCTAGCTAGCAAAGGAAGCTACCATTGGATAGCTTGTCCAACTGTAAACTGAAATTATCCGTTAATGGTGGAGAGCAGACCTGAATGATCCACCTTAGGGATCAAATCGAAAGTAAAAACATGTTTTGTCCGGATTTGTCTCACATAATTGATAAAGTGTCAATTATTATTGTCGTTTTAGCCGAGCTGCCTGATGTTACACTTGATAGCTGAGAAAAGCTAGTGATTTAAATGTTGTATTTTTGAGATCCGTCTACAGACACAGGTGAAAGTGACTATTGACTTGTGTACACAGGTGTGTAGTAAGCTGTGTGTAGAGGTGGGGGGCTCCGTCCTCAGCTGTCAGTCGGTCAGGAGATAGTGGTCACGCTGCGGCCTGTTATGATCACATGATGAGCTGCTGCCACTTCTGCTCGTTCAAACGCTGTTTTCTCTATCAAACCTCATGCACAGAAGACTCAAAGTTTACACCACAATTTACAAAATACATCTAGAGGAGCCTGTAAATGAATCTCTCTGATTTTGAACTGTGAATGTCGTTGAAACAAGGATGCAGATTCGAGTAGCGGCTCAGGCATATCAGCCGACTAGGGGCGGGTTCAGACTTTTCTCTCACAGGGGTGACCAAACTGGTCCTGCCCGCACAGGGTTGAGGATTGCTGTTTAACTCATGATATAATATAATACACCATCAAACATGCGGTTCACACAAGGGAGATGTAGACTGAGCAGGTGCAAATGCAAATAAACATCAGCAGAGGGTGTGTGCAGCTTCAGAGCTTTGTACTTCACAAGGGATGAGATGATCTCAGATCCTCACGATACATAGCAGGGGAGAGTGGGGTAAGTTGAGCCACCGCCTGTTGCTTGGAAATAGTAAAAGAAATTGATCATGTGACCAAATATTTAGGATACCCCACTCTCCCCTACACGATATGATACATATAGTGCTTTTTGAAAAGTAAACCAGTGAAGACTCTGAAAAAAAAACACAATTTATTTTACAATGATTGGACACTCAGACAGGATATGAGCCATCAGGTGAGCCCATGGATTTGTCAGTGATGACAAGTAAGACAGCTACAATGCTTTGCTTCTTTGTCTTTAATTTTCCATCTACACTGTAGACTAAACCTGATGATATTATCACACAGTGCTTCTCAGATGTGTGATTGTCTGCTCATTGTGGCTTTGCTTGATCATGTCCTCTATTTTCGTAGAATAACATCACCGTATTAGTTCAGTGGGGTCATGGATGTGTGGCTTCACTAGGCACTTCCCTTTGCTCGATCATTATCAAGCTACTTCGGGCAGCCTGATGTGCTAGCATACTGTATTAATCTAAGCTGGAACTCCTTATTTCAGTTTTTCCCCCAGAGTTGGAGGAACTGTTCAAATTTTGGTTAAAAAGGGACAGCTCTGGTTACTACCTACCCACCGTGTGGGTTAGGCATTAATTCCAGTGCAAAAAAAGCAGAAATGAGCAGATGAGGCTTCAATAAGCTCTGGGGCTGTCCTACAGCTTGAGCTGAGGCTTTAAAACTTCACGCTTATCCAGTACAGTGGTCTCTGCTGGCTTGCAAAACTAAAGCACTATGATTTGGACGTTAAGTATCATATACCTGTCTCTACTGAAAACATCTTGTGATTTCTTAAGCTCTCAGTCTGTTATGGGGAAGTGAAGCAGTAAACACTTCCTCTACACCCTGTTGGCCTGGCAGTATCTTTTCTTTACATCTCCTCAAAGCGATTCATTGAGTGACTCCTCGAGTGGAGTATCTAGACACTTCTTTTCCTATAAAATCGTTGTATCCCCATACAAAAACATAGAAAAATCTGTTTGAAGAGTGTTATTACTTTGAGATTAAGTTGTCATTACCAAGATAATTGTATCCCACAAGTCAGAATGATGGTATTTTGCCAAATCCATGTTGTGTCTCCATATCTTAAAGGAAAGTCAGACTTGTTACATCAAAAGAAGATACTCCTCAGAAGGGTTAGTCTTGATTGTTAACTTTCTCATTATAATTTTTATTTAGTTTTGTTTTGCTTCTATTTTGTTGGTTGCAACACTTGAAGATATGTTTATCAGGGGGTTCGTAAAGCTTTCATGTTTTTTGAAGTGGTTATATGAAAGCAAGCAAGTTGTTGACAGAAAGAAAAACTGATTTTGTCACAGACTAAATTATCTCTTCTTTGACTGACTACCAGAGGAGTAATCTTCGTTTCTGTTACAGTCTGTTTAGGTGACCTCTCACATTGTAAGAAAAATCAGTTATGCATGCTCACATGGTTTCTCCTCCCCCCATAGCAGGACCAGCAGTGAGATGGCTGCTGATGACAAGTCCTCATCTTCATCCTCGACAGACTGGAGCGTCGAGCCGCCTGTCCTCTCCCCGACCAGCCCATCCCACCTCACCCAGTTCAAACCACTGACCCCGGAGCAGGATGAGCCTCCCCTCCGCTCTGCATACAGCTCATTCGTCAACCTCTTCCGTTTCAACAAAGGTTAGAGACACACACAAACATGTGGACCATGGTGCCCATGTAACCCCATTATTTTGGTCGGAGCCCTTTTTTGTGAACTGTTTGTAGTGTTGAAGATAATTGGCATAGGTTGTATAAAACTCTTTAAGTAGTCTCAGTGATATCAGGCATTGGTTTGTGATGAGGCGTTATAAAGTCCTAAGACAAGGGTCGCCATGTTGGAGCAATATAAGCCTGTGGAGCAGTCAGGGTGGAACAGCGCTTTGTGTGTGTGTATGCATGCCTGAATGTGTGGAGCTTCACACCTCCAGCTTTTGTAACAGCATTATGCAATGTGAAATCACAGACTGGAACACGGATATACCGTTTGCAGAATCAGCATGAAAACATTAAGGCGGCATGATTCTTTGCTGTAACTTCTGTGCAAATTTATGGACAAAATTATGCACATTATGTCTGTTTGGTAAGAGTGGACTGAATTATAACTCCATGAATAAGTCAGATTTCTGACTCTCTTTCACTTCAGTATCTTTGCCACATTTCTTTCTCCTTGAACTCCCTCTGAAGCTCTCGAGGGATTGCCTCACAGTTTAAAATCTTTGTTAAAGTCAAACCAGTAGTAAATAATAAAAAAGTTCTGTTGTGTCAGCAATATTTAGAGCTGCACAGAGGGACTTCCTGGACTCTAGTGCGACACAGTTCTTAAGTTTCATTCGTGCAGATTCCCTGTTTAAGGAAGGGCAGATCAACAAACAAAACTGCAATCCTCATTTCACAATAGATACAAGTCAGAACAGTTCAAGAATCACTCCTAAAACGTTGCTTCTGTAAGTTTCTGTACACACAGTCTTATCATTGACAGATACTTCTGAACTTAAGAGTATGTTTTTTAACTGAGGAGGAGAGGAAAAAATATATCAGAATATATCAAACTATTTAAAATAATAATAATAACAGGTCTTTTGACCTGTTAAATGTGTCTATAGTGAGTAAAAGATAACATGAACAAAACCCTTACAACCATTTACAAACTGTTTACAAAGGTCATCATTTTGATAAATATGTAAACTAACAGCACGTTAGGTTGTAAAAACCTGTAAAAAGTGAGCATGTGTAGTGTTTTGCATCAGTTTACCAAAGTCTGAGTTGTAAACCACAGTCTTGTGAAGTCATGTGAGAGAAGTTATCACCGTGGAGCCGTGCCAGGAACTAGGAAACCACATGACGCCTGTGTTTATAGCCCCTCCTCTGGAGCCCTGCACTGTGGACACTCCCTCTCTTCTCAATATAGCTGCATACTGACAAATAGATTGGTCATATTAGATTACATTTAGATAGATAAAGCATGTCAAATTTGCATTAAACTCTATTTTACTTACATGGTTTCTCACCAGTTTGTTGCACAACCCTCTTTGATCTAGTTACTTGGGCTGGATCTGATTAAAGAGAGTACTATAAAGGAATGATTTATTTATTTTGGATATGGTTTCATGTTTAGAGGCCTTAAGAGGAGATTTAAACTGGTTATGAAACAGACTGAAATTCATGACCTACAGCTTATGGCAAGGAAACTGACTCTATTAGACTTTTCTCTCTGTGCAAACATTGAACATGAAATGATTACGCTGATACGTACATGAGACATTTAGCATCTTACTTTAACATGCAGGATAGTGCAATGTTGAGGATTGCAAAGAGAAGCTAAATGATAATACAAATATCTGAGAATATATGTAAGTACCTAATTCTGATTGACACAGTCATGGCTCAACTTTTAACTGATGGCTTTATCTGATTACAAGAGACTTAGTTTTCTTTTATTGTTTTTGTTAGGGTTAGGCTCTGAAATGGAAAAAAAGGTTTAATTTTTATCATGAGAAATAAAAAAAAATAATATCATAATTAGAAATGTAAGATCTTTACTTCCTGAGATGTGTGTGAGAAAAGTAAATTGATTGAGGAAATATAATAAAAACCAGACTTTCCGGTTCAAATAAGCATGTATTTAAAGATAAGAAAGTGGTGTATTCGTGTCGTGTTGAAGCAGTTATACTGAGCAAACTGCCTTTAAACTGAGAAGACAATCTGAGAAGCAGATTACAGAAACAGAAGGTTCAAATAAAAAAATTAATAATGTGAAAAAGAACAAATCTTTCATTCATTCAAGTTTTTTCTTTCTAGTGTTTATTCAGGTCAGCAATTAAAAACAATAAACTCAATGGCCAGTTCTGTGACATTTTCCTTTAAACACATCTGCCCCTTACCCTAACCCTAAATCTTAGAAAGTGACTCTACATTTTGATTAAAAAGAAAAACCCCAAACTGTAAATCTTACACCACTTTCATGCATTGATGCATATGAAGTGAAATGCTAGGAGAGTAAACAAACAAATACAAGTAACAAATACTCATTAATCACTGCTGTATCTCTTTTTGTGTGTGTGTCTGTATGTGTGTGTGCAGAGGAGGGACGTCCTCCATCAATAGTCCCAGAGAAGCCAGATGTGCCGTCTCCCTCCCCTCAGTCAGAGAGGAGGAGTTTTTCCTCCAGTCCTTCACACTCCCTCCACAGCACCAGGACATACCGGAAGCAGCACACAGACCACCACAGACGGACCTCCACCGCCTCTGGTAAAGTAGCACCCACACACACAGACACACTACAGATGGTGTTATATTTGCAGCTTGAGTGAGCGTGTTTGGTCAGTCAGTGGATATCTTCTTTCTTAAACTGTTGTTTAGCATCCCTGGTCCTGTTTTTCAGGCTTCAACTTCTTTTTCAAGCGTTGGGGTAAGGTGTCCTCAAAAAACCAAATCATGATTAGTCAATCTTCTAGAAACTTTCCTGCTCTTAAGTTTTCAGAATGAATCAAGATTATATCAACCGAAATTTGCTCTATGATTTTTTTTATTAACAAAGTTGTGAAATTTGCTGGTTTTCCACCAGTAAATTGGCACAATGTTTTAACTATAAAAAAATGACTGAAAATCACTTTGTTTGATTGATTGCCTTAACAGTTTCTTTCTCAAAGTCGATGTTATGAAATCAGGCGATAACCTGTCTTTAGTGATTAGATTACCTTTAATTGAAAGCTCTGATTGTTGATTTTATAGCTTCTGTTTTGTTGAAAGTAAACTAATCAAAGGCCAGTGATAGAACACAGGTCATGTTTAACAATGGATGCACCTGAAAATGACAGAATTTAGAGTCACTTAAGCTCCATAAGACATTTGAGAAAACAGTCTGAAGATATGAGAGGATGCAAAAATGTTAGACGCAGCATGTCAATGTGTGACTTTCTGAGCTTTTTGTGTTTTTAATGGTGAAAAAAAACAACTGAAAATCTTTGGAAAGAGAGTTGAAAACACAAGCAGCTGCAGCAGATTGAAATAGTAATTATTTTTTAAATGTAATCCATGATGACTTTAGGATTTAGTGTGTCTTCAGAATTCTTTAAAAGCTTTTTAACAGTTTCATCCAACCATCCCCTGTTGAAGATGTGAATGCTGCTGTCTCATGTTGTCATTTTGCAAGGATTTTTGAGCAAAGTTTTGTAGAAGCGAGGTCAAACTTCTGTGAAACATAGATCATCATCAAAGTAGAAAAATTATAGTTAAATTATAGCCGATTCATCATCTGTTTACGAGAAAAAAACATCAAGCTGTTCAAGGTTCCAGCTTCTCCAATGTCAGGAAAACCAGGCTGTGTCACCTTTGGCTCTAGAAATTGATTTCATCACTTTTTTGACAGATTTGAATGATTTATAGATGAGTAACTGCTCGATGGTTGAATCAATTAAATAACATGTCGATTGGTTGGTGATAATTCATCACTAGTTGCAGAACTAACCTGATAACTCAAATTGAAGTAGATGAATAATTCGATAGGAAGCATTTCTGAACTTCTGAATTGGATTTTGTAGTACGTTTTTAACTGTTAGTCGTCAAATGTTTGATGTTTTATGTAAGTTGTTGATTGTGTAAATTTATCATGAAAGTTAAATCCTGCTCCGATCAGGAAGGAGGATTCTTTTTGTGTTTCATTTAGTATTTCATCATAACCTGCAAAACTCAGGACCAGATTTACAAGTCCTAAATTCAAATGTAAATAGTGCAATAACAGCACCATGGGAAGCTACCCATGCCGTGGATGCTTATGAGCCCCATACTATCAGGGATGCTGGTTTTGAACTGTAAGCCTCCAGTCATGGTTTTGGTCCTTATATCTCCAGATTCTCTCAATCTTTTAATGATATTTTTTAATATCATACATTTTCATGAAATAAGTAAATGTTTCAGTTACAACCATGACACGTTATCTTTGCACTATTTTAATTTCAAAAAAGGCTTCATTGAGTTGAAAGTGTCCTCTACTGGATTTTATCTTAATTTTAACGTGTTTTTATTTATTTATTTATTTTCATGTGTGGAGAAAAAATGTCTTTGGTTAAAAAAATGCCAAACATTCACCTTTAGGTACAGACTAAAAATGATGTTTGTGGTTAAAATGTGTTGAGTGTGAAAGGCATCAGAAAGATTTGTGCATGTACAGGATGTGTAACGTGCGCTCTCATGTCTTTTCTGATTACAGTGGATTGGCCAGGTGAGGGTCTCCTGCACTGTGTGGTTTTTTACTAAAGAAGCTTTTAGCCTGAATTTAACACCTCAGTCTGAAAGAATCGCCTTACACAGTTTTTAGAGTGCGTGAGAGAGCATGCAGAGTGCGTGTGATGATTTTTGCATCGTCAATGAGACGCTTTCTATTAGTCTTTGGTTTGCTCTAATGTTTGCCTCTTAGGAACTAATACCTGGAATGATGTTTGTCATGACGCTAACATTTTTATTCCACATGTTTTTGTTCCTTGATTTGTTAATTTTTGACCACATCATGTGTTAATTTCTTCTAATTTTTGCAACTTTCAGATGAACATATTCAAAAGGTGGTAAAGTGCATTGTCAAATTCTTGTCACTCAGCTGTTAAAAAAAGAGTCATTTACTCACATTAAAGGTCTGCTGAAGTGGCATATTTGACAATGCAGCAGGATGAAATTAAAGCACAGGTGATCTTTTTCAGGTGTTTTGTTTATATGTGCTCCGTGTGGGTGCTTGTGTGTGTCTTTTTGTCCACATGTGTGATTTCAGACGGCAGCAGGAAGTCGGACACTCCTCTGAGCAATCACGACCCCCGCACGGCCGTGCAGCTTCGCACTGCACTGAAGAGACTGAAGGAAATAATGGAAGGAAAGAGCCAGGTAGTCATTTCAAAGTTAACGCTTTATCTTTCACTTTTGTGTCTTTAGTAAATGTCAGGGTAATATTCTAAAATTAAGTGACATTCAATCACAGACAGGCTCCTTTAAAACTAGAAAAAATTACTACTGTGTGACTTTATTTGGGTGTCAAAACAGATCCAACCAAGCAGACAAAAAGAGCAGAGTAAAACAACTTGCTCCTCAAGCAAACATTGAGTTACGATGTCTTTTTGATGTGTGGTTATTTTTTCTGTGGAAGTGCTTAGTTTGCAGAAAAATAGTGACTAAGACATGAGAAAATATTTGAAAAAGTATCATGATGGCATTATTGGATTGTTTTACCGATTGATGATATTGCACATTGTTATTTTGGAAGATTTCTGTTGCAATAAGGTAGCTTGAAGTTTAAAAGCTATACAGAGCCTGACTTGGAAGAGCTATGCTGCATTGCACACTGGAGAGCATCGTCTAAACCTCGACCACAGGCTCTCAAACACTTTTCTAGAAAGCAGAAAAACTGTCAAGAGACACAAAGAGAGGGTCACTGCTTTTTCGTGTCATCTTGTCTGTTTTCTGCTTTAGAATTAGTAATGGAGCATCACTATTTGCAAAGGGCTTGGGTTTGACGTAAATTGTCTAAGGCAGATTATAAAAGAAGTTGTATTGCATGACTCTAAATGCCAGTTTCTATTTCTGCACACTTTAAACTGTTCTTATTGAATTTAAGTGAATTCCAGAAGAGGCCAGATGTTAAAATAGAAACACTCATCAACCAGAATCCCCCCACAGTCTCTCTCTCCTCTAAGAGTAATGGTCCAGAACTGATATAACCATACAGTTATCCAACTTCTTATCTAATTTTTTTTCACACTGCAGTAAATCAAGTTTGGCTCAAAACATTTTGATTGAATCAAACTTTGATATAGGTCATTGATAATATGTCAATTAAATTAGATTTTCTTTTGATGTTTTTTCCATTTCAGGACAGCGATCTGAAGCAGTACTGGATGCCGGACAGCCAGTGTAAAGAGTGTTATGACTGCAATGAGAAGTTCACAACTTTCCGCCGACGCCACCACTGCAGACTGTGCGGCCAGATCTTCTGCAGCCGCTGCTGCAACCAGGAGATCCCTGGGAAGTTTATGGGCTACACAGGTAGACTACACAGCTCACTCAAGATTTCACTTCATTTCAATTCAATTCAATTAAAAAGAAAAACATATACAGTTACGAAGAGCAAACACAGAAGGAGACAAAGTCTAATTCACTGACCCTTTTCTGTCTTTGTTGACTACAGGAGATCTACGGGCCTGCACGTACTGCAGGAAGCTAGCCCTAAGCTACGCCCACTCGGCGGAGTCGGGCTCCATCGGAGAGGACCTGAGCGCTCTCTCCGACTCTCCCTGCTCCGTGTGCGTGCTGGAACCCAGCGAGCCTCGCACACCATCGGGGGGACGTAAAGCCAGCAGGAACATTTTCCTCGAAGAAGATCTGACCTGGCAGAGGTGAGCCCACGTGCGCGCACACACACATGCACACACAGACTAATCAATTCAGGGTTAACCCTAAACATTGATTAGTATATTAATTTGTCGCTAAATTGAACCACATGCCATAACTAAAGTCGTCCTGTTTGATTTGCTGGAACACAATCAGACAGAAAGCGCTCTGTCAGAGGTCAACTGAAGCCCATTTGGACTGGAAGGTTATAAAATACTTGGAGGACTTGGCGCTTTAACAAATCCTTACCAGGGTGAGCTACAGAGCAGCTCTGGCCCATTATCTGTTGGGGGATATTAGTTGTTGGAGATACACTTGAACTGAAAGCTCATCTTGTACTGTAGTGTCAAAACTGCCCCCCATATTCAACTGATGAATGATTTGATAGACTGTAAGGAACGTAGCATTAGCGATGTCACTCTCTGGTTTTGAAGTTGAGGTGGAGTTTGGTGGCCTGTCAGCAACAGACACCATTTAAAAATGCTGACTCGCCCTAACTTTCTAACCCACTGTGGGGCAAAGACACAGCATTTACCCTCGCTAACAGCTACAGTGTGGCAACTTGATTTCTTTCTCTAATAAGTTATAAAAGATGAATCCTCTGTGCAGAACGTCTTGAACTCAGCTCAAATTCAACCTGTGGCTCTTGCCTAGATATATCACCCCACTCTCTCTCCTCCCAGTCTCAGGCTCTAGCAGTTGTCATATCCTCAAAATCAAAGCATCCAAAGCTCTAAAGAAGAAAAACAGTGTCGGTATGCCACTTCGATGTTCCTGTTGGTCCTGCCAAACAGGCATCATGTTGTTTTTCATAGGTCTGTAGATTTCAGAGCAGGTTTTCTCTGGGACTTTCCAGAAGATTTGGTTGCGTGGTTTGATGACATCTGGTTTCAGCTTCGATTTCATGCCTCATTCCTTCACAATTCCCTACCTTTACCCGTCATGTTTCGTCCAAATTAGCTGTTTTCCTCCCCTCACCAAACACGTCTCGTTTGCTGTGTGCAGGTTTGTCGTTGTCGTTTGTGGTGGATTTGCTCATTTTGCTCACGATGTAAACACTCTGCTTGCTCTTTCTCTGCCTTGATTTCCTGATTCTGTTTGTGTTTGTGTGTTTTTATGTACTTGTTTTCTCTGCATGGTGAGGACACATGTAACAGGACCATGTTAAAGCATCTTAAACATATAACATCTATATCAGCTGGTCCTGACTGCTCCTTTATGATGAGGAATGTACAGTAAGCCTGCATGAAGTCAGACTCATTCGGTAGGATACGAACATGAGACTCAGTGGGTCAGCTCTGCAGCATGTGATCTGACAGTCCAGTCCAGTCCAGTGTGGAAAAAATGTCCCTAATTAACGAAGAAATTAAGAGAAGAAAGAAGGAGCATCTAGTTTAGGAAGAACAGCTGCAGAAAAGCATGACTTTTCAGCCACGAGGGCTGCTTTCATCTGCCTTTTAAGTCATTTTTTAAACTAATTATGGATGGGATTTTTTTTTTGTTGTTGTTTTTGAAGATTTTATAGTCATCATGCAGATCACAGGCTTTTTGTTAAATGTTTGAGAACATTTTGTCTTGAGGTTGCATGCATTTTTAACCCCGGTTCTTCTTTTGCTGCTGTTTTGAATCAGTGTGCTTTCCTGCTTATTTCTCTGTCGACCTGCCTCAAAGAAAATCTCCTTTCCCCCCCCTTCTCTGTCTCTCTCCCTCTCTCTCTGTCCTGGCATAGAAAAACTCCTATTGGGATGAGAAAGAAGTGAGTCCTGCTGTTTGTTTTATTCATTTTTCACATCTGTCCGAGCTTTAGTCGTCGAAGCCAGTGCTTTCTAGCTCTGTCGAGGTTTTCCTCTGCATGCTCACAGTCACTGATCATGAATCAAAGTATACAGTAACACAGAGGAGGTTTACAGTGGGCCACAGAAAGGTCGTAAATTAAAGGTTTTCTGTGTGTTTGTCAGTATGATTCACCAGGAGCCTCAGAGCAGCGGCCTCAGCTCCAGACTGACAACACTGCAAGAAGACGCGGTCAAATCTCCGGCGAGGAAGAGGTCAGTCCGCGCTCTTAAGTGTCCTGTTCAGATGGATTCAGAGCGGTAAATGTGATGACTATTCTTCATCCATCAACAGGTCTGCCAGTGTGACCAACCTGTCCTTAGACCGCTCTGGATCCTCCCTGGTGCCTTCCTATGACAGCTCAGTCAGCCCACCTCCCAGCCGGGCGGTGACGGGCCCCAAAAGTGGCCCAAAGCTGGACCACAGTGAGGAGGAGAGGAAGATCCTGCTGGTAGCTGCTAATTCTCTCTTTTTCATCATTTATAGTCTCCATATTATGTAACACAAATAACTAACAGGACATAATAGAATCCTACCAGACTGCACATATTGTGTTTTTTTAAAGCCGCAGTTAGCAACCTTTGATTTTTCTGTCATCGTTCACCCTGCAGGATTCCTCCCAGCTGAAGGACCTTTGGAAGAAAATCTGCCACAACAGCACAGGAATGGAGTTTCAGGACCACAGATACTGGTTGAGGACGTACCCCAACTGCATTGTGGGAAAAGAGCTTGTGAACTGGCTGCTGAGAAATGGCACCATCTCCACCAGGTAACCACTAACTTAAAGATGTCTTTTTGTTCATGTTTGCTAAGAGTGAACTCTGACCACACATCTTTCTTTTTTTTTTTAAGATATTAAATATAAAGATATTTTCTTCTCTTACATAAAGTGATTTTTTGTACATATTAAATGCTGCAGGTTTTGACTAACTGATTTTTTCCATGTTGCAGAGCTCAGGCTATCGCCATCGGTCAGGCGTTGGTGGACGGTCGGTGGCTGGACTGTGTCACCCACCACGATCAGCTGTTCAGGGATGAGTATGCTCTCTACCGCCCCCTTCAGGTAATAGTCTGATTAGTTCACATGATACACACAATAAAAGAAATGACTAAATATTTTCTCGTTTACCACAGCACAGTCTTTGACTCGTGTTCATCTTGTCTGGACTTCTCCTTTCTAACAGCTTTAGTGAATGTTTAGTTCAACACCAATCACCATCCTCTATTCTACTGCATATTGATAATTCATTAATCATTTTTACCAAATATCTTATAACCAGATTTCTCTCATCCCAGGTCATTAACTGTTAGCTGTGACTCCATCACCAACAGACAGGTCCTACCTACACCTTGAGTAACCTGTCCCTCTCCATCCCTCTGTTTTGCAGCCCAGATTAAATCACGTTTAAGGTTTAAGAAACCTGAAACAACCAGAACAACAACCAAACAAACATATCCTCATACAAACGTTTCTCAAACTGCTTCAAAATTGCAGCGTGTGCATGTGTGTAAGGGAACAGAGCACATTCAAACTTTTCTCTCTCTCTGTTTTTAGAGTACAGAGTTCTCAGAAACCCCGTCTCCGGACAGCGACAGTGTCAACTCCCTGGAGGGACATTCAGAGCCGTCTTGGTTCAAGGACATCAAGTTTGATGACAGCGACAACGAGCAGCTCGCAGATGAGACTGACTACACCACGCCAAGTATGTAACGCCCACCTGATGCTTTCATAAAGTCCTTGTCTTGCCTGGAGTAGGCCTGGTTTTAAGGTGTGACTGCAGCTGAGAAGACTTCTCTAAAAATACACAGTTTCTCTTCCTCATAAACCACAGTACACCACGGCTGATTTTGGGGTGAGAAACATTCTCCTAAAGAGGTGATAGCCTTGCTGTCACCCTCCAATCTTTAACCACCTCCACAGCCCAGAACTGTGCTAACCTTTTCCATAAGTTTGCTCAGTCTGCTTGGTCCAGTATTTGCTGTTTGGTTTCGTTTTTGCAAATGAAAATCTGTTTTTTTTTTTCTGTCTGTTTAGACTCTTCCAGCCCCAGCAAGAGGACGTCTGTGAGCAGTTTTCAGTCGGTGGTGGACAGTGACTCTGCAGCTTCTATTAACCTCAACATGGAGCAAAACAACGTCAACTTCCACATCAAGAAACAGTCCAAGTATCCACACGTGCCTGGAACTAATGAGCAGAAAGGTAAGTGAAGGAGATGTCATCCTCTTCGTCTTACTTCTTACTCCTGACTGACTTCTCTGTCTTCTTTCTCTTTCAGCTGAATTTCTTCTATCCGAGGACGGAGGACAAAATATTGTCATAAGTGATGCTTTCATCAAAGGTAGGAGCTCTGCGCTTCTTTATCAGTTTGTACACGCACAAGCATAAGCTTCTTTTTTTGCCGTTTGACAAACCAGCTTCCTCCTCCTTCCTGCAGAGTCTCTGTTTAACCGCCAGGTGGAGGAGAAGGCGAAGGAGATGCTGTTCACTCCGCTGGGTTGGCATCACAGCTCTCTGGACCAACTGAGAGAGGAGAACGGGGAGAAGAAGGCCATGGAGAGGCTGCTGTGAGTGGAGATAACACCACAAGCTTTACCCACTTTTAACACAGCTGCAGCAAATCAAACACAAATATTGTTATCCGTCTACCTCCTTTATGTTCAGCTCTGCCAACCACAGCCACATGATGGCGCTGCTGCAGCAGCTGCTCTACAGCGAGTCTCTGTCTCTGTCCTGGCGAGACATCATCGTCCCAGTGGTCAGACAGGTGGTCCAAACCGTACGGCCCGATGTTCGTAACTGTGACGACGACATGGACATCAGGCAGCTGGTCCACATCAAGAAGGTCAGAAACCAGCCGGCCAAACAATTCTGCTGCTACTAGGAAATTAAACGTTCATTTAAGTGTGTCTGTGGATGTCATGAAGAGAGATTATTCAAGTGTCCAAAAAAACTCAACCTGAATTTGTGTTTCAGATTCCCGGTGGCAGAAAGTTTGACTCAGCGGTGGTAAACGGCTTCGTCTGCACCAAGAACATCGCTCACAAAAAAGTACAGTCACACATCCTCTCTCTCAAATTTTTATCTTTTCTCTTTTGTAACTGTTTCACTTTGTTTGCCTCTTAAACTTTGATGAAAACTGACACTGCAGGACTTGAACATAATGAGAGTAATTTTGATCCGATCTGAATCAGATGAACGCCTACATCAAGAACCCGAAGATCCTGCTGCTGAAGTGCTCCATAGAGTATCTGTACAGAGAGGAGACCAAGTTCACCTGCATCGACCCCATCGTGCTTCAGGTCTGACATGACATGAAACAGCCTTTCCTCTGAAGCTCACCGTTGACCGAGAGTTTCCCACACTAAGACAAGTTCCGTCTGTTTCCCCCTCCCAGGAACGAGAGTTTTTGAAGAACTACGTGCAGCGTATCGTAGACGTCAGACCCAACCTGGTGTTAGTGGAGAAAACTGTGTCACGCATCGCTCAGGACATGCTGCTAGAGCATGGCATCACGCTGGTCATCAACGTCAAACCAGTAAGTACGCATTTCAATGGAATCAGGACAGGAACAAGCAACTAATGCCGCGTTCGAGTTACCTCGGAAGTCAGAAGTCAAAAGTCTGAGCTGAAAATTACATCACACCCGGGTTACCAGCGTTTTTTTTTTTAGTTTCAGTTTAGTTTATTTTTGGTCCCAAAAAAAAATTTATTATAATTACACTTTTCATTTCATTTCATTTAAATCATTGGACCAAAAAAAGGTGTAGGCTGAAGCCCATGGCTTATTGTACCTACCCTTTCTTCACTTTTATGCCGAACGTAAAGAATATACTTTCAAAGATAACAAACAAGAAAAGCAAAAACAAAAATAAACAGAATAAATCTGTACAAAACAGAAGCAAAAAAAGATATTAAAATAAAATAAGTATATCTAGTTTTGAATTACACAACATACATACACATGTGTACATACATACAACCAGCATACATACATATACACATACATACACATACCTACCTATCTACATATACGTATACAGTAAGTCTATAAAATAAATAATCAAAATAAAAGAAAATGAATTAGTATGCGATATATTATAAAATAGTTATACATACATACATATCGATACACCTGTAAATAATGAGTTACCAAGTCAGAAAAAAGCAAAATCAGAGGCCTGAACCTAGATGGCTTTATCTATGAAAGTTATTTTAAGGCAACCGATTTTGCTTTTTTCCAACTTGGTAACTGAAACGCTGGTAACTCGGGTGTGACGTCATTTTCAGCTCTGACGTCTGACTTCCGAGGTAACTCGAACGCAGCATTAGTAACAGAACATTTGCCGAATTTTTAAGAATGAGTTGCAGCATGACACAGAGCTGTTTTTTTGTTAAATCTTCATCTGTGAATCTTCCTTTTTTGTCTTTATAGCAAGTCTTAGACAGAGTCAGCCGTATGACTCAGGGGGACCTGGTGATGTCCATGGACCAGCTGCTCACCAAACCTCGACTGGGAACCTGTCACAAGTTCTACATGCAGCCGTTCACTCTGGCCAACGGTAAGACGAACAGCTCAAATATCCACTCCTTCTTCTGTGCGATTACCGAACCCTGGATGTGAATTAATGGTTATCTTTTTTTGGTTCACAGATGAAGCGAAGACTCTGATGTTCTTCGAAGGCTGTCCTGCTCACCTCGGCTGCTCCATCAAGCTCCGCGGCGCCGCAGACTACGAGCTGGCCCGAGTGAAGGAGATCATCATGCTGATGGTGTGCGTGGCCTACCACTCCCAGCTGGAGATCTCTTTCCTCATGGACGAGTTCGCCATGCCGCCCAGCGTGGCCCAAAGCACAACGTTCCCCTGCTTGCTGGAGGTCGCCACGGTGGCCGAGGAAAAGGAGGCGGACGGAGTGAGAGAGACTACCGGGGAGAGCCGGGAGAAAATCGGAGGGTCCGAAGCTCCTTCACAGCCTGAAGAGGAAGCCGTCTCCTCTGAGTCTGGAGATCCGGACACTCCGAAAGACAGACAGACGCTTAAATCTCCCCCCTCTGTGCAGGAAGAGGAAACTGTTAACATAGAGACAATGACCTCCTCTTTATTTCCAAACCTTTCGAACCCTCCCTTGTGCGTCTCTCCTCCGTTTCTCATGGAGGATGACAAAGAGATGGACTCCAGCACTCTGATCGCAGAGTCAGAGGGGGAGATGGGGGAGGAGGGCAGCCTCGTAAAGGCGGAGTCCCTAAATAACGAGGACGGGGAAGAACCGCCGACTCCCAGGCTGTTCAGAGACCCTCTGCAGGACGACACTGGGGTGTTCGTGGCCGAGCAGGTGGCTTCAACAGACGATCACCTGAAGTCCATTTCTGCCGTCTTCAAACAGGAGCTGAAGGACATCATCTTATGTATCTCCCCCTTCATCACCTTTAAGAAACCGTTCCTCCTCACTCCTGCTGGAATGCACTGTCCCAGCAGAGAGTACTTCCCTGAACAGGTCTGAAGCGTTGATAGTTTGTCTCTTTTAGTTTAAAGCATTAAAAAAAACAGAATATTTGTAACCACTTGTGTTTTTCTCCTCCCGTAGGTCTACTTCTCTCCTCTCCTCAACAAAGATTTCAAAGAACTGGACGGGCGCAGAAAGCGACAGCTCCTCAAAGACTCCGCCCCCTCCTCCCTGGCCAACGGACAGACCAATGGAGTCCCCCAGCCGAGGCCCATCGAGGTCCTGCCTTCCCACAACCTCACCAGCACCCGCATCGTGGAGCAGCTGAACAGCAGCCAGGATCTGGCCAGAATGCTGGCGGACTACAGAGCAAAAGGGGGTCGGATTCGTCAGAGGGAAACCACAGACCCGTTCGTCAGCACTTCGACTCCCGTCAGCAGTCAGAGTAAGACCGGGGACACGGCAGGAAAGCACCCAGTGAAGGCCGACAGTGAGGAGGAGAAGCCAGGCAAACAGAACGAGCTGAGCTGGGCCCCGAAGGTGAGACGAGTTGAAATATTGTACAAACCTGATTCCAGAAAAAGTGAGGACGCTGTGAAAGGCTGAGAAAAACAGAATTTGCAAACAATTAAAATCATACATTTAATTAAAATATTGCAAATACAACTTTATTTGAACATTTGTGTCCTCAGCTGGACTGTTTGAATCCTGTAAACCATCAGAGACTCTGCGTGCTCTTCAGCAGCTCATCAGCTCAGTCCAACAATGCACCAAACCCCTGTGTCAGCCCATGGTAAAAAAAAAGTTTTAGTGAAATTAATCAGTCAAAAAGTACAGACTGTTTTTTTTTACTGTATAATGGAGCTGTTATGATTTCTGTCCGCTAACAGGATTGTCACGATGGAGTTTTACGGGAAGAATGACCTCTCACTCGGCGTCTTCTTGGAGCGATACTGTTTTAGGTGAGACAAAAACGAGCTGTGAGGCTGAGAAAAGTCTATGTGGTAGAGGGATCTTCATTAATGTGGGTTTGTATTCACATTTTTCCTCCCACAGGCCTTCTTACCAGTGCCCCAGTGTGTTCTGTGAGACTCCCATGGTGCATCACATCCGGCGGTTCGTGCACGGCAGCGGCTGCGTGCAGATTGTGCTGAAGGAGCTGGACTCTCCTGTGCCGGGTTATCAGCACACTATCCTCAACTACTCCTGGTGCCGGATCTGTAAACAGGTCAGGACCTCTGAGTCAAGATGTTAAAGGGAAATTCCGGCTTAAAATTAATTTAGGATCAAACACACCGTAACACCCTATTGAGAGATGAATGTTGCCAACTACTTGCTTCTCTAGTTATACCAACTTTAGTAATGACCGCATGATAGCAATACACAGCGGTCTGAGGAGCCATAAACAAACCTCAACAAAATGCCACTCTATGGCCACAAATAATGCTCAGAACAGCACCTAACTTCATCAACAGTACATATTGGGTTCTAGCCACAGCACTAGCCACCAAACATCTTTTTAACTTTGTCTGATTTCTTTAGCAAAGAGACTAAACACAACTCACCTACTCTCTTCCAGCAACCGCTTGTTTGTAGCGAGACCTCGACCAGTCCATTACGGACTGCTGCAGGGGGACACAGCTCAAGGGAGAACATTTATGATCATTTCTTTATCATTTCCTTGAAGTAATAATCATCATATTAATCATTTTGCACTGCAGACGCGGTAGTTCTTCTGCATTAGCGTCTCTGTCTGATTGCATTTCCATGAAGTAATGATCATAAATGTTCTTCCTTGAGCTGCGTCACCCCGCAGCAGTCAGTAATGGACTGGTCGAGGTCATGTACAAACAAGCGGCTGCTGGGAGAGAGTAGGTGAGTTGTGTTTAGTCTCTTTGCTAAAGAAATCAGGCAAAGTTAAAAAGATGTTTGGTGGCTAGTACTATGGCTGGGACCCTATATGTGCTGTTGATGAAGTTAGGTGCTGGGACCACTGGGACCACTATCCTGCGGTCGTTACTAAAGTTGGTATTTAACTAGAGAAGGAAGCAGTCGGCAACATTTATCTCTCGATGGGGTGTCTAACTCGGTGTTACGGTGTGTTTGACCCTAAATTAATTTTATGTCGGAATATCCCTGTAAGAAGAGTGTGATTTACTTTTTAGCTGAAATGAATTAGAGTCTGTGTTTCCCTCTGTTGTGCTCACTCCCTCTCTCTTTTTCAAGGTCACTCCAGTGGTGCCTCTTTCCAACGACTCGTGGTCGATGTCTTTCGCCAAATATCTGGAGCTCCGTTTTTATGGACACCAGTACACGAGGAGAGCCAACGCGGAGCCCTGCGGACACTCCATCCACAAAGACTACCACCAGTACTTCTCCTACAACCAGATGGTGGCCTCCTTCAGGTGAGTGTCCTCCTCAGAAAACCGCAGTTTGTTTGAATCTGTGGAAGTTTTTGAAGAAAGTAAAAAGAGTTTTTCTCGTCCTCAGCTACACTTCTGTGAGAATGTTGGAGATCTGTCTTCCTCGTCCCAAGATCTTCATCAGGAACCAGGGGCCTTCAAAAACCAACCTTCAGCAGGACCTGAAGGACTTCTCTCAAAAGTAGGAGACTTTTTTGATAAATGAAATAGTAGATAGAGGAGAACTCATGAACTGACACAGATCTGTAAAGCTAACTTCAACTCTCTCCACAGAGTGACTCAGGTGTACCTGGCCATAGATGACCGCCTCACCTCCCTCAAGACCGACACCTTCAGTAAGACTCGAGAGGAGAAGATGGAGGACCTGTTTGCACAGAAAGACGTACGTGTTTCTTTACCGGTTTGTCAGGATGTGTCATCTGTTGATATTTGGAGCGGTGTTGGGATCATAACGGTGTAACTTTGTGTTGATGCAGATGGAAGAGGCAGAACTTCGGAGCTGGATTGACAAGCTTCAGGCTCGACTTCAGGCCTGTGGATTAGACTCTCCTCAGCAGCTGCAGGTGGTTCTCGAGTCTTTAGTGATGAAGAAACAGAGTCTGTGTGAGATGCTGCAGTCCTGGAACGGAAGGTCAGCATCACTTCAAGACTTCAGATATTTGATTTTTAAGTTAGTAAAAAGCTCCTAATCTGGATGCTCGGTCATCGCTCTCTCTCTCCATCAGGCTGCAGGATTTATTCCAGCAGGAGAAAGGCCGGAAGCGTCTGTCTGTCCCTCCAAGTCCAGGTCGACACAGACAGACCAACACTGAGGAAAACAAGGTTGGTAACATCTTTCATAACCTCTTTTTACAGATTTTGTTTGCAGTATCAGTGATCTCACCTGTTTGGACTTGTTTGTACATTTGTGATGCAGAGCACTCTGGACTCCTCCCCTCGTAACCCCTCACCCGTGGTGCAGAACGGAGACAAAGGTGAGTCCTCAGACCTCATCCGCCCTGTTCCATTTTAAAAAGATAACAGCTTCAGTATCTGATGAGCTGATTTCACCCACAGAGGACCGCCACCTCTGCCCCATGCCCTCCACCTCCTCCTCCCTGCTGCCATCTCCAGGAGACCCCGCAGCCGAACCCGTCACACCCGGTCCCTCTTTCTCCGAGCCGGACTCAGTCAGCATCCCAGAAGGTGAAAAACAAACACAAAAAAATACACACTCACCTCTCACAGATACAACCTCTCTGATCATCTCTGACCGTGTTTGTGTCATCAGACGTGTTTGACGGACACCTGCTGGGCTCCACTGACAGCCAGGTGAAAGAGAAATCCACCATGAAAGCGATCCTCGCCAACTTTCTACCCGGCAACAGCTACAACCCCATCCCCTTCCCTTTGTAAGTAAAGAGCTCACTCTGGATAAAGACAGGGGTTTGAGCTCAGCCAGAGTCTCATCGTTTATTTGTTTATTCATCAGAAATTGTTGAATTATATATTTTTATCCCAATTTTTTGTTTGTTTGTTTTTTACATGAATTTAAAAAAGTTACAGTTTGACAAATGTGACATTAGTAACAATAAAGTTTCAGATCTTTTCCCCCAAACACCGAGAATAACAAAGTTTAATTTCATATCAAAGTCAACATGAAAACACAGAAAAAAATACATATTTGGGGGGATAAACTCTGACTTTGCAGTTTAAAGCGTTAATGCTTTTCTTTGTCTACAGTGAACCAGACAAACACTACCTGATGTACGAACACGAGCGGGTTCCCATCGCAGTGTGTGAGAAAGAGCCGAGCTCCATCATCGCCTTCGCTCTCAGGTAACGACCTCGCTCATTTCTGATCTTCGTTTCTGTAAATAATGTCTTAAATATAATGACACTGTGTCTTCAAATGTTCTCCAGCTGTAAGGAGTATAAAACTTCGCTGGATGATCTTTCCAAGGTGTCAAACACAGGCGGGGACGAGACTCAACAGGCCGTCAGGTGAGCAGGATTCAGTTTGATGGGAACTCAGGATGGGAAGCTGAATCAGGTGTTTCCATAGACTTTTATGTTCTAGATCAGCAATCTGCTCATTGAACCTATTCTTTACTCAGATTTTAATTCATTTTTTCCAGCATGGTGGAAAACCTGTCAATTTTTTCTCTCAATATTTAAGTTTCTCTCACTGAAACAATTTCGAGATAGAGACTTGGTAAATTTTTTTTCGTGTGTTTTTTCTTTTCAGTGGTGGAGAGAGTCGAGCCAAAAGCAGCCCAGCCAGACCCAGCGAGTCAGCCTCATCACAGACGAGCAAAAACAGTGTGGATGTGGACCCCCTTAGTGAGTGATCAGATACATTAAATATCACAGTAACAGCTTTATTTGAAACATGCTTGATGCATTTTTTTACCTATCTTGTTCAGAGGATGCAGACTTGGGCGACAAACAGAAGAAGCAGACTCTGAATCCACACATTGAGCTCCGTGAGTCATTCTGTCTACTTTTTTCTTCGCAAGTATAATCTAGTTTAATTGATCTTTAACCTGATCTTTTTGTAGAGTTCTCCGATGCCAACGCCAAGTTTTACTGTCGGATCTACTACGCTGAGGAGTTTCACAAGATGCGTGAGGAGATCATGGAGAGTCAGGAGGAGGATTTCATCCGCTCGCTGTCGCACTGTGTGAACTGGCAGGCTCGAGGAGGGAAATCTGGAGCGGTTTTCTACGCAACAGAAGGTAGCAACTTCTAACACTACTACAGCTAGAACCAAAGTCACAGTAAAAGCAGCAGCTCGAAAGTGACCAAAGTAAGGTGTAACACACCCCGCCTCGTCTGCTTTGTGTCCTCTTAGATGATCGATTCATCCTGAAGCAGATGCCCAGACTGGAGGTGCAGTCCTTCCTGGACTTTGCGCCTCATTACTTCACCTACATCACTGGAGCCGTGCAGCAGAAGGTCAGTTTTCACATTTATAGAAAGACACAAAAAAAAAATTGGCAAATCCACTAATAGTTTGAGTAAAGATGTATGTTTTTGTTTTTATTTTTTATCTACAGAGGCCGACAGCTCTAGCAAAGATCTTGGGTGTCTACAGGATTGGATACAAGAACTCTCAGAACAATACAGAGAAGAAACTGGACCTGCTCGTCATGGAAAATCTTTTCTATGGACGTAAGATGGCTCAGGTGAGACTCCCAAGACAGTACAGTGATTTTACTCATCTTCAAAAAGCTTTTGGCACGAAACAGGTACCAGTGTTTGATTTCAAGTCGTGTCTATAACATGACCAAACCTCGACTGCTCTGTCACATTAGCTTCACGTAATCTTCTCCCTGCAGGTGTTTGACTTGAAAGGCTCTCTGAGAAACCGTAACGTGAAGACGGACTCGGGGAAGGAGAGCTGTGAGGTGGTCCTGCTGGACGAGAACCTCCTGAAGCTGATCCACGACAACCCGCTCTACATCCGCTCCCACTGCAAGGCCATCCTGAGGGCCGCCATCCACAGCGACGCCTACTTTCTGTCCAGCCACCTCATCATCGATTACTCGCTGCTGGTGGGACGAGACGACACCACCGACCAGCTGGTGGTGGGGATAATAGGTGAGGGGTCGCCTCTGAAACATCATATGAGTAAAACTGACGATTCTCCCAATGATGTCGTCTTATAATCTCTTTCCTGCAGATTATATCCGCACTTTTACCTGGGACAAGAGACTGGAGATGGTCGTCAAATCAACTGGAATACTGGGAGGTCAAGGTGAGTTACTTTGTCTGATTTTGCAGCCAAGTTTTCTGAAAATCACTCAAAAGCCTTTAACGTGTTTTCTGCTGTGTCTTGTAGGGAAGATGCCCACTGTGGTCTCTCCAGAGCTGTACAGAGCCCGTTTCTGCGAGGCCATGGACAAATACTTCCTGATGGTCCCCGACCACTGGACAGGCCTGGGCATCAACTGCTGAGCGGTGCGCTCGGGGGTCCGCAGACAGAAACTCACTCCTTCTCTCTCTCTATCTCTCTCTCTATGCATCAAATCAGTTTTCTGGATTTTTCTGTGACCAACAAGCACACAGACCGCTGCGAGTGTCTGAATCTGACCAGAAGACAGCACAGAATCATTCCACACAGCAGCTCCAACATTCTGCAACTGCTGCCTTATAAATAAACTCTAAATACAGCTTAGATGAGTTTTTATCATGGGGATGTAATGCAGTATTATCAGATGATCATTTATCCCCTTACAGATGTTTTTTTTTTTTATTAGTACTGTTAGTCCGACAGTTTCAAGAGGACCTGCTGAACACCCTCAGATTTTTGGTTAAAGTTTGGATAACAAACTAATCTGTGTAATTTAAATTTGTACAGAGATTATGTATTAAAAGATTATTAATGTTGATTTGTTAAAACAAACTTGTGTTCGGTGAGTTTTTTTTACTATTGTTAATGAGAGAGGGATAAAAATCTTGAATGTAAAAAGATGTTACTCCATTAAATAATAAAGTCATCAACTGGTGACTTTGGCTGACCCTTAAGGTGATCTTGAGGTCCTTAAGTAGGTACTTGATAAAGTCTGTAATGGTGGGTTGGAGATTGAACTGCCTATAAAAGGAGTGGAATATTGCTCCAAAGGGAGGAAGATGTGCCCTTGTGTAATGTGATTTGAGAGTGATTTTGTTTTGACTCTGTGTGGCTTTAATCCGATCCAGGTTAAATTGACTTTTAAAGTGTCTAGAAAGGAAAGTGAAAGAGGAAAAGAAGGGCATACTCCTGTGTGTCTACATGGCTGAGAGGATAAAAAGACTGACTGGGATTCCTGAGGTGGTGGGTTTGAACCTTATTCAGGACCAATTTTAGAGTCAAGGAGCCAAAGTAGCAAGATAAAAGCATGCAGAGCTCATCCCCAAGTGTGGATGGTATCCGGTGGCGCAGCTTAGTAGACTACTATCTAGTAGAGCGGGCTGGTTGGAAAGCGGCTCCTGGTTTGAAACCCGCTCGACACAGAGGAGATCCTGAAGCAAATCCTGGGGCACCAGGCCTGGGGGAGGGGTTTCCCCCCAGGTGTTTCCAGAGAGGTAAAATGTGGGGGTTATGAGGAGGGAAGTCAGAGTTGGCTGAAGTTGAACTGGAGGATGCTGGTGTAGAGTTAGCTTTTATTTGTGTCCTTTTATTTTCACAGTATTTTTTTTTTCTTCCCATCACTTTTTTTTGCGTCATTAACTTCCATTGTGGCTTTTTTTTCAATCTGCGCCGTTTCTTTTTTTATTTGCAGCGGGCTTCGGCTTGTTTTTTTGCATCAGTAACTTCCTTCTTTTTTTTGCATTATTTTTTTATTTGCAGCAGTGGCGGTTCTCGGCCACCATAATTAATGTGTGAGGGACCATACGATTGCACTTGGGGACACCTATGACGGTTTATATTCAAAGGCTGTGACTATGGGAGCGCATTGCTTTCACTGGATAAAAAAAACAGAAACATTATCTTGTAGCCTAGTAACAAGATCCAGATCTAATAATTAGGAAATAATGTGTCTGTTTTTTTTTATGCAATGTGCTCCTGTATGTGACAAATCCCAGACACCAAAAATTAGCTTCAAACAGATTTTTTTTAATTGTACAATTCATATAAAACAAAGGGAAGCTGAAAAACAGCCCTCAGCATCAGCATGGTACTGCATCAGGAACTGGCATGAAAATGATCAGACACGTGACGGAGCGATTGTCAGGACAGGTGGAGATCATTTTCTGTTGGATTTAAAATAATTAAAATTAAAATAATAATAATACTGGCAGACAAATTCAGTCTCTCAGCAGACCTTCAAAATAAGATACAACTGTGCTTGTTCACATGTGTGTGCTTCAATCGGATTCAGTCAAACTGCAGCCGACAGGGATTCAAATTTAGACCGAAAATTGACAAACAGCCGACGTTTCTTCATCCAGATATAAAATTAAATAAACTCCTGTTTGATGTTTCATGGTGGAGGTGTCACCCTGTGAGCTTTAAGACATGATGTATGTCCTTTTTCAGACAAAGCTTCACTTCAACATCACATACAAAAGCATAAGTACCTAAAATAACACTTACACACACACACTCACACCCTCACACACACCGGACTTCAAACATCAGTCTGGAGATTTTCTGTTTTCTTGTATGTCTGCAAAAAAAGCCCAGAAATGACCAAAACCAACTGTTTAGCGAAGTATTCCTCCTTCACGCTCCATGTTTTCCAAAGCTCTTCATGTTAGACATGTTTTAAAGTAAATCCAACACAAAAAATCCTGCAGCCCAAAAGACTTTTATTACTTCAACCTGAAAATAGGCCCCGAAAATGCAACTGTCTGCCTGTCTGAGTTAAATATCTTAAAGTTATGAATTGCTTTCACACATGACTTAAGTCTGAGGGCCAAATCAGAGACAACAGAGGGACGAACGCTGTAACATTGCTGGTTTTGGTCTTTTCATGAGCGTCGTTGACAAAAAAGATCATTTTTAGAAAATCCTCAGACTATGCAGAGAGAAAATAGAGGAATGAGACACCATCTCATAAAAAAACCTGCATATTCCTCACACAGAGTGAATCAAATCTCTAAAACTTAAAAAAAAAAAAAAACTGCCCACATTTTGTCAGAAATATTCAAGAATCAGTCACCAAAAGTCAGAAAATATCACCAGGTAAACTTTTTTATGTGATCGGAGCTGTGAGGAAGATATTCAGTCATGATGATGAGAGTAATAAGTCAGTATGAAGGACAAAAACATCCGAGGTATTTAAATTATTCAGGCGTAATTATGAGAAAGACCTCATTCTCATCAGTATGAACGAGTAGGTCATTCTTATGAGATGACAGTGGAAACAATAAAGTCTTTTTCAGAGTTATGACTTTTTTTTCCATTATCTGTCTATTATTGTAGTTTACTGGATTTAATTTCAACTTTTACATCACATTTATGACCAACTATAACAAGACTGACTTACCGTACCACAGTTTCAATGTTTAATCTTATAAGTTTGACTTCATATCTCAAAAGTCTGACTTTTTAATCTCATAATTATAAATTAATCTCTTCATTTCTACTATTTATCACTGAATTCTGACCATGTGTCTCATTTTTGGACCCACTTAACATCCCAGGAATGTGACTTTTTAACCCATAATGTTGACTTTTTGATCAGGCAACTGTGTATCTTTGAACACTCTCACTCCACATAGTCCGTGATCCCCCAATCCCCTTTGAAAAGGCTTTTAAGACGCCCCTGCAGATATATTCTGTTGTATCTTGGCACCAAAATTCAGCGAAAAAGGAAATATTTTTGTGTTTTTGGTGAGTTGATCCTTCAATCATCTGAATATTATTAATATTATACAAACAAAGGATTTATCGTAAAAGAAAATGAGTCAACATCAAGGCACTGGACAGGTCTGAGACGATGGCACGTAGCTGGTAGGCAGACAAACAGGCAAACAGACAAGAGGAGGAGGAGGAGGAGGACAGGAAGTGGTGAAGGCCCTGTGTTACTTTACATTGAAGTGCTGGCAGTATTTGTACCATCATGTAGGAAACCATAAAAAAACCTCAGAGAGGTGAGGAGAGCTGAAAGAGCTTCTCGTCTCTGCAGAAATTTGGTCTTTGTGGAGAGTCTGTGCTTGAATGATTTAACATTTAGAAACATCCAGAGAGAAATGTCCTGGTTTTTCAAGGAGGATGAAACTGTGCAGGATGCTTTTCAGGCCAAAATAGGATCAAATTTTTAAAAATCAGATTTTATTCACATTTTCACAAACCCTGTGTTCACTTGGGGGTACATTTCAATTCCCTCATTTGATCCTGGGGTCTGCATGAAAGTCTCATTACTTATGTTAAATGCGAAAGCCATGTACGTAACAAAGCTAGGAGGGAGGGTATTAAGTTTTTTAAAGTGGAAAAAAACTCTGATATTGTCAGAGATGCTTTTTCGGTTAATGGCAAAGCATGATAATTGGCAATGCACAAAAAAGCTGAGTTTTGCTCTGACATTTTCATTTCTTTTTGAAGTAAAACTAAATATTTTTTGTCCTTGCAACATAAAAAACGTAATCTTTTTTTTCATCTGATAATTTTCTAGAGTTAAAAAACTGATTTTGAACGACAAAAAGGAATTATTCATCAAGTTTAAAACCATTAAGTTTTAGGATAAACATCTAATTTTGAGGTCACTGCTGTTTAAGTTCAGAAAACAAAAGCTCATATGTGTTAATGAAATGTTATTACTCCAATTCTTTACCTAAACCAGTGGTTCTCAAGTCCAACATACACAACACACCTGATTCAAATGATCAGCTCGTTATTAAGCCATTCCAGAGCTTGCTAACGAGCTGATCATTTGAATCAGGTGTGTTGGAGCAGGGAAACATCCAAAACATGCAGGAAGGGGGGGCTCGAGGACTGGACTTGAGAACCACTGACCTAAACTGTTAAATTATTCAACTTTTAACAAGAAAACATCAAGAAATATTAACAGGACATGAACTCAGAATTTCCCCAAATTAAGCTGCTTATTTAACAGCAAAAACGTCTGATAAATTTCAGAGAAAGTGGGACATGAATAAGGAATATCTAACCTCCTTTGATCTCAAAGAGTCAAGCTTCTAGTCAGTAACAGTTATAACTTAAGTTTCCAATTCAAACATAGAAAAACAGATTTTTTCTCCTGATTTTCTCTTCCTCAAATGAGAGAATTGAGATGCACCCACCATTGTTACCCTTTTTTCCTGGTGATATTCAAACTATGAAACATCTTTTTGAAGCTGCACACTTCACATTTTATATATAAAAAAAACTAAAAGTCCAAATTTGTGCTTCAGTTGTTCACATGTTTAAAAAAGTCGAGCTTTAAGTACCTGTTTCCTTCAGTTTGTGTTCATTATTTACGTGTGGAAGTCAAATATTTGGTACAACAACAAGCCAAAATCATAAGAAGGTTAAAATTACACTTAAGCTTTCTTAATTACTACTTCATTTTATACAAACAGTTAAAAATGGCTTCTTTTAAGACAAACGAGTCTCTCAGGAGAGACTGAAGTACCGAGGTTGGTTTGGATTTAAGCACCCGTGAGTAGAAGGAACAAACCGTGGTGTGAGTTAACACAAGCATGCAGACCCGGTCCACAGCGGCTCCGGATCATAATCCTCTTCTTCATCTTTGTGGAATAAGTCCTGCAGGTTTCCGTCAGTCTGCAGGAAGTCCGGCTGCTCCTCTCTGTCTCTAGAAAAAGGGCGCTAAGAGGAAGCAACTCTGTACATCTTCCCCACAATGACAACCAGGAAAGATCCAAACTGTTTCAACCAAATCTCTACCCTCCTGCCTGAAGAGGAAGCTTAAAAAAAACTGCATCGGAGGAGAGGAGAGGAGAGGAAGGGAGAGGGAGGAGTTCAGGTGCACAGGTCCAGGGAGGAGGGTAGAGAGTCGGTCTGCAGGTGTCAGAAAGTCTCAGAGTCCTCCGAGTCGTTCTCTGTTGTCCCCTCGCTGGAGGGTCCAGAGGGGTTCCTGGGGCTTCGTGGAGCCCGGGGGCCGGTGCTAGGGCCCTTCCCTCCCTGGTGGGGCAGCTGCCTCAACAGGGCGCCTGGGGAGGGAGCCCCGGAGCTGCAAGGGGAGCAGAAAGGCATCATGGTAGCCAGAATGAGAGCCAGACAGTCAGCCACCTCTCTGCTAGGAGCACAAGCCAGAGCAGGCGTCAGACCTGAGAGAGAGAGAGAGAGAGAGAGAGACAGAGAGGGAGAGAGAGAGAGAGACAGAGAGAGAGAGAGAAAGAGAGAGGGACAGAGGGAGGAGGAGGAGGGCGAGACGTGGACATGGAGGAAGCAGGGAAGGCGAAGCAGAGGACAGAGGAGGGACGGAGCAGCATTCCATTAGTGTTCAGCCAGCTGACAGTCCACAACATGGAGGGAGGGGGGGGCACAGAGACAACAACCACAGCTGACAGTCACCTCATAACAAACAAACAGTCAACAACAAACAAGCAGCCTGGAAACACTTTAAATCAGGGTTCCCACTGGAGCTGGCTGTTGAATTTGGATTTCATTTAGATTTTAGGTTGTGTGTGATGCATTTGTAAAATCACAGGTAATCACTTTTAATAATCCTGATATCAACACCAATCAAAATAATCGTGGTTCTGAGTTATAATCGAGCAGCCCGGCTCCAACTGTGAGGATTAAAAATGAACCTCATCACTCTCGGTCAGTTTTGTCAGATTTCTGCTTCTCTTCAGTTCTGGAAAGACTTCCCACCAGAGTTTACGCTAGATGGTACTTAACCAGATCACTGCGTGTGGTTTCTGCTGTATCCAGTTTGAAATACAACATAAAATAGAGTGTTTCCTGTCAAGCATCAAAAATGAGTCTGACAGCCTAACAGGCCTTTATCAGCGGGGTGTTAATCTGCAATGATTGATTTCTGATTATTCGCCTGCAGCAAAAAGTTTTTTTTCATAGATTTGCAATGATGGTAGAAAAGCCTGTTAGTCAGGTGAAAATATGACTTGACCCTCAAAAAAATCGAACAAAAAGTTTCTGTTTTTTATCGCATTAGATGTCCTTAATAACATACTAAAAGTTTACCAAAGTTTGACCACTTGAAAGTTGTCATTTCTACGATGGCATCCACATTGGGTTGGAAGCCCGGGGAGAAACTTGAGATATTTGAATTTTTAGGGGTGATGTCAGTATTTTCTCATTTACAGAGTGATACAAAGAGATATCCACAGTCCCCTCCTCCCCTTTTTCTGACTCTAGTATGTCAACAAAATAAAACAAGACTTTTGAAAGGGGCTTTATCAATTGTTCAGTTTTCAGCTCTGGAAATGTATGCAAATTAGTGCATATTTAATAAGATACTACCTCATTTTCATATTCAAACATAACATCTGACAAAACTTGTAATACAAAAAATATTTGTCTGAATGTAAGTTATAAACTCGGTAAGTTTCATGGTGATATCTGTTTGTTAAAAATGTTACCCTATTTACCTGGGGTGCCTCCAACCCATCGTGAAAATGACACCTTCCTATTGGTCTAACTTTGGTAAACTTTTAGTATGTTATCAAGGACATCTAATACTATACAAAACAGTTGAGAAACCTTTTGTTCGAATTTTTTTAGGGGTTATGTTTTTTTTCATAAATGCACCCGCCTTTGGAACACCAGATCAGTGTTGAGCATTTAAAGCAACATCGCATACCTTCATATTGTGTCATATTGTTACCAGTGGTTTCAAATGAAGAAAAATCTTCCTGATAAAAAAGCTTCTGAAGCGAAAAATTCACTGATTTTGTAACTTCCATAGACAAACACACCCAAGATGGACTCATCACATTCAAATTCTGATACATGTATTACCTGCGAACTCTGTGAGCAGTGGGAACCCTCCTTTAAATACATATACCTTTGCAGCACACACTGATTCGCCTCATTAGTTAAGCCGAATTCATGCTGGAACTGAGGAAACCCTCATGCTGAGCGTGCAGCCGAAACCTTGAACCAGACCGGGATCACCTACCGTTCTCATCCACCGTCTGAACGTTGGCTCCTCCGGACAGAAGCTCCTGAACCGCCTTCTTCAGACCGCTACGAGCCGCCAGATGGAGAGGACTGACAGACAGAGTAGGATAAAAGAGTTTCAGTCCAGTTCAGCTCTTCCTGCTGCAAGACATCTCTAAACTTCTTCAAAGAAAACTTAACCAAACACTCTACCCTCAGTTCTCCGTCTCTGATCACAACTTATAATAAAAAATTAACAGCATTAATTAAAAGTTATTTTTTCACAGCAGGGGGGGTTTCAATACGCACGTTTGCAGAGCTGCATTTGTCGCATTTATGAGCGCAGTGTCAGACAGCTTCTCCAGGATCAACATCACACACTCCTCCTTCCCCTGTGAGCCAAAGAAACAAGGTTAGAGGCTAAAATCATGTGTTTCTGCTGCCTCCTAGTGGCCACTTTATAAATAAAACTGAAATTGTTGTTGACACCTACATTACTGCAGGCTAGATGCAGGGCAGTGTTTCCATCTCTGTCTGTTAGACTGAAGTTGGCACCGGCGCTGGTCAACAGCACCTCTGAAGCAGAAGATAAAATAATCAGACACACGCAAAACAGACTTAAAAAACAATAAATACAGTTAAAATCAACCACACATGATTTAAAGCGTCTTAAAAACTGATAAAACAAACGTCTGTACCGAGGGCTCCCACTCTGCCTTTCTCTGCCGCCATCATCAAAGCCGTGCGACCTGACTGGTCGACAGCATCCACAGGTGCATCGTGGGAAAGTAGCAGCTGAACACAGTCAACATGACCCGCAAAAGCCGCAGCGTGAAGAGGAGTCCTGCAGGAGAGGGGGAAGAGGGGAGAAGAGGAGAGGAAGGAGGACACAGCAGAGTATTCAGGGCAGACACACAAACAACAATTTCATTTCAGATCCCTCATTTTATAACGCCCCCTATCTGCATCACACACACGTGTGTCTTACCTGTCCTTTGAGTCTTTGCAGCCAGTGATGTCGGCGCCCATCGCTTCCAGCAGCAGAGATGCACACGGCTCATGATCGTTCACCCTGTTAGATTAAACACAAACAAGATTTCACTGAGCGAACAGGAAAAAATAGAAAACCAGATATTCCTGGAGTGTCTTATCTGTTTATGTGATCCTGTTTTCAGACTTATCTAAAATATTCTGTCAATCATTATATCCTGTTTGTTTAAAGGGATATTCAGGTGTAAAATTAATCTAGGGTCAAACACACTGTAACACCGAGTTAGACAGTTCAGTGTGTAGAGGCTTGTTTCATGTATCAGAGGGTACCAGGTCATACCCCGTGTCCTAATATCTGTGTGCAGCCTCTTAGCTCTGACCTCTCTCCATTAGTGCATCACCATATGATCCTGTTTGTTTACCAGTGTGTGTTTGTTCAATAACAGAGTGAAAAAATGGATTTCCCCCTCAGGATGGATGAAAATGATCTCAAAAACATATCCATCATGAATGATGCTAGACGTGTGTTTGACCTACACAGCACAGTGCAGAGGAGTAAATGGATTCCCGTCGATGCAGCGACATCCTTTCTGCTCCAGCAGCACCTCCACACACCCCTCATGACCTGCAGACACACACACACACACACACACACACACACACAAACACAAACGCTTTAAAACTACAGTTTGATCAAAATGTTCGTTGACACTTGAAAATGTTTCTCATCAAAGTTTGATGAGCAAACAAAGAGTCTGAACCTTCAGCGACTAAACAAAGAGTTTACGCCTGAACACATTTTATCATAGATCTACAGTGAAGCAGACACTGAAGGTCTCTGTGTGTGTGTGTGAGTTCTGACCGTAGTAGCAGGCCCAGTGCAGAGGTGTGTATCCTTGGTGGTCTCTCAGCGGGGGTAGAGACGGCGGCTCGGAGCAGGCGATGCTCAGCAGCTCGCTCAGCCAGGAGGCGTGGCCTCGAGCAGCTGCAAGGTGGATTGCTGTCCGACCTCGAGAGTCTCCGAGCAACACAGAGGCTTCCTGCTCCAAGAGACACTGGATACACTCCTCCTGACCACACAGCAGCTGAGGAGAGAGAGAGAGAGGTAGAGAATGATAACAAACACTGCTGATTTAACGTGTTGGATGATTTTTAGAAAGGAAGGGATGCAAATCTCTCCGTATTGGATATGATTTATCCACGTTCATGAGAAAACTGTCCTGAGATCTGATAAATCTGCGCTGTTGCCCAAATCTAAAGAGGAACACTCTAAAATTATGTTCTTACAATCACGCTAAAACAGTCTTGAAATGTCTGAAAGAAAGGAAAACACAACACAAAAAGTTCAAAGCTTTTTTTTTAAGCTCACTCCGAGGTGCAGCGCAGTCAGCCCGTGTTTATTCGCCACGTTCACGTTTGCTTCCCGTTCCAGCAGCAGCGACACGGCGTCCACATGACCTCCAGCCACTGCCAGCATCAATGGAGTCCTGCAGAAAAGAAAAGATTAGAGAATCAGAGCGAAAAAGTAAAAAAAATAAAATAAAACACAGAGAGAGAGAGGAAATCATGATGAGAACTCACTGTCCCTGAGAGTCTGCAGCATCTACGAGCTCTGCACCGTCTGATTCATCCAGCAGGAGGCGCACACACGTCGTGTGACCGTTCATCACTAGAGGAGAGGGAGAACAATGAAGAGTGTGACTGCAATGTTTATTATTAGATAGTTTAATGACTCACTGATGCAAAGAGAGAAGATCCTGCACAAACACATGCACCAAAAATCTAAATACTGGAGAAACATGAGGAGCTGAAGTTCCAGGAAAAACCCAGAAACCAACCTGCAAGGTGAACAGGTGTGCGTCCGTGCTGGGTGTCCGTGGTGCGCGGTGACGCCCCCTGTGAGAGGAGCGTGTGGACACAGTCTGTGTGGCCCCGAAGGGCAGCAAGGGCCAGAGGGGTCCTCCCTGACTCATCCCCCTGATCCACATCCCTCTCCCCCTGCAGCAGCACCTCCAGAGCCTGAGCGTGACCGTGATACGCCTGCACAGAGACGCAGTGTTAAATATGATGCTTAAATGAGGGGAGACCATGAGAAACAGGCAAGAGGGTTAGAATAAGAAGAAAAGCGAGGAGATGAAAGGTCAAACTCACGGCGAGGTGAAGAGGGCTCCGGGCGTTTGGAGATTCTGGGTCGTCTTGGTGGCTGTCGTCTCTGTCCAGCAGCTGCAGCGTGACACAAAAAAACATCAGAAAAACTTCTAACAAAATTATCTGAATATAAAAAAAAAAACAGGAAATTTTGGACGCAAATCACATCGAAGCTGGAATGTCTTTGCGTGGTGAGCAGAGAAAATATGATCAGCCAGGAGACGGAGAAAACTCCTGCAGGCATTATCCGACGATACAGCTATTTCCTCTGTGTGTGTGTGTGTGTGTGTGTGTGTGTACTGACCAGCTCCAGACAGTGCCTGTGTCCATAGGCTGCAGCGTAGTGAACAGGACTGTAACCCTGTTTGTCTTTCAGAGACGCCGTCGCTCCGCTCTGCAGCAGGAACTCCAAACATCTGGAGCACAAAGACAAAAACTGTGGATTAATTCACATTTTTTCAGGGGGGAGGGGGTTTAAAAACGCGGAGATGTAGCATTTTGATTCCAAGAAAAGTCCTCAAACACAAAGAGATGGGGAAAAATATGTACATATTCATAGTTTAAACTAAAAAAGCACATCAGTTAGTATAGCATGTTAGCTAAAAGTTAACGTTAAAGGAATAGTTCGGTCTTTTCTTTTATTTTGGAGTGAGTTAAAGATCAAGTGTGTAAGAATCTAGAATGGGACGCTTCCTCGCCAATCTCTCCCGTCACCAAGACAACAGGAACGAAAGGAGATTTCCACAATAGAGATGGTATCATCCACAACAGACACAAGAGATTCAGCAATTTCAAGTTTTGAGGCGGAGATTATCTCAGTGATTTCATCTTAATGACTCAGCTCTGAGAGAACTTTAATGAGTTTTTCATTGTTTTGGTAACAAACACTGATATCAGTGAAGTGATGATGAACAAAACCAACAAGTTCAGTGGAGTATTAGGGTCATATTAAGGGAGGACCTGCTGCAGTCTTTGTAAGTCATCAGAAACGAGACAAAGACGATATCTTATTTGAAGTGAAATAATTTAAACAAACTTCTGCTAAATACATTTCATGTCTTTGGAAAATGCCACTAAATTTTACTCAGTGTACCTGAAGCACAGGGATCCTCAGCAGCTCGGCCTCTTTGTTAGTTTAACTAATCTACCAAACCTTAAAATAATATCAGTTTGACTTTGTTTTCCATTTTTGGGTTGATGAAAGCGAGAAAAACACTCACAGAGCTGCCTCTTTTTCCCTCTCAGCCTGAACTCCTTCACTCTCCGGCTCCAGAGCGACTCGACGCCTGCAGGAGGGGGGAGGCGAGATGAGGAGGGAGGGGCGAGATAAAAGGGAGAGAGATGTTATTTTTATAGAGAGACACCTGCAGATTCTCAGGTCAGTATATAACCACAAGATGGGTGTGTGTGTGTGTGTGTGTGTGTGTGTGTGTGTGTGTGTGTGTGTGTGTGTGTGTGTGTGTGTGTGTGTGCTGCATCATGAACTGAGCAGCCTCTAATCCTCTCATCCTCACATGACTCTCATCACCTTGGAGTCACCTCTAGTTGCCATAGAAACAGGGAGGTGTGAACTTTGAGGTTTTTCTATATGCGACAACAGCAGAGAGACGCTCAGATTCACACCAGAGACGGGGTGTGAACAGACTTCAGAGGAAAATACTTCCTGTCTCCTCTTTTTTTGTTCATTTTGTTCAATCCTCCTCACCTTCGGTCCAGATCTGAGGCAGCAGCATAGTGCAGAGCAGAGCGCCCCCACTGGTCAGTGGCGTTGATGGCGGTCCCACAAGCAACCAGAGTCTCCAGACACTGATAGTGGCGGCTGGCTGCAGCGTAGTGGAGTGGGGTCCTGTGGGAACAAAGATGACGCTTTTCAGCTTAGATTTAGGACACAAGACACCGATGCTTCACTCAGAGGTGCTGAGTGTTTCAGTCGTGTTTTCCTCTAATTGTCATTTTCTTTTCACTCTGAGCATCTGTGATGATGCAACAGTTACTTCATCAATGCCAACAACATGTGGACAGGGCGTCCTTGAGGAAATGTTAATGCTATTGTTCCTAAAAGCTCAGAGAGGACTGAACAATCCATGACCTGTTATTAAGATCAGTTAATCAGGAGGTTTGTCCCGGCGGGTTGAATCAGACTGACCTTTAACAACAACAACAAAAAAAGACTCATTGAGTATTTGACTCCAATAATTGAGGAGAACTTGGCTCACACACACACTCACACACACTCACACACACCCCGCTTAATCGTCTTACACCTATTCACACACACACACGGCTAAAGACAATAAAGGGACCCAGCCCACAACTTGTCCTGTTGAGTGACTCCCTCTGAATCAAGGCTTCATCTTAAATTTAATCCAATCCAAGTTCATTTATAAAGCACATTTAAAAACAACAAAACGCTGACCAAAGTGCTGTACAGTAGAATTAAAAAAACAATAAAAACAGAATTAACACAAACAATAAAACAAAGACACAGGACCACATCAAAAACAGCACATGGTTAAAAGGCCAAGTTCCCAAGAGTCGAAAGCCAAGGAGTAAAAGTGCGTCTCCAAGTCTGATTTAGAAACAGGCAGTGAGGGGAACAGTCGGACATGAAGAGGAAGAGCATTCCAGAGTTTAGGCGCAGTAACTGAAAGGGCTCGGTCACCCCTGATCTTAAATCTTGACTTAGGGACAGTCAGAAGGTTCTGATCAGAGGATCTGAGAGTCCGAGATAAAATATGGGGTTTTTAAACTTCATAGAGATGAAAAGGGGCAGGGTTAAAACTCTCAGCTCTATAAGCAGAGGCCTAGATTCTAGTATGAGAGGTGTTTGGATTTGTGTTTGTAGTCTGAGTAACATTGAGTAGTCAGGTATGAGCTGGATTTGATGTCTGGAGAAAAAAACAGTCTGTATGTAGAGCAAAAGCAGGTGACCAGCACCTTTCCACAGGAACAAACTGAAGATTAAACATTTAAGTTAAAACATTGAATAAATCATTTTCTCGTTTTGCATGTCTGCTTATTTCATTGAAGTCTTGCAAACACTCAGTTGTACTTATCTGCTTTTTATCTGACAGTGTTACATTTTTTTAAAAAATGATGCACGCTCTTACCTGCCACAGTTATCCCTCCTGTTGTGTTCTCCTCCGCTGCTCAGGAGCAACTTCACACACTCCACGTTTCTGTAAAGAAGAGGAAAAACAAAATTAGAGCTTAAAAAAGAGACTCTTATCAGTTTTTTAAGAAAGAATTGATTTTATCCCCAGTAACATAAAGAAATCCCTGAATACAGCTTTAATTTTCAAGTAGTTATAAAGTTGTATCTGTCTTTTCATCTGCTTTCTGGTTGTTTTGCAGCTATGTGAGACCGTGGTAAAGAATTAAGATGGAGTGAAAATGAGCAGTAAGGTTTCCCACAGGTTTTTAACAAAGATCAGGTCAGCCAAAAAGAGGCAAAGGGGAAAATTACACAAACCTCCTTCTAAATAATCCTCCTTTCTCCTTGCCCTGGTGGTGCATGCTCCATTTTCTTGTGCAATGAATGATTACAACTAAGATTTTGGTGACCTCAATTCCTGTTCCACCTCCAGTATGAGTTGTTTGCACTGCACTTTTTAATTTTACGTGTAGGTGTGAAGTTTCCCGTCAAAGGAACAAGTCTAAGGTCTTAAAATTAAAGCTTAAAAATTCATTTATTCATTTTTGGCTTATTATGTCGTAAACGTCACTGTTGCTCACCCTCCAGCAGCAGCGGCGTGCAGGCAGGTCCTCCCCAAAGTGTCAGGCGTGTCGATCTGGAAGCCTGCAGATAGGACCGAGTCGTTACACATTATGCTAAACCTCCGACCTGAAGAGGGCAGCACAGGGAGACGAAGGGAGGCCAGACAAGACACAGCAGCAGCAGCAGCAGTGGAGACACAGAGAGGGACAGAAGAAAGGGACACGGAGACAGGAAGGAGAGAAAGACAGGAATAAGTGCGACAGGTGAGGACGGAGGTTAGGTGACGGTGCACAGGAAAACACAAAGAAGTCTGCGAGCTACGTGTTAAACACAGAGAGAGCCGATGAATCATAAGGAAACAAAGACGGATCAGATATGAGACATACAAGTTAAAACAAGAGAGAGAAAAAGAGCAGCAAGCGGCTCTGTTTGGAAATGAATCCTATACAATAATTTAAAGCAAATAACAACATGAAACAGAAACTACAGTAGAGAGTATTCATGTCTATGATGGTTGCATAAAGCAGCTTCAACCTACATTCAAGGATGTAGCAACATACTGTATTCACAGACATTGGTTTGAAGGGGTATTTCTAAACCCATGCAGTGATTTCCATCACAGAGTCTGGTCTGTTTTTAATGCTAATGCCATCTAGTGTTGGTTTTGGTCCTTTCTCCAGATTCTCTGAATCTTCTAATAGCCAACACTTTGATTTTGATGTTTTGTTTTGTCCTGATTTGATTCTTAGTAATAAAAAGGAGACGGTACAAGATGAGAACGGGCTGAGGGTTGATCGACGGTTACTTGTTCTACATAAAAACTTAAAACATACCAGAAAAGGAAGAAAAAGCACCCAAATCAATTAACCTGCTGTTAAAGGGATCTTCCACCAACAAAGCCATCAACAAACCTCAACCAAAACGCCACTCTATAGCCACAAATAAATAATGCTCAGAACAGCACATAACTTCATCAACAGGACATATAGGGTCCCAGCCACAGCACTAGCCACCAAACATCTTTTTAGCTTTGTCTAATTTCTTTAGCAAAGAGACTAAACACAACTCACCTACTCTCTTCCAGCAGCTGCTTGTTTGTAGTGAGACCTCGGGCAAGTCCATTGACTACAGCGCGACGACGCAGCTCAAGGAAGAACATCTATGATCATTTCTTTATCATTTCCTTGAAGTAATAATCACTGTATTAATCATTTTGCACTGCAGACACGGTAGTTCTTCTGCCTTTGCGTCTCGTTTGATTGCATTTCCATGAAGAAATGATCCTAAATGTTCTTCCTTGAGCTGCGTCCCCCCGCTGCAGTCGATGGACTTGCCCAAGGTCTCACTAAGAGAGAAGCAAGCGGTCGGCAACATTTATCCCTCAAGGGGGTGTCTAACTCGGTGTTACGGTGTGATTGACCCTAAATTAATTTTACGCTGGAATATCCCTTTAAATTTTCAGACTTTTGAGGACAGATTCACTTGACCTTTTGTGCCGACAGGCTGAGTGCAGAAAAAAAAATCGACCACCTGAAGTGGATGTATTATGACTGCCTTTTGTTTCACCTTGTGTCGAAGTTTTTCATCCATTATTGGTCACAGTTTGCCTGGTCTAATGCTTTCTTTCAGGGACTTTCAGCTCCAGATTTAGTGCAACAAATTACAAAAAGCTCCGGCTGCAAACAACAACCCTGACCGTACGCAACACTGCAGCTGCACAGAGACTGAAACACATGTAAATGACTTCTTTGTTGTTTCACTACAGCGACTCAGCAGAGCCACATGAGGAGCACAGATTCATCCTGCTCCACGCCTGCAGACACGAGAAACCAGCGCCTTTCTAAACCATCTAAAGAGATCTGGAGCCAGAGAGGATTTTTGTCTTTTCCCTTTTTCCCTACTTCACATTTGTTTAATAAACCGGTCTCCTCTGTCGCAGTAAATCCTGACGAAAAACACAGGGGATGAGTGGAAAGACAAATTATTTCATGGCCAAAAGCAGTAAGGAAATTTCTTGAAACATAAACAAGATTTTAACCATCAATGTTGATTTACTAAGAGGAGATTTTAGTAAAAACACACTCCTGTCCAGAGGGAGAGTGGTCCGATCGGTGAGTAATTAGACTCAGAGGCCTTTTCTGTAGCTGGAACATTGTGACTTGAATTTGGACCGAGCTGAATGTGAGTGTTTGTGAAGGAATTCACTGACGGGAGAAAGACAAACAACCGAGCTCAAACCTCATTGTGTTTTTACAGAAACAGACTCTAAATCAGCTCAAATCTCAGAGCGCTAATCACTCATTATCAATGAAGTTGGACAATAACTGGGCATTTTAAAAAAAACACTTTTTAATACATCTACCACCCGGAGAGGGTTTTATTTTGACGAACACATGTAAAAGCTTTGCTTGCTAGTCAAACAAGCTAATGCAAGGCTACATGCAAAGTTCCTCTGACAGTTGTTTATAAATAATGTATTTGTCTTACATTTTTGAAGATTATTGGTACTTATGTAACTCTTTATGTTTTAAATGGTATTTAAAGGAAATAAGTAACTAGAAACACGTTCGTTACACCAGGCTAAAAGGCTAAAGCTAGTGCTAACAATGTAAAGGCTAAAAGATTAGCTTTCAAAAGCTGCATTTGGTTTAATAGACATTGAAAATAGCTGTTATTTTACTATTTTGTGTTGTATAAAGTGTACATACTTGTATATCTTCTCTTCATTTTTTACTAATTTTATCTTTTATTTATCCCCTCTTTCTACTTTCTTTGCACTGAAGTTACTACCAGGTAAAGCAATTTGGGGATTATTGAAGTATTTCTGATTCCGAGTCTGATTAGCTATTAGCTTGCTAATTGCTAACAGCGTATGACAAACATCCGATCAGTCCACTCTCTGATTGCTGGGAGTGAAAAATCAGGCCCTGAATTGTAAAACTGAATCAAATTTCAACACAAAAGAGCTATTTTTGTCTAAAATCAGTGTTTGTTATTGCCTCCTCTTTTAAATAAAGCTTTTTAATGAGCATGCTCATGGTTGTAGATTCCTTAGGAGCAGAATAACAGACCTGATAAACTCATTATTAATCAAAACAAACGAGTATTTCACTTATTTGACTCAATCCTCACATAAAGTATCAGAGGACAGAACATCACAATGATCTTACAGTCCACTTTTTAGCTCACTAGAGAACTGGGCTGCTCTCATAAATTTACCTGATAAACCGTATTATATTCTAGATTATACAGATTATAATTCATTGAAAGAAAATGACAGTAGTTGATGGTGTCTGCTACCTGAGGACAGCAGTTTCCTGCAGCAGTCCGAGTGAGCGTTCAAGGCAGCCAGGTGGAGAGGAAACATGCCGTGGACTCCCCGTCTTTAGAGAAAGAAACAATAACCTCTTTTTTAAAAAAACACCGGATAACTTTATCAAGAATTTAAGTACAAATTTAAACAATCTGATGGCAAACCTTGTGCAGTCTGCTCCACTAGTAATGAGCGTGTTGATGAGGAGTTCATGACCATAACGGGCAGCAATGTGAAGAGGAGTGTTTCCGTCTTTGTCAACACTGTCGATCTCTCCACCTGAGTTAAAGGTTATATTAGTATGAGCAGATTTAGAGATACAGAGACAAGACATGTCGAGTGAAGAGGTCTCACCATTTTGGATAAGAGTTTGTGAGCGGGTGAAGCGTCCATGAACCGCCGTCATGTGAAGAGGACTTTTCCCATCGCGACTCTAAAGATGGCGAGGAGAAGAATCAGATTAATTTCTTGACATTCTGCTAATAATAATAATAAAAAAAACTAATTCTTACTTTTGTTAAAAATTATGTGATGGAGTACCTGAACATTGACATCAGCTCCATTGTTAACCAGGAACTCCAGACAGAGCGCTCCATGTGTGGAGGCGGCAGCAAAGTGCAGAGGGGTGAAACCTTTGTTGTTGGGCTGGCTGACATTGGCGCCGTAATCAATCAGCTCACTGACAACAGCGTCCTGACCATTAAAGCACGCCAAGTGGAGCGCCGTGTTCCCAAACCCATTGGACTCGTCGATCTGTTGATAAAGTAAGGCAAAGACCTGATGTGATGGCCAAGAGAAGATGTGTTTCAGGGCGTATGTTTGTGTAAAACCGTGAATCTTTGTGTGAGGTCTGACCTCCACAGCCAGGTTCAGCAGGTGTTTGACCACAGCGATCTGTCCGCTGGAGGCCGCCGTGTGGAGGGGAGTGTATCCCCGTTTGTCCTTACAGCTGATCTCAGCCCCCTGACTCACCAGCAGACACACCACATCCAGATGACCTGCAGGGACAAAAAAAAGGATCACCGAGGAGCTCTGGATTTGAACTACCAGCTATGAGCTAAGCTATTTGTGAATGGACACAAAACCAGTTTTTTAGTTTCATGCATGAAAAAGTGAAAGACGTCAAACTGGAACGCCTAAAAAAATGCAAATGCTGTTGCATTAACCAGGGATCCTTGGACACCAGTGATTTATCAAAAACACCCTGATCTGAACCTCATGCTTTCCACTCCGGCACATTTTTCCAAGTATGACAGAAAGAAACAAACCCTCCACTTGGCAGAATAAGCTCTCTGAGGCACTCTGGAGTATTTATTTGAATAAAAAAAATCTAAAACTCAAGATTGTAAAATACATTTCATTGCATTCTCTTGATTATCCAATCAAAACTCTTCAAAATGCAGGATAATGTAATTCTAAACAGATGATTTAATATGTAATTAACTGCAATCAACTGTTAAAATTATGCGATTGATTGTGATTAATTTTACCAAATGCCAGGCTTCCTGGTACCGCATGAAGTAACTGAATTTTACTCCAGCTGTGCAAACTTTAAAAAGTCAGAGACTCAAACTTTCTTGTTTACTTCTTCTAAAAAAGTTTATTCTCCTGTGTGAGTGCTGTCACTTTTCATTCAGTGTTTTCAAAAGCACATTTTGTTGAAGTTACTTCTGGTTTTGAATGCAGGACTCTTTAAGGGGATAATTTTACAATATTTCATTGTTTCTTTTACTAAAGTAGAAAGTCTGATTACAAAATAAATCACTGAGTTTAAAAGCCTTTAAATTTATACATTTATCATTTTGTAGAAATGTTTTCTGGTCAAAACATTTAGACACATATCTTTGTCAAAACTATTTAAAAACCATAAGAAGTCTTTTTGAGCCTTTTTGGATACAAGAAATATTTGTTAAAACCTGAAACTTACTCAGTTTTTTTCTGAGTGTTTTTTTAACACTCTGAAAATGTTTTTTTGCTTTTTGTTTCATTGTTTAATCACCCACTTGGTTTTCTTCTGGCGTAAAAACCAGAAACCCTCCACACAGCTCGAGCTCGATCAAAAACATCCCCCGGCTATTGATCTAATTTTTTTTTTTCACACACATGTGCCATGACCTACTCAAAGGCGTTAAATTCGCCTCTGATAAACTCTTTCTTTGTTTCTCACCCATGAAAGCAGCCCAGTGCAACGCCCGGCCGTCCTTCTTATCGAAGGCGTTGATGTTTGCTCCTTTGGCGAGGAGGAGGTTCACCATCTAAGAAGCACAAGGAGGGGAAAATCAGGGAGGTAATCTAAGAGGAGTATATTTGTGTTTATATGTTTGAGTGTGCGCAGCAGGCCCTGCATGTGTCAGCGTGGGCGACTGTCTTTATATAACGACGTTGTAAACATGTCTCATCACTGGGCTCAGCTGTTGCATAAACAGTCAGGAGAGGCCGGGATGGGCAGGAATAGAAGAAGGCGTTCATTCTGCTGCCTCTCATTGTTAATTTTAGATTCAGCGCACTTGTGAATGATTCTCCCGGAGACGAGAGTGTTTCAAAATGAGCAGCCCACTTAATAACAACAGAGGTGCAGCTGCACTCACCCACCTGTTTCCTCCGACAGGCTTCAGCAACAATAGCACAAAGGAGGGTTACATCACCGCCCACTTATTAATGAATATTTGGCAGAGGGAAACAAGCTAAACACACCTAACACCTGTTTGTTAGTGAATATATCATGGAGAAACACAAGTTGAATACACCTGTTCATTAGTTAATATATCAAAGCTGGAAATGTGCACAACACATAAATAACTGAGCTCCTGCAGTACCTCAGTGTGGCCATTGAGGGCGGCGTGATGCAAAGCAGTGCGCCCACCGCGGTCCGACACGTTGACGCTGCTCAAAAGTGGGATGATGACCTCAGCGCATCGCAGCGCATTATTGGCTGCGGCGACGTGAAGCGGCGTCTGCCAGTTCTTGTCCCGAGCGTTGACATCAGCAGAGTGACGGATCAAAACTCGCACCGCCTCCTGAAGATATAAGTCAAAGAAATGTTTTATTTAAAGGTATTTATCAAACATTTTTAAAGATATCTCTCATAAATCTCTTTGAGTATTTTTTGGATGATTTATTTAGCGGTAAAATGATATGATGTAGTCACCCTTGCAAGTCAGCACTAGATTCATTTATCATTTCTTCATTAAAATGCAATCAGACCGAGACACTAAGGCAGAAGAACTACAGAGTCTGCAGAGCAAAATGATTAATATGATGATTATTACTTGAAGGAAATTATAAAGAAATGATCATAAATGTTCTTCCTTGAGCTGCGTAACCCCGCAGCAGTCCATAATGGACCAAATTAATTTTATGCCGGAATATCCCTTTACATCAACTATTAATATTTCTATTACTATAAGCCTAAACTGCAGCTACTAGTCTGGGCTGTGGCTCCTGTTAATGTTATAATCCTCTACAACCCAGATGTAAACAAGCAAAGATGACAAATGTAATCCTGCAGTGTGGCGTGGTCGTTAAGCGTTTTTAGATCCACAAACTAGAGGATTATTCATCAAGTATCCAACGACGTATTCAAAATATCAAGTTCAGAGTGTGTCAGTATGTTTTTCCTGGTAAGTAAATTCCAGAGAGTCACAACAGATGAAACAATACACCTGCTGCCATTCACAACTACGTTCCTTTAAGCCACTAAAATTCCTCCTGCAGCTGCTCAGCCATGCAGTATTACCTGTTCTGGCACTGAGAGTGATGATGATGATGAGGCTGATGAAATGTTTTGACCCAGATTTACAGAGTATGAATGTAAAGCGGAGAGCCGAGCGAGTGAGTGAGTGAGTGAGTGCTGGGAGGGGCTGGAACTGATGAGTAAGAGTGTTATCAGGTAAACACAACAAGGTGTTGTCAGCTCTTTGACACCTGAGTCATTGTGAGAAACACTGTGGGAGTTGTTTTATTCTTCGAGGAAGAATTGGACTCAGTGGGTGTGTGTGTGTGCGAGTACTTGTGTATCTAACAAACAGGGAACTTTGATGTTGTTACACGCTCATCTCGAGGGGACTCGTCCACTAACTGGGGACCTTTTTAAGACCACCTGTTAAACATGGTTTGAATTAAGCTAAAATTATATGAAAATCCCTTATCTATGTATTTTTACCAACAGCGCACCAACAGCTGCAGGGATTTGCAACAAACCTGAGGCTTTTTAATAATTCCCAAATTTCATTTTCTATTCTATTTTTGCCCTTTAAAATGACCATAAATCCCCTTTTGGTCCGTTTAGAGTCAAAGTCCTCTGTTAGTAGGGCAGGCTTGTTTGTGTGTGCTCACCTCGCTCCGTGATGCCACAGCGCGATGGAGGGGGGTGAGCCACATGTTATCTTTGGCATTGACCCGAGCCCCTGCAGAGAAAAAAGGGGCAGAAAAAGAAGACAGAAATATGACACAGTCGAGTTAACCAACCAACCAACCACAGACAGCCATGAGTGTTAGCAAAAAAGAGTGGAGGAGATGCACGGGCCTGCAGGTTTCATTTGTCAATATAAACAACTTTAAAGAAACTTGGATGAAGTCACAGCTGATTTGTTGGACTTCATTAACAACCACTTTACATGGGCTGAAACTCAATGAAAGATGGATGCAGTCTCGATGGGGTCAACCATTGGTTTCTTAAGTCAAACGATGGTGAGGGACATATTCGAATTATTGACTTAATAACTTTTTGGTCAATTTAGACACAGACAATGAGGAGTTGAGGCAGGTCTTCAGCCTCTTGGCAAACAGCTTCATCCCTTTGAGTACATATTAAGATGACTAACTACGACCAAAACCATTACTTGTAGCAGGCCGTAAACATTTTTGAATCTGCTGTAAAACACAGGTAAGGGTTATTAGGATGACAGCCAGGATTTAAAGGAAGTTTGAACATCAAAAAGTCATTGACATTTAAAAGCTGAAATTAGTATTCAGCCAGTAATTATGAATGATGGCCCACCATCCCAAGATGACCCCCACCACTCCTAAAGAAATGAGCCAAATACATAAAATATGGGATTTAATAGCATGAGTTTCTCTGCATCAAGTAATGTCTCCGTTCTGTTCATGTATTCCTACCAAAGTCTTCATTTTCATCTTTGTGAGTGAGTCAACAAGTCAGTGCTTACAGACCGGCGATGAGAATCTAAGAATTGAAAGTCATGTGTGTCTTTTGGCGAAAACACAGATTACCAAACTCAAATTAAGAATATCTGTGTCTACTATTGTATCAAATACAGTTGAAAGGTCCTGGATGGTTTTCAAAGTAAAAGTTTGATCTGTTCATTTCTGTTGAGTCACATGACGGTTTTATTCTGAATGTGTACACTGTTCAGGTATCAAGTGATTGATGATTCTTCATTTAGCGCCATCTTTTAATTTGACCCTTTTCCTTTCGGCCTCTTTTGTACACACATGTATAAAAAAAGGTCTTTGTCACATGACACACGATCGCCCCTTCACAGGTGTTAGTGGGGATTCTTCAGCTTTTAGAGGCAGACCTCTAGCAGGCTTCATTTGTCAACCCTGGAGGTTACTGACCGGCTAAAACACTAGAATTTTATCAACTTATGATACTAAATCAATGATCTGAATCTAGGCCATTCCAGCCGCATCCCACATTCTTCTTAGTTATTAATAAATCCCACGAAAAGCCGAACAATAAATTCAACCTGCTGACAAGTATAGTTGCTGCCTTGAAAATGCAGCTGAATAAACACACTAAAAGACTCGTTCTGTCATTTACATCACAAATAAAATGTAGTTTTTTTATAGACATGGATGTCTGTTTACATATGGATAGCAGATATATGATCAAACCTATAATTTCGCAACTTTAACAGCTTCCTATGTTGCATTTATCAGAATATTGCCTCAAAAAGACAGCTGCAAGACTTCAAAGAATCAGCCGTCTCTTAGCACTGTGATGCAGAGGAAGAATCAATAATACATTTTTTAAATACTTAGTGTTTAACCAGTGGCACATCCTCATGTAAAACTCTCTTTACTCTATTTTGAAACACTCCCAAGCCTCCTGACAGCCTTTTTCTATCATTCTAGGATGTAAACACACAGACTATGTTGGTTTTTTTACACGATTATGTAGGTGCACTACAGGCTTTTGTAAACATTAGATAACTTGTTGTGTTATTTGGGACAAGTCATCACTGTCTGAGATTTAAAAAAAATAGAAGAAGATGGAAACTCATGCAGATGATTTAGACGAAAAGAACAAGTCTTACCAGAGAGGATGAGGAGCTCGGTGATCTCTGCATCGCCCAGGAAGGCAGCGGCATGCAGCGGAGTGCGCTTCTCTGAATCCTGAGAGAGGAAGTCACTCAGTTAGTGTTTGTTTGTTTGTACTTTTTTTATGTTTGGAATATGAATCACAGTTTTATCTTTCATAATCTGCATTCATCCTTAAGAGACCATGGTTTAGTTTGTAATCAGAATGAGAGCTGTGCATACAATCAAATTAAGAGAGTAACTCTACTGGAGTCCCCAGAGTCTCGGTCTGCATGTAAGTTGATATTGTGTTATACTCTCAAGTGTTTAAGTTATGTTTTTGTGTATCAATTTTCATGTCAAGCACTCCCAGCATATATCTTCTTGTTTTTAAGTACTTGGAGCGGCATTTTTTGTGCAAATGGCGCAACATAAACAGAGTTAATTAACTTAATTTTTATCATGTAAGAGTGCGACTCTCTCACACACAATACTGCCTGCTAAGCTCGTATCTATTACCCAGGATTCCTCTCTGGGAGTGAACAGAGGAGGCTGTGAGATCAGCTCACAGAGGATCAGTGACAGCAGCTGTCAGTGTCAACACAACCATTGTTCTACAGAGTCAGCTCACACACACACAGACACACACACTCGTATAACTGCAGCCCAGACACCAAAAACACATCAGAGGAGGACCCAAATGTAGGGGAGTCCTCCTGAAGCCATCATCAGAGAGCAAACACACTGAATCCAGCAGAGACCAGGACTGCAGGCCTGCCCGCATCCTGCTCTGCCCGCCTACACACGTGTTCTGCATCTTTACACACACATGATGTAAAAAAAAACACACTCTGAACTTTGCTCCGCTGACTCTTGACCTGCCCCGCTCTCCCTCGGGTGCTGACTGCTGCAGGAAGTGAAAGCAGAGAAGACGAAGAAGAGTGACATGGAGCTGGGTTTGTATTTTCTGAATGCGGACTTCGGAAATATTGAAATCTTGTGTCACTAGGACCAGAGTTTGGTCTCCGAAGTGAAGCGCTTTTCATCTGTAGTATGTTCAGCGTCACCTTCTAGGGTTTTAGTCATTTTTTGGCTGCACTGATTTAAATTTGGAGTTTCAATTACGGCTTTGAATCTATTTTAAGGTACTAAACCCTCTTATATCTGGGTTTGCTCAGGGTTTTAGCCACCAAGCCTGAATTCTAGAAAAATCTGACACCTCTAAAAAACCTGCTTATCTTGCTTTTACTCTTTTAATGAGATGTTTCTCTTGTTTTTCAACCAATAACCTGTTTTTATATTCCTTTACTGTGATATTTCTTTGCCTTTAAGATGTAAAGGGCACTAAAAATGTGTTATTATTATTGTTATTATTTTCATCAAAACTGTGTGTCTCTGTGTCTCCTCACCAGAGCATTGATATCTTCAGACTTGTAAATGAGCATTCGGATCTCCTCGGGGTCTCCGCTGAAGATCGCCTGGATGAGAGGAGGCTGCAGAAGGAGACACACGAGAAATTAGAGTTCAAATAAAATCAGTTATTCATCACATGATGAGGAAGAACATGGATGACACCATGATTGAATGAAACAGACTTTGAAGTTTAGAGGCGTGACTAAATGAAATACTTCCTGGACGTTAAACAAGGAGACAGAGCATGATCCTTCCCACGGTATATTGCAGAGTGTGTGTGTAAGTGTGTGTGTGTGTGTGTGTTTAGAAGAGCAGCTGCTTGACTTTAAGCTGCTGTGTTTACAAAATCTGGAGCACCCGGGCTGCAGCTACTATACACTGTATATTTAAATGTTCTTTATTACCTTCTCACACAGACAGGAGACTGAAATATCTGCTGCCGTAGAGAGAAAACTGTTTTTGGTAGATACAGATCATAAAAATAAGACGTCTAGCAGAGAAAAAGCTCTAATGAAGGGCGCAGCGTGGAGGTCAGGCCCATATTTTCCCTCCCAGATCACAGATATGATGTAAATAGAGGCTGTAGACACAAACATACACATTCACAGACACACACAGAAGCTATCAGTCCATCAGCGCTTCACAGTAAAGGTTTTAAAGAAACAGACACCAGTGAAGGGGGGAAGGAAATGTCTGCAGGGGAACTTCTGAAAAAGACATTTCAAAATAAAAGGTGAATCATTGAATTTTTACATATTCACTCCTTCAGGGTACAAATTTTATCACAGAAATGACAAGACATGAGGTTTTCCTGTTTTAAATGTATGTTTTAATACCATCAATTAATATGCAACCATATTTTATCATTTAAACACGTCTAAGAGTCACACAGAAAATATCTAAACTTAAGAAACAATAACAATAATCTGTTTTGACTATGAAATTGTTAGTTTTTCTGCAGCTCAGGTGTACATTCCTTACATTTCTGGAAAATTTTTTAGCAGTTTTTATTCTTATTTATTCAATTGTGCCAGAAATTCAAAATTTTATGCAAATATTGTTTTCAGGTAGTTTGCATTCACTGCATGGATACCTGCAGATCATTTACAAAGCAAACAAAAGGGGAGGGAGGGAAGAATGTCACACAGACGAACACGACTAGAGTGGAAATGTTGGTGTGTTAATATAAAGAGCATGCAGGATAACTTAGATCTTTTATAAGTTAGATCTTTTATTATGTTCTCTCATGAAAGTTTAATCTCTAAATTTCTTGTGCAGTTGCCTTTTGTAAATAAAGTCTGCACTAAATAATCTCCAATGAGAATAATGCCAAAACAAACAAAAATGAATATAAATATTTATGTTGATTTATTATCCAGCTTTAACTGATAAGAATCTGGTCTTGAAATGTCAATATGTGCAGAATTTAATGGAAGCAAGAGACAGCTAACAAAAATTAAACATGAATTAAACAACGTGAACATCTTGGTTTATCCAAAACATCAAATCAATGTTATTCAGATAGAGCCTCTGTTGTTATCGTAGCTTGATTGTCACTAAATGTTTAGTACATGTAAAATTTAAACCTAAAAACGGATTCAGCTGCAGATTTATTCTCACAGGAAAAGTAAAATCTATTTAGGTTAAACAAAACACCATTCATTTATCAGAATAGGATTCTGGAGGAGATCAAAACTAACAGTATGCCTTTTTCACACCATAAAACCATGAACAAATATAGAAATATCGATGTAAAGTACATGGAAGTGTGAGAAAACTGTATAAAAATGAGCGGTATGGTCCTTTAACACCAAACAGAGACAGTTACTATCCGCTGCATTCACTGACATAAATCACTCAAGATCTGAAGGCAAAGCCCCCACACAGTCTGGATGTAAAGGCTACAGGCTACAGGTTTAGCTGTGTAAGAGATGAATCAGATGTAACAGAACAGACGCGTGCTTCTCCTCACTTCCTGTCTCTTCTTGCTTCACTTCTTCTTACGCGCTCTCTTCTTCTCAGAAACCAGAGAGAGGAAGCGCAGAGCAGCGTTTCACTTCTGCTTCAAAAACTGAGCACACATGATCGCACAGAATGACAACACTTCCTCTTCAGGGCCTTATTTCTGAATCTAGTGTTCGGCCACATCATCACGTCATCCTGATCTCTGTATCCCTTAAAAACATGAAGGTGCTGTCCTGTGATACTGGTACCTGAGTCTGTTAGTGATACCAGTTCATACAGTCAGGGAGTAAAATGTGACTCTAAAAATCCTTCTCTCTTCTCTTTTATGGGACAGAACAGATCAACTATGGTTTGTCTTGTTTATTCTTGTACTGTTTAAGTTTGTACCCATACAATTCAGTACTTTCCTGCCAAAATGTACCAATCTTCTTTGCAAATTTTGTTTTAAGGTTCTGTTTATGTCATTTTATGCTGTTTCAATTATTGTATCTTCAATAAGCAACGGATACAATTAAGTATCCCCCTTTCTTGAACATGTCTCCAGTAAGGGATGTCACTGATGTGCTCCACCTGCTTCTTGCACACTGACTGTATTTCTGCATGAAACAAAGTCTGCCAATACATAACTGGCAAAACTGTTGTAGCAATTTCACAGAACAATATGCAGCTGAGAGGCCGAGGTCAGGCCAAGTCTTTGTGTGACATGTGAAACCAAAAAAAAAAATCACTGAAATCTAAAAAATTTTAGAAAACCCACTTAAAGTCGATATTAATCAGCGTAATCAAAGAAAGACAGGGTTTCAACCTGCTCAATATGACAACACAAAGACAATATCATGAATACCACAAAAATACACGCACAGAAAAAAAACACAAACCCTCAAAATGACACTAAATATACTCAATCTGATCAAGTCCTATCTGGAGATAGACTTTGGGGTCTGGGTGCTCTTCCTGGAAAAGCAGCCAGCGATTGGCAGCATGTTGCCTCTTTCACCATGCCCTTCTTTATAAGTGCTCCACATACCCATGCGCACACATTCTCGGAGTCTACACACACACACAAAAACTTTAGCTGGCAGTGATCCCTCATCACAGCACTGTGTCTGTGAACGAAGTGAGGAAACAAGGAGGCTGACGCTGGCAGAGGACAGGACTCAATGAGACTTAAGGAGAGGGCGTGTGAATGAAAGACTCCTCAGCTCCTGAGTATCAGGACCAAACTACAGCACTTTATCGAGGCTGATCAGTTTTTAACAAGATGATCATGAAGTCAGGTGGGTTACGATCAATAAAAAAACAATTTTGATAAGTTTAAATTCTTCTGAATTTTCCTCCTGCCTTTTTTTTAATGTTGGCTTTTTAATAACATTTCTCTAATCTCTAAATTAGCCTTTAAAACTATGTATTTTCTACACATAGATAACACCTGGGCAGACCATTCTTGTTTGCGTTTTTAATATGCAGAAGATCACCACCTGCAATTAATGATTTAGACAATCTCTTGTGAGTTCTATCAGCTGCTGTGCCTGACACATGCTCTGCAGGGGATTAGAGAGAGGACGGCACTCCCGGTTATACACTGACTGACTGAGGTGACTCACTCATATTAACCTGTTTTATTTATAACTTACACAAGGGATGTCCCAAAACAACACAAATACGAGTCATGAAAACAGAAATTTAAGTTTAGACTGCTAAAAAACTACGCACTGCACCTTTAATCGGTCACTGTATAAGAGGGGGAAAAAATGAAAAGGACAGTAATGACCTCGATCCTTCCTCGACAGTTCATCCTGTGGGTATGTTTTTGTTTAGATGAAGGCGGATGTTTAAAAAAATACCTATTTCAGAGTTTATTCAATATTTATGTCTTGGATGGCCTTTCCCATGAGCCTTTTCCCTCTGTGGGTTTACTAAAAACTGCAGAGAAATCATCTTAACCATAAAGGACATACTAAATGAGACAGTGAGGCTCATTTTTCTTCTCAGCACCATACAGGGCCATTTTAACTTCATCATTAACAGTGAGATCGTGCGAATGAAGGGACAGATTTCCCCCTCTGTCTATCTTCCACTTTCTCATTCCTATCCTACACAAACTTCCTCCATCAGATTACCTCTGTTTTCATTTCCAAACACTCAAACGCTAACACGCTAACATGCAACACACATACAGTATGTCCTGTTTTGTGTCTCCCTGTTTGAAAAAAAAAGGTCTTTTCTCTGCAGCCATGTCTTCATTTCCTGAGATGCCTGAGGTGACAGGCTCCGAACTGCCCCATCTCCTCCCCCTCGGGACCATGACACACTTCTGAAGTCCCTCTGCAACTTATTACTCTCTCAGTCTGCTGCAACATGCCCAACATACAAATCACTGTATTTTTCACCTGCCTTCAACAGACACAGGAAACAATAGAGGAAACCGGTGTGAAAGAAAAAGGAAAACCCAGAAAAACACAGGATATCTGTTAAGAAAACATGCACACGTCCATGAAAAAAGCTGCAGTACTGTGGTGGAAACTTAAAAGTCAACAACTTCCTGCACTTCCTCTTTTCTGCACAGGTCTATAACCCCTAAAATCTACCCCACAAGTGACTTTGAGCTCCTTCAATAAGTGACGACCAAATTTTTCAACAAGGAAGTAAAAAAAAAGTACAAAATAAACTTCATACAGGGCTGAAAATGCAAGGCAGTGCCGCTCTAGAAGAGAGAATGTGATGCAGTACTTTCTGTCTAACCATTCTAGTGGAGAAAACAATATTGGAAAAAACACTTCACAAAAAAATGAGGTTCAATTTTAGTGAAGAAAACAAAGAAATGATGAGAAAATGTCATGATGGGGCCCTAATGGTGAACAAAATGTGTTGTTTTGGGGGAAAACAAAGTGAGCTCCCACAGTTCTAGCGGAGAAAATGCCATGCTGTACCCTACAACCTGCTTCTGTGGTAGAGAAGATACAATGAGCAACCGTTTAAAAGAGAAAACGCAGTAAGTGATAGCGCTACTTTACTAAAGAAAACTCAGGGCAGTGCCGCTTTAGAGGAGAAAATGTGATGCAGTACTTTCTGACTAACCATTCTAGTGGAGAAAACAATACTTGACAAAACACTGCACAAAAATATCATTCAAATCAGATAAAGTAAAATGCAAAGACATTGGGGTTCAATTTTAGTGAAGAAAACAAAGAAATGATGAGAAAATGTCATGATGGGGCCCTAATGGTGAACAAAATGTGTTGTTTTGGGGGAAAACAAAGTGAGCTCCCACACTTCTAGTGGAGAAAATTCCATGCTGTACCCTACAACCTGCTTCTGTGGTGGAGACGATACAACGAGCAACCGTTCAAAGGAGAAAACGCAATAAGTGATATCGCTCCTTTACTGGAGAAAATGCAGGGCAGTGCCACTTTAGAAGAGAAAATATGATGCAGTGATCTGACTAACCATTCTAGCGGAGAAAACAACATTGGACGAAACACTGCACAAAAAAAGTTTTATTCAAATCAGATAAAACACAATGCAAAGACATTGAGGTTCGATTTGAAGTGAAGAAAACACAAAGAAATGATGGGGCCCTACTCATGAACAAAATGTGTTGCAGTGCCCAAAAGTGAACTCCCACATTTCTAGTGGAGAAAATGCCAAGCTGTACCCTACAACCTGCTTCTGTGGTGGAGAAGATACAATGGGCAACAGTTAAAGTTTGCTGCACTGTGTTTTAGTAGTGAAATATGAATGCAGTGAGTCTACTGAATTTCTAGAGGAGTAAACATAATGCTGGACCTCTCTAGCGGAGAAAATGTGATGTAGCCTATTCAGGCAGCCCATGTAGAAGTTGAAACCCAAGGTAGGCCAGCAGGATAAAACAGGATAAAAATCACAACCCAGGACCTTTCAGATGGAGACAAGGTAAGGCAGGTAATGCCCATGATCAGGTTTTTGTGAGTATTTTGCAGTCTGCAAATACAACTCTATTGTTACCAAAGAACAAACCATCCACTTTAATTGCACCAAAATCTGACAAAAACAGGTTTGCAAGTGCTGCTCTCTTGATGAGCACATGATAAAAGACAGCAGAAAAAGAGAAAAAAAAATCAAGAAGCCTCTGAGCTGAGGCATCCAGTTATCAGCTTCATCAGCATGTTGTCTGAAAATAACAGGAAGTCCCTCAGTTCTTCTGAGTTACATAAAAAAACAGATCTTCCCTTCCTTGAAGAGAAGAGCAGATCAGAAACAACAGCTAGAGCAGTGCTGGGTCAGATGGGGATTTCTCACTCTACTTTTATCACGCTAAAGCTCTCCAGATACAAGCGAATGCAGAATAAAAACAGGGCGGCACTATGACAGAGTCTGGGTATCTACAGAAGTGAGATCAAAAAGAAAAGGCTCAGATTTGGGGACCTGTAAAGTGATCACTGAGCAGTGAAAGTTAGACTCAACTTAAGGAATTCACTGCTTTTCTTCCCTCATTATTTTAGCATATTAAAAACCTCTGTTGTTTTTGATGATTTGATGGACAAAAGAGGCAAAATGAGGGTGTTGATTTGGGCTTTCAGGAACAGTTATGGATGTTTTTCATTGTTTTTTAAGTATTTCACAGACTATTGAGGAAGTAATGAATGAAAATCAGTTGAGGAGGAGGAGGAGAGGAGGAAGTGATTGTTAGCTGCAACACCGACATCTGCACTCGTGGCTGTTTTAAGATTTCCAGCTGTTCGTTTTGAAGTTACCCAAGTTTTCCAACACTTTTCAGGACTCTTTTGTGCATTATTTTGCTTAAAAAATGTACATTTGGAGGAAAAAGCTTCTTTTGAGGGAAATCTTGTGACTCAGGAGACAGGAAAAACACTCTCTGTAGTAACACTGCGGATGCCAAATGTATTCCACCAAGATACATGGCCTAATTTTCACTAGCTGACAGTTTTGGAGTGGCAGATTTGCACCCGAAAATGTCCCAATTTGTGAATTTTTAAGAGATGTTTACAGAAGGTTACTCAATCCTTTAATCTAAAGACAATGTTTAGTTTAGCCCTGCATCAAACTCTGCATTGTTAATAAAATCAGATCAGAAAGAGACATAATAACTTGTATTGCTCGCCACTTTCAGGCATTAATCACTCCTTTTTTGTGCACGCTCTTGCACACTTTCCCCGAGTTAATTCCCACACAAGTTTACATAATTTGAAAACTAGGTAGACCTGCCAAGGATTAGAAATGTCCCCGATCACTTGAGGAATGTGCAAACCACAAACTCTTCGAGACAGATTGTTTGCTTTGAGAACAATACTGCAGTGAGTCCAGTAAACTTCACACCTTTTAAAACAGACATCATTGGATTTTACACTGGGATCTCAAATCTGAGCAGATTTATCCTGTTAGATGTTTCATAACAGGAAATACATGAAGCCGACAACCAAAAGACTCATATAGTTTTTTGTCGTGTAACTCACCATTGAAGACATATGACATTTAGATCTTTGTGGACGTCCTGAAGCCTCTTTAAGGGTCCCTGAGGGTCCCCAGAGGGACCCCGATAAGAGAACCACTGGTTCAGCCAACATCTCAAATATTCCTCCTCATATTTTTGCTCAAACTTGACCAGGATTGGTTTGTATTTGCAGCTTTGCCTCATAAAACATGAATCTGTTCCAGCTGTGGCAGCAGTATTAAGCATGCATTTGTGGCAGCAGTGACTCTGCATCAGTCTCCGGTTATATTTTCATTATTGAGGACATGCTCGCTGCAGCACCGAGGATGCTTGCGGAAGGAAACAGAGCAGGAAGTATCAGTGAAGAAGTGGGCTGTCCTAATTTTAACGGAACATCGAAAATTATTGCCATAAAAGCCAAAAATCTAGACGATTTAAAACCTCTGCTTTGTGGTTGAGATCTGAGCGCATTTACCAGCAAACTGTGAATCTTTTCATAGATTCTGGTACAATAAGCGTTCACAAAGAAAGCACATAGACACACGGCGATTGGAGAATATATCACCCCCAAATAGAGATGATGAAGCCTATCTAATGCTAGGCTAGCAGCTAGCAGGGTCTACCTGGTCGGCCAGTTTGAGTACAGCCATCTCTGGGTCAGCTCCGGCGTCTCATCCACTCCCTCCCCGGCCCCGCTGCACCATGCACGGGGCGATGCTGCGCCGCTCCCCCGCTCCTCTCTCCGGTCCTCCCGCGGCACTTCCAGCGGCTAAATGCACTCGCAACAGGCTGGATGTTGAAGAGGATGAAGGCCGAGGACCAGGGCCAACATCAGCCCCGCTACAGTGACGCTATCTACGGTGGGTCTGCTGAGCCGAGGCGGCTGCTCTGGAGCAGGATCGGTGGGACCCTCCGGTGTAAACAATCCACATTTATGGCTTCTGGTTTCCACTGCTCCTTCTGCACGGAGGTCCTGGCAGTCTCTCCGACCCGTACACCACCTCCCTATCCCTCAGAAGCCTCCTCCTGCCCGGTCTGCAGAGCCACAAGCCTCCCGGAGCTGCAGCTCGCTGGACTCGGCTGAACGCAGATCGACACACAGGAAGTGTGAAGCTGTCTCTCCTCCTCCTCCTCCTCCTCCTCCTCTCAGATGCAGAAGTGGAGGAGAAGCTTCCTCAGCATCAACAACGAGCAGCTGCTTCTTCTCGCTGCTTCCACCTGCTGGATGCACAGAGAAAGACAGAAAGCTGGATATGGAAGTAAATCTGTGCCATCTGATTTTGAATTTGAAATTTTAAAGACTATTTTTTTTTTATTTTTGCATCAAAATCAGACTTTGAATTTCAAAACAATCGAATTTCAAGTACGCATTTTTATTTCTGACCCTAACTTTTTTCACAATGATGAAATAAATCCAGTGTAAAAAAAAACAGTCTCTCAAAAGATTTGTTTGGTAAACATTCGACTTAAATAAATTTGACATAAATAAAATTTCAGAGTGACTCAACATCCACTCTCCTACATAAATATTTTGAGAGACCAATTTTTTGTATATTGAATTTAGTTCATCAATGTGAAAAAAAATAGAAATAAAAATGCTAGAAATAAAAATGCATGCTTGAAATTCAATGATTTTGAAAATCAAAGTCTGTTTGTGATGCAAAAAAAAATTCAGTTTTAAAAATTCTACTTCAAAATCAGATGGCATATTTTAACTTCCACAGTAGCAGCTTCAAACCATTCCTAAATACACAGGAGGGATAACAACACATTTTAGGTACTTCAACATAACCTGAGTCTTTTTTTTTTAAATTTAAATCCTTACTTTTCAAGAATATTTTGTAAAACAAGCAACCATTTTACTACCAGGTTAATTTGTGATGATTCACTGAAGCATCTTCTTTTTCTTTGTTTTAGTGTGGAAATAATCATCTGATCTGATGACATGATATTTGGTAATGTTAATTGCACTTTTATACGGTGGCCGGTTGCATTCTTTTTTATTTGCAGCAGTGGCGATTCTCGGCCATAGTACTTTCATGATAAAATTAGAAAAAAAAAAAAACATGTTTTCAAACTGATTTTAACTCCAATCTACATATCACCCTGTGGTATCAGTACAAGCAGATATAGATGAGAACTGAGACTGAAAATATTAAAGTGCACACCTCTGCTAGAAGCTGGACAAATGTAGGTTGCTCAAGGATGAGGCCTGCTCTGTGTTTTTCAGCCACTTGAAAAAAAGCTCAGTTGTTATTTTACCACTTAATTAAACCAAATCAGATCAATGCTTACTTTTCACTAATCTAATATGAGGGGTGTGTTTTAGGTGTTTAACCCTCACAGGTTTTTAGTGCATTGTTGCCCAAAAATCACAACCCTCAATCCTTGCCCCAACTTTCTTCACACGTCACTGGCTTCAGCATATATGAAAATAAAACAATAAAAATCTTTGCTTTATCTGTCTGGTGAATTCTGAGAAATTTCCCAGTATACACCCAAACTTTTGATGTACATGAGGCTCAAGAAAAAGAAGTCAGATCAGACCCTAGTGGATGTTACTGTCTGCTTTAAGTTACAAAGCTGCTTCATCTGATGCTTGTTGAAATATTTCAGTCTGGACCAGGAAGGCGACGTGCTCCTAGAGTGACTAAAGATCCTCCTGAGCTGCAAAGATCTGATGTTATCTACGAGACACAAAGAGGAGCCTCTTCAGTTTCCTGTCTTTATAACTCCAAGTATGATCTGAATGAAAACACTGAAGAATGAAAAAGACGAGCTGCTGTCTCTGCTGCTGCTGCTGCTGCTGCTTTGTGTTTGTTGAGTCAACACTGAGAGGAAACCCGGAAAACTGCACATCACTGTTAATAATAACCTGACCGCAGGGAGAGGACTGTGATTAAAAAATGTTTCTGCAGTGAAACATCGTCTGCTGGAAGTGACGCGAGCATTAATACAGGGACGACAACAGCTGTAATTTAGTCTTTGTTTCCTTAAAACTGCGACATTTTGACATTTGATTTGATGTGTTGCTACATAATTAACCACCAGAGCGTCGAGTCTAGTGGTTTAAGTGCGCCCAGTGTAATGAGGATAAAGTCCTACAGGCCATGACACTTGGCTGCTCTGTCCTCCCCCACTTTCTACTATCCATCATACTTTAAAAAAGGGAAAAATGACAAAAATCTGACCAAATAAATCACCAAAAAACAGAATTACTTGATATATCTTAACTATTGTAAAGGTAGTGAATTAAAAGGAGTTAACATTCATTTCTCTGAGATAAGTATGCGGGTGCAGCTTTACTATAAAACAGTTTGGGTTTCCTCAAACCTGGAAACTGTACATTCAACCACACAAATGCCCCTTTCAACATATTTCTTAAACTTTGCAAAACTTGTCATTTTTTCTTCATTTCTCTGACTTTTTACTGTGACTAAAAAGCTGAATCCTTCTCTGTTTTTTCACCACCATCTCCCCTGATCTGCTTCCTCCATCTCTGCCTGTTCGCTCTGTCATTGTGAACATGTTGGCATGTATTTCAGCCTGACAGAGCCACGAGCATCACATGATAAATGCATGTAGTTCACGAATTAGCCTCAAAGCAAATCCCTCACTGCTGCAGCCTTTTAGTGTGAACATGTGACCCCGGTCAGATTAACCCTTTACTCAAACTTATGTGTGAAAATAAAATGAATATAACCTCCTCTGCAAAACTGCAAAGTTTATACAGAGACAAAACTTTCTATTAAACGCAAACAGACGCAAACACATCTCTGCCTTTCAAGGAAAATCCCTGTGCCGCCTCTCTCACACACTCACACAATCACACACACAAACACTCTGCGTTCCTCTCAGATCAGCAGACCCAGAGTCTGGCAGCAGAATCTGGGTCAGAGCGGCTGTGCGGCAGCAGTGAATGGAAGTGAAGAAGAGTGGGGGAGGTTTTTTCCTTTCATTGAGCGCTCATGCATGTGTGTGTGTGTGTGCAGGGGTGAAATGTTTTTAGTGCAAGTAAATTCCCTATTTGTTTGTCAAAAACACGACAGAAGGCTGGGGAGACACTGCAGGAGTCTGATTGATTTTAAAGGCTAATTTTTGGAACAAACTTCAACCAGAACTCTGCTTTTTTTCTGCAGTTTGAAGATTAAAAGCAGGAGAGGTCATGAACAAAGGTTAGAGTAATGTAAGTTTAATCCTATTTTGAAAGTTTGCACTGTTATAACCAAAAAAAAGGCCAGAATGAATATTTCAGTGCTGATTTAAAATGAAAAGGGTTCTAGTTTTTGTAAATGTGACTGTTTTACACAAGGCTGAACAAAAGCTACAACACTGTCTCCAACTTTAAAAATCATAACTTTGGTTCCTTGTTTGTTTGATCTGATTCATCTGCGGGGTTTTGTTTTCAACAGACAAATAAAAAGCCAAAATTCCCTGAATGAGGCCTGATTTAAAAGATAACATCATGACCCTGAAAAATAGACTATGACATGTCGTACCCCCCTTTAAAACATTATGTGGCTAATCATCGACAAATTAACTTCAAGTATTATCAATACTACGACTGTATCCTCTAAAGAAAATTATTTTACTATGACTTAATCCCTGTGAGAAAATGACTTTAAAAATGGTGTACCTCAGGGCTCTGTGCTTGGACCACTTCATTTCATTATCTTAGGACACATAACCCTCCAACACAGTCTCAAAATCCACCTATCCTCCATCCGTCCCTCTTAAAGTCCCGTTTAAGGTCCATCACTCGAGTGCCAGGGTTCTCATCTCGACCAAGCTTTGGCAGCACATCACTGATGATGAACATGCTCCGGATCTCTACAGGAGTCTGAAGAATATCATCAAAATAGTTTTTTCATTACTTACAAAAAGGTAGCTTTTCAGATATTCTTACATATGTTTAAATTTTAGTCACTATGACTGTAAAACATAGTCTAGATTCTTCTTAAATTTTCTTTAAATTTTGGTCATCTTTGATTGGTATTAATCTACTCATGTTTAATATCTCAACTTTGAAAATCGTGTCTTGGGTCCACCATCATGTCCTCTAGATCTAAATTTCAAACCTGTAGTTCAGGAATCATTTTAAAGTCCCATAACTCTGACTTAAAGCTGCACAGCTGAAGCTGACTGTCTGCACCTCCTCCATGAAGTCAGGCTGAGTTCATCCCTCTGATGTGAGCGATGACTTCATCCTGAATGAGGCCACCAGCAGAGACATCCCCCATCCTTCCCCAAATCCTCCCCCATCCTCCCTTTGTATTATCAGTGTGTTATGTCTGCAGAATTAAAACATGAAGGTTTGTGGAGATCCTCTCAAATTTAACCATTTCAACTTACAATTTTTGTGTTTATAAAGTCTCAGTGTAAATTTACCCCCGCTTGAATGCAGGAAACTTAACCTAAAGTTGTTTTTTTTCACAAATAAATCCACTTATTGCCAAAACTCCACTACAGCATACAGCTTTAGCTACCAAACAAGAATTATGCAGATAAAACAAAAGCTCAAAAGATGTTACATTATATATTTAACAATATCCAATAAAATATTCATACATACTTTTGTTTTTGTCGGTTTTTCACTCCCAGACATGAAAGAATGAGGACTTCTTTGCATAAAAATGTTCATGTCTAAAAACACGAGTAAGTACCGTCCAGAGGTTTTCACCTTCACATCTTCACGACAAGTAGTCTTTAGATAAATCGAGAGATTAAGGACACAGCTGGTCAGTTCGATGTCTTTCAGGTCATGGCTCCATGAAAAAAAAATAACGTGCAATGTCCTGGTTCTGCCAGTGGAATCAAAAACTGATCACCATTTTAAAAGTATCAACAGAACAACTCTTTCTAGCTCCATGATGACAGCTTAAAGTCATTGTAAAGTCTCTTTCATCAAACTTTAAGACAGGTTTGAATATTTGTTTTCAATGTGATTTGTAGAAAAAGATTAAAAAGATATTTGGAAACACTTAATATGAACCAACTTCTTGTAAAGCAAGTTCATAAAACTTTTTTAATTGTGCGGTTTGAGGTTTTGACCCGGCCTTTAACTTCCCCAGATCTGAATTTATAAAGGTCTACTCACACCTAAAGCTTTTCAAAATATGTTAAAATTTTGTCACGTACTTAAAGGAAAAAAAAAAAAAGACACTGATACACAAGCGGTGACTTTTATACACAAACATTTTATTAGGTTAAATAAAGCAACAACCTAATGAGAACAGAGGAGGAGTGAAACAAGGAAGAGGAGGTGTGTAAAGGGAGCTCGGAGGCCGATCATTACACACACACAGAAAGAAAAAAAAACAATCCAAATATTTAAAACATCGTGATGACGACTGCTCGGCTTTTCTTCACTCGAGGTCAGCGTGACCTTCACAGGGGGGACACTTAAAGAAGAGTAAAAATAAAAAAATACATACAGACTCTACTACAGTGTCCCTTCTTTTTCTTTCTCCTACTTTTCATGCTCCTTTCGATCTCAGTATCGGTAAAGGTGGTGCCAAACAGAGGCTGGGTGAGCTAAATCAAATTCGGACTCAGACGACAGCGCGGAGGAGAGAGAGAGAGTGAGGACGTTAATTTCTATTTACAAAACGTACTCTAGCTCGTAGCGGACATAGACGTTCTTCTCGTCGTTGTAGACCTGTGGGTAGTGAGCGATGAGGGCGTCTTGAGAGCCGATGTAGATCGAGTTGTAGATCTTCCAGTAGACGTCTCGCACTTTTCTGGCCGGATGGAACAGACCCTGAAGAGAACCAGAAACGTGATTTTCAACATGACCATCACTGAAATACAAAGATTTAAACTTAAACTTCGTCAGAGTTTGACGGTTTTTGGGTATCTTTACCTGTAAGCAGTACTGAAGCATGCGGCACGGTCCGATGGCGACCCTCAGCCCCTCCAGAGCGCCCATGACGGCCTGAATCACGTGAGGTGACGTCTCGAACACGTTCGGCCAAACGTAGTTCAGCAGGTGGTTCAGAGAGTCCTCGCAGCCAAAGCCGTAGACGCCCAGAGACATGTGCTGCACCACGGCGCTCGCTGTCTGCCTGTGGACCAGGTCTCTGCAGAGGGACACGGGTACAGGGTGAGACTTACCGCTTCAAATAAACTGATAATCATAAAACCCGAGGATGTGATTCCTTTCTCACCTGTCCATGAGAGCGTCCTCCAGCAGAGGCGTGACGGCGTAGATGTAATCTTTGCCCATCTCTCCGATGTACTCGAACAAGAAGGAGAGGGATTTCAGCACGCCGTTCTGCACGTTCAGCTCAGGCACTCTGTATTCATTCATGAGCGCCGGGAGCACGGTGAAGGGCGAGCAGGTCTCGGCGACGATGGCGATGGCGACTGTGGTGCAGACTCTGTTCTGTCGCTCCTGGACCTTCAGGTTGTTGAGGAGAGTGGCCAAGACATCGTGGGGACTGAAAGGAGGGAAGAGAGAGTTACATCCCGGTTCATAAGCGCTGTTTACGTTAGCATCAAAACATCAGAGATCATGACGGTTTTGAGGCACTCACCCAATAGCTTTAGCGATATAACCGAACGTGTTGACTGTGGCTCTGCGGATCGCCTTTTTGTGAGCCTTCAGCAGCTCGAGCAGCTCGAAACAAATCCTCATCCACTCTCTGGCAGAAACGTATTCTGCACCCCTGAAACAAAACCAAAATGTTAGAATAAAGCTACTAAAGGATGACGAGATCTCTGGGATTTTACATCTGCGAGGCTTTTTTTTTTAAACCGACCTGTCAGCTATCCTGCCCACCAGGTCGATACAGTTCTCCTGCACCTTCTCGTGTCTGTTTTTCAGGATGGGGGTCAAACGAGGGAGCAGGTCTTTGATGGGCGGGGTCATCTTGTGCATACCTGTGACGAAAAGAAAACAGTTGAGTAGCTATTCAGTGTTTGAAATGTGAGCAGCAAGGCAAAGCAGGTTTATTATGTGAAATGGGAAGATGTGGGAGACGTACCAATAACATTGACGATGGCCTTCAGCGCCCCCAGGATGCTTCCTAACACCTCAGGGTACTCCTCTCCTAGGTACTCATACAGCACCACACCCAAGTGACCCATCAGCTTTTCCTGCAGAGACAGGAAGTAAAGCATGCGTTAGGATTTTAAAATGAGCTTCATGTTTGGTCGGTTTTTAATCTCTAAGTGCATCTCTGAATCGCTCACCTCCTGGCAGGTCTTCATGACCACAGCTGTACGTGAGATCAGGTCAGCAGCCTGCTGACGGACTTTAGCCGACTTGTTGTTCAGACGCCACAGCACGGTACCGCAGATCTGAGGCAGGTAGGGCTTCACGCGCTTCCCCAGAGCGTTCACCACCGTGCCAAAACCGTTCAGCATCACCGAGTCCTGCAGATGAAGAGCACATGGTGAGCTTAAAAATACACCCTGTAAACAAGAGGCTTTGTGGATAGAGAGGTTAAAGCCGGTCACTATCAATCCGCTCACCTCTGTGGTCTGTTCCTGGAAAGCGTACAGGATGCCGTCAATCAGCTGCTCCTCCAGCTTGTGGTCGATGTCGGCCGCTCCCAGGTTGCCCATGATTTTCTCAATGGTCTCCATCACCATTTTTCTGTACTGCTCAGCCTCGTCTTTCAGGTCGTCAACGATGCGAGAGATGATCTCTGCGGCTCCCACCTTGTTGGCCAGCTCCACAGTGGTGTCCACCAACTGTGTGAGAAGAAAGGCAGTTCAGTGAAGTTTTACCATCAGAGTATTACAGACAGACACCAACCAACCATGACACCCTGATGGTGACAATAATCAACTTTATAGGTTGTGTTTTTTGGGAAACATCTAACTAGATGGACACAAAAACATAAGATAAAAAACTTGAGGACTTCTGTGGCAAAAACAAAGCCAAAATTTTAAATTATTCTTCTGTTTAACACCTAGAATGTATACCATGTTGTCTCAAGTCTACTTCAGGTGCACTCTTCCTGAGGATGACTTTACACTTTACATTTTGACAAATAATCATCTTGCAATCCAGTAGACACATAAATACCTAATTTTTTTTGTGACTGTAACCAACGGGTGCAGGTTGAGAACAGACGAGGCAAAAACGCCAGGTCTGCTAGCTCTCATGTTGGTGTTAATCTAGCGAACGACTAGCCCTGATCAGACCACGGACTGGTAGAACAGGCGAGAATAGTTTGCAGGAATTAGAGAGTGAGTTTTCAGCTTGATAACATGCTAATAATTACTGTGTGGGATGCAAATATCTTGAAATTGTCTACTGTGCTTGTAAATATTTTGTTAAAGAGACAATAGTATAAAGACACAGCAGGAGTGAAACACCAGAAAATTATAATCAGATTTGTACATTTAAAAAAATTCACATCCCGTCTTCATATGTTGCAGCTCAGCCAGTTCAGAGCCCGTACATCGATTTTGTTTGGTTGAACATTAACGCGTCTCGGTGTTTACTAACCTGTCTGTAGTTGCGTCTGTCCAGAGCCATCCTGTGCTGCCAGAAGTGCTTGAAGAAGGGAGGCAGGATCTCAGTCTTGATGTAGTTCGCTTCGACACCATCAGTGCCACAACACTGCTTCACCACCTGGGAGACAAAAAAACGCAGGTCAAGACATGAGACGAGAAATGTCCAGTCACTCAGTCCCGTTATCTCAAAACAGGCAGTTTGTATCAGTATCCAAATAGTCCTTGTAAGTAGGTACAAATTCAGCATGTTTTTACTAAAACTGAATCTCTGGCAATCCTCTGCATTTTTTCAACCTGCTCCAGAGGTCATGGTTCAGAGGAGCCTTTCTGCTCAAGTTATCTCAGCGGGTCGAGTTTCTTGCTGTGGCCAAATCTTCTTTAAAAAATTTAAGATACTTAATTTAAGCTTTTTTTTTGGCATAAGTAATTTAAGTCACTGCTTGTAACCAACGGGTGCAGGTTGAGAGCAGAGCAGACACTGCAGTCCGCCCTGTTAGTTCTCATGTTGGTGTTCCTCTAGCGAGTTACTAGCCCTGATTCACCCATAGAGAGGGTGAACAGGCGAGAATGGTCGCAGGGCTCCAGTTTAGGTGTTTTTTTTGTCCTTGTTTACCTTGAGCACAATCTTCTTCATCTCCTCGTCAGGGGACTGGAACTCTCTGATGAGGATCAACATCACCTCCCTGGTGTAGTAGTTTGCGTACTCGGCGTCCATCAGTGGGATCAGGTAACCGATAGCTTTCAGGAAAGCTGCCAGACCCTGATGGCAAACACAATGAAGAAAAAAAAACAGTGAAAAGAAACTCAAAGATTGAGTTTTGTTAAACCTGAGGATAAAAGTGATTGTCTGCTGCTGCCAGTGGAGTTTAATGGTCTTCAATGTGACCCCCCACTGACAACAACAGCCCCTCAGAGGAGACTTTATAGCAAGGAAATATTCACACTGTAGCCACAGTCAGGCTCAGCGCTGGGTGTGGATCTTGCAGTAAAATCTGAGAAATCACAAACTTGAATTTTAGATTGCGTACCTTTCCTCTGTGCTGTCTGATACCCTTCCACAGCGGCTTCAGGACCGAGTCAAAGGATTCGATACCGTACGGGGTAGCAGCTTCAGCCAGAGCGGCGATAGCCAGGGCACTGATGGTTCTGACTTTCTGCTGCTCATCTACCAAACCTGCAGCATCACACAGTCAACACAACAGCCACAATTAAACACAACTGAGGACAGATATTATAAAAGGACAATTTTAATAGTTTTGACATTGGTTTAAGGGTTGAGATCAGAGCAGAACTTTTAAAAGTTCAACACAGAATTCAATAAATCAGGAGAGCTTCACTGAAAAAAAGGTGAATGTAAAGAGACAGTTTGTCTTGACATCATGACATGTGACCATGACTGACCGTGTTCGATAATCTCCACCAAGCTGCGAAGGTGGGGCAGAATGGCGCAGCCCATCAGGATGGCGATCTGCTGCACGATCTTGATGCCTGTGTGTCGAGCCTGCCAGGACTTCTTGCTCTTACACACGGCTTTGAGGAAAGGCAGGAGGGAGGGAATACCGAGGGCGGAGGCCACCACGGCGAAGGCTCGAGCTGTGGTGTTTCTCACGTACTCGTCCATGTTGTCGATATCAGGTCGCATGGTGGAGATCATGGTGGCCAAACCAGCAGCCTGAGGTGGACAAAGAAAGAGGACAAACGTCAGAAATCTGAGTAAATAACACCAAAGGAATAATTAACCATGTAATCAAAAACATTGAGTGTAACCAACGGGTGCAGGTTGAGAACAGGCGAGGCAAAGTTGTCAGGTCTGCTAGCTCTCGTGTTGGTGTCATTATAGCGAAAGACTAGCCCTGATCAGACCACAGACTGGTAGAACAGGCGAGAATAGTTCGCAGTGTGTTTTGTGTGAGTTTTTGAGTAAAAGCTGTTACAATTTACCTTTGCCAAGTTAGAGATAATTTCTCTGCCTTCCACTCTGGCGTAGTAGTCCTCATCGATCAACAGCGGCTCAATCACCACCAGGATCTGGACACAACACAATCAAGTTAATACATTTATCCAACACTATCTTAAAAATCTGTGCTTCTACACCGAGCTTACCTTGTGTACGTATGGTCGAACCAGGTCGTCGAGTTTGTAAAGAATGCGGTCGATGACTTTAACCAGCAGGTGGCGCTCCTGGTCCTCCAGGGTGGGCGACATCAACAGTGGCAGGATTTGGTTAAAGAGTGGTCCTGCTCCAAACTCCCGAGCCTTATCTGTGATCTGACGCAGAGCAGCCTGAAAGAACACGAAAGGTCAGTCAGTCTGGTGTTTGGGATCACAGTTACCGTCACTGTGTCCACAGTTCAGGTGTTTTTCTGTCTGCTGCTCTCAGAAGATCATGACGGTCAACACTTCAACCTCTGCTGAGAGCAGCAGCTCCTCAGAGAAGAGATATTCTAGCAAGGAAAGATTCACACTGCAGCCACAGTCAGGCTGAGTGCTGGGTGTGGATCTTGCTATCAGTTTCTGGTTTCGTATTTTGTGCTTCTGCTTTCATGATTTATGACTTAAAAGGAAATGGACAGGAGAAGTTAACCAAGGGAGACCAAGAACAATGAGGACTAGACTGTTTATTCTAATATTTTCAATCCTATTTTGAAATATTTTGAGGGGCTCTAAAATTACGTGCAGAAAAAGCTGCAGCAGCTTAAGATAATGTTTTAACTGCTCAGTGGCAAAAACAAGTGCTTTTAGTAGGTGTACGCTGAAGGGGGCCAAGATTTTCAAACAGAAGAATAATCATTCAGGGGAAGTATAAAGGGTAAATGTGGTTCGAGGGTGTAGAAATGATGCTGAAAACACACCTTCCTCATTGGTGGAGTTCCATTTTTAATCTTCAGCAGCAGCTTCATGATCTTCCTCTCTTTCTGCTCTTCTGGACTCAGCGTGGACTCGTCCACCTCCACCTGACGCACAAACACACAGACATCTGTTAACACACATGCTGACCCTAAGACTTTACAAACAACATGCTGTTGATTTTACAGCGTGGTATGACTAGTTGTGACGCTCACCAGCAGTTTGTCAAAATACTGGATGTCGTCAGGTTTGAGGAAGGGGAGGTTTCCTGAAGGCTGGTCGTTCATTTGTTTGGTGGTGCGGTCTTCAGCCTGCATGTGGAAGCCTGTCATGCCTCCGATAGGTGTGGGTGTGGCGGAGAGCTTACGGGCCGGAGTTCGGATCGGCACATAGCCTGCTGGTGGAGGCAAGACCTGAGGGAAAGAAAGTTATACCATCAGAACAACTGTTTGAGTCACCCTGCCGGACTTAAATACAAAGCTAAGAGGGGTACAGACCTTGTATCCCTCTGGAAACATGGCGTCAAGCTCCTCATCTGTAAGAGGTCGATTCCTCTCATCGATTTCTCTCTCCCACCTCCACGCCTGCAGCTGCTCTGGAGTCATGTTCATCAGGTGGCCTGAGGAAAACACAAGAGAAGTTTTAACAAACTCAGGAAATACATTTTCAGAAGGGTCTGAAGATGTTACTGACAGCTATTGCAAATGCCTTTAAAAACCAAGGCAGCAAACAGCAGGAAGGTAAAGGATGCTGTAAAAAAAAAACAGATTGTGGCCCAGTATGCGTTTCATCTTGACTGAATGTTGTCACAGTCATTAAGATGACAGATCACGGCCCATATTTGGGGAAAAAGAAAAATCTGTGAAGTTAAATCTAAATTTTCTACCTGGTGTTGGGGTGGCCATATTCATAGCTGGTGTTCCTATTGGGGTCTTTCCAGGGGTGAGTAGTGGTGTTGAAGATCCCATTTGACTGGCTGGAGTTTCATCCCAGCGAGATTTCCTCTTACTGGCTCCTGGAGTCGGAGTCTCCCCCACTGACTCGTCACCTCTGTCTGTGCGAGGCGTCTCGGCCCAGCCGCTCCCGTGTCCCGGGGTCTCTCTTTCTGTCTTTGGTGTTTCGTCCCAGCGGTTCTTGCGCACACTTCCTGTGGCTCCTCCGTGGCCAGGGGTGGCGTGTCCGGGTGTGTCCCTGCCAGGAGTGGCAGCTCCGGCCGGTGTGTGGCTGGGAGTGGGGTCCCACATGCGGGTACTTGGGGTGGCTCCTGGGGTTTCGCTGCCTTTAGGACGACCAGGTGTTTCATCCCATCTGCTGTTTGAAGGTGTGTGTGCAGGGGTGTGTCCTGGTGTCTAAATGGAGCCAGAAACAGAGAAATGAGACTTCAAACACACGTCAGTCGCTCTTTGTCCCCTAAAGATACAATTCATACCCAAAAAAACATCATGTTTACACCCAAGCCTGAGAGCAGAGGCTGAAAAGGGTCTCACCTCAGCGGCGGGTTCAGCCTGGTCCCAGCTGGACATCTTTTTGGGTGTAGCATTAGATGGGGTTTGGTCAGCTGTCTGGTCCCAGCGGCGCTTACGTTTTGCAGCAGCTTGGCTTGCAGCAGACCCGTTGACCGCTTTAAGGTCCCCAGCTTTGGCCTTCTCCACCAGCTGCTGACGAATCTCCCTCTGTAAACACAAACCACCGAGGTTAGGTTAGGAGAAATAATACATTTGTAATACTATCACACAAGAGGCTTTTAATGGTCCTCTTCAAAAGAAACTACGAATTCCCAGCATCAGAAAGAGGTTGGAAACTTTAAACAGAATCTTAACATGAACATAGAAGAAAGAACCACAGAACTTAAGGACTGTGTGTTTACAATAAGGACTGTTTAAGTGTGTATTTAGAGCAAAATTGATGCTGTGAATGAGTTAAAGCACTTATTTACAAGAAAAATGAGAATTTTGATAACTGCCGTCAAGACACACTTGGCAGTGAAAACATGATACGAATAGTTTGAAGACACTTGCCTCCTCTTTGGAGAGGTTCTGCTCCAACATGACGTCCACATAAGACCTGACCTGCAGCTTAGGGTCCGGTGTTTTCCCCCCTGCGCGAAAGAGCACCAACAAGAACAGAGGACACTCATCAGTATACGCTCCAGGGACCCGACTTGTTGCAAACACAGCAAGCACAAACACAGCCAGCTAACCCTGACTCTCTCTTTACAAACAAGTTATATTTTTTTTTACAAATTAAGAGCTGATTCACAAAAAACAAAGGCCTAATAAATAACATACAAATGTACATTTGTCTTTCTTACATACAGTCATAGCATTCTAATGAAAAACAAGCAGATACATAGAGAGAAGAGCTGAGTTTGTGGTGCTTTCTTTAAGTGGATTAAGAAGTTATAGCCATCACTGATGCAGGGGTCCTGGGCTGTGCTCTTCAGAATACGTACACTTTCAGTGCCAAGGGTCCTTCTGCAGTCAGACTTCAACCGGCAGAAAAGAAGCCTAGAAAATTTCTCTTTACCATTAGTAACACTTTGGAAAAGGGTTTGAACTCACACACAACAGTATACCACCTGTGTTGCATTGATTCATGGCACTCAAAAAACACAGAAGTATCTTCTTGGGACATTACCATAAAACTAAATCTATATCACATGTGACTCTTTAATCCAGATTCCCCCGTTATTTAAACTAGCAAATAGGAATAAAATTCTGAGGCTAGGAATGACATTATTAAAGTAAAAAAAGGAATATGTTTGCCGTTCAAATAATGCAAAAATAAGGATAAATCTGTATGAAATGCCAGAGCCAGGTTGATCATCAATAATTCATCTTACAACTACGTCTTGAATTGCTTTGTACAAAAAGGTAACTGATTCAATCACCAAATGTAGTCGAGCAGTAATTTTCCACTGTGAATGCCCACAGAATTTAATCTCCATTTTTGGAAGCCAAATTAAAAAGATTAATGAGGCTCTGGGGGGTTGAGGTTTGATGTATTTGGACTGCATCTGATTCCCCTCAACCCCAAACAAGCGGCCAGTGGACCCTAACCAATCTGACAAGTGCACATATCTCTGTGTTCCCCATAACCTACACAGGATGAGTTGCTGCACCCTTAACAGAGTGCAGTACAGGACTGGCAAAGCAGTACTGCTGTAGGAGAGAAATTAAGGACAGTTAGTATGGGCCTGTGGTATTGTTGTACACATTTTTTCTTGATAACATATTTCTATTTTACAGAGAGAGTTGTAAAATAAAAATATATTTACACAACAACTTTGTACAAAGAGCTCTCTCTACATGCAGGCTTCAGATAAGCCCTAACTACACCAGACCTGAAACACTCGGGTCATGTTAAGCTTGTGTTGTCTGGGGGAGTGAAGATGTAACAAAATGGAGAGAAAGATAAAGCAGGCCTATTTCTACTCTAACCTTTTTTTGAAGTTTGATAAGACTATGACATTTATGACAAGTTCCCTTAAAATAACAAACAGAACACACTCAAGTCTTTATTTTCATTTTTGAAAGACATACAGGCCATCTTTTCCATTTCAGAGGGACTTTAAGTCATAATCAGCTGTATAAACGCACCCTGAGCAGAATAAAAATGATAGCTCTAAAATATTAGAAAAACTGCTTTAAGCTTCCACACACTGAACTAATGCCCTAGGACCTTTGAGCTTTACAATTTCAGTGTCAAAAAACACTGAAATTTCTGCTCAGACTCAGAAACTTGCAGACTGCTAGTTTAGTTTCTGACTATCACACTTAAACCCTGTTATTCTCTCCACTGCCTTTGCAATCTGTAGCCATATTTTCTAAAGTTTATTGCCAGGTGAATTACACCAAGGCCGATCGTCAAATTTACATCACTGTACCTTAGCGTCTATGTCAAAAAGCCTACACTTCCATCGTAATCTAACCTGTGTCTCAAATGGGATTGTTAACCCTTCGACTCACACACAAACCATCTGCGACCCACGTTTATTAGGTGAACATCTCCCCCACAAACAGAAAACACCTAACCACCTGTCCCTATGAAATGTGTGGCAACCCTGCAATGCATTTAGACGTCTTTTATTTCCAACATGACAAAAAAAATCCTGTTTTGCACATTCCTCCCAAACCGAAACAATGAAAATAAGTTCACAAAAGCCCACAGATTTTTTTAATTTATAAATAAAATTTACATAAAATATATGGACGATATCAGCAAGGACACAAATTATTCTTGCACCATGACGGATTAACCACAGGGAAGGCATCAAGTCTGGGAGGCAAGCTATTGCATTGTGGTCGAAGGGTTTAACAGCGAAACTATGGGAATGAAACCATTGGTAGTCATGGAGGGGCCACAATAAAGTGAACCGTGAAACAAGGGGGGAGGAAATGGGGAGGTGTAATGAGAACAAAAAATGGCAAAGTTTACCATCTGCAAAGGGGTCAAGACGCTCCGGGGAGATGATCATCTGTCTGCGCCGGGCTTTGTATTCATCCTCCCGTTCTGCGATCTTCTGTGGACGGTGCTCCGCAAAGGGGTCATACTGCAAAACAAAGATGGTTCGTTAGTGAGAGTGCACTTCATAATCATAAACAAAATTTAGAGATAAAAACTTATGGGATAACACCTACTTGCTCATCTGACTGTGGAATGGCATTGAGTATAGCCACTGGTGCATGGTACCCTGGCTTCTTCTGTCCAAGTAAGCTCGTGGATGAATCTTCTTCATCGTCCTGAGGAAAGAAAGAAAGAGAGGAGTCTAGTCAAATCTCGCCGGCATGGCAAGACTCTCCTAGCTCACATGCAACAGACAATTGGGAGCAATCAAGCCCCTAAAAACTGGAGTGGAAAAGGATGGAACAAAATCTAAATACAACCCTAATTCCAAAGGAGATGGGATACAGTGTAAATGTTGATGGAAATAAATTTTGATGGTTTTAAAGTCTGTTTTAATGCAGCACCACCTGGGGATCTGATAATCATGGACATCCAGTAATGATTTTCTGTCTTGTCCTTTTCGAACAGATGTCTCTACAGGTTCTTGGGATCTTTTCATGATATATTATGTAAAATAAAATGATTGATTCATTACACTTTTACAATCAGGAACATTCTGGAGTTGTCTGCCCTCGTGAACTTCTTCCTTCTACTTCTAAGAAAGACTCAGCCTCTCCAGAATGGCTTTTAAGCTGTTGCAAATGAATCTCATTAGCTGGAAGATGTTCCTCAGGGTGTTTTAGCATTACCCACTTCTCGTTGGTCTCACCCATAAGTCTATCCATAAGCTTCAACTGGTCCAAAACGCAGCAGCCCCTATCGTCACCAGAACACCATCTATCAGTCATATCCCATCTGTTCTACGCCAACTTCACTGGCTTCCCATCAAATACTGCTTGGACTACAAAATTCTGCTCCACACATTTAAGGCCATCCACAACCTCGCTACCTCTCTGAACTCCTCCACATCAACACTCCCACCCGGACTCTCAGGTCTGCCTCATCCATCAGCCTAGGCCTGGGCGATTTGGCCAAAAAGATGATCATGATATACTTTGTCATATTGTCCGATCCCAATTAATACAATTTTTTTTAACTGCCAGTTTTAAAGCATCTGTACTCAAAACTAAAAAGTAAATAGTTAAATACTAAATAAGACGTTAAATAACTTTTATTCTCAATAATAACATCTTTGGAGGATGACTCAAAGTCATGGCTGACATCTATTTTACTGCCCTCAGTTCAACGTTCGGTTACTCTGTTTACTTCACCGGCAACTTACAGAAGTGAGAAGAAAAGGCTCGACTCTGATTGGCTGTTGTGATGCACATTTCCTCTATGTTTGATCGAGTAAATAAGCTCACAGCTGATCGAACTGAAATTTATCCCAATCATTAATCCCAATCATATAATCGCCCTGTCCTACATCAGCCTTATTATGCCTCCGGCCCGTGTGTCCACCATGAGATCAGGAGCCTTCAGCCGCGTTGCCCCCCGCCTTTTGAACTCCCTCCCCCCTGACATTAGGAACATTGATTCACTCTCCAGCTTCAAATGCCGTCTCAAAACTCATTATTTCAGACAGGCCTATTCAGACTAGCATTTGACATTCTGCTGCAGAGTCTGGACTTTTATGTCATTCTTTGTTGTGTTGGTGTGTTTCTTATTGATAATACTATTCTACTGATGTGTCTTTATATGCCCCGTAAGGTTTCCTTGAGTGCCCTGGAAGGCGCCCACAAATAGATTTAAGGTGGGGTGGTTTTCTGGTGAGTTAAATACTTACATCCTCCTGTTCGTTTGCTGCAATGGAGGTGACATATCCAGCAAAGCGGCTGTCGCTGCCTCCGTAGATCTCCTGGTCGTAAAATCCAGTTGAATCAAGGCCCACTCCCTGATCTCCTTCCTCCAGCAGGTTGGCCTTCATCCCCTGGATCTCCAGGATCTGGGCCTCGATATCTAAGGGGTTAAAAAGAAAAGGAGAAAGGGTGAAAATCCATCTCAGGAATAATCAAAACACTAAAACATAAGAATATCTGTTCTTTTGATTAGTCACATGGCGCTTTAATGAGACAACGAGCTGAGCCTAATAACACTGCGTATGGCGCTGTTGTCAGACAACAGCTGAAGATCAGTCTCAGTATTCACCGGTCCAGAGATTACACTTAGTATTTCAGTACAAAACAGGCTCAAAAAAGCGACATTTGTGGATGCTTTTGGATATATGGTAGCTAAACGTTTTAAAACAGTCATTTATCGCATTTTTACAGTCGCTAGCCAAAGAGCTAAACCGTTAGCATCCAGCGCCATTATCTAAGCCGTCCGCGTTGCGTCGTAACGCGGCCTCCTGCTTTTGGCGTTTTAGAGGACGAAATACAATGAAACGACTAGCTTTAGTCGTCAAAATATTCTCTGTGTCTTTTCTAACAGATAACTCTGCAGTTAGAAGTCAAACTGTGATTGCTATTTAGAGTTTTTATTGATTTATTTACCTTCGTGCGTTTTGGCGATCTTCGCCATTTTGGTGGTGGTTCGTCGAGTCTCCTCCTCTTTCTTCTTCGTTGGTTTTAAGAACAGATTGGCTTTCAATATGTAACATCAGCGCCAACTACTGGTTGCAAACCAATCTACAGTCAACTCAGTGTCAGGATCATAGACCGTGTACATTTATTAAGACAATAATAAGATATAATATAAATTTGATTAAGAATCAACCAATAAACTACGAACAGTGTTTCTAAAATTCCCGATACCCCCCAAAACAAAAGAAACACACTTTAAATTTATGAACAACATCTAAGACATAGAAGACAACATGTGCACTGACAACAGTATTGATGATTTTGCATCAAGGAAGGCAAGAGACGTCAGGTTTTAGTTTTAGTTGCTGTTTACACATTTTCACAATCACATTTTCTTTAGTGTCTTATCAAATTTGTGTGATTTGCTATGTAAGATTATTAGTCTATATATCTCTCTATATATATATATATATAATATATACATTAATATATATGTATATATTAATGAACTTAATATAACTATAATTATTGGTAGCGTTAATCTTAAGGTTATGACCCCGTGAAAGGAGTGAATAACCTTAAAGCTCACCTAACCTGAGGGGACAGAGAGTATCGGGATAACATGGCAACCTGAGCCAACTCATCTCGTGACATTCCTGCGCGTACCCGTCCGTGCACGCGCAAGGCATGTACGTCAGAAAATTTTACTTGACAAGCAAACCAAATCAGCCAATGAGAACTCTCACAGAAAATTAATCCTCCAATGACAGGCCGAGTTGGGAGTACATGTCATGCTCGGGGCGGGGCAAATGAGAGGGCAGCGTCGCCTGTCAATTCGCCGTCAGCGTCAGCGGGTGAAGAAATCCATCAAAGAAGGGACGATGGCGAGGGGTGGTAGGAGCTTGAGGAGAGTCGCTGAGTGCATTAAACAGTTACCTTCAACAGCCAGCCGGGAAATACAGACGAGGAACAACGTAAGGTAGAGTATTTCATCGTTTAATTTTCGACTCAACACAAAAAGCAAAGGAACAGACACACCTCAGCCGATGGCACTCAGTAAACTGAGATAGTTTCGATGCTAAGGATAGTCTGAAAGTCTTTCTTGTGTTTAAAACGAAAGGGTCAAGCAAGAAACATCAATTAGCTGCTTTCTTAGCATTCTTTTTCCCTTTTAGTTGTCTATAAAGGCTTATAAACATGCTGACTTGTCAACTACAGCACCTCTGTTGGACTGCGGTTTTTGGGTCACTATCGTCCTACATGCTGTCACTCAAATAACATCTTTCTCGACTCTTAAAAATCCTCCTACATCATAATCAGTTACTTTAAACTTTTTGCTAAACAAAGTCTATTATTAAGCTTGTGTTGCTCAAACACTAAAACTAAATGTCAACAGCCTAAAACTGGTTAGAGCTGGTGAAGCATGTAATTCAACTGAACATAGCTTTGCCACAGTGAAAAAAAGGATGTGTAAAATTCATTAACTTTAAACTGTTTTTAAGTTTTATAAGTGCCATGCGAGTGTATTTTTAGATGTTTACAACATGCTCTAGTTGTCTATTGAACAATGTTTAGTATTGAGTCCTAAAAACACCACAAATTCTGCCTCTTTGGAGAATATGCAGCCTCTCAGTTTCTGACCTCATTACCACATGCGGTGATCTCAGAGGGCAGGGATGATATAATGATGAGATTTTATTCTGATCAGCGGCACAAATGCTGTCTGAGGGAGTAAGGTGCAGAGAGATGCAGAGGTGGAAAAACACAGAAACAAAAATGGCAAGTGCTCCAGAAGAACCTGCTCCAGCATTGAGCTGAATGATACACCACCCTTGTTGCTGAAACATTCAGATTATCACAGCCATAGCGAGCATGTTGTTATTAAAAATAAAAAGCCACCACTACTTTCTTTTGTCCTCGAGTGCTTTGATACAATATAGGTGCATATATTGGCTTTAGCAACCAGTTACAGAGCAGTACATCATCACAGGAGCTCATTTGAATGGACTTTTAAAAGATATGTAGGTGAGCTAAGGAGGGGCTTTTTTCTCCCACATTGTCAAGGTTACAAGTCTTAGTGATTGATACATGCAGAGACAAAGATGACAGCATTTTTTTTTTATTATAAACTTTAAACTTTACATGTTACATTACAATTGCAACAGATATCAAACTCTCATGCATCTCTAGTTTGATAAGTCATAGAGCAAAAAAAGCAACTGATCTGCTGATAAACAATATCTTATTTTCTGTTTCACCCGTTTGCACTTATTACCTCATCTCACAGTAACTTTACAGTCAACTCCCTCACTTGCTTGCAATTGTGACAGCTTTGGGTTAAAAGCACAACTTAGGAACTGTATTTTTTATCAACTTTGGCACTTTTATAAATTATCAATTGGAAAGATAAAGCAGATTCTATCACCTTCAAGCATAGTTTATTTAAAAGCATCTAACAATTTTACAGACTTAATAAAAATAATCACCTTTTGTCAGTTAGATCTCCAGACATTGCTTGACCAAGCTTTGGCTATTATTTTACACCTTTACAGACATGATTAGTATATTCTAGTACAAAAACACAATAATAGTACCTAAATATGACTTGTTTTATGCTTGTATGTACTCTAGAAGTGTAAATACACACACTCAAAAGGAAAAGTGAAAGTATAAGACAACGGAAATACCACAGTACTTCACAGCTGTCTCAAGGATGCCAAAAATCAACACTTGGGCCTTTATTTAAAAGTGATTATTGAAGGATTGTGCATATTTTTTATGAATTCAAGAGTAAAACATAAACTGAATAAAAAAAATATTGAAATAAGAACTTTGTGACTTGAGAAACAAACAGGCAATGAAAAGTAGAGAAAAGTTGACGTCAAAAAATGAGTTTAGTGTATTGTTGTTGATTATGTCACTACTGCAGCCTTACCATTTCATGATTCTAAGAGTGATAAGCTGTGGTTTCTTAGTCTCTCATTGTGGTTTGACCTTCTTGAGCTGCTGCTCTGGTACGATATTTGCATTAGCTCTGGAAATTCATTTTTATCTTTGGTTTAAACTCTACAGAGGAAACTTTTTTTATGTGAGCCGACAGGTGCTAGGAGAGATAAGACCACTGGGGGTTTCTCTTTCAACGGGAAGACAACTGAAGTCCAGATTAGTTTGAGACAATGCTTTTAAGGAAGGTGAATACTTTGTAAGTGTTTCTCAGGAAAAGGAGATGTAACATGCATGCCAAGTTGTTCATTTGGCAGAGCTTTGACCAACAGTTTCTTCACCTTAATGGTCAAAGCTCTGCAAGTTTGTAAGAGGTTGCAAAACTTAGTGTGCAAATGACCTCTTTGCTCATCTGATGCCATGCAGGGTTAGGGTTCGTCTGCCTCTGCACAGTGCAGGAGTTGAATGTGCATGCCATCCTCCTCCTTTGCTCTGACATCTAATAACTCAACGACAACCTGCCATATCTGCATGGACTTGGCAGTTTGAGGTCAGCGCCATGTGTCAGCTGTATCACATTTCAGGTAGTAGTAAGTGGATATCTTTGAAGTGACCTGTACTGGACCATCCGTTCAAAGCTGCACGCACGTCATGAGAGGCACGGAACAGCATTTGGGGATTCAAGCCAAGAGGGACATCGATATTCTCATCAGAGCATACAAAGAGGTTACATAATGGTTAGTTAAAGCATCACAGAGAGCTTTGTTGCGCATCCAAACCATCCGGTGCCAGGGACATCGTGGAACAGGGTGCCACAGGTGTTGTGGGTGACAGCTGGGCACAGTGTACAAACCAAACACACTGGTATTTCTCACAGCGGTGGCAGACACAGTGGCTTTGTGCTCATGACGTCTGTGGAGGGTACAGGGCAGATTTTGCCCGTCCTGGTTAATGAAGTCAGCTCCATTCATGGTATCAGTTGGGATCAGGTCCCAGTGTTACTGTGGAAATAGTGAAGAAAAGATGCAGTTTATTTGATGATGGGATTTTGATGATCCTTATTGGATTATTGTCACTGACTTTAATAGTTTTGTGCATAGTTACTTTTCCTTGTATTTGCATTTTCTTCACCTATACCAGCGACTGTAAGATCTTAAGGAGAGGTCATGTTTGCCATGAGGTTTTCCATGTCATAAAAGTAAAAGGAAAACAGAAAATATTCATGTTTAGAAGCTGAAATAGAAGGTTTTTTTTCTGATTTTAGTTGCAGATTTACTCCACAACTGGAAACTTATTGATTTATCAGTGCAGATATGCCTACGTGGTGTGTCCAAGTATTTATAGGTCACTGAGGCTAATATTAAATCTGCTGCCTTGACTTTGTTCCATATTTTGTTTAAGTGGGGTCTGTACGTGTCTGACCTGGTTTTATGTCAAAGTCAAATGTTTGGCAGGAGATGCAGGAAGGTTTCCACGTAGAGTCTCGTGTTTCCCTGAAATAACGGCCTGTACTGCAGCATATTGATTTACAGGTATGAAAGGATTATAACACAAGGACTTTGTTGTTGTGGGTTCTGAGGAATCCACCTTGATAGAAACTGTCGCCTTGATCAGGGGTCAGGGGGGGAAAAGGATTGACTGGAGGACTTTTTGGAGTTTTAAAACTTAATATTCAATGATAAAATAAAAGTCTGTGTTTTTATTACAAGATCAGGAGTTGACCCGGTGTTCTCTAGAGTGAAGGCAGACCTGTGTCAGCGCAGGTATGCTGGTATCTGAGAGGACTCTGTATTGATTCAAACCCTCACTGTGATTCTCTGACCCGCTTTGCGTTTGTTTTGTGATCAGATATTTGTCGTCATGTGGGATCCTGATGACTCGTGTACCTCCGCTGATCGGAGCAGCCATGCCGGGCCGCAGTGTCACGTTACCCACCCGCAGCTTCTTCAACCTCGCCGACTCCCTCTCCAAGAAGAAAGAGTACTCAGAGAGACGCATCATTGGGTAAGCATCAGTAGATCTCGACTGTAAATCAACTTTGGTTGAAACTTGAAATATTTTGTTTTTGTATTATTCACGTTAAAAGCTGAATACACTTTATTATCACGTACAAATACCAAACACTTGGGTTGAAAAATAAACATCCTGAACATGGCCGCTTGTTATCGTAACCTGCTGAATCACCATGTGTAGCAAAACTAAGGCGTGTTCACACATTCATCAAATAACTCCCCTTGTACTTCGTCATGTGTGTTTCTGTTTTTCACTGTTGTTGCTCATTGCTGAGTCAAATCTGGATTCGATCAAAAACAAACTGTTCTTCCTTTGGATCCATGATACTGGATTTTTGCCATTATCTTATATGTTACAGAAATGTTCACACATGCCGCTAGGACAATTGACTTGGTGTCTGCAGCTTTCTGAACTGTTATCTGCAAACATCATGAAATAACATGGTGCATCTGCATCCTGATTCCTCCCATTTGTTTGAACCAAAATCAGCTCTGTTATATGAACTCTATTCAAGTCATCACCAGCTTGTCAAAGTTAAGAATATGAACTAAAACTACTTGTGTTAAAAGGTGTTTTCCCCTTTATTCCATCTGTTGTGTCTAATGCATTTCATAAGACACACTGAAGACTGTTTTTGTTTGTGCTGGAGGACAGAAAGTTAGTCGATTCTTGTAAAAAGTCCCTTTTCTCCTCCGCTTCTTATGCAAAAACTGAGTCATCTCAGAGGTCAGAACTACACATGATCGAAACCCACAACGAGTGAATGCATGTCTGAGATTATTCTGTCATGAATCATACAGTTAAGTATGATCTCTGTAGCTGTGGTGTCCGCAGCTCTTTTAGTGTGCTTGTGTGTGACACACTGAATGTTGTCTTTGTTCCATAGAGAGGTCATAATCACTAATCTGCTGTAAAAATAGACTCGGGTTGCAGCAGCGGTGACTTTCCCTCAGCAGGACTCATTAAGTTATATAACTAACATAGGAAACCTGGTCACCTCTGGCTTTTATTTTAGTTTTCTTTGTTTTTATTCCTGTTGTTCCTCTTCTCTTCATTCCTCATTCTTCCTCTCTGTCTGCTCTCTCTCTCTCCTCCTCCCCTGACCCACTTCTTCTTTAATGGGTCATGCATCTCGTACCGTGCCAGCAGTGTTTAATGTTACATGTTATGTCACCGCTGCCGCTGACCCGTTTCTACTTCCTGACGCGCACACAGAGAGCTCATGGGTTTTTTTCCCCTCTGCTTGCCTCCTCAGGTATTCCATGCAGGAGATCTATGATGTGGTGGCGGGAGTGGAAAACTACCGCCTCTTTGTGCCCTGGTGCAAGAAGTCCGACGTGGTGTTTAAAAGAGCCGGATTCTGCAAGGCTAAACTGACTGTGGGCTTCCCTCCCGTGGTGGAGAACTACACTTCTCTAATCACTTCAGTGCGCCCCCACTTGGTCAAGGTAGGGTACTTCATGCCTGCAGATGTGTGCTGGCAGACTGAGCTTTAGAGAGGTGCAGTTTCAGATCAAGCTGTCAGAGTATTAGAGTGAAGTTGGCACAGATTTTCCGTCTGACTCAGCAAACCCCCCGTACCTGACAAACTTGTCATAGATTGCATGTTTCAGCCTGATATGAGCCTACTGTTTTGGGGGATCTGCATACTCACGATTCCTATTAAGAACCCTTTATGCTCTGAAATATTCACACATGCACTCCACACATATTTTGATATGAGTTTCTGATTGGTCCTTTTAAATGTTAGATGATAGTAGATAGTAGAAGCCTCGAATTGGTGTACAGACCGAATCAAAGTTGATACCATCTGTCTAGCACAGTCAGCTGACAGTACAAATGACACCATATCACTAATCTATGGGCTTTGAAAATACACCAATCAAAATCTGTCCTTTGCTTGCAGGCGTCCTGCTCAGAGGCCAAACTCTTCAACCATCTGGAGACAGTTTGGCGTTTCAGTCCTGGCCTCCCAGGTTATCCTCGAACCTGCACAGTGGATTTTGCTGTAAGTACTAGTTCTCTTTATGGTGAATATAAAGCAATGAAAACTGTGGTTTGACTCCTGCGTGTGTGTAAATACATGTCTGCTCTCCCACATGTTTGAGCGTGGCACGTTTGCGACTGTGGTGTTGGATTTCATACTGGATCAGCTTCAAACTCACACACATGACCCTCACATGTGCACGGTTTGATGTTGTGCCTCTAACTTTGTCCACCTCTCCTACGTCAGATCTCCTTCGAGTTCCGCTCCCTCCTGCACTCGCAGCTCGCGCACGTCTTCTTCGATGAGGTGGTGAAGCAGATGGTGTCAGCCTTCGAGCGTCGAGCTTCGAAGGTATACGGAGCCGAGACGCCCATCCCGAGGGAGCTCATGTTCCACGAGGTCCACCACACGTAGCGCCCCTCCCTGCCGTACTAGCACAGACACACACACACAACGCCCAACGCCAGAACGACAAAAAAGAGAGAGAGGAGGAGAGAAGGAAGAGACTTGATGTGTTCGGATAACCACAGTGCCTTTCTCAGAGTTCATTCCCAACAGTTTCCTAACTGTGTTTTATTTTTGTATGAATCATGTGGATCCACCAGCTCATTTTACACATGGTGCTAAAAACCCACAGACTTTTATCACAACGATCTGCTCCTGGTAAGATGGTAAGAACGTAACTCTGCGGGTTTAGAGCCAGAATGTAATCACACCTGAAAACAGAGCTACACTTCTCTAACCGACATTTCCTGAAACTTTGGTTTCAAACTTTGACCTTGAAGCTGCTGTTGGAGGTTTCTGCTCCAAAAACATGTCAAAATAAGGAGGCCAAGTGTTACACATCAGGGGCAAAACAGAGATTTCTACCAAAACTTCCGCTGTCAAAATGGTCCATACTCAAATATTTTTCAATAGCATGTGTATAAATGATAAAATATACATTATTTTTATGTTTGATTCTATCAAAAAGCACCAAAGCTTATGCAAAAAAAACAGATGTACCGTCATATTCTCAACCTGAGGCTGCTGCAACTAGGGAGCAGGCAAGCGGCAGGGATTGACCAAATGAGGATAAAGTTAAAAAAAGAGTTTTGTATGTAAAACAAAGCAGTCAAGTGAAAAAATAGATGTTTTCGCATTTATTTTTTCATGGTGGATTCACTCTTTAAAAAACTTGCAACACCTCAGCACAGAAGTGCAGGAAGGAGCTGTACAGTATTTTATTGATAAACGGCTGAAGTTGTTTCTCCCTGTCTGTTGCGTGTTTCTCTGCTCTGCCCTCCGTCACAGCCAAGTCAATTTACTTTCTTCGACATGTCTGAAAATAATATTTTACATCATCAAGTGTCGACCATCATCTGTGCAGCTCTGATAGTCCTGTGAGGATTGTAAACTATGGAGTTAATGTTCATTTTAAACTATGTTTATAATTGTGGAGATCTGAGAAATACACACCAGAACTGACATATCTGGGATAAGTCCAAACAGGACGACATCAGTCACATCAGCAGAGACAGCAGAGGTGTTCACTCTCTTTTATGGATTTATCATCCATCATGATTCATGATTACAAGGTTTTGTCGTATATATTAAATGTCACCTGTGATTTGATAAAAACAATAAACAGGCAAAGAAAGAATGAAGATCTGAGGCTGCAGGAGTAAAGGGAGCAACTATTTTAGGGAATTTCAGCAGGTCTGTGAAAGTCGTGTTAGGATGAGTGGCTGGGCTCTGATGGGTCAACTGATAACAGCAGCTGTAAAGGCATTTAAAGTTTTTATTTGTAAATCAAGTCAATGCAAAAGCACTTAAGTAGATAGGCTGATGCAGAGTCTCCTCATGCTGTACATTATAAGAAAATATTAGAAAAGCAAAAGTTAGAGTAGAAATCTGCACAAAGTTAAAAAAGACGTTAACCCAAGCTTTTGAGATGTCTTGATTGGAATGAGGACGACTGTTTCTGTTTTTTATTTACTGTTACATGCGCTCTGCTCTCAGCTTTACAAAGGGAGCAATGCTGGACGTAGAGACTCACTAAATTATACAGCAATAAATGTGCAATATCATTAGTATACTGTAGGTGTTAGTTTTAAGATGGAGCTGAGTAAACATGCTGACACTCAGTGTCACTAAAAAGGGCCCAAACTCTGAGTCCCTGCAGAGACGAGGTCAAACATCTCTACCAGAACACCTTCATAACCCCCGTAACCCTTTACTGAGTGCCTCTTCGCCTACAGGCAGCATATTTATCTGTTATTTCAAATATATAATACTCATTTTAACATATTTATTACTTAGTTTTAAGTGTAAATATTGGTTTGAAGATAACAGAAAGACCTGTACACTGAGAAATGTGTTGTTTTCTTGGAGAAGGACTCGTGTAAATGACGTTTGTGTTGATTGATTTCAGAAAGATATACCGACTGCATGGTTTATAAAGTATTTTTTCTAAAAAGCTGATTGGTGTTCCTTGATTTTTTCTTTCTGGGGGTGTTGTATTTCCAAACACAGCGTGGGTTCATGGCATGTGAACAGAAATAGTGTCGTCATGTGGGGAGTAAGAATAGAAAGCTGCATGTGAACAGACGGTCGATCATGAGGTTTGGAAATGTCACTGCAGCCAAAGGTCAGGGTTTATTTGGTGACTGTTAAAGATTATAATTTTAACAGCATGTTTATTAAAAAAAAAGAAGAAAATACCAAATTAATCAGCTAAAGTGAAATAAATGACAACCAAACAAAAGGACTGAAAGATATGCCACTCTAGCAGAACTTTCCTCAGGTGCTTTGGGAAGTAAAATCCAATATTTTAGTGTCTTTCTGTTTCCCCATTCTTGCCTGATAAAGAATTTCAGAAATTCAGCATTTCAGGGTCTCCTTTGACCTGTGTTTTGTGTCATGATGCTCCAAATGTTTACAATGGGTGACAAGTCAGGACTTCAGGGAGGCTAGTTTAGCAGCAGGACTCTTCTGCTACAGAGTAATGCTGTTCTAATACCTGCAGAACGTGGTTTGTTATTGTCTTGCTGAAATATGAAGGGTTTCCCTGAAAAAGTAAACCTGTATATTTTTCTCAGCATTAAGAGCAGATTTTTTATCCCAGAACCCTAGTTCCTGTGGTCAAAATGCAGAGTTCCTGTAAAGGTCGCTTGATCCTCAGGAAAGGTCCTGCTGTCAAAGACCCCTGGAGCATAGCATCTGATCTCTAAGCAGTTTAAAAAAAAAAACATGCATCAACACCTGACTCCTCAGTGACAGTTCCACCATATGAAGTGCATCAACTGAACCCAAGAGTGACACCTACTGGATAAGTGATGCTTGACACCTTCTTGACCCCAGACTCATCTCTTTTATGTTGAATATTTCTTATTTGGAGAGCCACTCAGTAAGCTCTGAGCATTTTTTTTCTCATGCAGGTCTCGTCACTCAAGCTAGTGGTAACTTTACCTGTTTAACCTGATTTATCTTGGCTTCAAATATTTCCAGTTGCATGCAATTAGTATAGAAAATACTAGTTTATCATTAGGAAAACTCACAATTTTGTATTTGTTAAGATACACCTGTGTCTGATTTCCTCCTGTTGGTATATTTCAGCTTCTTGTCTATTTAAAACATTCTAATGGAAAACAATCAGCTGAAGTTGGATCTAAATTCATCTCAGAGCCTTCAATGTGATTTATAACCCAAAAATACAACTTCAATAAGTTACCAAATTCAAAAATAAAGTTGAGTGACCCACACATCTGAACAATTGATTTATTAAATTAAAAAAATCACCGTAAATCATGTCTACATTGTACAAAACACAAGCTGAATGAAGCTTCTTGTAATGAAAACCACAGAGTTTAATTAGCAATAGTGTACTTTCTCTTAAATTAAGCAAACCTACGAGTGAATGGAAGGTGGGTGTTAACAAGCAGGATGACTAGGACTCTACTGGTTTGTCACATTTAGACTCTGAAGCTGAGACCCCGATGAGTCCAAACCAGTTGGTAACTTGAGTCTGGACTCATTACCCTCTCCTCATCTCTTTCATACAATCAGATGTGAAATGTATCTTCAGCCGTAAAAAGACGTAAAGGGCTGAAAAAGTAAATTCTGCATGCAGGAAAATGAGTCCCACAGAGTTTCAAAGTGCCGGCATCATCTCAGTAAACATATTTTTATTCGTACATTTTTTAAACAGGCCTCTGGTGATGATAAACTCTGCTGTTTTAGGCACTCTTCATCTTATCGTGGTGACATTTAAGGACATGAAGTCACAGAAACGGCTCAGAGTTCTGTAAGAAAACTGGTTTAATTAAATGAAAAGACAGATTTTTACCTCACATATAACAGCTTGAAAGAAAAAACAGAAACAAATATATAAAAAAAACAAGAATTAACAATAACAAAAACAAAGAACAGAGAAAATGATCCTGGCTACACGTCTTCTCTCGTCACCCTGCTGTGATTTAGAGCTTCATGTTTTCTAGGTTAGTTTCTTCTTCTCTTGTGTGTTTTCTGCAGATGGTTGATGATCTTAGAGTTTGTCCTCCAGAAACAAAGTAAAGAGGGGGAGGGGGGAGGCGACCGTTTGCAGCTCCATCAATCAGCGTGGGCAAAGTTTGGTGGAGGCGGGTGCAGGTTCTTGGAGGTTTTTTTTTGTCCCTCAGCAGCCACCACCCTCCTCCTCCTCCAGCACCACCCTGCCTTTATAAGTCTGTACAGCGAGTCAGGGCGCTCTGTTTAGAAGCCCATTCCTCCCATTCCACCCATTCCGCCCATTCCTCCCATGCCGCCACCTGGCATCTCCTTCTCCTCCTTGGGGATCTCCGTAACAACGGCCTCGGCGGTGGAGAGCAAGGAGGCGACGCCTGCAGCATCCAGGAGAGCCGTCCTCACCACCTGAAGAGGGAGCAGAACACAGTTTAGAAGATGTTTGACACCGAAGTCAAGTTTGGAGAGAAGTTTGAAAAGTCAGCAGATCATCCCCAACTTATTTATTTCCAAAGAAAACCAACATTTAATCGCTTGAATCCATATTCATCCACAGTTGGTGATGACTGTACCTTCGTGGGGTCGATGATGCCCTTCTCCACCATGTTGACGTACTCTCCCTGCATGGCGTCGTAGCCGAGCTCGGCTGATCCCTGCAGGATCTTCTCCACTACCAGAGAGCCCTCCACGCCGGCGTTCTTAGCGATCGTCATGGCGGGGATTCGGAGTGCCCGCCTGATGATGTCCACACCTGAAAGGAACAAAATCATAAGGAGGAGATCAAATAAATGAAGATGTTTTCACCTTCTGCATGAAAGTTCAGGAAAATAAGTTCCAGGTTTCTTCCATGTCAATGAAATCTGAATCTCTGACCAACATTTTCCCCGATATTCTCGGAGAAAGTCGGTCCTGATAGTGAATAATACTCCGCTATTAGGCTGACAACCTGGGATTTCAGGGTGCGGCAGTTTGCGATGTGTTTGTAATTTTCTCACCATCTTCTAATGTTTGTGCTTTACTCACCGATCTTCTGGTCAGAGTTTGCTGTTTTGATGCCATCCAGGGATGGGATGCAGCGCAGCAGAGCGCATCCTCCTCCTGGAACGATTCCCTCCTCCACAGCTGCTCGTGTGGCGTTCAGAGCGTCTGTCACTCTGTCCTTCTTCTCGTTCACCTCCACATCACTTGTTCCACCAACCTAACACAAAAAATATCGGTCATTACCTTGCAGACATAGACTAAATGAGATGGAGGAACTTTTTTTGTTTTTTTTAAGGCGTACTTTGAGGACAGCGACTCCGTCCGACAGCTTGGCGAGCCTCTCGTTGAGTTTCTCCTTCTCGTAGTCGCTGGTGGTGCTCTCCAGCTGCTCGACGATCTCGGCGGCACGTTTCTCCACATCGGCGGGGTTTCCTCCTCCCTTCAGCAGCAGTGTGTCGTCTTTAGTGATCTGCACCTCACCGATTCTGCCAAAGTCATGAGCCTGGATGTCCTCGAGAGCGATACCCAGGGACTCCTCTCCAAAGACCTGCAGAGAGGAGCAGATGAACTCAATGATGCATGCGTTTGTTACAACTTAAATCCCACATTTGCTGCATTAAAGTTAATATTCCCCTCAGGATGTCAGCTAGAGAGCAAAGTATTGTAGGCAGCAGTGTTGTGCAAGTTTACGCCAAGAGTGAGTTCGAAGTTCAGTTTACTCAGATTGAAATGAACTGGGTCGTGTCCATCTTTTAAAATTTAGAGCAAAGTTCATGGTCTGAAACATGAACTAGTTTACGTTGTTTCTTGGCTGCACCTAAATTCTCTGTTGGTAGAGCCTCTTGAGCTTCGATCCCTCATCCTAAATCATTAACATTTCCTAAACTAAATAGATTATCATGTCCTACCAGAATTACACACAGATATCAATCAATCAATCAAATTTTATTGATATAGCGCCAATTCACAACAGCCGTCATCTCAAGACGCTTTTCAAAGAACAAGAGCAGGTCTAGACCACGCTCATTGTTTTATATTTAGTTTGAAAAGCCAAGAAAACTCAATTTGAAAATATTTTTGTGATTAAATGGCTTTTGAAAACTTAGTCAAGACTGAGTGTCAGAGGGCTCCAGCTGTACCACAGAAATCTCCCAGTGATTAAAAAGTGGACTTACAGTGCCCCCGGTGGCGACGGCCATATCCCTCAGCTGGTTCTTCCTGTTGTCTCCAAAACCTGGAGCTTTAACAGCCACAACCTGCAGACCGACCTTCAGCCTGCAGAATGAAAGATCACACAGTCAGTTAAATCCACACGCTCTTTTCTCTTTGTTAAATGAGACTGAGGGAGGAAGCATGACGGACCTGTTGAGGACGAGTGTGCTGAGCGCCTCTCCGTCCACATCCTCGGCTACGATCACCAGAGGTTTGCGGTGCTGGTTAGCGATCTCCAGAGCGGGAACGATGCTCTGCACACTGGAGATCTTCTTCTCACTCAGCAGCAGGTAGGCGTCCTGAAACTCACATTTCTGACCTGAAGATAGAAGAAACAAAGTCAAAATGCTTCTTTACAGACATACATGCATAATCATGAGGGTCCATGATGAGATATTTCAGGTTGTTGTTTTGAGAATGTTTCGAAAAAGTTCTTTATACTTCAAATAAAGTTCTTTAGGTTACAATTAAAAAGCATGTGATAAATCGTGTGCAGATTGATTGAACACTTTTAAAGGATGTAAACATCTCGGTACCAATCCTTCACTTATTTCACCCGTCTTAGCAAGGTTAGTCTGGTGGAACATCTCCTTTCCACACATGTAGACAGACTGTCTTTAACAGGCTCATTTACCATGTAGTCAACACAAACAGCACATACAGCCACTGCTGAGGCTGGGCATGTTTACCTTTAGCAGTGTTGATGAAGTACGGGGAGATGTATCCTCGGTCGAACTTCATGCCCTCGATGATCTCCAGCTCGTCGTGCAGAGTTTTACCATCCTGAGAGGAAAAACATGTTGAGTCTGGACCCATTAACGAGCTTTAATTACAGGATTTATCCTCCACTGACCACTTAATCCTCCAGTAACACAGCAACTCCGGATTTAAGAGGCTGAATGACTGAGTTACAATGAGCCTTTTATGGTAATAAAATCAAGCAAGTGTTTTTCCTTCTTTTAAAGTTATTCTGAAGCAGTGTATAAAGACCAATATCAAATAGATTAAAGATTTTCTTACTAATAAGCACAGAAGATCCTTGACCTCTCACAGGCTTTACAAATTTACCTGGAATATCAGTCTTTTGTATATTGTATACTTCCTGCTGTAAACATCATTTCCCTACTTTTTTACACTGTTTTCTCTGCCTATATTTGTGAAGCCTTTTACAGTCTGTCTGCTGTAGGAATTCGACTTCCTTTTCTTCATCATTTACAAACAAATTCTGCATGTAAACAAACCTTCACTGTGATGACTCCCTTGCGGCCGACTTTCTTCATGGCGTTGGAGATGATGTTTCCGATCTCTACGTCTCCATTGGCTGAGATTGTGGCAACCTTTAAGAATATCAACAAAGAAATTAATGAATAATCAGATTTAACACACAGCTACCTTTAATATATGTTACCAACACCTTATCTTCTTTACCTGTGCGATCTCCTCAGGTGTTGTGACGGGCTTTGAAAGATTCTTCAGCTCATTGATGATCACTTCCACGGCCATCATGACTCCGCGGCGGATCTCCACAGGGTTGGCGCCCTTGCTGATGGTGTCAAAGCCCTCCTTGGCGATGGCGCGGGCGAGCACCGTGGCGGTGGTGGTGCCATCTCCGGCCTCCTCGTTGGTGTTGTTGGCCACGTCCTGCACCAGCTTGGCTCCGATGTTCTTGTACTTGTCCTTCAGGTCGATGCTTTTGGCCACCGTCACACCGTCTTTGGTCACTTTTGGGCTGCCCCAGCTCTGCTCGATGATGACGGTGCGACCCTGAGGAGGAGAGAGGGTGTTTCATTACTGGACTGTTCAGCTTTTGTGCCAAGAAAACCAAGGGATAATGACATTTTCTAATTCACAAAGGATGCATAAAGGGTTAAATGCAGTGTAGTGTTGTGCTATTTATGAAATACTTCATGCTTTTTTATAAAATACAAAGACAAACAGACCATCACTAGTAAGATTGTTATAATGTTCAACGCCTGAAACCTGCGCTAAAAGTCCTGCAAAATGAAGAGTCAATATTCTATCATCTGATGAGAGTAGCACTTATGAACACTATCATGTTCAAACTCTCCATTATTTTACCTCTGAATGACCTTAAAATATCTCTGTACATTCAGTCTGTAAGTATTACATCAAAATCACCCTTTTTATAATTACTGAGGGTTAAATCAGTCTGTGGCTCAAACCCCTGCACAGCTAAGCTGAGCCATTACACATGACAGAATGTTTTTCCACCTGACTCAGCAGATTTTTGCGATCGTGCTCCAGAGTAGCCGCCTACAAATTGTGAAATTGGTGTCACGAGTTGCAGGGCGTGGGGATGCAGTGGTTTAAGAGTAGTTGCAACCATGTCAGTGATAAACAGGATCCAAATGCATAAAAAAATGTCATCAAGCGTCATGCTACCTTTGGGCCCATGGTGACAGCCACAGCGTCAGCCAGCAGGTCGACTCCCTGCAGCATGAGCGCCCGAGCATCAGCTCCAAACTTCACATCCTTGGCGTACGCCCGGGTGAGGTGAGGAGCCAGCGCCCGGCACACAGGCCTCACCTGCTTCATGACTGTTGGTAAGCGGAACATCTCTATGGGAGGAGAGAAGAAAAGAAGGGAAATCTTTCATTAATTATCAATCATTCAAACTTTATTTTTACAGTGCTGTCCATTCGCGCGGGATATTAAAAAACAATGAAATAAAATAAATACAAATACAAATACCAAACCTGCCCACCCTCCCAACCCCCATTCAACACATATAGCACTCACACATACAGATACACACACAAAAGACCAGATGAGGACTCTTCAACTTGTCACAGATGATTGAGGAAACACTATCTTGAGTTAAAAAAATGAGTTAACACTGGATCTAGGACTAAAACGATAAAACCATGATAAATTACAATAAAAGCGACAAAGCGTTCAAAGTTAATTAAATAAAACAGTCTTAAAATCAATCAGTAACAGAAGGAAAATTTAAAAAAAGAGGTAATAAAACACAAAATAGTTACTCTGGGACTTAAATGGGGTAAAATCACATAATGCAGATTAAAAGATTAAAACAAAATTTAACTAAAAGCCAGACTAAAAAGGTGGGTCTTTAGTTTACTTATAAAAATATGAACAGTAGGTGTCGCTCTCTATTTAATGACGGTTTCATCTGAAAGAAGATAATCTGGGGCTTTTAGAAAGGCTGCAAGAATCTAAAACACATTTAATAAAAAAGGTGTTCACCGTATGATGAGTGAGAACACACATACAACAACCATTCTCTAAATTTATACCTCCCCTCTCACCACCACATTAGGACTGAAAATCTGTGACAAAGGTAACAGGCGCCCCTAGTGGCCACTTGTGGTATTACAAGACAGCAGAGAATGAATGGACATCAAGAGACAGGGATGGTCAAACATTATCAGAGTTGTACAAGTCACCTTCAACAAAGCAGAGCAACTACAACAAGGAGAACAAACCGGGAAAGGTGATGGGGATTTTCTGTCAGACACCCAAAATAGATTTATTTCAAAACTAAAAATAAACAGGTTTTATGTGCCTCTTGTGTGTATTTTAAGTTGAACCAAATATACACAAGTAATGTGATGGAAGCTTCAATTCACAGCTGGTTTTCTTGGTTAGTATTCCAGCTAAGATTTCTGAATTAAACACAAAGGAACTGAATTTAAACAAATCTGACATTTAAGCAAACATATGCATTGATGTATTTTAGACTAAAAGATAAAGACAGGAAGGATGAATTAAGACAAAAAACAACACATGATTTAACATATCTGAATACAGACTGCATACCTTGATCTACAGTATCAGTCTCCATCTAACAGTTCAAACCAGGACAACACAATATGGATGAAGTGTGCGTATTTAAGGGGATAGTACAACAACTCCTTCACATTCCACCCACCATTTTTCCCTTTTTTTCTAACATTTATCACAAATAATCTGATTTTTTTCCTCACTCCAGCTTTGGTCGTGACTGAATGACTGAATGAATCCCCAAATCCAGTTCCTGCTCACCCCACGTGTGCACTCCAGGTCGTGCGTCACAAGGTCAAATTGAACAGCATGTGCGGAACTGCTCCTCCACCATCACTGACCAGCCTGTCTGACCATCACCCTGTCATTCATTCATTCTCTGATCGAAACATGATCGATTTATTCACACCTGGAGACACGCTTTAATGCTCGGGACTGTCACCGGGCAGTTCCCACATCTGACAGGGAGGTTTCATCAGACACACGCACGACATTGTTACCGGCTTAATCCAATTCAATAACCGTCAAAGATGAAGACATCAGTTTAAACATCAACTTTGCACCTGAATAAGACCTTTAACAGCCTTCCCTCACGTGTGTCCTTGCAGTTAATAAGAGAAATCTGTTAGCTGGAAGTTATTTAAGCTAGCTTCCATTAAAGTACTCTCCGCACCAAATCTGCTTTAAAATACTGACAGCGCTGTAGAGAAGAAGATTCAGCCTGTAATGTTAACAATCAAGCTTTAAGGAGTTGATTTCAGCACTTACTTGTTAGGTGATGAGCTTGTAGCTGCTGCGAGCTGCACAAATGATATAACGAGTGGAGGTCTGAGGAGGACAGCGGTGTGCTACTGCTGCACATGGGCTATCACATCCGGGTAATTTACCGGCCGGCCCCGGACTCTGAATTACAACATACTTTATCGAATTACTGCATTATTTTCAAAGTTTTCTGTCATGTTATCACTTTGAATGGTGGAATTTATATTACTTTATATTAATTTGTGAGTTATTGTGCTAAAGACGTTATTTATGATAGTTTAGGCACAGTTTACATGCATATATGCTCGTTCCCGGGGGTACCAATTCTAGAATTTTCCCGTGTGCCATTGGACGGGGAAATAAAGGTCAAAGTTGACATTGTGCAACATTTCGCCACCTCAAAATGTATTAAAAATCGAGAAATAAACGAATATAACGTCTGTATAGATCATATGTCCATGTTTCAGTCACATTTTTGAACTATTTTCTCTTTTTAACGGTGTTTTTTTGACTCTTGGGTCTTCTTGAAGTCTCAGGTGGGCAAAGAATCAAGTCAGGGGCAGCACTGCGCATGCGTACAATCCTTCTGGAATATTTCCTCACGTGGAGCGGCTTCCCTGCAGTGTGTCAGATCCACGCTCACGCAGAAACCGGGGTGCAGATCCACGGCGGCTCGTAGACCTCTTTTACATCCAGACATGGTAAGAAAATCAAGAAAATATAACCTGTAAAAATTTGTTTATAGAGCAGCAGCAGAACCGTTTTAGTGCAGAGTTACCTTTAGCTGCCGGTTGCTAATTTCACGTAAGCTTCCTTTAATTCACAAGGTCAAACAGCTGAGTGAGGAGCAGAGTGAAAATGAAGCACGTGCTACAAAGCATGTGCGTGTTTAGTTTGTGGTTTATAAAAGAAAACGGAAGAAAATACAGCAGCATTTATTTGTAACAGACACGAAGATGCGGCTCTAAACGGCCTGTCAGTTGACACAGTAACACATATTCGAGCTTTCCGCTTTAGTTTGAGTGTTTAGGATAACAAATAACATCTAAGATCTTAGAATTTGTTGAATAACGTTACCTAAAAAATACACGGATGGTGACATTAATCCTTATAGCGGACACACGTGCTTAAATGAAGTGACAGCATCGCCTTACACATCCTGGCTTACTATTATTTCAACCACTTTGGGGCAGATATGCTTTTTAAAAACGCAACCTGCAAACAAGATTGATTTCTTCTTCATCAATGCATGCCCTTGATCAGTGAAAGAAACGCACACACGTTTGAATGAGTTCCGGGTTCCGCTACGTAGACTCTGACGTCAGAACGTCCTGAGGTCTCATCAGGGGTCCCATAACTTCATTCGTACTCACTTAAATAATACCAATTTTACATGGATTTTGCATTCGCAGTGATGATTATAAGTATAATAAATGGTCTCATCCAGGTTATATCTTGCAACTTACATTATTGTATATTATCTCCTTATTTTGACTTATTTTACTTACTTTATCTATGTATCTCCTTATTTTAACTTATTTTACTTACTTTATCTATTAATCTCTTTATTTTTTACTTTTTTTATCTATTATGTATCTCCTCTTTCGACTTTATTTGCACTGGAGTTACTGTAACCACCAGGGGATTATTAAAGTATTTCTGATTCTGAGTCTTAAACTGCTTTGACACACAAAATATGTGAAATGTCTTGTAAGACTTGTGACTGTGACTGCGACTGGTAATATAGAAAGCAGGAATGGAACACTAGAATATTCTAGGACTTGGTATAATTGCCAGGTATTATTTGAGATTGCAACAAGCGTAGCTGGAAGACAAGAGGGAGTCATGAAGGTTATGGAGGACTCAGACCACACAAAGTATAGCTCCTAAACTGTCATCTCTGTTATTTTGTAGTTGTCTTAAAATAATTGCCACAATGTTAGTTGTGAGATCTGTACAGAGCCACCGAAGGCCCAATAGGTGGAATGTTTTATCTGCTCACAAAATATTGACAGGAAACAAATGATGCACACTATAAAATAACATTGATGTAGCAAGTTATTATATGTGCAGCAAGAATAACTAGCGATAACGGTATTCTGTGCACATTACATTAACTTGATTCCACAAGATGACAACCTGGGTACACAGTATTGAAACTTATTCCTCCAACTTGGTGATATTGTTTGAAAACGATCTTATTCATCTTTGATTTTGTGCACACAAGGTATCAGCCTTTGGCCACGTATAAGCCCTGCTTTGTAAAATCTGGTTTGATACAGAAATTCATGTAGCAGACTGCTAGAAAATTGAGGTTATTGAACTTGCTCCCCTGCCCCATCATGAAGTACTGCAGAGAGAACCTTTTGGAAAACTGGACTAACTGGCCTCATCTGTTATCTTGCCTTGTTAAAAACCTGGGGGACGTTTCCTCTCTGATCAGGCCTGTTATCACAGCTTCATGTTTGGATTTTGTAACCGACTGCTCCCCTGAAATACCAAGATGGCTCTATCAGGAGGCCTTGTCCTTGGATGCCTCGGGTTAAACAGTCACAGAGAAGAAGTGACTCCTCCTCCTCCTCCCCTCTGGAGCTTCAACTGAATTTGATCAGTCAACAACGGGGCTTGTCCTTCCTTCCTCCCAACCCCCCTTTTTTAACTCCCTCCACCATTCTCACAGACAACCTTCAGCCAAGGTTACTTATACATCTGCTCTTATCAGACTGCAGCTGTTGTCATAAATCTTACAAAGGCCTTCACCTCCCTGATTCCTCCCCCTGCCCATGACTTCAGGCATACCTTCAGTATTTGGCATGAAGAAGAACTGCTGACTCTCATTATCCAAATTTCCTCTGAATTCAAGTGGGTTCATAAAGGCTTTCTCTGTCATGGTGCTGCTCATTTATTGTACACACACAGTTTTTACTTAAGATCTCTCTAGCCTAACCCCTTCTCCTCCCCTTTACCTCCCCCTGCCCTCACAGAACAGCAATAATTACAGATTATTCATTTCTTTTTCTATAAAGAAGACTCCAGTTTGCAAAATACAGAGTTTGGAGCTTATATATTTTTCTCACTGTAGCTGAAGAATGATGGTATCCTATAAATACTATTAAAAAAAAGAATATGGTGCCATGAAGAGTTATATAGACACAGATTGACTTTTTTGGGTGGTTTGCTTGTTTGGCCACACCTGTCATGATACTCCTCATCATCCTGCTGCTGTAAAGATTCATGTAAATGAATGTAGTGGCCCCCTGTTTCATGAGAATTATAACTTGATGAAGAACATCAGGTTGAAACTTGAATTTTTGTGAAATTGGTGAAGTGTGCCGTTGCTGTTGTTTTAGGTCTTCTCCCAGGACAGGATGTACATCACCCCCCACCCCACCTTTTTCATGTATCTTTATTTACTCATGACTGTTCTGTTTGGTTTCTTAAAGGCCTTCAGAAAATTCCTGCCCTTGTTTGACCGGGTGCTGGTGGAGCGTTTCACTGCAGAGACGGTAACAAAGGGAGGCATCATGCTGCCAGAGAAGTCTCAAGGAAAAGTGCTGCAGGCCATGGTGGTGGCAGTCGGACCTGGCTCTGTTAACCAGGTACAAACAAATAGTAAATCTAACATTACACAGCTGTGATGAAGAGTTCAGGGTTTTCAAGTTGCTCCATTCTTTGTCATTAAACGTATTATTATTATTTTTTTTTCTAGAAAGGAAATCTGCAGCCCGTCAGTGTGAAGGTTGGAGAGAAGGTACTCCTACCAGAGTACGGTGGAACTAAAGTCAGTCTGGACGATAAGGTAGAGTACATTTAACTGCATTTAAAACAGTAAAAACTTTTAATTTTTGCCTTTCTTAACTGACCTTTTTCTCCTCTTTTCATTGCTGTAGGAATATTTCCTGTTCCGTGATGGAGATATCCTTGGTAAATACGTCGATTGAGCCTTTTTTGTCACCATAGAAGTCCCATCATCCTCAGAGAGAAGAAATTATGTCGTCTCATTCATGTTTTTTTTTTCTATGTTATTTCAATTGTAAATAATTCTAATCACATTTTGTTACGATAATAAAGGTGAACTGTTGGATTTTTGTCTGTTTGTGTCAAACTATGAAGCAATCAAAAATCCTGGGAGGGAATTTGTAGCCACTCGTTTAGTCTTTTAGCTTTGTCAACCTATTTTATTTTTTGAAGTTTTATTTAGTCTTTTGTGTTATGTTTTGTGTTAAATGAGAATATAAGTGTTTGGGAATGTTTTATTGCTCCCTCTGGAAATTAAGTGATGTAGAGAAGAAAATTTTCATAAAATATGAATGATTAATTAAAAAACAAGGACTAAGTTGTGCTTTACAGAATTATTTTCCCATACTGTTTCACTATTCAAGTCCAAAGTAGATGAAATGGAAAAGGCAAAAAGAAAAGTAAATTAAAAATTTTAAAAAGTCCCTGAATTCAACTTTTCAACAAATTTGCTACTTAATCAACCATGTTTTCAAGTGTTAAATTAGTTTAAGAAGTAGGTCAATTTTCTCAGCCTCTGAAGACTTCCTAATCACCATTGTAATAGGAGGTGCATTCAAGTACCCTTCAGTTGCTCGGAGTTTCTAGATTTACTACATACTCCGGTATAGTTTTGAGCTTTGACGACATGATATGGCATTAAGATGGAATCCATAAAGATGTGTTTCAGTTAGACTTTCGGAAGTAAAGGAGTCGGTAACACAACAGCTACAAGCTTATAGTGCTAACAATTGAGCAAATTATTTATTCTAGTACATTTTGACTCAATATCTATCAAACAAGTCCACCATTTGAAATGACTAATTTGAGTTAAATACAGTTTGAGGACTTTTTCGGGAATTGTTTGGACTTCGGGTGGGCTTTATGCACATTTTCCCGATCGGAAACAAAATTTTCCGATTCTTTTTGCCTGTACGCGAATGCACAGTGAGTCCGCTGCTACAACCCAGCGGTTGACGAACATCCGGGTATTCTGTCGAGATGGTCATGGCGGAGGGTACTGCAGTTCTCAGGAGGAATCGGCCTGGAACCAAGGCAAAGGTGCGTTTTCACCTCCGGGGAACCCACAGACACCACTCATAATAACCTCTACACTTCTACGATATCGTCTTATTCGACTCTTACTCTTTAATTACACGTCTTTCGTCGACTACTGTAGTCGCAGACTGCATTTAGGAAGGGCCTGACCTGGAAATGGACGGCTAAGCTAATGCTAACTGTCGATCGGTCTACTTCTTGGAGTAACATTGACTTCAATGACTCTTGGTTTTGTTGTTGTAACATTTCAGCGTCGTTGCTGATCCGTCAGATTTGACAAAGCTCATGTAGTGAATAAAAGTACACGGGATCTTGAGACTCAAAGCAGTGTCAAACTCCTTACCTGTCGTCAAAGCCCGTTAACTGTTTGCTTCGCAGGAAATAGTCGCACCCAAGCTGGCGTTATTTGACAAATGAAAACGAGTGATTCTCAATTTAGACATATTATCCTCTCAGTAAATCCACAAATGCAGAGTCATGCCTGCTTTGTCTAGCTTGTATACTCCCCGTGTTGGTGTTTTAAAGTGTTAAAATGGTAGAGTCAGGGAACAGATTTGTGCTTGTCACCGTCAGATGACAGCTGCTGTGTAGCTTTGTTTACACAGACAGACCCGGTGTCCTCCTGAAATGTGGTCTAAAAGTGTCCTTCATGTCCCTCCATGTCTAGGATTTCTACAACTGGCCGGATGAATCATTCGAGGAGATGGACAGCACCCTGGCTGTCCAACAGGTGTGTTTCCTTGTGTATGTGTGTGTGTCCCTCCCACTTGGTCCTCATGATGTTAGAGTCTTTGTATCTGGGATCAGACTCATACATTTCATCAGTTTAATATTCAACCCTCATTTGATTACATATCTAAAACATGATCACCCTGAAATCCAGATGAATTATAGATGGTTTTATCTAGTGATATCATGAGTTAAGCATTAGTCATGAAAAGAGGTATGTAATGTACATTTGATCTCCTTTAACAGCCAATAAGAGAATAGAAATTGAGTAAATCACAAAATTTCTTCACATTTCCTTTTTTAATTCCTTTTTAGAAGACATACTTCTCATATCAGTTGTTTTTAAATGTCCGTTAAGTTATGTCTGAAATTTTTAACTTGGCATGTCCTTATAATAAATCCATATTTACTTTTTGGACATTTTAGAAATTTGATTGTTGACCTGTTAACATAGCTGTGTATGATGAGATAAGAACAACTTTATTTATCCCCAAAGAGAAATTCAATAATTGCTTTACTTAAATTAACCTTTTAATTAAACATTCAAATCATTGTCCTTGTATATTTTATGGCCAATCTTGTAAACCTTGTCTTATTCCACATTTTAATTTTTCCTGTTAGATGATTTTGAAAGCCTTCAATTAATCTGTTCTTTTTTCTACAAATGCTCTGTGGATTGTCTGTTAGTTGCCTCTGTAATTTGACTCGATATCAGTGTGATCGAGGATAATTGCTCAATGATCTGTCGAGTATCAATGAATACAAATAGAACCAAAATGCAGGACCTTAGTTAGCAGGTACCATGCCAGTTACTTTCTAGAGCGAAGTTTTTTTTTAGTCCAGAGTGACTGAAGTTAAATCCAGTGACTCATTTCTTTGTATTTTAATACCTGAAATTTAATCATTGTTGCATTATATACAGACACACAAAAAATAAACAAAGGTGCTCAGATTGACTGGCTGGTGACCAGATTTGGATGATTTTCAGCCTGATGGTCATGATAAGTGACCAGCTCATCCTTTCAAATAACTGATTCTGTGTGCAAATTAAAAGACAATAATCAAGGAGATTAAGGGGTTAAAACTTCTAATTTTCTCTGAGAGAACAGTCATTTCATATTGAATCTAGCATTTGTTACAAAATGATTGATGTTGCTGTTAAATTGAATCAGCAGGTCAGACCATCAGAAAAATTAGATCAGAATCCATTAAAGAAACTGCAATAGTGGTAAATAATTCTCTTTATTGAATCCTGCTTTTGCTGTTAGGGTCAGAGTAGACTTTGAAAAATCTCTGTACAATAAGTTCTTGTTCTTTTATCCTACTATGGCTATATGCATCACTCCAGAAGAATGTAGTCCATAAACTCCACCCGTACATATTTTATTCTAAACTAAAGGAGTACAGTAATATTTTTCATATGTGTCCTAACACATTTGTTCTCATGACTATATGTACACTGAGACAGCAGGAGGAATGCCTGCCGTCATCATAACTCCTGTCCATACATGCAGTGAAGCGTTCTCCTCCTAATACTATCACAATGTTTGCTCCTTATACAGTTGGAAAAGTCATTCCTTATGTCCTCTAAGGTTTCTATTAAAAGCTTTTGAAGTCTGCCGTTGTTGAAGAGTTAGAGTTTATTTTAGTTCCAGATGTCCTTTTGTACGTATTGTTTCTATGCCGTGGCTTAGCAGGGAATAATAAAAGGAAATTTACATTGAGACTTTGAAGATACCCACAGCTCTAACCCTACTGTGGGCCTCATATTGAATGTACTAAAATGCAGATACGGATTCTGCATTGAAAGAAGAATAAATAGTGGATAAGCAGTGTATTTTCTTTGTATGAAAAGGTTGTTTTGGAGTAAGGGTCTCTGTGAAAGAATGTCTGACTTTTGTGTTTCAGTACATTCAGCAGAACATCAGATCAGATTGTTCCAATATTGACAAAATCTTGGAGCCTCCAGAGGGTCAGGACGAGGGCGTGTGGAAGTACGAGCACCTCAGGTAGGTTCAAAACACACATTCAGGTTGTGTTTCCCGCGATCAGTCTGGGTCATAATAGTACATAACTATTTGCATTTCACTGTCAAAAGTTAGGAAGTAACAGATGTGTATTGTCCTGTTTTTTGACACTCCTCAGCTGGTGTACCATACTAAGAATGGAACTAGACACTCTGAAATCTATTGCTGAGGGGTGAAAGGGGACAGTATTGGATTAAATCTCTCCTAACCTGATTTTATTGGAGTAGATGTATATGTAACATTATAAATTATCAACACTTTTAATGTAGTTTTATTTTCTTTACTGGTATCTGGGTGTGCTTTCAAGTGTTTAGGCTGGTCTCATCCAAAGTCAGCCAGACTGTTGCCTGAAGTGCATCAGGGTCCACTGTACCAAACTTTTCTATAATGTACTAAACCTGTTGAATCCTCCTCTGTTCTGTTTGCAGGCAGTTCTGCTTGGAGCTCAACGGATTAGCTGTAAAACTGCAGGTAAGTGCTCTTACTCGCTGGTTATGCAGATGTACATCTTTTTTTGATAACCCAAAGCATGTCGGAGTTATGTCAGATTTGATAGATTATCGTAAGAAATTAAAAAACGTTTCATTTCTTCTATTTGTTTGTTGCTTTTCCTGCAGAGTGAATGCCATCCAGACACCTGCACTCAGATGACCGCCACAGAGCAGTGGATCTTTTTATGTGCTGCCCACAAGACACCCAAAGAGGTCTGTCTACCATTACTGAACATAGCAATACTTTTGTTCAGTTCAGTGTTCCCTCTGGAGTTGAATTCAACACATTTAGGATCCCTGAGTGAGTGTTATTTGTGCTGCTGTTCCCTCAGTGCCCTGCCATTGACTACACCAGGCACACGCTGGACGGAGCTGCCTGTCTTCTCAATAGCAACAAATATTTTCCAAGCAGGTCAGTCATCTTATTCAAACCCATTATGTTACCATGTCAGACATGTAGACTGAATGCAAATGTTACTGACGCCTGATTAAATATTAATTGTGTGTCCTCTATAACAAGAAAGTGCAGCGTTACTGTACTTGACTTCCCTTTAATTGTTTGCTCTGTTGTTGCAGGGTGAGCATCAAGGAGTCATCAGTGGCCAAGCTGGGCTCCGTCTGTCGGCGTATCTATAGGATATTCTCTCATGCCTACTTCCATCACCGCCAGATATTTGACAAGTATGAGGTAAGGCTCGTTCTTTCATGTTCTGCAGGTTTTTTTTTCTAGAGCCACTCTCTTAAATTTTAACTTAAAGGAGATGTTTGTCTACAGTAATGATTAAACTACGATCTGTTAGTAGACAGCTACATTTTCATGTGGACTGCAGGCTGTAAAACCCAGAAAGTAGCTTTGATTTTTTGTCTCATCAAGGTGAACATTCTTCTTTAATACCTCGTCTTTAATACACCTAATGATTCAACAACAGAAGAGATAAGAGATGGACAGATAGAAAGACATTAGATAAATGTAAATGGCAGAAATAAGAAAGAAAGATTTGCGGCAGTAAAACCATGGATGACCATAAATCCAGTTAATTGGCTAAAATTTTAAAGTAGTTCAAAAGGAAATAAAACGATGCAGGGAGAGAGTTAAAACGAGAACATTTAGTGCAAAAACAAACACCGTAAGTGAATACAGCTGTACTGTGCCCACTGACCCACAGAAATGACATACAGTCCATTTCATGTCCAAACATTTCTGATCGTCTCAACCTCTGGATACTTTTAGTCTGTCGCTCTGGCTTATCCCTGATATCAGTGCCACCTGTCGCCGGCCCCAGCCTCAATGGGGCCCTTAGCAAAATTTGATTTTGGGGCCCTCTATTTCTGCCAATAATATTAATTGTCGATCATTCATACCCTTTCACAAATCTCTTTGATTAACATTCCATGACATGCAAACATACCTTTATCTTGGCGTTTTTTCTCTTCTTCTTCTTTCTTTTCTCTGCTCCTGAAGGATATGTCCTTTTTTGCGACATTGTTTTGCCCCACAACAACCTGCGCTCTAGATGCTCAGTGCACATTGCACAGCAGGAGGCACCTAATGGTAGCATAGCTTTGACATATCGGCAGTAAGAATCATAGGCATACATCAGCAGCAGCACTGAAATGTTTTTACTTTATCTTTATATATTTGATCATATAGGAAGCATCACTCATACATGCAAAAAAATTTCAAATTATTTTTTTTTGATTGCTCTTGGGGGCCCTCTACTGGCTGCTGGGCCCTAAGCAGGCGCTAAGTTCGCTTATACCTCGGGCTGGCAGGTGTCGGCTCGAGCTGTGGTTATGGGTACGAACAGCTACTTAAAGGCAGAATAAGGTTCCGAGGCTTCATTTAATTAGTTGACAGCTTTTGAAAAAATGTCGTCTGTAAGTAACATGTATGAGTTTGTGAGGCAACTTGTCAGGAGTGGCTCCACCTGTGCTCGCTCTCCTATTCCCTTTTTCTACTCCTTCCTGCAGGATTTTAAAAGGTTGAACCCTTTTGGAGGTAGAAGGAGCTCTAGTTTGAAAGCAGAAAGTGGACTATATCAATTAAAAAAAAAACGTGACTACACAGGCTTTTAATTGTAAGCATGTGTCTAAAAACAGACTGCATAAATCTGGAGTAAGTTTCTGTTATCTTTCTCAGACCGCAGAAAAAAAAAGATTTCACAGCTGCCGGTTTCTTTACTCTCTCTCGCAGCCCTACAGTGTGCACGGTTTCATTGTTGTGTCGTTGTTTTTTTTATGTGAACAGAACGAGACGTTCCTGTGTCACCGGTTCACACGCTTCGTCATGAAGTACAACCTGATGTCTAAGGACAACCTGATCGTGCCCATTCTGGAGGAGGAGGTGCAGAACACCTCGTCAGCCGGGGAGAGCGAGGCCTGAGACGACGACGACGGACGCTGCTGCCATACGAGAGAAGACACACATGTAAAAACACACTGAGGAGACGCACACACATTAACACACAAACAGCATACACACACTACAGTGTATTCAGCCTCCATGTCCCTCCTCCTCCCTCGTCACCTGTGTCTATCTCAAAAGAGGAGAGTAAAGAGGAGCAGAGTTCAGCCATGCCTGCAGGGTTTTAGTTCCTCTCTGTTCGTCCAATCAGATCCACCGATCACACTCCTCCTCTCATTAAACCTTATTTCCTTTTTAATCTTCTTTAAGCAGCTGGATTTGCAAAAACTTCTGTAATCATGGTGACCTGTAATGTTGACAAAGGCACACACTGACAGCCTCCCCCCTCCCCTCTCTCTGTATATAACCCCCTCTCTCTCCCTCCCCCCCTTCCTCTCCCTCTTTTAATTCACTGTCATGTTTTTCGGATGGTGCTTCACTCTCTGTGTCTGCTTCCGTTCTCTATTTGCTTGTGTTGCCTGTTTTTTGGGGGGTTGTCTCATGAAATGGATCACTAAATTAGCCTGCTGACGTCATAATAATAATGCTATTAAACACAATGTTAGGTGTGCGGCTCGTGTGGTAGTGAACAAAGACAAACTTAACCTCTTTAGCTTCGTACGTGTACTAGCAGTCAGATATTCTCTCTCGGAGTATTTAGGAAGGCTTGTCGGCTAACTCTGATCCTGCTTTGTGACCTGCCCCTGTTTTTAATACTGTAAAAATGTACCTGATCTTCCACCTTTTCATTCGCTAATATTAACGTGGTTATGCGCAGAGACTGAGCTGCTGTAAGCCGGTTTTTAAACATTCTATGAGGACAATGTTGGTGGAATATCAGCTACATTTAGGTAATCGGAGCACAACCTCCCCTCTTCCTCCCCTCCCTCCTCATTAAGTTATTTTGTGGGAGGAGTCTCGTCAATCCAGCCCACTTTTTTTTTTTAATGGACTAAAAAATTTTGTTACTGTTGACATTTTCATGATGTCTGTTAATAAAAAAGACCTATTATTCAGATGGATGTGTGTACGGTTTTTATTTAATTTGTTTAAGTGTGCAAAATCAGTGTGCAGAGATTGATGCAGCCCTCCTGTGAGTATCATATCTGCAGATTCAGAATCACATTTCTGGGTTTATCTCATATGTGACCATAGACTGTATATAGATTGGACAGCGTCTGCCTCCTCGCTGGGTGAAGCAACTCCGAGAACAGCACCCTCTGGTGACGGGCTGCAGCATAGGTCATAAATCACGCCTCTGTCAGCAAAGCTTATGGAACTGTGGACAAACTTTAGAAAGTTATTACACGGAACCAGTGTTGTTTTCGTTGACGATGACATTGATGAAAATATTTCGGCTGTATAAGAAGCTGTGAATCAGACAGGAGTCACACACCATGGGAAATAAGAGTTTATTACAATAGAAACACCAATGGTAATAAAAGGAAGCAAAATGTACAACTCTCCATAAAGGAAAGGCTAAAATATTAATACTGACATTTAGTAAACCCTGATGGGGAGTTCATGGAGCTAAAATACTTAAACAGCGTGAATCAAAGCTCTGTTTACGACTCTGAAATATACCTCAGCTGCATCCCTTTCCCTTCCATAAAAGCAGAATAACGAGCATCACATGAGCAGAGACGTTCAAATATGAACGCTAAAATCTAAAATATTTACAACAGCATATGTCCCTTTAACAGCATCAACAGAGGACTCCAACCATTCAGCACTTAACTATTACACTTCCTTTTTCCTTCTTGAAATACATAACCCACGGTGCAACCAGCCATCAACAGTTTGCTCAGATTTTTCTTATTTTAATCTTTTCATCAAACTGACTTTCTTCTTCAGCCACCTTCTCAACATGCTCAGTAATACTTCCAAAAACCTGAAAACACACTCTAATGTGTCGACTCGATGGAGTTTCCTCTAAATACACAGTCATGATCCTTTTTTTAACAACTTCATCCATCACAGAGAAAGTACCGTAAAGGTTGTAAAGCAGCAATTAGCAGGAAATAAAATAAAAGTACATAAAATATTAAATAATACTTTAAATGAAGCCACATCCTGAATATGTAGAGGACTCTGGCAGACTAACATGAGCAGGACGATATAAAGTCTCACATATTTAGTCTCTGAAATAATACTGATATCTTTATGTGCTCTGAAGCCAGCAGAGTTTTGAGGCGACAACTCCCTAAAGTGAACCCAAAACATTAAGAGCTCCTCCTACTGGCTGGAAGAAGTATGAGTCATAATCCTCACCTCTGCCAGGGGTCGAACTACAACATTAAAAACAAGTCATGTTTTTTCTTAGACCTGGTTTCTGTTATTATAGTTAGTTATCATCATACAGATTTACATCCAAGGGTTCATTTTTGTGTGATTTGGTCCTTTTCTACTGTGAAGACTCCGGCTGCAAATTGGCAATACTCAAACACCTGTTATGGGGGTTAATTTAGCTTCACTTTTGCACAACAGTAGGTGGAGGGGACACGTCATCCATCTTTATATGCCGACAATGATCTTTTGCTGTCAAAAAATATCAAGATTAACCAAAACTAATGCTGAAAAACATAATCTGTGTATCCCTCGTTGATCAAAACAAAAATGTGTGGAGCCATGAAGAAAAATAAACCTTAATATTAAAGTAGAGCCCTATTCCCCCTTTGCACCGCCTGTGTTTATCCCCATAATGTGCAGAAATCTGTGCTTTAAGTGTTTGTGCTTTATAGTTTTGTAACGTTTCTGCTAAAGCACCTGACAAGATCACCTCTGAAATGTGTGTTAAGTTTCTCCTCCAAACAGATCTGTATCAAAGTTTAAACACATGTAAATAACATTTTTTTTCTCTTTATGGCTTCATTGAAAACATTTCTTGAAAAGTGCTGAGTTCTTCAACATTAACGTCTCTGATATCAGGAAGGTTTCATGTAGACGATGGCAGGGTGAATAGAGCCGGTTTAGTCTGAAATCAATATTTCAATCCTTTCCTATAACCCCAGGACGAAGCTACGTCCCTCTGATGTCCCTCCTCACATGCAGGTGACCTCAGCTTTCCCCTCCTCCTGCTCGAAGCCCCCCTCTTCCAGGTGAGACAGGGCGCTGGGATACCCTCCTCCGAACACTGGGAAGCCTCCAATGCCTCCGACGGTCGGAGAGAGCTCGTCTGTGGGGACGGAGCTGCTGACTGAGCGACTCACAGAGCGACTGGAGATGTCGCTGTGCACCGACATAGTCTGCAGACAGAAAGCAAATCCAGATTTAGAACTATAAACATCAATAAAGACCAGATTTTCCCTAAATTTCCACTTTTTAAAGATGCAGCAGCAACTCCGTGTCAACTTTCACTTTTAATACAAATTTAATATAGCTTCAATTTTGTCCAGTGGAGGGCAGTGTAGTCCAATAAACAGAAAACTCCCTGCAGCTACAAACTGAGGAACTTCAAACATACTCTTCTGTGCTAGAAAGTATTTCACTGAACTTCAAATGTGTCACGATCTGAAGAAAAGATGTCTATTTGAGGTTTTTTATTTTTTATTTTTTGGCTGTTTATGTCAGCCCTCTACTCTTTCCTGTTACAAATCATTGTTTCTGTTTTTTCTCTCCCACTCTCACCTGGTTCCTCGTGTGCCCGGCGGTCTGACCTCGAACCGGCCTCTGCAGAAACACGACCTGCTTTGTGGCCAAATTCCCATCACTGCAAAAAAAGACATGATAATCATATAACAGGTTTAGCAGCTGATTGAAATTAGTTTAATTAACATGTTGGACTGGATTGAATGTGCCACTAATTAACTGACCTGTCATGTCTGATGATGGGTGTGGGCAGCACACATGTGAGCAGCCATCCAAACTCAGCCAGAGTGTGGAGGAGTGGCCCGTAGTCTGTTTTTACGTTTGAGCCCTGAGAGAGGAGAAACAAAATGTTCAGAGTTTAGACCAAAATCAGCTTCAATCTGTTTCTGTCTAAAGTTACTGGTCGGAAACATGTTTCCGGTCCAGGGAGTCCTCAGACCTCCATTGCCTCTTATTATAACTTCACAAATTTAAAACCTGCAGTAAAAAGTAAGGAGTTGAACCTGGAGCCAGACAGCATGCTTAAAACAAAATGCAATGAGAAAACTGAGTTGTTTCCCGATATATTACACTGTTAAAGAGGGAATCTTTGCAGGAGAAGCTGAAAATAATAACTATGAGAGAAGATCTTTGCAGTAGAAGCTATAAAGTTATGCCGTTTGAGAGGAGATCTTTGCAGGAGAAATGTAATGCAGACTCAGTGCAGATTTTCACTGGAGAGGCCAAACTCATGCCATCCAGAGATCTTTTCAGGAGGACTGACTGACTAAAGCTGACTAAAATAAAGTTCAGGAAGCCGTCTGTGCAGGAGAACTTTGAAGTAATGCTGTTTTAATGGAGATTATTGCAAGAAAAGGTGCATATGCTTGCAGTAGGAGGTACGTTTAATGTGCTGTTTGAGATATTTGCAGGATAAACTGATCTCTAGTTTGAGATTTTACAGAAAAGGTTCACAAAAATGATGTTTGAGAACATTTTGCAGGAGAAGCTAAGAGTCAAGGAGCTCGGCCCTGGACATCCAAATATAATATATAACAGTATTCCAGAAACAGACAAAGAAATCAGACTTTGAGCAGGTTTACTGCAAAAACGGGACTTATGGCATTAAGTGATGCTTCTGCTCTATTTTGCTTCCCCTGTTTTCTTTAGAAAACATCAGATCAGACCAAGACTGATATGAATGTAGAAATGTTATTTTTATTCAGCTCTGCAAATACAGATATATGACTTTCATTTTAATAAGTACATTGGTTTCATATCAGCCATTGTGCCTTACAGATAATATGGATAATTATGATTTTAGTGTTTACTTTCTTTGGAAAAATACACCAGCTGTCACTGCTTACCAAGGTAGAGTACTTGTTTTCTTGTTACACTTTTAAGAGCAAAATCCATTATCTGAAAATCCTCCCGCTCTGCAAAAAGGCAAGTTTGTAATAGCTAAATATTTGTGAAAATTGGTTGCCTTGGAGATACTAAACCCTTTTCCTCTGAACATGTGACAGATCTTCATAAATCTGCAAAGAGGATTGTGGATCAAAAGCTTCCATACTGCAGGATGCAACAGGATATACTAGAACATCCTGGTACTTTTACGGTACATGGTCAAACTAAACCTCTTAAACACGCCGGATAGTAAAGGTGGACAGTGAGAGAATTGGAATGCGGCCCATGTTAATCTGGCTGCATTGACCTTTCACAATAAGACTCTCATCCCTTTCATCTCTGCACTGATCACCCTGCCGGCCTGGTTCTTCACTATTCAAATCATGATGCTTCGGTCAGAACGAGGTCATACATGATTATACGACATTAACACACACACAGAGAAACACACACATAGAGACACACACACACACACACACAAACTGACCTCGATGACAGTCCACTGCTCGACCACGATGGTGTCGTTGGCAGGAGGAGACGTGCTTCTCTCCTCGTATACGAACAATCCCTCTAGAGATCTGGGCACTGGCTCGCCTGAAACATGAAAAATGTCACTTTTTTTAGTTCGTTTGTTTTCAATAGTTATTTTTAATCATAACTTGTCTTAATTTATATCACGCAAGCAGATGATCATGCTTGATTTTATTTTACAGTAGCACTCGGTGCGATTGTAAGGTTTGTTATCACATGATATCACATTATATCATACTGGATTGGATTGTATCATACTGCTTTTTATCAGATTTTATTGTATAGAATTGCATCCTACTGTGTCACTTTGTACCCCCCCCCCCCCGTTGGTTATCCCATTATATTGAACTACATTGTTTACTATTGTTTCTTATTGTAAGCTGTGGGAGATATCCAGTCTGACTTCCACTTCACATCGAGGACCTGGCTCACCTCGTCTGGACTTTAAAGGGATATTCCGGGGTAAAGTTAATTTCGGGTCAAACACACCATAACACCGAGTTAGACACCCCCTTGAGAGATGAATGTTGCCGACCGCTTGCTTCTCTAGTTATACCAACTTTAGTAACGACCGCAGGATAGCAATACACAGTGTTCTGAGGAGCCATAAACAAACCTAATGCTCAGAACAGCACCTAACTTCATCATCTTTAGCAAAGGGTCAATTCACCTACTCTCTTCACTTGTTTGCAGCGAGACCTCGGGCCAGTCCATTACGGACTACAACGGGGTGACGCAGCTCAAGGAAGAACATTTATGATCATTTCTTCATCATTTCCTTGCATCACCATATTAATCATTTTGCACTGCAGACTCGGTAGCTCTTCTGCCTTAGTGTCTTGTTATGATTGCATTTCTATGAAGTAATGACGTGTCTAATTCAGTGTTATGGTCTGTTTGACCCTTAATTAATTTTAGGCCGGAATATCCCTTTAATTAGCTATAACAACCTGCTCCCTTATAAAGCCAATCACAGGTTCCGTGACTTAATTTTAGTAATAAAATATAGTGAACTGTTTTTTAACTTCACGTTTTGTCACTCTTTCCCTGAAATAACTTTTGTCTCGTTATATTTTTCCTTTTTTTTGTGAATTTATGAATGAAGTCTTACGGATGTTACTGGAGAGAATGAGCCTTATCACAGATGCTCATAAACACAATGAGGCAGTAAACGAGGAGGAAACGGGTCCAGAGTCACTGAGTTGATCATGACCCAGTTATTAGAAAGAGGTTCAGTTCCCCTGTGTTCATGTTAGAGGAGGGGTTCACAGTGCCAGTGTGTATTATCTCTGTTCAGGTTTTACAGATGATGATCAAATCTTCGGCTCTGCAGAGGAAAAGGAAGTGAGGTCATCGAGGTCAGGAAGACGCCTCCAAATATAGACCAGGAGGAACCAAAACAGGACGAGACTGATTCTGTGTGAACTTGTTTTATAAGGAAAGATAATAAAGCGGAGAGGACAGAGAGAGGACATAGACTAATCCCAGAGTCCCTCAAGGATGTTTTTGCTCCTTCCTCATTTCCTTTATTTACAGCTGAGGGAGATTTAGACTGACTTAAGTAGTCTTTCTTTTAATTTATGACTTAATTTTGACACAAAAACATCTGTTATGAGGGGTTTCCCTCTTAGGTTTATTAGGTAATAATTCATGTTTATACCCGCTGATTTATAACCAAGCTGCAGAGTCTAATGTTGTGAGTATAGAGAGGGTTGTGGTGTCCAATTCTCATCACCTCCTGTCTTAAGAGATCACAGTATGACTTCTCTGACTGATCCGACACAAACTGTCTCTGAGGTCAAACGAGCTGCTCGTAAACATCCTGTTTTTTTGTGTTGGTTTATCTGTTTTGGAGGAAACTGCTGCAGCACAGAGAGACAAAGACGCTGAGCTGAATCTACAATAATCAGCAGTTTTTACAAACATTCAACTCACCTCTCGGCGTGTCCCAGTAGACAAACGAGTCCACCAATGACCAGCCTTTTCGGTAATATGCAGCAGTCAGCTCCAGCCAATCAGCTTCCAGGGCGCTGACCACCTGGCCCTTCCTGGAAACGCGCATGGAGAGCGCCCCCTGGTGGTACTGACAGACCGGAGAGTCCAGAGGGGCGCAGCCAGGAGCCCAGGAGTGAAAAAACACCAGCAGACGCAAATCTGAGAAGAGTTAAGAACAGCAAATTCAGTCCCACGTGTCAAGTTCTTGTCAAAGTCAGCAGGACACTGTTATTTGATCATTTAATAGTCAGAACTGTAAGGATAACCCAACAGCGAGTCCACAGACACCTGTAAAGTAAATCTTCTAAGAATGAAAATGGGCGGGGCTTTTCTCACCTGGACTGTAGGTGTTCTCCTCCAGCTCTCTGTCTCCTGGCGGGGTACGAGGAGGAGTACGAGGAGGCGACCGACAGCTCCTCTTCGGGCTGTGGACTCTGCCGTTCGTGATCCCGCTCACCTGCTGGAGGACCGAGCCGACGAATCGAACGCCCCCTCGAGCGCTGCTGTTCACCTGAAACACAGAGTCAGTCACACGGTGCATCAAACTTTAAATCACAGAGAAACAACAACACAGAGCTGAAGACGACATTTCTTTATGAACAACACAAAGACAAAAATCACAGAGAGAGAAAAATCCAACTCAGTGAGAACATGTGGGAAAATATGTGCAATTTTCTCGTCTTGTTGTTTGAAAAGAAAAGAGAAAAATTGGCGCCACCATTGTGGCAGTTTTGATGTTTCACAACCCAAAGAAGACACACTTATGATTTACAGCAGAAATGATCAGAGATGCGAGACTTTAAACTCTCTGTTGACGAACATGAGCATGGTTACAAAAACATCTGTTAAAATTTAAGTTTCTCAGCTATTATGGAACAACAAACACAGAAAACCACAAAAATAAACAATATTTAACACTATTTTTCTGTGTACAGACAAGTCTTTGATTGGTATTTAAGGATTTTAAGTGGTCTTAAAAGGGATAAATATTAAAAACTTCACTTATTTTCAGGACAAACTAACCTGGGAAACTTCTCAATGTACAATGGCATCTATTTTAGGATTTCTCTATGCTTGAAAAATGAAAAAATAATAATTTTCTCTGTTTTTGAAGGATTTTAGGGTTCTACAAGTTAAAAGTGGTTCAGTTAAACTCCTTTAAGCTCTTTAATACTCGGCTAAATTCAGATATTTCAAATACACTTTAATGTGTTGAGAGTCCCAAAGTTTTAGATGCCTGAAAGCTGAGTATTTTGTATTTTGAAGAAGTGCTTTAAATATTGAAAAAGTAATTTTTTATTCATGTTTAGTACATGCAGATCATAGAAAAGAATTAATAACAGTTGTTTTTTGAATTCCAAAGAGCAGAAAGTAAAAGGTTTTTAAATTATAATACCTAAAATCTTCTGGTTTCAACAGTCTTGAATATGTTACCCTAACCTCTCAGTCCTCCACAGGCTCTCAGGTTGGAAAAAGCCATTCTCAAAACTAATTTTTAACTCTTTTTTAAGGGTTTTGGGCAGCAGAATTGTTACTGACCCTGTCAATAAGCGCCCTGACTGTGTCCCCCGTCAGAGACTCTCCAGGTAACGGCCACTCCTCCACCTTCAGCATCGGCACGCTGTGACACATGGACGCCATCTGCTTACTAAGAGAGAGACAAAAACATCCATTACCCCGCTCAGGATGGTCAGAGGGGAGCTCCTCTGGTTCGTGACACCAAACCTCCTGAACCTGTCCAGCTGGAGGGTTCATAGTTCAGCTGTAATTTTCACAGAGCTGCAGACGCCAACACATCAATCATTCATGTCTCAACCGGCAATTAAACAAAGAGTAAACAACATTTGACACAGCTAGAGTAGTGAAAACTCCCACACATTTAACTCCCTTTTTTAGCTGGAAATAAGGAAAATAACATGTGACATAAAAATATCAACATTAGCTACATTCTGTCACCTTTACTGCATGTATCCACCTACTGTATATTCAGTTACAGTTTCTAGACCAATCAAACCTCTCCGATTACTGATTTACTTTAACATCATTGGCTGCTTTAGGACCCCCTGTTGTTGGGTGGATTTACAGCCAATAGGAATCGGGGTAGACACGGGGACCTGGGAAAACCAAAACAAAGTCTGACCCCCCTTCCTCTGGCACGCCAGTCTGACCTCCTGCCGGAGCTTTACATTAAAAATGCAGCTGACTTCATCCATCATTCATCGATTTACTAGACAGTGTGATGGTGAACATGTGGGCACACCGGGGAGTGTGAGTGTGTGTAAAGGGAGGGTCTCTGATGGATTGTACACGGTGATCCTCATTGGCCTCTTAAAGCATTTGATCCTTTTAATCTCAACTTTAAAAGCAGCTAACTACAGGTTTTATGATGTGATGATCTTACATTAACTTAGGTCTACTTAAAATCAGTCCTGGGATGCCACAGGGGTCTGTTCTTGGTCCTTTGCTATTTACACAAACTTGGAACCAATTGATTATCATTCAGTCGTCCTGCAAACGACCACAAAAAAGCTGCACTGTCAACAAAATCACAGACCTGTTAAACACGCAGATTAAAACGACGTACTGTCCCACAAAGAGGTTGAATAAATGATACAGAAAAATCTCTTTCTGGGTCATACATATACTTAGGAATCTATCTTAACAGCAAACTCATCCATCATTCATATCCCCTATTTGACTCCCATATTTAAGTTAAAACTGAGCTTTCCTTTGATTGAGGAAGATTTGAAGAAGCAGGTATGAAAATGGGGTCCTCGTGTACCTGGGTCTGGGACGGGCCAGGATGGCTCTGTAGAGCAGGCTGAAGGGGAGCGAGCGTGTCCGCCCCACAGAGAGGATAATGGGATGAAGAGCAGCCAGGACGTATCCCTGAGTGTAGTATGGCTGCAGAGCCTGAGGCAGCTCAGAGAGGGAGGCCACATACTGCACGGTGGGACGGCTACCTGCAGAGACACAGAGGCTAATAAATGAGCTGTTTCATAACAAAACTTTGCAACTCAAACGTGTTTTTTTGTTTCAGATCTGACTGTGTTCATGCAAACATGGATACAATCAGCGATTCAAAGTCCTGCAGACTTCTGTCTGGGAAAGTTTCCTTTTCCTCTTTCTCTAATGACTTTAACATCACTGCTCCACTTCTGCTACTGCCACAAAAGCACGCACACTCACAGCAATCACATTTGTTACATAATTTTGAAAGGTAAATAATGTTGAAAGAAGGCTTTATAGTTTAACCACTCATGGAGAAACACAGACATACAGTACTTTGGTGGAAGGACATTTACTCAAGTACAAATCAAGATGATTGGCTAGTTTACTTTCATTTAATGCAACTTTATACTTGACCTACATGATCCTTACTCTACTACGCTTCCTGTCCAGTGGAAATCATGCATAATGCTCCTGAGAGTAACATGTATCATTTCATTGTATTTGGTGTTTTAACTAGACCTTGACATTTCTTTCACCATATCCACATGCTGGTAAATTGTTAATAAAGACCCTGCAGACACATCATTACCTCCATTACATCGGGCCTCTTCACATATGAATAATAAACGTAATACTGATCTTGAAAGTCTGCTGCTCAGTCTGAGAAGTTTAATTTCCTGAGTCCAGCTGAGTCTGACAGTTTCAGAGAAACCACATTACTGCACTCTTACATTAGAGTTATATATATATACTGTATGTATAGGCATGCAAAGACACACTATGAACATGTTTGAGTGCTGCTCCAGATGTGATGTGTGATGTGGTGAGACTAATAATCTGTCCAAAACCTCCACACAAAGAAGAAGAGGGAAAAAAAAGTGAATGATGTGATACGTAACGCACAAAAGTCATAGTAAACATCATTCTGATGGAAGTACTCAACTTTTACTTCATTTTTCCAGGACCTTTTCTTACAGCAGAAAATCTAAACCTGATTCACAGTTTTGAGTAAAACTTGTTTTCTTTTTAAAGCTGTGATGTTGAATGCAAAGTAATACTTTTGCAGGCTGCTGTAAGGGTTTGGAGAGGTGCTGAGTAGTAAAAACTCATTTTTTTCCATTTAACAGCAAGTTTTGTTGACCCTTTTATTTAAGTACAGGTTCTGAACACTTCTGTACACATTTTTATCAGAGCTGGGACATAATTGGATTTTAATGTTGATTATGGCTCCCCTAGGGCTGTCCTGATACGTTATTGATATTGGATATCAGTCCAATATCAGCCAAAAAACAAATATCAGATTATATCGACCTAAAATCTCCGATATCGGCACTCCAATAGACGCAGTCCATTCCAGACTCCACTCTGGCACCTCTAGCTAGCAGCGCCCAGATCCAGCATGCAGAGCTCAGTAATCACAAGAACAGTGTGTACTAAAGTACAAACAGAGTAGTACGTAGTAGGAGTGATGTCGGCTGTGTGGCAGTATTTTTTGTTAAAGTCCGAAAAAGACATTGCAGCTGGGTGCAAAACTTGTCATGCACAAGTTCGGATCAATATCTGTATCGGCCGATACTGAAGGCTACAATATTGTTATCGTATCGAAAGTAAAAAAAGTTGTATCAGGAGGACACCCCTAGGCTCCCCACAGTCATAAAAGTATGATAATAAATATCAAATGACGCTGTGTTTCTCCCATTACATTCGGAGGAGGCAGGTGGGGAGAGGAGAGCAGGAAGAGGAGCAGGAGGAAGAAGATGTGAGGATCTGTGTGTTTGAAAAGCCAAGGGACAAGAGAGAGGCTGTAGTGATCACACGAATCAGCTAAGAAATTTTTACTGAATCATAAAATACAGGTCCAAGTCATGTCACAAGAAAGGACTTTATATAAAAGCTTTAAAAGACTAGATAAGTTTTGAAGAGGATTTAGCAGTATGACGCAAATGTCAAATCATGTGAAACTGTTTTTTATCATATTTGGTTGGAATAACTATGATTTTATTTGTCCTAATCAAGCAGCCTTGATTCCTATTCTCAGCAAATGTTATTCAATTTTTGTTTTAAATCAAAAAGACGTCAAAGAAAGAGAAAAAAAAGTACAGTCAGAGCTGAGATGTTTGTGAGCTGCTTGTTTTTTTCTAAAAGAGAAAAAAAATCTCTGGCTGGAAATCCCTGTGACCATCACCGTACTTCCTGTGTCCACAAAGAGGGGCTGTTCACAGAGAGGGCTGGCTGTGTGCCCCATACACACACACACACACAAACACACACGCACACAAATACACACTGACACATAAAGTCTGTTTAACACATTCTGAGCTTTACACACTCTTAATTCTGCTTTTTGGATGCTGCAAGTTTACGAGGAAGAAAACCGGGGTGCCAGACAGAGAACCAGAGAAAGTGTGTTTAAGAGTGTGTGTGCAAGTAAGTGTGTGTGTGTGTGTGATAAAGAGACAGCATTCCTCTCTACAACCCCCCACATTCTCACGCACACACACCCGGGGGATCGGGGAGACCAGCTGAGATCTGAATGGTCCGTCTGGCTCTTTTATGAGACTAAAGACCAGTACCACCTCGATGGAACCACTAAAACCAGCAAACATGGCTCCATTTTACTGGAATTCCTGTGGGTTTAGACTCCACCACAAACACTCGGAGGTGAATTTAAATTTAACTTCTGCTTACGTACATGCAGCAGCTGGATGTGCAACTTTGAGAACATGATCTGCACCAATCAGAGGAGTTTAGAAAACGCTGCATTAGTGGAAAGAAAATGTGGACGGCTCTGCCTCTGCGGGGTCGCACACCAAAATAAATCAGGCGACCACGCCGCAGCCAACAGCTCCCAGGAGCGCCATGATGTCATGCACTCACACAAACACCTCTAAGCGGAGCTTTTGTTGCAGCTTTTTGCTCCTCTCCTCCCCTGCTTTCAGCCTTCACACCCCCTCCCCTCCTGCTGCCACTCGCCTCATCAGCGCACACACTGAGGCCTCTGTTCAGCACCGTGTGAGAGAAAAAGGAAGAGGAGGAGAGGAAGAGGAGACGGAGAGAACAGAGGGCAAAGAAAGTACAGGGAGGGGAGTCGCAGCGAGTAGGTATGATGAAGATGAGGGAGGGCACAGAGAGGCGACAGGGCTGAAGAAAGAGGAGGAGGAGGGGGTTATTATGGATTTTATGAGGCTCTATGTGAAGGTGTGAGAAGAGGAAAAAAGTTCCCTGGAAACTGGGAGAAAATGAAAGAAGAGTAACAGAAGCAGAAATTCAACCTGTTTGAACTTCTGGGTGAAGTTCAAGATGAAAATCAGCAACTGAGAGAAAAAAAATCTGTCCACCTCTTAAAGGGATATCCGGCGTAAAATTAATGTAGGGTCAAACACACCGCAACACCAAGTTAGACACCCTGTCGAGAGACGAATGTTGCAAACTGTTTGCTTCTCTAGTTATACCAATTTTAGTAACGACCGCACGATAGCAATATACAGCAGTCTGAGGAGCCATAAACAAACTTCAACCAAAACACCACTCTATAGCCACAAATAATGCTCAGAACAGCACCTAACTTCATCAAGAGCTCATATAGGGTCCCAGCCATAGTACTAGCCACCAAACATCTTTTTAACTTTGCCCAATTTCTTTAGCAAAGAGACTAAACACAACTCACCTACTCTCTTCCAGCAGCCGCTTGTTTGCAGCAAGACCTCGGGCCAGTCCATGACGGGCTGCTGAGGGGTGACGCAGCTCAAGGAAGAACATTTATGATCATTCATGAATTCATGACCGTAGCAGAGCTTTCACTCCTCTTTCCACTCATGAACTCTTGTCGATTTCAAGAGAATTTTAGGTCAGCGTGCTCCTAACATTTTCTATATTTTCCCTTTACACTGTGAATATGTAAGTGCAGCCCAAAAAAGTTCAAATTTTCCCAAAATTAAATAAAAAAATGACAATTCTGTATATTCAAGACTCATCATAAACAAACCAAGATATTTCAGGCCTTTTTCCTCTATGATGTTCAGGTTGGTTGGCCAGTTCAGCCCAGCACAATAGCACTATGGTCAGCAAACCATTTGGTAGGAGTTTTGGTGCTGTGGGCAGGTGCCAGGTCCTGCTGGAAAAGGAAATCCGTATCTCCATAAAGCTTCACAGCATGAATGAAATTTGGAAGCATGAATGTCTCTACTCTTCTGGTAGACTTTGGGCTGTGTAGACTCAAATACAGTAGACGAGAAGCAGCACCCCATGGCACCCCAAATCATTACTGTGGAAACTTCATGCTGAGCTTCAAGCACCTTGGATTCTGGGCCTCTCAGATCACCTCTTGTTCAGGAGTGTCTTGACAGTAGGAACTCGACTCTCCTGTGAGTAGTGGCTCTTAATGGTCTGACTCTAGCCTCAGCCCACCCCTAGTGGAGCTCCTTTAAGTTCTTCAATCTGCTTTATCTGACAATCTCCTCAAGGCTACAGTCCTCTTTTCTTCTCACACTTTCTCTTCCAAGTCAACTTTCCATGAACTTCCATACAGACTCTGTGAACAGTCAGCCTTTTCACTCGTGACCTTCTGTGGCTTTCCCTGCTTGTGGAGGAAGTCAATGATCGTCTTCTGGACAACTGTCAGTCAGCGTGCTTCCTTGTGGTTCTGGTTGTTTGTACTGAACCAGAATGAGAGAGTAAAGGTTCAGTAAACCTTTGCAGGAGTTTGGATTAGAGCCGATTAGGGCTTTTTGGGGGGGATTAAAATGACTGACAAGAAACTGGACTTTCCCAAAATATTCTGATATTTTGATATACTGGATCTTTGTTTTTAGAGAGCTATGAGCCATAATCATCAAGATTCAAACAAAAAAATCTTCAAGTAATTTACTTAATGTATGATAAATCTAGAATATATGGAAGTTTCACTTTATTTTTTTTTGTGTGTTTTTTTTCTTACAAAGAGCGTCTTTACCTATCTTCCACTGTGGCTGTTTAAGATCATTACCTCAACATTAACCAGACAGGTGGACAGGTGTCACTCCTCTAAAGTGACAAACATCAACAAAGGATTATTGATCAGCGAGTGTGAGTACACAGGCTTGTTCCGCTGTTTTCCGCCCTTCAAATCTCCTCTAAATTTAATAACCAAAACACCGCCTTAATCTGAAATAATCCATCATGAACCTTTGGATTCCACATTAGATGGAGATTACAGAAAACTGCACTCATTCCTGGAAATGATAAAGAACACAGGCAGGTTACAGAGACACTTATTTTTTACCCATCAGAAGCCATCTCCCAGCAGAGAGGAAGAACACAGTTTAACCCAGTTTTATCCCGACCTTCATTTCATCCATTCATCCCCGAGTTCATCCACCCAGAGATGAAGACACGTCACCTCAGGTTAATCTTCTCCGCAACCACAAATCCCCTTTATATCATCCTATTTATTCATCTAGTCCTGACCTGCCATCACTCTGCATCCTTCACATCACCCTCTAATCCTCCTCCCCCTCCATCGTCCTCTTCCAGTCGAAAATTCGCTAAATTCCCCTGTGGGCAGAAGACGTTGCGTCCATGGTTTCCAAAAAGAATGTAAAAATTTTGGATTTTTAGATCATTATAAAAAAGTGTCATCTAAAAGCTCTTTTGCCCTCTACCATTAGGTTGGCACACTCTTAAGTAAAGCCCGGCTGCTTCAACTCAATGCACACAGAGGCCGTTTATTACAAGACGGAGCTTTAACAGTGAGGAACACAAGCAGCGGTTTAAAAATGAAAAGATCAATAGCCTTGAGGAGTCCACATGATTTCTCGCTCTCACATGAGTACTCAGCTATGGGAAGTATTAGTTAGCCATTAGGAGCTTTGATGTGCCGCCTGTGGCTCCAGTCTCCTCTCAGTCCGAGTAAAACGAGGCCAAGCTGACTGGGAGAGCTGCTGATACTGGTGGGTAAGAGCATGGGATCTTCAAGGGGGATGGTGAGAGTGTGTTTTTTTATAATCGAGTGTGAGAGCGAGGGAGCGAGGCAGATTAAAAGTGAGAGTTGAATGTGTGACAGTAGCTCAGCGTGTGTCCCAGAAAAATTCAGCATTTCAAGGATAAGCAAGGACGGAGAAGGGAGGAGTGTGCCGGTAATTTCCTCAAATGGCACCTGGGCTCTTGGTCATTAATTTCTACAACGTATCGAAGTGATGAACCAATATAACACCTTCTGTACATATAGATTCATTCGTATACAAAAACATATGTCCTCTTTATAAATAAAACTCCTTTTTTCTTTTTAGTTCTTCTTTTCCTGTAACTTTTCTGCACTTTCCTGCTTATTTTTGCCTTTTGATTGTTTTATTTCATGGTAGTTTAAGTACTCAAGCATTTGTTGACATTTATATGCTGCAAGGACGTAATAAATAGTTTATCATACTTTTGAAATTCAATCACACTTTTAATTAACAGGACACAAAAATACAAAAAAAGAGCTATATTTTTGATCAAGGGTGTCAGGAAAGTCATTTTAGTCAAAGAAAGAAGTCAAAGAAATTTTAGATTAAGTAAAGTCAACTGTAGTAGAAACACGATGTAAATAATAGGGTCAACTCTGATACAAACCTGACATGAGTCATAGTAGTAAAGGGATATTCCAGTATTAAATTAATTAAGGGTCAAACACACTGTAACACCGGGTTAGACACCCCCTGGAGACCTCTGGCCAGTCCATTACGGACAGCTGTGGGGTGACGCAGCTCAAGGAAGAACATTTATGATCATTTCTTCAAGTGTATTTTGATTACTTTTAGGCAAGTCTAAAAGTCAAGAGCTTTCCTGAGAGTTGCTAAATCAAAAGCGATAAATGCAGCATGTCTCCTTGCACACTACAGCCACCACTGTGCACCTGTCTATGACTGAGACCCCGTGCACAATCCCTGAAACGTTACAAAGCTCCAGCAGCAGCTCAGCAGACAAACATTAAGCACTGATAGACATTAAAGTGCTGAAGAGCTTCATGTGTTTGAACTTGTCTCGACAAAAACTATCACCGAGAGGCAGTTTAACTTGACATGCAACAAGATGATATCCGGATCTTTCTGAACTGTAGGCCATCTGCAGAGCAGGTGTTCATCAGGAGAGGAGTGTACTGACAGGCAACATATAAAACCACCTTAGACAAACTCAAACGCAGTACAAACAGCTGATGAGAGCCGGGCTGAATGTAATTTGAATGGTAAGGATAACTCTTCCTGCATGTCTTAACCTGCCTTAATACATAAAAATCTCTGCACAAAAGGGAAGAGGACCAAAACCAGTACTGGATGGCCCTGATCTTGAGGCCCTCAAGCAGCGCTGCATTAAAAACAGACAAGACTCTGTAGTGGAAATCACTGCATGACTCAACAAGAGATAACAGTTTGGATGCTGACCAAAATTTACTGTATTTCTCACACTGATCTTAAACTGAAGAAGGAAAACCACTAATCAGAATTCCTCCATTTGAGATCAATCAATCCGGTAAGTATTTAATACGTAATAAAGAGACTTTGCCAAGAGCTGTTGTCAGGCTTCAATATTTCGTCACAGTTTTATCACTTGTGGCAACTATTCCACTCATTGCTTTGTTATTTAAAAGCCCCATTAACATCATTTAAACAAACTCCAGTCTCTCTCATGTTGAGTCCTGTTTAATCAGCCGCTGTTTTTTATTTCCTTGGCTAGCCGAGTTCACCTCAAGCAAATTTGGGAGCATATCAAAAATTCTCGACATGATGGTGGTGGTTTCAGCCTGGAATGTAAACCCCGCAGAGACGCAGGCTGGTTTTAAAACTGGTTAAATAAGCCAGGACACCACAAAGACTGAGTCTCTTCATCTCAAAATTGGCACAAAGACTTGAAACTAGACGCCAAATAATTCGAGGAGATGATGAGTACAGGTCTCACTGAAGTAAACAGCTCATAGTTTTGTTCTTCTGAGGATGCCAGTCATCACCAGACTGCATGTGACTATGCAGATTGGAATCACTGTGGGTAGCTTTCGCTCTGCCAATTATGGAGCCTTCACACTTTGAGGAAGATGTGTGTTTGCACGAGAACCGGAGACATCAAGCGTGCATTTTTCTGCTCTCCTTTTTTCCCCCCCTTTATAAAAACCAGCTTTGGTTATCCCATGACACAAACAGCTGCACACAGAGAGAGTAAAAGGGTTCAGATCCACCATCACCAGAGGTCAAGGATTCAGACGACTATATTCAGACCGGTGTTCTGGTTATATGCAGGAAAAAAAAAAGTGTCCGATTTGTGCAGCATGTCTGGCACAGGATAAATCTTCTAGAAACAGATGGACAGAGATGATCGGCCAAAAACAACCTCTTAGATCCAACATATCAGAACTGTATTACCCAGCAGCCACTGCAGTCTGTCTCTGTAGCTATATGAGGAAGCATGGCTGTAATTTGAACATAAATTATCTTTTCACTGTTTAGAAATCAGCTTTTCACTGCCTTAAACAAATTTAGGGCCTATGTCCACTAATGGCAGCACCTACAACCTCAATTTATAGGCACTTCCTTTCAGCGCTAACACAGTACTTTCGCATGCACATGGTTGTTGTTATGGTTCTATTATGCAGAGCAACTGAGCCACTGCCTGCAAGAACTGGTTGAGAATTAATTTACTGACAAAAGGTATCCATCTCCTCTGCTGCAGGTGGAAATATGCCCCCTTTTTCAGACAGCTAAAGTTTCCCTACCACATCATCAACTAAAACAATCAGCAAACAAGTTATCAAGGGGCTAAATGGTAGTGTATAGAATAGTATGAATATGGACTTGCACTTGCCATGTTGATAGCTTCATCTTGTTCACTTCCTTTCTTCTTCTTCTGCCAGGTTTTGTTTGCGACTCAGCTTCTGTCTTTGCATTTGTGCTGTTCAATTTCCAGGTCAAAGCCTGATGTGAAAAATGTGCCGACTGCACTGAACACCTAAGCCGGACTGAGGTTGAATGAGGTACATGCAAGAGATCATCCTCTATCACTTCCCTGCAGGTATGCATCAAGAATAATTACATTTCAGATTTTTTCTGATTTTTGGGTTTATTTCAGATCAAGACACAATCTGTGACTCACAAACTCACACACACAACTTCTGTATTTATAAGTCTGAACCCATGACTCCCTGCTGACCAGGATTGAAGACTTCTGGAGTAAAACTTTCCAGAGCCAGACTGCACACAACAGAGACGCTTTCAGCTCTGCGTCTGGCCTTGAACCTTTTGTTAGTCGACTGCTGAGAAAACTTCTGTCACTCAACAAGGAAGTTTTTTGTGGTGTGCCTGCATGTGCAAACTGCACGTGTCCCTCTCCCTGTTGTACATTTTCAAACATCTACTGTACAGAATTCTTTAACACAACATAAAGAACTTTATATGACCCTGATTATGATCTGATTTCTTCAATACTGCGTTTATGCCTTCACAAATACTTGGTTATTTGATTATATGGTGTTTTTTACATGCTAGTAGATACAAGAGGCCCTTGACAAAAACAGGTGAGTTTGTTATCTTGTTGTTAGTTTAATGACATAAATGAAGGATTAACAGGTGAGAAAGACACTGAAACAAAGTGATCCACAAGAGTTAAATTGTCTCGTTCTGTTGTTGGAGTTGTTCAGACGACAGAAACAGTCACAAAAGCGAAACCTTGACTCATTAATATATTATCATGTACAGCTCTCTGAGACCTCTCCAAACTCTGCGCTGTTTTTCCTTCTCTTTGACCTTTTCACAAAAGGTTGCCAGTGCATATCAACAGTGTAAACAGTCAGTGTGTGTCCATGCTTGTTTTGGGTCTAAAATACACCACCTGCACGCTTCAGGCTTTACTGAGGAGTCATTTTGTTTGTTGTTTCGTATTTGCTTAGTCATAAAGTTCCCGATCCTTCACGAGGAGACGACCTTTGCAGTTTCGACAGTCTTTTTGACAGTTTGAGGCTTTATTCTTTACAGTACTGGAAGAAAACAATCCAAAAATTATTACATCGCTAATGGTTCAACTGCAAAATGGGCTTGAATCAGAAAGTGTGAAAGCAATTACCCAAAATCTGCATTTAGGGTGCAGAAATACAGCTCAGTTAGATAAAACATTATTTATAACTATAAATATTAGGAGTGGGAACAAAAAAACCGATTCACACAAGTATCGCGATTTTTTGTTTTACAAGTTTTAAATCGATTTTTATGTTCAAAAATCAATTTTTTTTGGTCAAATCTTAAAAACTGGCTTCCATGTAATGTGAATTTTTTGGGTTCCTGGAATAGTCAGAGGACAATCCTAATCATTCAACTGTTTTACTGGTGTTAAAAATGCAGACTAAATATTGAGAAAATCGACAATATCGTAGAATTGCAATTTAAATCGAACCGGTATCCAAAAAATCGTAGAAGAATCAAATCAGGAGAAAAGCCTATCGTCCCAGCCCTAATAAACATGAATATGAAATTCTGATGTAGCACAGAGAGATTTGTCAGTATTTTGATCTAGAAAATGCAGATGTGTGCAGGCTTAAAATGGCTAAAAAACTACTAAAAAAGTGTTATGTTTAAACAGCACAGGCAGATGGATTTTCTGGAGGACCAAAGGCTGGGGGGTGCTAGCTCTGACAACAAAATTGTGCCCAATTTTGGAGGATGCTGTATTCACAAGTATGGAAGTATTACAATTCTCAGAAACTTCATCGTTCTGAACCCTTCAATCCTCTTCAGCTCCACCATCTCCTCTAAAAAAAAAGCCAAAGAACCAACATTTACTCAGTCACGGAAAACACAACGTAACATCAAAGTGGTCCCATTCATGTTTTTTTGAAGCGTAGTTTGTGCATACACCACAATATATGTGTGTAAATTAACATTTTCACAGCTGCGGCAGTGATTGTTACAGGTTGATAATAAAATCATCCTTTAAGGCCTGATTTTAAAAAAAAAAACAGAGCTCAAACTCATTTTAAAGTTGGTCAACACTAAAGTCATTAGACCACAGGATGCGTATTTCACCTCCCTGACCCCCCTGACTTGGAAAGCAGCTCTCTCCCTCCGTGATTCATTCTGTTGTCGTCCTGCTGTTTACGTGCTCGGCTCCCATTCAGAACTTAATCACCATTTCCTTCCAAATAGGTCACGCTGCAAAACAGACAGTCTGAGGACCAGATGAAGGGATTATCCTCCCCAAAAAAAGGCAACGCTCGGCCATCTGAGATCAGCACACATGTTCAAATTAGACTCCAAATCACAGCAGGTGGCAATTTCTCTGCGTTCTGCTGCATGCTCGCACACACGGGAAGACGTGTGTGCGAATCGGTGTGTGTCCTCGTATGTGTCGAGGGATGACAGGCGACTGGTGAAGGCAAGAAAAAACCTTGTGACCTATTTCTAGATAGGCTGAAGCACCAATCCTGTTGCTAGGACAGGTTCAGAGTTGGAAGGGAACGCACTTTACTTCAAGTTAAATCTATATATATTTAATTTAGAGATTAACATGGATAAAAGGCACTCTGTCTGGCTCTGGCAGTCACTTTCTTGTCACTTTATGTGCATCACAAGGAAATACAGCCCCTGTGTGAATAATAAAGTCTCTCTTTTTTAAATAAAAGCACCATAAACAGGCTGTGTGCTTTTTACAGCTATTTTAAAGCCACATAAACAAAGAGGAATGTGTTAGTCAAAGAGGAAACAAGAAGGGGGCCCTTTAACGCTAAATACAAGAGTCACACTTGTTGAGGCGCAAACTACGAGCGTGCTTTGTGTTCAGCTCCAATAATATCACTGTAGTGTTAATAGTTTTCCTTTCACTGTGGAAATGAGAAGTACTAAATGCGACTGACAGATTTAACAAACAATTTTTCTCTCTATCTGTAAATCTGCCAATTTTAGTCAGTGTCCAGGAATATCAGCCAAAACTATGTCAGTGTTTCAAAGTCCAACCTCTTATCCCTGTGTTTTCTTTCTGTCCACCAGTAGACCCCACCCAACAATAAAAAGATACAGATCAAATAAGGACAAGAAATAGGAAGAGCATCAAAATAAAGCATCACAAGAGCGGGAAAGGGCAATTAAGAAGGATGTTTTTTTTTATTTTACCACTTTTTTAAATGAAAATGCAGGGTATTGATGGGTACGTGACGGTTTGCAGTTCTTTTTAATCCATCTTACATGGGGATATTTCTACAGAAGCATTTTATACTCCTAGTCATCATGCACCACAGAAGCTTTTTGTCCTCAAAGGCCACCATTGCTACGCCGCCAGAAAATGGATTTTGGTGGACAGTACATCAGCACTATTAAAAGGTTTTGACACGGCCATGACATGAAGCGGTTAAACCAAATTTCACCAAAGAGTTTTAAGATTGCATAGGAAAAAAAACTTTTCCTGCAAACAGCTCAATGACAAGACTTTACCAGCTTTATTTCAGGGGTAGCATCTGTCCACAGGGGGCGCCGAAATCAACACAAACGGAAAAATCCTCACAGGAGCTTTAATATTTTCAGTTTTACCAACAGCGAGTGTGCAGTGGATTACGTCACTTGACTTGTTTTGTAGGGTTGGGCATCAAGTCTCAAGCCTTCAATGGGGACCGGGACTAACATTCCGATTCTCTTGGAACTGTTCAAATTTTAAAAATTCTATTCCAAGTTTCGATGCCAGAGTCCGGAAGATATAGCCGCCGAACACCAACGAGGAAGACTCTGCTGAACACCAACGAAGAAGGCACAACACAGTTATATCATGCAAAGGAGGGCACTTGACTAACATGAGGAGAGCTGAGGAGAAATACCTGAGTGCCCTGTCTTTGACACGCTTCGCTGGTCTTCCGCTAACCAGCCAGAATCAGATAAGTGAAACAATAGATTACTTCTGTCTTCTGCTAACTTTGAAGTGGCAGACAAATTGTACTGTGTACGGTGGGTCAACTTAAATATCCAGCTAACGTTAGCCCTTGTACTCTTTCATAGACAAACTACCTGACAACCAAAATCGATATTTATATACTGGTTAAAATAGTCATGTGAGGAACTCATAATAAAGTTCTTAAAAAGTTAATATAATTTAAAAATTCATAGAGAAGTTCAGAAATTTCATCCAAAAAGTAGAACTCTGGGCAGCACCCTGATTTTAACCATGCATGTTTTTAAAAGAATCGGAATAGAGAATCGTTAGGAACCGGTATCAAAACGATGAATCGGAATCGGAACCGGAATCGTCCGAAATCAAACGATACCCAACCCTGTTTTTTGTGCTTGTTTTAAACTCATCAAAGAGTGATAATGAAAATATGCTAACCAAATTAAAAAACATGATTCAGGACATCACTAACATTCAAACATATCTGTTGGTATTAACACCGATGTATCTTGGTGAAGAAACAGAAAGATTATATTCAATGAGCATAAAATATGTCAATAATGGGAGTTGAGGGGCCACCTGAAGGTGCCATCATCCATGATCTCAGCTTACCTTCCAGGCTGAAATCCAGCAGCACATACTCGTACACGGTGTCGGTTTTGGTCTCCACCTGAGGTCTTTTTAGGGTGGAGTAGATCTTCCCGGGACTGCTGTCCTCCGGGTCCTCCAGTTTCCTTAACCCGCAGCCCATGGCCTCTGTGGCGGGGGTAGCAGCTCGCTCAGCGCGGCGTGAGAGCACCGGAGGAGCCGCTCTGGTTCAGCTTCTCTCCGCCTTCTCCAACTTTAACGGGACCGCTCCATCCCTCCGCGATCTCCCGGTTAATCCCTCCACTGATCACGAGACTTCAACGGCTGGTGGAGGGCAGAAAAGCCCGCCGGTTACCGAAGAGGAGATGGACTGACGGTGCAGTTGTTTGTTGGAAAAGTGTCCCGCTGATGTGGCTGCAGGTCTGAAGCGTGGAGAGGAGGAGCGGTCTTTCTCAAAGAAACTTTCCCACACTATCAAGAAAACGGTGACAATACCACTTCCTCTTTCAACTTTCAAAATAAAATATCAAACATCATTTAAATTTCAAAATCTAAATTAGGACTTCTAGTGCCAATGATTTAATCAGACGTAAGGTTTAAATCCCAGTTTACTTTATTGTATTTTATTTTATTTTTATTGCAATAATGATAAAAAAAACTAATAAGCAATTGAACACAAAAGAAAATAAGATAAAATAAAATTAATAACAACAACAACAATCCCACTTAAATCCCATTTTAATAACACACCTTTATGATTCTGTATATAAGAATAGTCTGTTGAAAGTTTAACAGCTGAACTGATAATGTTTCTTTGCTGTCAGTAGTATAAAAGTATAATTATTATTTAAACACACAGTGTATTTATTGCATGTTAATGCAGACAAAGTCACATTGTAATTTATACCATTACAATAGCTGTAACAGTGCACAAAGTAAAAGTAATAATTGTCATTTAAGGGAAAGGTCAAACCTCTGATACAACACCATTCAATATGTTAGGATACCAGATCCATGGCCGCAGACCATGATAAAAACATAATTTAGCAAATCTGCGATAACTGATGAATTGTAACATAATGGTGTAGTGATATATTATTAAATCTGACAAGCTGAGAAATAAAAAATCAGCTCAAATGAAAAGAGCAGGAATATCACTATAGTGCCTCCTCGGTGAGTCAAATTATGTTGATGTTGAACTGTTCAGGATGCTCAGGATGCATTATTAGTCACAGTTGCAAATCCACTCAGACCAGATTCACGAAGTGGGATTGCAAACAGCAAATGTTGTGTATTTACAGATGATGTAATCAAGCACTCAGTCAGCCTTTTCAGCTTTAGCCATTACCTATCAGCCAACTACTGACTCTAACGGTCAGGCTTTTTCATGCTTTTATTTTGAAGGCATACTTGTAAAACGTTCGGTGTTGAAGCTGTTAACGGTCGCTCAGTAATGTGAGAGTTCCAGGAGGGAAAACTTACAAACAGGAGTTATCATGCAGTAGCAGAATGTTTTTACATGTAATTATTTTTGATAAAATTGTAAGTTAAAACATCCAAACCTAATTAAGCCTTTAAACTAAGCATTTAATTCACAATATGACGATTTTCTGCTAATCAAAGCAGACCTAAGATGCTTTTTCAGCCTCTGTTATGACAATAAACTGTGAAAATATGTTTTTGTTACTGACCCATACTCCATGAATGAACTGATTGACTGATTGGGCACCAACTAACTTACAATAACTTATGTTCACGTTAAGTTTACCTCCAGCCAACACTACGGTTAGCTCACTCATATTTCCTTTGAGCTTAGATTTTGGGCCTGTCCCACTGTGTTGGTGGAGTTTTGGTCTTTTCTGTTGCATTGTTTGCCATTATCAAACCATGACATTAACTAGGAAATGGTTGTCATAACCTATACCTATACAAATTATCAAATGCTAATATTAGCTGTTACCAAGTAATCTAATTAGGGTAGCTAATTGGTGAGATACGTTTTTTAAAATATATCCAAAATGAATAATTATGGGTTTAAAGCCTTATCAAGTGATTTGTTAGTTTTTAATGAATTTGTTTTCACTTAGCTATGAAGTTGAAATGAATACATTTGAGTCTGTTAGCAAAACATAAGTTTGCGTTAGTCATGGAAATCATAAATCAACATTATCAATGTTCATGTCATACCTATCAGACCACAGGGCACATTATCTTTCTACCTGCCCCCTTGTCTTCTGTCCTTCTGTCATCCATCTGCCCCCTCCTCTTCCTCACTGACACGATTATAAGTAACTCAATCAGTGAGCATTTATCAGCACAGTCAGGATTTACCCTCTTCACTTGTTTTGTGTAACTCAAACCCTCCTGTCTCTTCTCATGTTATCTCATAAATCTGTAACTACATCCGGGCCATGTGGCACCTAACGGTGAGCTCGACCTGCGACCCCCACACATGCTCCCTAATACTGCTGACCTTTGACCTCTGTCTCTCACTAATTTCCACTTAGAACCATTAGGGGTGCAGAGTTGAGGAAGTGTGCACAGCAGGCGGCGGGTACACACTTCAGCTTGAGTCACTCATTAAGAAGAGGAGGTGAACGTAAAAGTGTCAGCAGGTTTTATACTTGAAGACAGATCTGAGGGCTGTGACGCCTTTAACCCATAACCCAGACGATACATTCGTTTGCACAGGTGACTGTTTTTGTTCTTCCATATTGCTTGGGCAAAACCTTTTTTTGGGGACCCCTTTGGAATATTTTTTTAGCCAGTACCCTGTGACCAAAACATATATTTATGTGTATTTTTCTGAAAAAAAGAAGTGCAATTCAGCTTTGCACCATTGGTGTTCTTTTTTTTTTTTAATAACAACCTAGAAACTAAAAATAAACTTACGCTGAACTCTCCAATTTAATGATTTCTCCCTTCAGAAGAGTCCTCAACACCAGTCTTTCCTTTTCAATGTCCTGTCTTCCCTCTCCATGTGTTCAGCTTCATTGTATTTATTATGTAATTTACATTTGAATCCTTGAATCTGTCTCAGTACTGGAATCAAAACTTTGGAGGCGGATATACTGGCTACAGTTTAATCAGAGAAGCCAGTATTTTACTTTAATCCTTCATGTTTGGTGATATACAGTACATCAGTTGTTTCATGATTAAATGTAGGAGTTGTTGCCTTTTTAAGGTTGTTTTGCTTCAAGTTTCTTTGAGTGGCCACCATCGGCGCTACAGCGATTTAAAAAAGAAGAAAAATAAAAAACAATAAAGGTATAAAATCATTGTAATTTCAACTCTGTAAGCACTTTGTCCCTAAATAATCAAAAGAGTACATTTTTACATATCCAGCTTATCTTAAACAAGCAGTGGAGTTCCAAAAACTGCACTTCCTCAATTGGCCACTAGATGCCATCTCCAAAAGTGAGTAAATCCACATACAGCTCCATGTTAAAATGTCCAACTTTCCAAAAGAGAGAAAAACATCCACTGCCCAGTACATACACATTTCCTAGAGTTCAATGTTAGTACTTTTGAGAGCCAGGTGTAAGGATATCTTAGCTAATATTTTCACCCTCATGTGTTTGTGATATTCGCGCCTTTAAGTGTTTCTGTCCAGTCCCACTGCGAATTTTACTCCCTCCCTCTCTCTCTCATACACAGATACTGAAGTCAAAGTAGCAGCTGAGGCTCTGGGCCAGTAACGCCAGCTGCAGACCCTCATGCAAAAAAACACTGCCAGGTGCTGCCTGTCAGCACTCACACACACACACACACACTCTCTCTCTCACACACGCTTGGATCCATTTCAGCGGTCTCCTAATTGCTCATCTGGTCTCATTGTTCAAGATTTTAGAGATAATTGTTCTTTCATTCTCTTAGGAACATGACTCAGACTTTCACACACATCATATTTACAGACCCAAACCTTAATTGAATTAAGGTAACAATGAGGGATAACCTGATGATTTAAAATAAACCTCATTATTTGGACGTGATTGACATGTCATGTGTAATAAAGTGACAGCTCTGTGAGTGGTGTTTGAGGTGATTTTAGCCCCTCTTTGTCTGAATGAATGAGAGGAAGAGGAGGAAGCAGCTGGATGGATGAGAGGAGTTATTAGAAGAAAGAAAACAGTGGAAATGCTCCAAAATATCTGCTGTGTATGGAAAGGGTGTGTATAAATATCTCTGTCTTTGTTATATTCAGTAAGTCCCTCTGTCTGCACGCTCCAGCATGCACACCTGCAGCTCTGTTTGAATGAATTTAATTTATTTATAGGTGAATGATATCCATGTGTATTAAAATATGAGCTTTATCATTTTGAAGAGGCTAATTCTGCTGTTACTTTTGTTGTTTCTTCCTCCAACTTTACTTGAGTTCTCTCACTAAATACAACTTGCAATGTAGCAACAGAGTACTTTAGCAGAGTGATGCATCTATTTATACCTTTGTAAAAGCTCAGTCTTTTTCCACCTCTGCCTACGCACAGAAGCTGAATATTGATGCACGTTTGTGTGTTTGGCAGCAGACAGGAGGTCACAAAACGCTCACAGACATGTCGGTCACTCAGACGCTGTTTCACATGAAAGCTTTCTTCAGAAATAACTCTGAAAAGCCTCCAGCAGGAAACCACCATCCTCCAGGAGCTCCACCCGCCTCAGACACTCTGGGAAGGAAACCCGGGCCTCCTTCACTAAACACAGAGTTCAGGATGGGAAGGAACTAAACAGTTTATTCAGAAGTACATAAAACACTCACAATGACTTCTAGGAGACTTATGTTTTCCCATTAGCTTTAATAAATAGTATGAGATTTACAAGATTACATTTGATGAATATGCTGCATTTTTATTATATATAAATAACACTTCAAATATGATCAGATCAATGCAAATTAATGTTCCCTTTAAAGTTTTTTTTTCTCCAAAAACATAAAATATTTTTGCATGATTCAGTAATTATTTTGTTTCACTTGTAGCTTCACATGTTCATCTCTAATTAAATAGCAAAATATATATATTAATGAGAAACTGTTATTTTTAAAGCAAAAGTATGAATGATTTGCATAAAATCATTGAATGATTGTGTTGTACTTTTAAAGCGACCTGTTACTGTGAAGTCAAAAAAGCATCAAAAATGTTGGATGAGCTTATCTGTTGTTATTTCTTTGCTTGAAGCGCCATCTAGTGTTGATTTTGGTCACTGCTGAGGAAAATAGACATCCCCATTCAAGTGAATGTGTTCAGTCTGAATAATGATCCACCACATTTCCCAAAGTGTATGTCAGTATTTGGGCATAAAGAACTTATTAAGTATACACTCGAGTTCACCTCATGTCAGCTTTGAATATCCCTGTGGATTTTGATCTCTGAAGACAGTTTTTTTTTCTAATTATATTTATTTTCAAATTCATAAGCAGATAACATCACCAAGAGCGTCCCAATATATCTGTGTTTGTAGCAAAAGGGTATATAATTAAAATAAAGAAGTCAGTCAAAGTTTAATATAAATACAGATATGGATAAAGATCAGAGTATAAACATTTTCACTCCAAATTTTCAACAGAGTTAAAACAACAAATAAAAATAAACAGAGAAAAGGACAAACACAAAGGTTGGCAAAAAAAGAAAAAAGAAAACAAAATAAAACTTAAGGACAAAGGAGGGAACAAAGTGAAAACTAAAACAAATCAGAAATAAGTTTTCTCTATAAAGACAAAAACAGACATAAAGGAATAAAAACATAATAGGAGAAAATGAAACACAAGAAAAGGAAAAATAGAAACAAGAGATATTTTTCATATCCAAGAAATAAAGAAACCAAAACAGATAAAGTAGAAAGAATAAAAAAGGGTCAAAGGAACAAAACAAATGGAGATAAAATTTAAGGAGAAAAAAGTCAAGAAAAATGGAAGAACATGAAAAGAAAAAAAGAAAAACAAAGAAATGTAAAACTAGGTAAAGTAAAAAATAAAAGGAACAGAAATACAAAAAAAAGAAAAATGCATGGAGTAAAGGGGAAAAATGGAAAAGGAAGAAAAAAACAACAACAAAGAAAAACAAAAGAAAGAAAAAAGAAGGTAAAAATAGAGATTGTAGGAATAACAAGGAAGTGAGGATAGAAAAATAAAGTAGAAAAGAAAGACTTAAAAGAAGATAGGATATATGGAAAAAAGGGGGAAAAATAAAATCAAGAAAAAATAAAGGGATATAAAAAGAAAGAAAAAAATAATGAAAAATAACAAGTGAAAAATTACATTAAAAAAGATGATTACAAATGAGGAAGAAGAAAAAAATAACAGCAAAGAAAGAGAGGAAAGACGGAAAAAAGAACCAAGTGGAATCAATAAAAAGAAATGTCACTTTCTCCACTGAACAAACATTGAGCTGGTTTTCTAACAAAGGTTTAAAGTAGGTTTAAATTTGGTCCGTCTGTTTTCTTCTTGTAAAGTCCAAACCACCGTTTAACTGAACATGCCGGCTCTGTTATTTTAAGTACTAAATGGTGGGACATTAAAAGATCTCTCTTCTGCTCTCTCTCACCAACATGAATCACTATTATCCTGGTCAAATAAACTCTTTAAACTGATGGATGAGCGTCTACAGAAGAGAAAAGACTGCACACCGTGCTTATAATCACTTTATCTCCCTGACAATGTAATGATCACACTCTCTTTTACTGTATAAATGTTGAGGAAACAAAGAGACGGAGTCTGATCAGCCACCCAGGGAGCAGAACACTGAGGTCTGTTTAACAGCTAAATGTTTTATCCAGCCGTCTGTAGGAGAAATGTCAGAGTAAACACTAAGAGAAGGATCTCATTTAAAGAAATTAAATGTGATCCAATGAAGACGTAAAGGTAAACAGACACATGAGGAGAGCTGAAATGTGTCTACTCAACAAGGAGACAGAGTTTGTAGAAGTTGACGACCTGTTTTTCAAGGTCCTGAAAGCCCGACTGAGAACACTGTGCACCTGACCGCACTCATACACATTAACAGACACACACACACACAAAAACACACACACACTGGACTGCATGAAGGCCTCCACTCTGGCTTTTCACACCTCAGTGTTAGTGTAGCATGAAGGCACGAGTTTCAGCACTCGAAGACAGGTTTACACTTCTCTCTCCCACCTTTCACTGTTTTTATCTTATTTTAAAGGTGTTATTTTTACAAAGTTTTTTTTTATTCCTGTCACCTCAGCTCAACACCTTTTGTCATCCTGCTGCAAGAACAAGCGAAGTGGCATTTAAATGTCAACGATCAGTCCAGAATGAAATTAATAGATCTCTAGTTTGAATAGAGGTCATTTTAACTCCATTATCAATCTGGAGGAAACTTTCGACTACAGGACTTACATATGAGTGAAAAGAAAGGAAACAACCCGTAAAAAAAGGGATTTGTTTCCTTATTTGTGCAGTGTGCTCATGCAAGTCATGTAAAAACTGGTTAGTCAGCCTCAGACTTGGTCCTTTTTGTCATTGCTCTTTCAATTTACAATTTGGTTCTCTCTTCTTTGCCACAACATCCATGGAAAGATTACCAAGCTCAGATCGGTAATGGAAAAAGTTTGCAAAACTTGTAAAGGGTAAAAACAGGTGTCCATTCACAGATGGAAAAGTGGAATCACATTCAATAGAGCACAAGCCAAAGTCAAAAACAAATGCAACTACAGAAACGTGCTGCGAATTTATGAAAGCAAAAACAACTGCAGTAACAGCAAATAAAGCGAATTTGAATCAGGAAGATTATCAATGGCATGTGGATTCATCCCTCATTTCCAGATGGTTCCAGTTTCAGAGTCAGGAAATAGTTTTTTTTGACTCTGATAAGAAGTCAGGTACATTAAAACTTTTGAAACTGTGTTCCAGAGTTGAACCTTTTCTTTCCCATCATTGAAACATGCTCCACATCCTTTATCAGCTCTAACTCAAACATAACAAACTCAGATTCAGTCCTCATGGTCTCCTGTACACAAAGAGTCAGCACTGCAGGACCTGAAACTGCTAATACAGCATGTAAAAACATTGCACTGCTGACTAATATGTGCGAAGTATTGCAATGTGAACACTCAGACACATAAGTGCACAGTCGTCATACGGCGTTGGCCCCTACCGTGAAACTAGAAGTATAAACCAGGCTTAAAAAGTGGTGATACTGTGTACTGGTATGTACCAGCTCACTGAAGGTACTGCATTGAGTTCCTTAGCTGCTAAAGCACTATAAATCAGACACCTGCTCTTTTCCAGAGCCACATTGTACTGTTAAGACTCACAGATTTTCACCATCTGCAAGACTCTGCTGAAATCGCTGGAGGTTGTATCAGTAATTCATACAAGATATCATGAAATGGATATAGGATCAAACTATAATGCATTTTTAATAACTTAGAACAAATGCACAGGATAATAAAACCATCAACCGTACTGTAAAGAGTAATTTATCAAGTGTTTAAAGGACTCATTTTTGCGAAGGGTCCTCAGTTTCTATTTTTGTCGTTTTTATCATTGTGAGAAAAATACAAACATGAAAGATTTTCTCTCTGCGAATGAGCTCTGAGCCTCCACATACTGACAGAGAGGTGTTACCGCTGAGCTTCATGCACTAATGGACCTCACCAGCTGACCACATTCCACAGCTGTGTGACTCAAGGTCCACGCACATACACACACACACACACACACACACACACACATGCACACACATACACACACTACCTCCATATCTGCTCAGACGGGAACACCTTCAGAAAATAATTCAGGGGATTCAGAGTTTAAGGCTCAAAACCTTCAAAGCGTTTCCACTCGTGCTCAGAGTTCATCTGGGATTTAGGACTCGTACTTTTTTGGGCACACACTCGCCTTCTGGAAAAGTTTGTTATTTTAAACATTTATTCTGCAGGAGTTTATCTCACCTTGAATGAGTTTTATGTAACTAAGATTATAAGGAGTGTTTCAAAACCCTTGTAAAAGTTTGGGACATCACCATCCAAATCAGACCGACCTTTTTGGCTTCATTTGTTCTCCTGATCATGAATCTCTTGTTCTGATTAACAGTAAATGAAACAATAATTGATAATTTTACAGAAGTTGGCACAGTTAATCATTAACAAATATGTTACTTTTGATGATAGTCTGTAAATCACGCTCAAAATCAACATTAAAACCTGTCTAAAGCCCTTCTGCCTGCTGCAAAGGAAGGGGTCTCCACAATCCAAGTCCAATAACAGACTTAATCTGAATACATTTAATCTATAAAGATCCATAAAGATAAAGATCTATAAAGATATAGAGTTGCTTAACCCTCAGGGATCCTTAAAAAAAAAGGTACGTTTAGGTCCTTAGATGGACAAAAATGTCCATCTCCTAAAAGTACTATAAAAATATTATTTCTTTTAACTTTTTTTTTGCTTAAATCTTTAAATCAACCCCATTTCTGATCATAGCTATCAAATATTAATTCATTTTCAGAATTTTAACCCTTTAAATGCGGATTTGACTCTCTTTTTTCACATGGAAAAAGAGGAATTTATCAGATGTTGGGCATAAATTTCTTTTTTTTTTATCAAGGTCTATTATGTGTTAATGATTAACAACAACATTAACTTTGAAGCATTGTGTTTGATATATCGTCTGATTTCTAAAAAAGTTACGTTTAGGTCCTTGGATGGACAAAAATGTCGATTTCCTAAAAGTGCTCTGAAAATATTATACATTAATGTTTCTTTAAACTTTTTTTTGCTTAAATTTTTTAATCAACTTAATTCCCGATCATACCTATCAAATATTAATTCATTTTTAGAATTTTAACCCTTTAAATGCCAGTTTGACTATGTAATGTTACTGTTATTTTTAATGGGACAAAAGGAATTTTGAGTTATTTTTCATATATTAGATGGTGGGCATGAATTTCTTTGTTTTTTTTTTGTTAAGGTCTATGATGTGTCAATAAAAGGCTATAAACTCTTACTCAAGTTGTCTGTGATCCATGTTACCACGGAAGAGCAGGGTTTGGATCTCTCTACTTTCTCAGGTAAACACAGTAACTGTGGGTAAACCCAGTATGTCTTCATTGTTGAACTTGTCCTGCATTTTTAGTTGTGAGAGGGGCATTGTTGGCGAAAAATCGGTTCTCTGTTCGTGCTCCTCACTTCAGAAGGGCTGGCAATTTTCACTTCAGCAACAGAATCATCAGTGGACCCAAAGCCCATTTTCTCACAACCTTGGTCTGACGTCTCATCTCGACAGAGTGTCAGGTTTATACGAGGTTAGATGACTCAGGTTGGCAGTTGGAAAAAGCCAAGTTTTGCAGAGGTTTAAGAATTTGGTGACTGTTTTAGTGGAAACACTGACTTACCCATGCATTGACATGTATTGCGAGTGCATCATGATGGTGGGTTTCAGGTTTCTTTAAATGAATATCCACCTAGTAACCTCAATGTTCTTTATTGTACCTCGGTGAATGGATGTAATTGTAGTTTTTTTATGGCAGTATGGAGAACAGACCTCCCATCTGCAGCCTGTTCGCTTATGCACAGTGTTCTCCTGTGGCATTTAGACGTGACAGTCTGATTACACATTATCATGACAAACTGGTCTAGTGTGCTTATGTTAGTGTTTCAACGATCTCTACATTGTTAGGTTAGTTGTTTTTATTAGACCATTACAGCATGCCAAACGTAGATTGTAAAGAAGGTCAAGAAGACCTGTTCTGCAGAAACAGCTTCACAGAGATTCTACCATGAGGATTTTCCTTCTTGAGTTCATACGTACACTAAAGCATTTTGTGTCTTCTACATTTTTGGCAGCAGGTTAACCCGTCAGAGTTGAATTCATACTGATAATTATTTGCTTTCATGCTACTTTACCTAGACAACAAGGGTTCAAGTGTGTTTCCAACCAGCTGGTGTATCCTTGAACGAGACCTTAAATTCCTGCCAGCTCCTCGGTCCTCCTGTCTTCCTGACCCTGACCTTTGCACCCTCTGAAAGAGACCCAGGAGAGAAAAGGCAATTTTACCAACTAATGAATAATGTAACAAACTTTTATTACTTACCCCACCAATCGCCACAGGTCTGCCCGTCAGTCTGACCCTGACTGAACAATAAGGAGAGGTCAGAGGTCGTCTGTGCACTCAACGCCTTTATTTACTCAGATCCTGAGGATATGAGGAGGGTCTGTTGACAAAGACGGCGATTTAGACGTGTGTTTATTAAGGCCATGCTGTCTCGGAGAAGTTCACTTTCAACACAGTGGTACTGGTGATGATGATCACACACTCGCCACAATCATGCAAAGCTAGTTCACACATCGGCATGGGTATTACATGGATGACTCCTATGTTGTGTTCAAACTTGATGATAATAAACATACAGCAGCAAGTTTACTGGACTGATGCATCAATAATTCAAAGATGCAATAGTTCTTGTTGGGTTATACTTGCAAACAGTGTGAATTTGGGCTGTGTTCAATGGGCTACTTAAGTTAAACGTCATAGATGGTCCTGAAAATGTGCTATCAACTGGAAAACTAAGGACATAGTGACTGTGTTTATATGCAGCTGCTTGTACCTTTGCAAAGGGACTTTTTTTTTCTATTGAAACAAGAGTATAAAGGGGATTTTTCCATCTGAAATCCAAAACGTCTCATATAATTAGATTAAAAGTCAAAGTAAACAGGTCCCGCCTTTCTTCAGATAAGTGACACTGAAGTGTTCAGTCATTTTTGATTTTTCTTATAAAATTTGGCTTTACTATCACTCTGTAGCTGCTCAGGAATTTAGATTTACATCGAGCCGTTTCCCTTTTTCCTCTGATGTTGCTCAACATCACGGTCAGAATACAATGCATTCAAAAAGGATACAACAAAAACATGAGGTTATGAGTCAAGGTTGTGTTCAGAACTTTAGTTATGACTGTTCTTTGTCCATTTTATTTTGTTATTTTGTGAGTTTATTGACTTGCATGTATTTCCTTCGATGACTGTGTTCAGGGCCACAGCAGGTCAAAGGTTAAACTCAGGGCTGCAAAAACATTTTTAAGATATTCAAGAGTCTCAAAAGGATCTTTCATCCTGTTGTCTAACAGTTGTGATTTACAGATTACATTTGCAAGGGGGTTATTGCTGAATAAAACTGAATGAAAGGTTTTCTACTCAACAACTAACCTGATGTCAAAGCTGTGTAGATTTGATGCTTGTCTTTGTCTTTGTTGCTGTGAATAGTTTGAGAGCTTTTTGTTAATTTCTAAGCTGTATTATTTTGATTTTGCCTTCTTTAAGGTCTTATTTGGGTGAAGATTAAAGTTCTTGCAGTAACTTTCTTCAAGTGTTCATTGAAAATTTTTCAGTCTATTCTTTATCCAGGTGTTTCTAAGTTTTAAAAAAACAGTGACAGGGAGAGAAAACGGTTCCTTACAAGAATGAAGTTCAGTCTCCTCTAGAGCTGACACTCCCGCCTCGTGGTCCCAGTGCTCCCAGTTTCTGCTCTCTGCTTTTATACAGCATGAAAAATCCCCCCTGAGCCCCTGGGTCTGGTCTCTCCTCCAATCATCCTCTCTGACTACATCCAAGTCTCCCGGCGGCTGCGCGCATTGGCCTCCCCGCGCGTCACTCATGATTCCGGGGCAGCGTGTGGGCGGAGCCGGGCTGAGGGCTGACGGGAGGGGTGGCGGGTTAGAGGCGGTACGACTGTCAATTGTGTTCCCTATTCTCGTCAAAAGTCGGCTGTTTGTTGCTGTGAGTCCAGCCAACAGGACCGCGTACTGTGTGTTCATTCGGAGCAATGCGCTCCGTGAGGACACATGAACGGATTCCTTCTCCCTCTCACGCCAAACGCAGCGCAAGTTCGCTCCTGTCTGCACTTTGACATCGATGTGTTTTGGGCAGAGGAGGAGCTTCGAGCTTCTTTTTCTCACTAAAAACACCCTGTTTTCGTTATTTCTCACCACGAAGGGGAGCTTGGAGCGATTTTGGTGCGCGGACTGAACCCGGAGCCGCCCCGAGGACTCTCAAGACAGTGTAGGAACCGTGAAGACTTGTTGCGCGCATCCGGGGGAGCGCAAGAGTCCGGGTTTCATCCAACTGTACCTGCGTGAGGGGCTTTGATTTCAGGGGAGGTTGGCTCAGTGGAGCGGGGGTGCTCGGTGGATGTCAGATTAGACCCTCAGCCTGAAGTCAGCACGGCTCGGTGCGCTTTGGGAATCTGTTCTTCATTATCCAAATTGGGGTGATTAGTTCCCTCCAGTCTGACAGTCAGAGCTTCTGATGCTCCAGGAAACCAAGAACCTATTTCTCCTGCTTTAGATGGAACCAACGCAAGAGTCAAACTTAATTCGGGCCACATCCTCTTGAGTTGATTATTTTTTCCTCTCCGCGCGTATTTTTCTTTTCTTCTTGTCCACAATGTCTGAGCGAGATGGATATGGAGACACCGACGGAGCGCCGGACTGCATCCCGCCGAGAGCGTCCCGTGGCCGGCGGAGTGGAGTCATCCTCCCCGGTGGCGGCCAGGACACCGACACCATCCTGCTGGAGTCAGTGAAGGCAGCACCTCGCCGGAGCAGCATCATAAAGGTAAACAAACCTTACATGCTGCCTTTTTGGGGGACTGTATATTTAAATCAAAAGCCCCAAAGTTTGCTTGACTTTTCTTTGTTCTAAATAGCCAGACATTTTCTTCACACCCCCAAACTTGTGTTTTTCTGCAAGATGTTGCAACAGGTGAAAAGTAGCCAAAAGAAAATCAAAGTGAAGCTTGAGTAGAAAACAGAGGATCGTGTTTCTTCGCTTTTTTTTGGCACTGAAATCTGAAAAAACAGCATTTATTTCGCTGAATCCTTCTTTTTTTGTAAATCTCACCTGGATCCTCAGAGGTCAGCTCCTTGTGACAGCAGCGCGTCTTGTGGCACGCGTCACATGTGCGTAATCTTTAAATTCCTGCGTGTCCGTGTTTCTTCCCTTTGTCTGAAGTTGACACACCACATTCTCAGATGATGGGATAGCTGTGCGAGGTGAATGAGAAAAGTTTTGACTCATAAACCAGGACTCTGTGTGTGACACTTCTCTGCTGCATGGGAAATCATGGTGAAAGCTCCTTCAGGATTAGTTTTCCTCCATTAAAAGAGCTTGAAGACATTTTTCCGAGGATTAAACACCAGTGTAGGAGAGAGCAGAGAGGATCAGTGATTCTTAGGGAATATTACAGCGATTCTCCTGCAGACAGGTGCTATACATAACCTCAGTCTGTGGAGGAATTTCATTAGATAAAGAAACTATTCGTTGAGGCGCACAGTGTAGTGGAGTACATAAATAAGAAGAGACTGAGTTAAGAGAAGTTTTGTAAATCAAGACTCACCCAGTGCCACACTCAAGGAGAGTCATTCAGGGTTAGCATAGAGGCCATAATGAGGAGTGAGGCGTGAACAGCCGGTGACAGTCCTCGAGACATGGTGATGAACAGTGTTCAAAGACTGTGAACATTTGGTTTAAACCCTCATATACAGAACATCACCATAATCAAAGGCAGAAAATCTGCTGATACAAGGAGGAAGATCTTTTTTTGAAACTGGAGGCCGAGGTTCATCCTGAGTTTAGAGATTAAATTTGGCGCTTGGGTTTCAAATATCAGCTCCTGATCGATAAGCAAACTTGAGAACTTTTAGTCTTATGGGATGTTAAAGCAGCTGTAAGGAACTTTTGGCTTGTGTTGACAATGGCAGCGTCCTCTGTGGACAAAGTGATGCGTCCTGTCTCTTGTTCTGTGTTTATGAAATTCGTTTTTTCATGTAAAGCCTCGGGCGGCACAGTGGTGTAGTGGTTATCACTGTCACCTGGTCCTGGGTTTGAATCCAGGTCTGGTTTCCTCCCACATCCCAAAAACACGCAGAAGTGGGGTAAGGTTAATTGGCCACCTTCAAATTGCCCGTAGGTGTGAATGTGAGCATGGGTGGTTGTTCGTCTCTGTATATCAGCCCTGAGATGAACTGGCGACTTGACCAGGGTGTCCCCTGCCATTGTCCGAAGATGCTGGGACAGGCCCCAGCCCCTCTGCAACCCCTTGAACGGGAATAAGCGGTAGAAAATGGATGGATTGATGTAAAGCCTCATCCTGTTGTCTTTAATAGTGAATTTTGCCACAATGATGAAAACTATCAGCTTTGTTGATGATGGCGTTGTTTGCTTAGAGGTGAGCCGTGCCTCTGATTTGCCAACCTTGCCATCTACTTCGAATCAAATGCAAAAACCACCCCCCCCCCCTCCTCTGTGGATCCCTTCAGACCAATACAGTTATTATGAATCAGGCTGCAAATGTGTTTGTTTTTGCTCTAGAAATGAGCATTTTGAATTTGTGTGTATGTGTGCTGTCTAGTGCTTCTGAAGACAGCCTCAAGTGGACACTTGAAGAACTGCAGTTTAAAGCGCCTCTGTTATTTATTTGGTTGCGGCTTGATTGCTAATACCTTGACTAATTACTAAAATTTTTAATCACCTTTTGAGACTTTTTGATGACATTATAATATAGTGATGATAAGGCAAACTAAAGGCGGTGGTGGGAAAGGCAAAAGGGGGAGAGTGAGAATGAAATGCAGAGAAAAAAGCGAGAGTTTCATTAAACCCAGACTGGTCTTGTATAAAAATGACACTCATAACATTTCTGCGCACAGTAGAGGAGGCTGTGTGACTGAGGAGACAGACTGGGTTGACAGCTAATCAGAAGAAAGGTCTTTTGCATGTTGGAACATCCCGGAGCACGAAACTGAACACCAAAGTGCTCCTGAAGGCGTAGCCAACAGTGTGTCAGCGCATGTGTGTGCCTGAGAAAGAGTGTGCATCAGAGCAGATCATGTTGGCAGACACTTTGCATGGCAGTCTCTACCATCAGTATACACACACATACAGCATGCTCAGATGGGTGAACATGACATGTAATTAAAAGCTCTTAAAGTGGCCCGAAGACTTAAAAACTACTAAATAATTACAGCCTGTTTAACTTTTTGAGCCCCTTCCCATGCCCTCTCCTCATCAGAGTTTATTTTGCAGGTTAAATCACGCAATGGCTTTGTTTTCATTCTGCACTGTTGTGGACAAAAAATAAAAATGAAAATAACATGGACAATTTTTAAGATGAAACTGATGACTCTTCAGCCTAATTTCTATCCAGTTCTAGGAGTCACTATACCTCTCCAAAGGTTCACAGTATAACCTGAGAGGTCTTGAGATTAACTTCAACTTCAGCATATTTCATTAATAAATGGAAATGCTGTTAACATGAGAAGTACAGACTTACAAGACAATTAGTGTTCAGGGATTCAATATGTGCCTCTATTTTTCAGGGACATGTGAATGATGTAAATACTCAATGCTTTCAAGTAGAACAGATGTACAAAACAGACAGTATGTCACCTTAGATAAAACATTGACCCTCATTTATACAGTTTATATCCATATGTTCATTATAATTTTAACAATACACAGCCTTTTTTTTGATACAGTTTGTAAATTTGTACCAGATTTTTGTGCCAGATGCTATTAAGATTATAATTAATTAGTCTTTTCTCAAAACACAGTGACTTTATTTTGTTGTATCGTGGCTTTACTTCAACTTTTTTCCCATTACAAAATGGCTTGAAACACTACTAGTAGATTTTCATCAGACTTTATTCTTGCAACATGATGCCTTTTTTCCTCTAAATCTTAAAAAGTATAGTACATATAGAATATATCCCCCCGTAAAATTGCCATTTATTAAACTGTGATCCTACATGGGGATTCATGTTGCATTGCCAGATTCATACCAATGCACAACCCCAATTTTTTTATACATGTATAAACTCTTTTTCTACAAATTTGGCCATCAAACACTTGAGAGTCCACCATGAAGGAAATTAAGTTCTAAAAAGGTAGAAATATTAAGTTTTAGACTAAAGGGCGCAAGTTTACAACATGATATTTTAAACCCATTGGGTTCAGTTTCTCTTTGTGCATAATACAACTATGTATCAAACTTGTATACTGTATCATGTCGTATGTTATCGTCATGGATCTTACCACCAGATTCCAAAAAGTCACATTACACTGTCTACAAAGTAAAAACATGAAATGTCTTTTTATTTTTGTCTAGTTGCTCTGAAACTTTAGCAGCTTTAATTGTGATGGGATGAAAGTCCAAACAACCTTCAATGGTGCTCTTTTCTAACTTTTTTTGTTTTGTTTTTTAGAGGTAATTGTATGCCATCTCAGGTGGAAAGATGCCCCATCTGTCAAACAAACATGGCAGGGTAGAAATATTAAGTTTCAGAAAATAGAGGTACTTCTGTAGATTACACGGTCCTTAAAACTAAACCTGAAGTCCGGCACTTAACCCTTCACCTGCTGGCCAAGTGACACCAGGTGATACCGCAGTTTTCCACCCTCACCTGTGCTCAGGTTGCAGGTTGCTGACCCTCCTGATGCAGAGGGTGGAGATCATGTTTTGGGATCATTTCCGCTCACCTGTCTTCATCAGCTTTTGTGTCACTGTGTTTCGAGGTCACTCAGCCGAGCAGGAATCAGGCAGGAGGAGGCTGACTGCTGACGTTAAAGACGCATGTAGGAGGAAAAGATTCAGGCTGTGTGACCTTCTCAGCTCATTTCACATGTGATGATAATATGACGGCTCCATATTTCAAGTTAGGGGGGGAGGAGATGAGTTTCTGTCAGGATCACGATGTCCGTACTGAGCATGAGTCAGCCCTGAGAGCCCCATCTGGAGGACTCAGCTGAACAGAGACGCCTTTGACTGCTGCTGGGGAGGAAGTGGATGAAAGGATGGACAGATGAGGGGGAGTGATGTCAGTGACAGGACCGATCAGCTGTAACAGCCGGGGATGGATATCAGACCACAGAACCTCATGAATTTGACTGAAGATGTCAGAATATCAGTAGCTGTTACAAACTGATCATTAGCATCAAATTTGTGCAAAAATTTCAAACTTTCTCATATTTCATCCCCAATTTATATCAGGATGTACTTTCAACTTTTTTTTACACAAACTAACCACAACATAAGTCCTACAGGCGCCACTGAGGCACAGGATCTCCACTGTATTCTAGTGAAATCCCTCCCTGAGGCCTTACACGTAATTTCCCCTTTGACAATCACTCCAAAAGTGGCAAATCCAAAATTGCTGTCTGCTGGCAGTGGAATCAAAGAGTCCTATTCAAGACTTAATCCAAGAGGAAACCGGACTTGTCAGAACTCTAGAAGACTCTTACAAATCCTTTTATTATGGACTTTTGAAGTTGAAGTTTTAAGGTTTTATATTAAGTTAGAAACAGACGCCAAGGATCTGTGACGCCAAGTTAGTGTCAAAAGGGCAGCTGTGCTTGATACTGTTGATGGTTTCCAGCTCAAAAGTTGTCCAATGTCTGTCAGAATGCTAATAATAAATTAACAAAAACAAATAAAGTATTTAAAGGTGGGGTAGGCAGGATCTGAGGAAGTGCCAGTTTTTGGGAGAAATCTTGAACGTTTTCCCCTCAGCTCCTCCTCTCTGCTCCAGCAAGCCCCGCCCACAAACAGATGCTCCTGCTCGCTCGAATTGTTTCAATTACATTCAGATATAATGCAGATAAATACTTCAGATACTTACAAATGGGGCCCAGTCAACGTGAAAGTAAAAAGCATTGGTGCTACTGTAGATGTCAACAGACTACCAGCAAACACAATGTTTGCAGGACTTCTACAACTAGGATAAAGTGACATAGTCCAGGACCCGAGGTCAACAGTTTAGCGGCTCTAAAACACGCAGCAGGTCCCGTTTGATAAGAAACTCTTCTGTTACACTTGGCTTACTTTGTTAAAGTGGTTTACCTGTCGAGCAGAAAGGTTACAGGGTCCATAAGACCTCGAAGCGTTCCTAATCGTTTATGCTGATCGTTTGCTTCTTAGCTCTTGTCCGGTCTACCTCCGTTTTAAGCACCTGTTATTTCGCCAGGGTCTCCTGTATTTATTTTGCTTTACTGCTTGTATTTTCCATACTTTCTGGTTGGTTTCTACTGTCCAATGTTGTAGCACACTAAGGGCTACAAGAACGTTATTGGAGGACGTTGAGCGTGCCTCACAACACGAGGGAGCAGTGTCATCCTCAAAACCAATCAGGTTGGAGGAGGCAGAGAATGACTTTGTTTACAGTCAGAAAGAGCAGGCTGCTCAAATAATGTTAAAATGTTGACTACACAGACATAACAAAACACAGCGATATCGTTAAATTACGAAATATCCTCAATAACTAATAGATATTGACTGATATTAAAAGTTTTTTTTGTATATAAACCACAAAAAAAGATGCTTCTTTAATGAAATGTTGCCTACCACACCTTTAAATGTTTGTTTTTTAAACTTCTATACATCTTACTTTGACATCATCAAACGTAAAGCTACGCCAATGGATAAACAGATACATCAGTTTTTGTCTTTTTGCAGTGAACAGGCTTTCATGAGGTTTTCTCTTTTTACGGCTCGTCATGGATCACGGCAGATGTTACTCTTTGTTTTTCATATTTAAAGTAGATGCTAATGCCTACACTTTGAAGCCTTTGCATAGTTAATGTCCATATCTCTGCAGCGACACATTTCCTTTTTAAGATCTCTGAAGGTATGTATAGATGGGGTATTTTTAAGCTTTTACCCACAAAAAGGGCGAGGTGATTTCACGCATGGCTCACATTACTATGACAACACACAGACGCCCACACATAACATGGTACCTCACGCCCACATGCTCACACACCCCTGTTTATTTAGCTCACCCCATCAAAACACACACACATGCAGGCAATTAAAGCAGCCCTTGTTCAGTCCTCCGTAATTATATCCTCAGCCCAAGAGCCAATATTTGGTTAATGGTCGAGATAATTGACATCATCAACATTTTGAGCATCAGCAGGGTACTCCATACTACCTCAGAGTATCATAAATAATTTTGATATCCACTAAAGCTTTGTGGTTTTACATGAAGGAACTAACACTTCGTTGTAAATGTTAAATTAACCTGAAATATTTGAGCATCGTCTGTGCAATTTGAGACATTTCTCCTGAGTTCCACCTCAGACAAATCGACTTTCTGTAAGTAGCTGAAAACAAGAAGTCAGTCACGGTTTCTACTCAGGAGAGCAGTAGAATTTCTTAGTAAATGAAAGTACCGAGTTTTGAGGTAAAAGTATTCTGATGCTTTGAAACATCTGTGACCTACACTAGCAAAGGAAAAGTTGTTCAGTCTGAGGTTTGTTGTAGAGTGCTGCCAAAGATTTGCCAGCGTGAAATAGAAGAAATTCATCAAGAATGGCACTTAAGGGGAAAATTAAAAATCTGTGACAGTTTCATGATTCCTCGTACGTCTCCTCGGGCTCATTTTTGCTCTTTCATGCTCGGTAATTCAGGCCATGGCCACTCAGACGAGCTGCTGTAGGGTCTCCTCCTCACTGTGTATTAAGAGCAAGTTTAAGGGACATTAATCTCAATCAAGTTAAACTGTTATATTAATTTTCCCCCGCAAAACCATTAGCAATTAGCTCAAAGCATCACAGCGTAGGAGGGCAGGAGGCAAACATGGTTTTCTCCTTCAGTTGAAAAGGAGTCGTGCAGCAATAATGATCAATTTGTACTCAATGATTGAAAACACGTTACTTTGTCACTGAGCTCCACATCCTCAGTCAGGTATACAGATTATATAGTTGCAAGGTTTTGGACAAATCCTCCTTTTAGCTGTTGATGAAGTTGTCTGTCTTCGGTCGTGTTCACACCAGCCTTGTTTAGTCCAGTTGAACTGAACCCTGGAGCGTTTACCTCCTTAGTGCGGTTCGTTTTGGTTGGTGTGAATGCTGGCCTCCAACTCTGGTGCGAGCCAGTCAACCGCTCTCAGGTCCATCTGGTAGGGGTGGTCTTGGACCGTTATCAAGTGGACTCTTTAGCGGTTTACTTCTGGTGTGAACCCCATCCACACCAATCAGAGGAAGCGCAGTGTTTTACTCGTCATATCCTATTTTGGTCAGAGGGAAAGTTAGCAAAGTGCGGCTAATGTCTAATTGCTTGTCGTCTTCTTTGATTTGACCATTCGAATGCAGAGCGTCTCCTGTGACGTGTATATCAATACATTATTCAATTGCAGCAGTCTTCCCAGCTGTTCATATGCATGGTCCGTTGAAGTCTGCTGATGAGCAGTCCAGATCAACACCAGCATAAAAATGAGCAGACGATGCTCCATGATATTCAGTAAAATTGGGAGGGATTTGTCGTCTACCCGCCTAAACTGTATAAGCAATCATCGAACGGCTTTTGCTGCCACATGACAATTTTTGGACTGTTTGAATTTGGTCTTTGTGAACACGAAACGGACCAGTTGAGATGTTGCCTCACTTTGGTTTGTATCAGAAAACTGACCTTTTGGTGTGAACACGACCTTAGCAGTTCACGTTTTTACAGGTAACACCAAACTTTAGTGAGCACTGTTGCTGACTAGATGCTAGAGGGTTCATCAGCCCACTCCTACTCCACACTAAGTGGTTTTGGATGACTCCCTCACACTGAGACAGACTCAGGTTTTCCAGGATGAGACTCTGGGATGGCACGGTTGGCGGTTTCCCTCTGACAGGCCGGTGTGCTGCCTGAGTGCTCGCCATCCAAGCGCTGAAAGATGTTGTAGTGTTTGGAGTCTGACTGTGTGGTATTACCGCAGGCTTCCAAGTGTCCATCCAAGATTTATGGGAACTTGAATGGGAATCAGGGCATGATCCTGGATTATCTAAATCCTCGTCATGACAGGAATACAGTGACAAGACTCTCATCCTTCGCTCAATCACTTCTCCTGTAACAGATACCCTTAAGAGGACTGAACGTAGAGCAGTAAATCAAGATTTCAGGCATGTTTCAATCCTTGAGAGGTGTGATGTCATATATCCTCCAGCAGCACAATTCAGTGCATTGAATCGCCAAATTAGAGGCAAAGAAGAACAAATAAATTAATGACATGCACACGACTTTTTTGTCCCTTAGAGGGGTTTTTGAGGACAAACACTGAATGAATTTTAAAGAATTCAGACATTCATATTATTGGAGGGTAAATTTAATTCACTGTGTAGCCTCATTTCACTTTTGAATAGTCTTCCTGTGTTAGGAGGATCCTAACAGAGTGAAATGAAGAGGAATTAGCGAAGCCTTGACCGTAATGGGAGCTGTTTGAATTGTCTTAGTGCTAAGAGAAATGTGCTCCAAGGCTTCCTTTTTTATTCACTTTAGCCTAATGCACACTGGAACATCCTTTACAAAAGAGGAAGATACAATGCAGACCCACAATTCCTTTCAGCAGGTGTATTTAAAGCATTGCAATTCAATGACATTTGCTCGGTAATAAAGCCTAAGTGCAGTCTGATTCTCTTGGCACAATGGTTGCGTTTTTCAAGCATTTTATGGGCTCTCCTTCACATCGTACCTTGACCTTTTGATATTTTTTTAATCTAAGTGACGAACAAGCATTCAGAAAAATTTAGAAATAAGTAAAAAAAGGAAGTTCAGAGTTCAAGCTTCAACAGTCGTGTGTACACTTCTGTGAGGCTGGATTTAACGGCTCGATGCAAATAGTGAAACAAGCTGACGACTGTTATTTTTCATTATTATTATTTTTTACTCTTTATTTACAGAACATGAGGTCATCGCGGGTGATACAGTTGAAATGTAAATATTCTTTTACACAAAAATACATAATTTCACACTATTCAAGGTGCATACCTAGTCCAATTTTTCCCAGCATTTCAAACATTTCTCCAGCTGAAGTCTTCAAACAAAAGTAAGTCTCTCCATACAGTGAAGTTCTTGGACAATGTTCAATGTTGGGGAATCTGGTTGCAACCACTTTCTTGTTATGGCTTTCCTACCACTTCCCAAAAAAATCTTCAACAGGTACCTGTCCTTATGTAGGACTGTCTCCGGGATTTTACTGAGATATAAAACAACAAAAGAAAAGTCTAAATCCACCCCCAATATTTTATTTATCTCAGTTGACACCTCTCTCCAAAATGACTGGATTTTCGGATAGGCCCAAAAAATATGAAAGTGATTAGCCATAGGGGTTCCACATTGTCTCCAGCAGTAGCCTCGGTTCTGTGTGCCTGTTTGCAGTGCTGTTAATTTAGGGGTTATAAAAAAATCTCACCATATTCTTCCAGCCGAACTCTCTTAAAGATCTTGTCGCTTGTGTCTCACATATTTTTGACGACTCTTATTTTGACTGTTAAAAAGTACAAAGTGACTATAAACAAAGTGAAAATCCCAGATTGCAAAAAAACTCAGATTTTGAGGATTCATTCTCTGGGGACCATATATTTTTGTGCAAAATGCAATCAAATTAATTGCACAGATTTGTGGAGATTTTTCAGTCTGGACTAAAATTTGATGTTTATCTTCCACCGTCTACATAGACATGATACCACGACTTCTGTGCTACTATCCACACTGGCCTGTATTTTCGTGCTGCAGGTTTGCAGCTTGTCTTGTAAAACAGGTCACTTCTGCTTTTTATGAATCCTCCTGAGCAGAGAAAAAGCTCAACAAACCATGACAGCTTAAAAATTAATGGTGCACAGTTATGGAAAATCCTGGAGAAGTCCTGGAATTTCAAAACAAGGCTGCACTGGGAATCCTGTTTATGTCTGATCAGAGTCCCTGAGGTTATTTTGGTCTTTTCTCAGACACAGAGCCATGTTTCCTCTTTCTCCCTTCCCATCTGCACTCCTTGCTCTGAAACTCTGTGTTTTATTTTGTCTTTGTCTTTACCAAACCCTGTTTTCATCCCTCCCTCTTGTATTCAGTAACCCTCTGATGTCTTTTTGGTGTTTTTCCGCACACTTTGTTCCTCTTTACTCTAATTCCCCGTCTTCCTCCTGCTGTGCCGGGGAACGAACAACGATTTGTTGACAACACACTCCTGGAAACCGATCAAGAGTAATGACAATGTGTCCCCTGTGATTTTATCTGCATGTGTGCGTGCGCTTGTGTGTATTTGTGTTAAGTGTGTGTGTATGCGTGCGGAGTCATTAGGGCCACTGAGGGCCCTCTGTCTCCCAGTATCACTCTGCTACTGGTGCCACATCTCTCCGGGAACACACAGCACCTCATCACAGCTGCTGGTCAGGAGTTTGTGTTTGTGACTGCAACAGAGACAAAGCACACACAGCTCTCAAACACCTCACGCTGCTGTTTGTACGATAGGCAAAGTGGGATTTTAAAACCAGAAGGAGGATACGAGGAAGATACTTTTTGGGGTTTAAGTTTCTTTAGCTCCCCTTGCATCACTCCTTAAATGTACTTGTAATAATGGCCAATCAAAAGTTAGCCATTGCATCCAGTATTTCCAAATTTCTGGTATTTGCCACTTCAATAATTTTGTCCTCCAGTGTCGGGAGAATCTCAGTTCTTACAGGTTGTCATGACACTGAGAGACAAAAATATTTTTCAAGGTTGTGCAGCTGCAAATCAATGGTATTTGTGCTGGTTTATACTGGTTTTGCATGTTAAAAGGAGCGGAAACTTCACTATTTGGACGGGGATGCAGGACGCAGTGTTCAAATTTGAGAATAGAAAACAGGTGATGGTCACCACGAGCTCCTTTTAAAGCATAAAAACAATAACAGCAACATTAAACCTTCACAGTGAACAATTCAGAAGTTTTCACATAAAAGGGGCGACGATAACACTGTTGAATTAGTACCTTAAAATGAACTGGATCAGTGTTGAGTTGGTGACTTTTTCTGATTAATATAAGTCGACAGCCCTCTTACTGAGATACATAAAGATGCCAAAACAGTTTGGTGCAAAGTTTCTTGTTTTAAATCAGTCATTAAACGAAACTTGAAGAAGTTCTATATCAGAGAAACAGCTTAATGCGAATGAAAATCAAGAATATAAACACCACAGATCTGAAACTTTTTGGAAATCTCTCTAAAAACATGAGCAATGTTAAAGAAAAGAAGACCTTGCACAGAGATTTCAGGACACGTAACTCACTTATTGCTTGAATGTGAAAATGTTTTTGCAAAATTTTGCCTTTTGTGCATCATTTTCTGTTTCTGCCACTGTTGTTCTTCGTGCAAATTCAACTAGAAAGGAGTTTGCAAGTTCGTTGGTCACAAACCACAGAAGCTTAAATCTTCATCACTGTAAAAATTTTTATGTTTTTTTAAAAACTGCTGCTCATGTTGTGCAAAGTTGTGAGACTTTGTATATTTTGATTGTTGGTTTTTTACTGTTAAGGTGTGAAATTGGTATATTTCCTCTTTGTATGGAGTTAGTATAAGAGTTTCATAAGACAGAAGGAGAAAGAAAGGCAGAGCGACTTCTCTGATGTGAGAGAGCCTTTATGTCATTAGCGTTAATGCGACTGATGTGGGATTAAAACAGTGACCTTCACTCCTGAGGCGGCGAGAATTAAAAACACCAGAGCATAAAGAGGATTTGAGATTTGAATTACTGCAAACACTAACGAGGTTAAAGCTGATTGGCTGCCCAAGGACAGAGATCAGGTCCACAAACCACCTCGGTTTTAAACCCATCACACCTATAAAAAAAACACACCCACTCCTGCTTCATCCTCCTCACGCTGGTGCTCTCTCTGAGTTTTCACCTCGAAACTGGAAGTCGATGACATTTCTGCAGGCGGGGGAGGAGGACGCTGAACATGGCTGACAGGTCGTGTAAACTCGTCTTGAGGGGAAATTCAGAGAAAGGACGATCGAGGAAGAGAGAGAGAGAAAGAGAGAGAGAGAGAGAGAGAGAGAGAGGCATCCAGGCAGAGATAGTGTGTTTGTGTGTGTGAGTTCGGTAGTGCGTGGTGTTCACCTCAGGGTGCAGGGATTGCTGAAAACTCCTGAGACTGCATGTCAGGTTGTTTTGCCGTTTTAAGCTTCAGTCTAAGAGCAACAAACACAAACACACACACACACACACACACACACACACACACAGGTCCTTAGTGTTGTTACAGAGGATGTTTTCACTCTGTGTTTACCGGTTTGGGGTTCCCCGAAACCTCATAGGTCTGCATTCACAACTCGTGTCATTTCTCTGTTTTTGAAGGTGCTCAGGGAAGTTTACCAGCTTGTTTGTGTGAAACGCGCTTTGATAAATGTTTGGTTAAGGTCAAATATAAGAAAGCTGAACATCTTTTTCTTATGATCTTGTCGAATGCTGACACCTGACCATGTGGAATAGCTTAAGTCACCATCATTAAAAGACGAAACATTGCATGATGTTGCTGCAGGAATGCAAGATGCATGCTTCACTCCACATGCACACACACTAAACTGGGAATCCCACTGGATCCAGAATGGCTCTGCTATGCTCCAGACCGGCAGGTGGATATGCAAGCATACGTGATCTGATCCGCCGCCGCCATCGGAGGAGAAGCGCTCGCGAGATTACCGCGATATTTCTCGCGAGACTGGACAAGATCTCACGAGATCTTGCATGTTTCCCCGGGAGTCATAGAATGAGATCCGTCGATTGGTGTATATAAACACCCACATCCCACAACCCTGGCCTCTCCTATTATCAAGTTAAGAACATATCAATGTATTGACTTCATTTTATTTCGAAAATTAACCGGATATTTTTACTCTGTAATCGCATACGACTTCCGCTGCTGCTCGTGCTGCGCTGCACTGGCGTCCAGCAAAATAGAAGCTTTGCGTATCTGATCTGGTCGCGGGAGCCGATCCGCAGCATTGATTTTAATGCTTTAGTATTTGATCGGCCTGCCGTGCCCGAACGGAGCAGAGCCGTTCCGGATCCTGTGGGTTTTGCAGTTAGATGTGCAGACACACACTGTGCTGTTCTGCCCTGCTGGCTCTGATGCTACACATCCCCCTTTGTCTCCCCTGTTACTCCTCTGTTGATTGAGAGTCAGAGGCAGTAGACTTTGTCTAACCATTACATCTCTATTGCTAAAGTGAGACAGCAGGGGTGTAAATATCCTGCCTTGAAACAGCAGTATGTAATCGGCTAATCATAGAAAGCTTGTTTGGTTACTTGCATCCCTGACATTTTTGACAATCAGCTCACAGATTTTGTCAACAAAGGCAGAGTTGGTTTTTACTCTTTGCCTCTCTAATGGCATAGAAATTAGAGTAATTTAAGCTCATAAATCAACAGATAAAAGCCCATAAAGTCATGGTTTTACTTCTGTTTTGTGTTGTTCCTTTCTGTGATTTTGTGTCCACCGCTCAAATTCCCCTGAGGCTTTCTTCCATTTCTGTCCAGAATTGGACTCTTCATTTGAAAAGGGGTTTCCTTATTTTGAGCCTGTTAGTCTTTATATATAAAGAGAGAGGACAGAAGTATGGAAAACGAGCATATGAGGGTTGTCTTTGGTTCCACTAGAGTGAGAGAAATGTTGTGTCTTGTGTTGAACTGAGTGGCATTTTATCTCTGGTTTTATTCTGCCAGCAGCGCAGGAATGTCACTAATGATGTTATCATGATGTGCAGTCTGAATTCTTCTTCCTATAGACCTCATTTACACAGGAACTGAGCCCGGAGCTGTTCTTTGAGGGCTTTCCTCTGTGTATAAGAGTCAAAATTAACTGATTGTAACATTAAACACTGCTGGATCCAGACTAAAGGAGCAGTCTGTAAAATTTTCCGTCATATTTGTCTGTTTTTTTGCAGCAGCTCCTCATCATTACAGTGTGATGAGTATATCCACATGAAGCTGAGGGTGTGTCCCCATTTACCACAAAGTTTAGCCCCTGTGTGTGTGTGTGTGTGTGTGTGTGTGTGTGTGTGTGTGTGTGTGTGTGTGTGTGTGTGTGTGTGTTTCCCTAATGAATGTTAATTGATGGTTTCTAAAAACAAAAACAGATTTTGGAGCATTAAGAGCTTCTGTTTTAGATTCAGTCAGCTCCACAGTGTGTCACTAACATGTGCGTGTGTGTGTGTGTAAACGTGTGTGCGTAAACGTGTGTGTGTGTGTGTGAGAGAGAGAGAGAGAGACAGTAATGTTTCGGCTTTTTCGGAGTGCAGGAATGCTGAGCGGCTGCCAGGCTCGGCTGCTGTGACTTCACTGGGACGAGCGGAGATCCCAGACACCACACACACCTGCTACCATGGCAACCACATACAGGACCCATGCCCCCATCCAAACACACCACCCTCTTAACCCAACCTAAAACACACTGAGTTTAAGTGTGTTTGGACACATGATAATTTTTGATTTGCTTCAAGAATAATTATATAGAAGTTACCATGGATTTTATCCTTGTGTGATTGTGTGTGTGTGTTTGTGTTTGTGTGTGTGTGAGTGTGTGTGTGTTTACAGTGTAAATCCAGATGAGAATGTCCTGTTTACTCAGGACTGTAATTACAGCCTGTGTTTGATATTAATGAGCCTCTCTTTCATCAGTCTGACGTCTTAAACTGGATTAAAGTCACGTCTTCTGAGACAAGCCAAGAAAAACACACTTGTTTTCCGCTTTGTGTTATGATGATGATGATGATGATTATGATGATGATGACTTTTCTTTGAAAGCAAAAGGGTTGAAACTAATGACTGTAGATAAGGATGGACGACACATTTCCACCTCCTCCTCCTGTCGATCCAAAGTGAGGCCAAAGCAGTCATGTGACGGTGATAACTGATAACTTTATCCAGTCATGACTTATAAATAAATGTGTGACACAATAACGGAAAATTACCTTCAAACTTCATGAAAACAGGAGTGGGACCAGTCTCTTACTGGCTACATAAATTGGAAATAGCTATTATCTGGCTGAACTATTAACTTGATGGTGAGTGGTCAAAACCCTGGTCCGACTATGATTAAAATTCAGCAGCCAAAGTGATGCCAGGGAAAAACTGATCATGTCATATTCATAGACTGTATATAGAATGGATGCCGTCAGCCTCCTCGCTGGGTGAAGCCGCCCCAAGAACAGCACCCTCTAGTGACGGGCTGCAGTATAGGTCATAAATCCCGCCTCCGCCAGCAAAGCTAATGGAGCTGTGGACAAACTTTAGAAATTTTTTACACAGAACATAATTTTTTTCCTCCCTGCTTGTGATGTTGACATGTAGTTATTGTAAGACTGGTCTGTGAAGCTCCATTTTTAAAAGTTATTAAGGGGTTCATGTTTTCTATGATTGACACTTGATACAGCCTATGGGCGTACGAAGATTGCGCAGCTCACCCGGGGGATACGCTGTTTGAGCTTAGCGTCATCACAGCGACTCTCTGCGACTTTCCCGCCAAATGCCTACAACGCTACTGCGAAATGTTGGTTTCAGGAAATGGAGAGAAAACTCAGAACAACCGAGAGCTTTTCGGCTTCAAATCCGTATACTGGCGGAAGGCGGAACCAAGTTATCCATAATACAGTCTATGGTCATATTAAATCACCAGGGTTTGTAAAGCTTGTAAAGTAAGCGCCAATAAGACAATGACTGTCTCTTTTGATGATGACTTAGTTAGTCACAGTCATTAAAAACTAGGCTTTATAAGTGTCAGTTCCTGTCTGTATTTCCTCACTACTATTAAACTATTAGCTGAGTCAACAGCTTTATTACCCAGAGGCGTCAGCGTTGGGTGTGTTCACCCGCTGAACCTCTGCTGTATCACCCAGGTCCACTTCTTTGAAAAGGAGGAACCAACGTCACTGTTAAGAACTCTTCTTTTTCCACCAATGAGAGCAGGATCCTCTCTTTCCTGTTATGCTGCTGCCCTCGTGTGTTTCCATGGTTACCAAATGATGGCGCATTGATGTACTGATTGATCGGGAGCTTGCCTCCTTGACATTTCTGACAATCAGCCCCCAGATTGCAGAAATAATTACAGGATGATTGTTGCCTGGCATGTGTCTACAGACCAGCTGTTCCGCTGTTTACAGTCCTTATGCTAAGCTAGGCTAACCGACTCTGTCCTGAAATGATGCAAAGAAATTAAAAGGATGAAATCAGGATGTTCAAGAAAGAAAACAATTTGGATTTTTTCATATATTTTTTAGAATAAGATAATAAAGTAGAAATGAGGAGAGAGAAGGCTAGAACTGAACTCTGGCTGTCCATGTGAGGATCTTAACCTTGTAGATGGGACACACTTGGACTGCTAGGCCAGCTGTTCCCCCCAAAAATCTGTCAGTGTTGAACTTAAATTATCTGTAATTTTGATGTCAAATTTGACAAGTTAACTGGACAAAATCAGCTTGTTTTAATCTTTGTGGTCTGCCTTAAAAAAGCCAAACACCTCAGTGAAATATCAGCCATAAAACTTTCATTACAGGCTTCATCTTCACATCGTTTCAGCAAAATTCCCCAAGGTTACCCACCTACAATACACCTGATCTGTTCTCTCTTTATCACATTAACTAACACACAAATTAGCAACTCTGTAACAGACATGTCAGGAGTTTTGTTGTCAGTCCTTGAAGCGTCTGTCTGTGGTCTCTAACAGGATTACAGACTAATCATCTTTCTCTTTGAGTCCTTTAAGGACAAACTCTCCTGTTCGTTTCTATCACAAGCTTTCTTTAAGTTCACGTCAGGTGAAAAGGTGTGTCACCTTTAGGTTTACATGCAATCAGGACAGTATGTATAGATTTACTTCAGATAGTTTTTACATGTAAATAATGAAGTTATTCTTAGTTTATCACCTAGCTGTGTTTAATGTCTGACTCTGATTGGTCAAAACCTCATTAATGCTGTGATTTACACTCAAGAGCAGATTCAAGAATATAACCTCTGCTGTCATAATGTCAATGTGTAGAGTCAAATTGTGGATGGTGACCTGAGCCATGCTCCCATTCAGTTTTGGGGAAGGCTTCCATGAGTCGATGGCGTCTGTTGAGCCGCAGGTCAAGCCGCCATCACAGCGGACAACGACTATGAGTGTGGAAGCGTATGAGGAGAACACAGCAGAATTTAAGGCTGTTTTGCAAAGTGTTGACTCATGGACAGGTCTCACCATGGTGTCGTACATCACCATCACTTGTCACTTCATGCGCAACTTCAAATTAAAGACCATTCAAAGATGTATAATTTGCAAGTACTTGATCATAAAGTAGTTTGATTTCTCGAACATCGGAGAGTACTGCCCTAGTTGAGCTGTACAAGTTTTTCTACATATGTCTGTTTGTGAATGTCGTCAAAGTGACTCATCTTCTCCAACAGAGTCACTGTCATTTCTGCTCAGTGGGCTAACTCTTAAATGTTACTTCCTGTTACTTTTATGGCTCTCAAATACGCCTTGAATGTAATGATTGACTAAAATGCATATGTCAACATCGCTTCTGCAGTGAGTGACTTCCATCCTGTGAAGTGAGTGACGGCACAGTAAACATGGGACTCAGTAAGAGGCTAATAAACGGTAAAAGTCTGCGGCGAGCTTTCCTGTCTGAAATGACAGTCGGTGCGTGAGGATGTGAGAGCAGCCCGGGGAGCTGCTGAACCCCGACCATCAACCCTCGTCTCTCTTCTTCAACCTTTCTGTCCATTTTTCGGCCTTGCAGAGCAAATCATTGTAGAGCGAGACAAAAGAGGACAATGGTAATGACATGTTGTGCTCAGAGTGCAGGAGACACAGGTGGACAAGAGCTGGCAGGTGCTTTTGAAGGCTCAAATCACTGCGCTGAACAGCGGCGATAAGATTTAGAAAAAAAGAGGAATAGCAGACTGGAAAAGACATTTTTACAACATGTGCTCCCACTTGGTATTTTCACTTTTCTCTAAGGTTGTCAGGATTTATTTACTGAATTTTTTAAAATGCAATTTGGCTTAACAAGACAAAAAAAAAAAGTACGACCTTGATGTTTTCAAACCTCAAATGCAAAAACTCCATTTGCATCCACAAGCCACTGGATGACCTGTTCTTTCTTTGCAAGGGCACTGAGTGTGTGTTAATTTAGATCTGAAATAGTCTACAAAAGTACACTTTCTCCTCCTCTCTGATGACTCAGCTTGAAGAAATTAAGATCAGACATTTGTGAGCTGTTTGCAAAGATTTAGAGCCTCAGTGGGAGCAGATAAAAAAAGAAAGCATTTAGGGACAGAGTAATACTGCGTCAGTTTTGATCTTTTCATGGGATTTACTGTCAATCAGAGAAAACCTGAACCACATCAGTTTTATCTTTTAAGCCTGAAGTGAAGCTTAACATCATAGGTAACAGATTTATCTCCCATATTGTGGTCATGACGGCTTTTGTTTGCACTAAAGCGCGAAAACATTTTGTACCTCATTGGATCGAGTGTTGTGTAGCTTTTGTTATGTAAGGTGAAAGAGAATCGAGCCGGACTTCGGTTTGATGTTTTCTGTCGTCTCTAATCCAACACTTCTGACATCCCGACAAGAATTTGCAATTTCCTCCTTAGCTTATGCTGCATGATTTATAATTTTCTATATAAAACCTCCAACCGAAACCCCAGCTGAATTCTTTATAAAACCTTTTACATGGTATGCAGCCAGGTGACGTCGCGTATAGTATGTGGAAAATCAGGCACAGCCAAACTCTCCTTTTTTGTGTAAGATAAACACTGAGGTTTGGAGTGAGAGAGGTGGCAGCTGGAGTGTGAAGAGGCTGCAGCTTCTGTGTCTCGAGCAAGCCAAAGCTTCAATTTATGCACGCAGATTTACCCAGAGTGCTTTAGTTTTGATTCCTGTGAACCGATTGTTGATCCGATTCTTCACCTCTTGACCCTAAAAGGAATTCCTGAGAGTTTTCCTCAGTGAAAATCTAAACAAGTCTGCAAGAGAAGCAGCTCAAGCATCCTTTTTCTTCATGTGTGATGCCAGATGGACTCTGGGGATAAAATTAAGACAGTAAATATAGCCTTATGTGACACACATTAACAATGGTGTACTCAAGCAGGGGTGCAAAACATAAAAAGGACGCCTCCTGTATGTTGCACTGAAGATCTCCAGCAGTATTTGTAGCTCCTTTCAGTCTCTTCTGTGATCAGAATGTAGTTGTACAGCAGAACCAGCTCCAGCCTGTCAAAAAAAAAGGCGAGTTTGTAAAAATTTAGTTTTACTGTCCCTGGATAGCAGGCACTGTAAAGGTTACAGAACTGGAACACTTTGTGGAGCACTTGTAGCAACAGGAGGGACATCAGGAGGTCTCTTTTATGCTACAAATGTACCCAGAGGGCTCTTTTTTATCCTTCAACAACAGGAAAGGCAGCCAGAGGCCTCTTTCTTATACAGAAAGTGCATCCAGAGGGCTTTTTAAAATGCTGCTTTACCTGGAAGGGCATCCAGACAGCTATTTTTTTGCTGCATTGATAGGAAGAGCATCCAAGTGGCTCGTTTTTTCCATACCAACAAGGCAGACATCCAAGAAGGGACTTTTCTATACTGAAAAGGGCATCCAGAGGGCTTTTTAAAATGCTGCTTCAGCTGGAAGGGCATCAAGACAGCTCTTTATTGACAAAGGGGGGCATCCAAGGGGGGAGTTTTTAATGTTTTCTATACTGAAACGAGCATCCAGAGGGCAGTTTCCCATGTATTATCCTATAGAAGAGCAGAAAAGGCTGACTATAAGCATTTTATGTTTGATTCAGGTCAGGAGCATCTGAGAAGACACTTTCGTGGCGTTTATTCAGACTTTCGGGCATCAGGAAGGGTCAAAGGTACCATGAAGATACCATGCTCATATCCTCATATGCTCATATCCTCATATGACAGCAAATGAAGTAAAAAAAAAAAAACTGCCCCTGTTTTTAAAGTTATATTTAATCTCAAATTGTGCATAATTAGGTTATTTTATTCCAGTAACAGATGGATGCTTCTAGCTGTTTGCTAAGAGTCATCTCAGCTAACTCATCTACTGAAGTTTAATGCTCGGATATTAACCCTCATCCAAATAATGTCACTCCAGTCTCTGAAAATCAAGCTGGTACAGTCAAAATGCAGATAAAGTTAATTAAGTTAATAAAGCAAAATAGAAATATGAGATAACATAAGTGATAAACACAGACAGGAAAATAATGAGATGAGTACCATTTGCTGACGATCTATATTTGGACACAACATGACTGTATTTTAACAGCATTCATGTTTTGAGAGACCTGTGACTGCGGGCACCAAAACATGTACTTTTGAAAAACTCAACAGTAGCACATATTTACTTCCAAACAACCATGCGCCATGCTGTGAGGACTGAACTTGGGCCACAATAACAGTTTTAATGATAACACTCCCCTTTAGAGGAACCACAGGACACTGTCTGTGCTGAGTTCATCTTTTTTTTATCGTCATTTTTAGTTTCTTTGACCCTCAGAAATCAAACAGTGACCTTCACAGACCCGCAGATAATGTTTACTTAATTAAAAGATGATGCATTTTTTAAATATATATACAGAAATAATGAAATAACTGTCCAGTTTTAGGCCTTGAAGTGTCTTAAAGATAAAGATATAAGGCCTGCTGTGTGAATCTTTATTTTCATAATGAACTTGTTCCCTCGAACCCTAAATTCTACTTAGAAGTGCAACTATGTCCCAGCTGAGGCTTCAAGAAACAGCAAGTTTTCATATCTATTGTAAAGGAATAAAAATCTGCAAGAACTCTTAACTTTTTGGACAGTTTTCTGCAGTTCCCGGTCTTTTATTTAACGCTATCTATGCTCCAAAAGTAGATATGAACTACAGGTCCTCCGTCCAAAACATGTGACTAGTTTAGCTCAGTTGTTGCATATTTTGTCAGCGCTGAGGTCACTTTACTCACAGACTCTCTGAGCAGAGTCCACACATCTCTCATTAGCCATAAAGTCCGTTCTCATTACACTCCATTGTATCACTTCAGCTAAAACGGCGAAGCCAAATCTCTCCATCGCTCCTTCCTGTACGTCAGCTGTGACCTTTGACCCTGAATGACTACATCTCTGCTTGGTTTCCTTGGCTACAGAGAGGGGAAAAATAATGGCCTCCCTGATTCTGTGTCTGGCTCTCTTCCCCAAACACACACACCCGTCTTTTTTTTTCTCTTTCTCAGTTTCGGAGGGTCTCAGCTGTGTTTATGACTCAACGCTGAACCCAAACAGCTGATGACTACGGCGGCTGAGACTCGTAATGGTCGACTTCAGAGATGTAATAACGGATGTTCAGGGTTTTATCTCCTCAATCCTTATGAAAAATCTTCTTATAGCAGTTTAGAAATTAAAGAAAAACATGATGGGACTGTTCTAACCTTAGCTGCTTTGTGAATTTGAATGGCATGTCTGTGGTTCAGTCCCATTTCACACCTCTTTGTTATTGAGTGTCTTTGGCCCTGAAAGTGAACTGCACAAACATTTCATGGCGTAAATAATAGGGCCCGACCGAATTATCGGTGAGCCGATTAAATGGGCCAATTCTAGCCCATTTGAGACTAATCGGTAATCGGCCAAAACTCGCCAATATTCGCCGATATTTTCAGAAATAAACAGCGGAGAATAAGATTCGGTTTCACTTCGAAAATATTCCGCCTTTTGAAAAGTCCCCCGACTTATCCTGTAGATGGCGCAGCGACCTCATGACAATCTTCATCCACTAACTACCTCACAGCACAGCAGAGTGACAGATTTGAAGCAGGCAGCTCAGGGACGCACGGAGGAGAGTGGTCCACCTCAACGGTAAATAAACCAGTTTGTGAAGTACACAATAAGTCAACAAGTTTCAGTTCAACCAACTCCATGATCTTCCCCGCTGTGCTGGTCTTGGTCACACCAAGTAAACAGTGAAGCACTGTGTAATAAGCAAGCTAAAGTTAGAGTTAGCCACCTGCTATTAGCCTTGCTACACTGTTAGCCGTGCCAGTAACGGTTGAATAAACAACGGTACACATTACGTGATCGAGCTACTTCTCTTACTGAGGCAGCTGCATGTCTCCAGATGAGACTGGACCGGATATGAGTAACATGAGTTAAGACACAAGTAACGTGATATTTTTTATAACTTAATAAAAAATTCAAAAATCGGCCGATTAATCGTTAATCGTATTCCCCCCCCCCCTAATAATCGGTTTTGGTATTGGCCCCCAAAAATCCACATCGGTCAGGCCCTTGTAAATAACATTTTGATTAAAGCAACAACTGTTCCATCATCACTATCCTACATAAAAAAATAAAAAAATTCACAAACTGTAAAATTACTCCAATAAAAAGTTGTAAAACATATATATCTTTGCATGGCCCAACCAATGGATCGAAATGTGTTAATTGCAGCTTTCTCTCGCAGATTTACTGTCAGATCCAGATTTAAACCTGATGATTGTGACACTAGAAGCAAACTCTGATGATCCCCGAGCCCAAAGAGCAGCTGAGGCTCCTGTTCTCACTGAATGATATTTTCTCCGTCATTAATCACTCCGTTTCTGCGGCTGTGACATTTCTGCAGTGATGGACAGAAGCTGATAAAGCGGCGTGTTTGTTAATGAGCAGTCAGGGAGACGGTCGGTAACCCGGCTGGTAAACAGTCAGTCAGAGAGGACGTTTAAAAACAACATTTAGAGAAGCAGAGATCCACATGAGGATAGTCAGACTCTCGGGACACACACACATGCACACACACACATATATGAATCCACATCCAGCTTCAGGCCTGTGTTCAGATTCAAACAAGGGCTAATTAAAATAATTACCTCTTTTCTAGCATGAACAGATCTCCTCTTTTACCCTTTGTTTTTTTTCTCCTCACTGCTGCAGGAGACACACAGACATCATTAGGACTCTATTCACTCCAGAAACACTCTTTTTTTCCTCTCTGAGTTAACAACTCTGTCTTTGAGCTTTTCTTTTCCTCACTCACTTGTAATCACCAACATTTCATCCTTCCTCATTGCATCCTTTTGTCGTACACGTTGTCTCATTTTCTTCAAGGTAAAATAACTGAATGTGTGAACTCTTAATTGTGTTGACTTTGTCTCTGGGCACAAAAGCTTCTTCCAGTGAAAGCGCTGTTATGTAACCTCGCCGAAAACCCAAGTATTTGAAATCATGGATTCCACACTCACATTTACAGCAGAAATAACTTGTTCTGGAGAATGCAACTTTGTTGGAAATAGGGGTGGGAATCACCAGTGGCCCCACGATAAGAAATTATCACGATACTTGGGCCACAATACGATATTATTGCAATTTTTAGTATGAGAATTGAGATACAATATACTGTGATTTATAAAAAATTTTTCAACTGTTTAGCTAATTTAGCACTTGCCTTCCTTCATGATCATAAATGTTCTTCCTTGAGCTGCGTCACCCCGCTGTAGTCTGTAATGGACTGGCCTGAGTTCTCGCTACAAGCAAGTGGCTGCTGGAAGAGAGTTGGTGAGTTGTGTTTAGTCTCTTTGATAAAGAAATCAGGCAAAGTTAAAAAGATGTTTGGTGGCTAGTGCTATGGCTAGGACCCTATTTGTACTGTTGATGAAGTTAGGTGCTGTTCTGAGCATTATTTGTGGCTATAGAGTGGCGTTTTGGTTGAGGTTTGTCTATGGTTCCTCAGACCGCTGTGTATTGCTATCATGCGGTCGTTACTAAGGTTGGTACAACTAGAGAAGCAAACGGTCGGCAACATTCATCTCTTGACGGGGTGTCTAACTGTGTTTGACTAGCTTAATTTTACACCAACCTCACTGGACAAACAGTTGATTTTATTTTCCCATTATCATAAATTTGACTTTTCATTAGTGATTAATTTGAAAAATTGATGCTTGGTAAATGAGACGATATGATCACCTGATAAAATAATTGGATTCTGTGCTGTATCGATTTTTTCTCCCACCCCAAGTTTAAAGGCTTTAAGATTTAAAGGTTAGACTATCATTAAGATAAAATGATTGTAAAATCCACATATTACATATATTTTGATCCTCAATAAGCACTTTATCTGTTTATGTGTAAATTAAATGTCAAGAATTTAACATTAAAAATTCATTTTTTTTCTATAATGTAAGTTAAAAGCACTCTACAGTATCTGAGCACTCGTATATTACTGTTGCACACTGTAAACCTTCTGTATCTATTCTTGCCTCATGCCTCTCCATCACTGCGCAGTTATTGATGGCTGTCTGAGACGGCACCTCGAGCAACAATGCTGAAGATGATTGATCCCCCTTGTTTATCATATACAGTACACAACACATTAATGCTTGAGTGATTGATAAATGACTAGATTCATCAATCAGGGAAAAAACAGTTAACATCAGATGGTTCAAAGTGGAAATATTACTCTGTCAGTGGGAATGGAAAAGACCTCTCTTCGCTCTGTCATTAGTTTCTATATGAGTGAATGGTCTGTCTGTGTTGATCTGTCTGTGTGACGGCGAGCTAAACAAAGCAGCAGCCCGTGGCTCTTATATCCTATTAGCCTTCTTCCTCTCACACTTTGACCTGAGGAGCAGGGATGATAATCTGCAGCAGCTAACTCTGACAGGATTACAGGAACACTGGGTCCATCCATTTACATTGTCCACCAGATTATTCCTATTCATGGGTATGCATATGACAGGAGGTGAAAGGTTAGACGTCTGCAAGGTGGGCAGCACGTAGGCAGTGCATGACCATCTAATAGTAATAATAATAATAATAAAATATCTAATCTATTAGAAATTGTAAGGAGTTTTTAATCCATACAATCTGCGCAAATAATCCTATATATCTAAATTGAGTGAGGTGGTCTTGACACGGTGCAAACAAGGAAGCTTTTACCCACTTGAGTGTCTTAAAACAGATCATTTTGAGATCATATCTTCATTATTTTTTTTCTTTGTTAACAATTAACTCTTAATTTTAAGAAAATGTTAAAAATAAGGCTGTTACTACAAACTCGTATTGACCACAACCACCCCCCCCCAAAAAAAAAAAATAAAAAAAAAAAATAAAAAGATAAAATAAAAGGTAATTTATCCTCTGTGTTTCTGCTGACAACCAGGACTTTTAAAAAATGCCTTTGGATACTGGGAAGGGGGCTGGTGGGGGGACTTGTCCACTCACTCCATCAACCTCAGCAGTTTTACATTCTGGGAGTGAAATGGATGTGGGACGTTTCCCAGTGATAGACGATGCCCCCCGGAGGGTTTTGAAGTTATGGCTGTCACATTTTCCGTCTGGCACCAGATTAGGCTGAACAGTTTACCTGTGTAAAGACTGAATTTACGAAGCAGTTATATAATGATAGGTGATGGAGAAAGGGCGAGCGTGTAAACTCTGCAGTATTGTGGCACAGCAGCACTGATGACACTTAAAGGAATATTCCGGCGCAAAATTAATTTAGGGTCAAACAAAAAAAAAAAAAAACTAAATCCACTTCCATGAGAATCAGTTTCTGGAAAACTGACAATTGCACAGCCTGACTCTTGGTGGGAAATTGTTGCCTGGTTGACCCGATTCACGCAACTACTGGAGCTGAATTGCCATGTCCGCAGTAAAGCTGTGGAGTTTGAAGGTGCTGCTAAGTAAAAAAAACAAGTAAAGTTCCAGAGAAACTAGTCACCAAATAACCCATACTAAAGAGTGGTCTCAGGGTCAAGTTACTCTTTAAAATTATTTGCAGGCCGAGCTCACAGTGGGAAATATGAGCAGATAAACACAAACCAGAACGAGGACATTTTTCAGACGCAGACTCGGCAGACGTCCTTCGTAGCTCTCCCAGAAACATGCATGTGTTTGCTGACGTGTATTTTATTCTCTGGGTCAAGGCTCTGCTGCTCACGCTGACACACATCATCACTCCTCGCCGCCGCCGCCGTGATGTCAGCTTATCCAGAATGCACTAAGTGTGGGTGTTTTAACAAGCACCTTTAGACACGCACACAAGCACTTAACTGTGTTCTTTTGTCTGCCTTACCTATCACTGATCCACCTACACGCTATTCTCTCTTTGGGTTACAGGCAGATGGGCTTCCCCTCCTTCTCTCTCTCTCTCTCTCTCTCTCTCTCTTGCTCTGTATCTGTCTGCCTCTCTCGCCCCGTCTGTTCCTTCATTATGCCTTTGCACCGTAAACATTTCAGTCACACTTAGTTGAAGCGCTGGTTGATTTATTTAGCGCTGCTCCATGTCTGCCTGCGCACAAAGCTGTCCTCTCCATCTCTGCCTCCGCCTGTCACTCCCGCTCACATGTACACACTAACACATAAACACACGACAAACACACACTCGACTGTCTCCTCTTTTCCATCTTCGCCTCATCGCTGCTCCTGTCCTGCTGCCATTGTGTCCCACCTCTCTCTCTCACAGCCTCAGAGCTTATCTTATCCGAAGGCTGTGCTTGAATACAGCCTCCCCCTGCTCTCCTCTGCTCGCCATCAAGTCAGAGTGACGAATGGTTCGCTCCCTATGACATATTTGATTTTTAGAGATGCGGGATTCTCTTTTCATTTATTTCTACCTTTAACAGATACAGATGCCACACCTGAACAATGTCTGAACAATGTGTGGATGACAAACGACCAAATTTGGCGCAGTGCGAGCGCGATGCCCTTAAGCGTGAAGGTGGAACCGTCACATACGAGCCGGCTAATTGCTGCTAATTGGTGACATGATGTCGCTAACAGTCGTTTTTAAATCTACGAGCTGTGACCTTACTTCTGTATGTCATTAGCGTTTGAATTTATCCCAATTAGCGTCACGTGTGCTCAATCAGTCAAAGAAGCAACGTGCGAAAGGAACCTTGAACAAAACGCTCAAGAGCAGGAAGTACAAACTTCAAGTACAAACATACTTCACAGCTCTAAAAACCTTCATTGTTTTTTTTTATATTTAACAGGCTCTGATGTTTAAAGCAACACTAACAGAGTAAACACGGTTTTATTTTATGAATTGCATCGTGTAAGATCAATCTGGCTGTGTGCATCATGAACTGTAGCTCTGAACGTAGGCAGTGAGACCTCTGTTGGCGTACGCTCAGTGGGAAGTTTACCTCGACTTGCAGTTTTAATATTTAACACAAAATGCATTTTTAATGAAGTTTCGGGAGAGGACATGGCGAAGAGCAACCTTCACTTCCAAGGGAGGTCCAACTTCCAACTGCACTTACGCCCGTGGAGGTTTTAACTGCGCCCATGTTCACGGAGGCTTGTTGTGTCTTTAGTCTGCTCGATAAATTAAGCCGATTAATGGCATTTTGGCACAATCAGCATCACATCGGCATCGGCCCTCACAAGAGACATTTCACTGTTATCTTTCCAACTCAATTTTCTATGTCCCTAATGACACTATTTCTATGCATCACCATGTTGTCTCTATAACTTTTGTTACGTCATCAATAAAACCTCTTTTATGCAAGGCTCCCCAAAGAATAGAATTAAAATTAAAGCGTTTTGAAACAGATGTTGTGATTTCTGAGCGGCTTCATAAAGATAAAACAGATAAAACAGATTTAAAAAGGAGGCAAAGACCTTAGCGAGGGGTTAAACCTACAGTACTTTGACATTTCAATTATTCTTACACACTTTACTGCAAAGAGTAATCACTTATAATGAATGAAGCTCAAATGTGATCTTCATAAGCAGCACAGCAGCACTCTCTCTCCCTCTTTCTCTATCTCTCTCTCTGTCCTCTCATTAGTGCACATTGGCAGGTGAGCGACTGACCGTGGTTATGTGAAAACTCTGAGTCTGTCATCAAACTCTGTCCCAACACCTCTATGAGTGCAGCAGGGCTAAAACACTGTAGAAACAAACAAAACAAATGAAATTGATGTCAATCTGATCTCTTAAAAATGTAAAAAATTAATGCACCATGTATGAAAAATCAATCCTTAATGAGCCGTGGAAACGCAGACAGCGGTAGTACACACTGTAGACACACTGGGCTCCACAAATCCAATAAAAAGAGCATCTCTTGTCTTTAAAGGTCAAACTTTCATTCTTATTTTAAATCGCCTGTTCTGATTTAAGTACAGCTCAGTGGTTAAGCTAATTAAACGCTCTCCTTTTGTCCGTGTCTGTCAGCATGAGTGAGAGATGAGCTCAAGTTTCCCACTGTCCCTCAGCTACTGTTATATGATAATTGGGGAGGTAAATGAAGCCACCCACTGTACCAACATAGGCAGGTTTCTAAGCCTGTACTTTTTAGATTTTGACAACATGGCATCATGAAAAGTTTGCAGAATGACTCATCAAATTATTGATACTGTAATACATAAAGTTATAAAAATGTTATTAAGTCCTTTATAACGTGGAGACTTGGACTTGTCCTCAGTCCTCAGTTGTAAAAAGGTAGATTCCCTTTCTGGGTCGGAGGGGAGGTCCTGTATCAAGTGGAGGAGTTCAAGTATCTTGGGATCTTGTTCATGAGTGAGGGTAGGATGGAGCAAGCAACAGGTGGCATCAGCAGTGATGCAGACGCTTAACCGATCTGTCGTGGTGAAGAAAGAGCTGAGCCGCAAGGCGAGACTCAATTTATCGGTCGATCTACATGCCTAACTGTTCAGCCTAACCTATGGTCATGAACTTTGGGTAATGACCAAAGGAACAAGATCGCGGATACAAGCGGCCGACATGGGTCTCCTTCGCAGGGTGGCTGGGCTCAGCCTTAGAGATAGGGTAAGGCGCTAGAACTGCTGTTCCTCCACCTCGAGAGGAGTCAGCTGAGGTGGCTCGGGCATCTGGTTAGGATGCCTTCTGGACGCCTCCTGTTAGAGGTGTTCCAGACATGTCCCACCGGGAGGAGACCTTGTGGCCGGCCCAGGACCAGGTGGAGGGATTATATCTCTCGCCTGGCCTGGGAGCGCTTGGGAATCCCCCCGGAGGAGCTGGTGAAAGTGGCCAGGGTGAGGGCCGTCTGGGCTTCCCTCCTGAAGCTGCTGCCCCCACGACCTGGACCCAGATAAGCGGAAGCAAACAACAACTTGGGCTTGTAGTTAACTGGGACTCAGAACAATCTCTCTCACTTGTTAGTTTGTTAGTCGTGGTTTCTCTCATTCCGTCCCTTGGCTTTTCAGACACACTCCTGCCACCTCCTGCTCCTCTCCCTGCTCTCTTCTCTCCACCTGTGGCTGCCTGATAGTTTTCACCACTGTTGCACAAGTGGGAACCACAACTTCTTGGTGCTCCCAAATTTTGTCATATGTCTGTCTATTTTTTCCCTGCTAGTCCATTCATATCAGCTGTTTCTGACACAAACTTCCTCCTCATCGCTCAGGTCTTTTACTTTTCCACCTCTGCCTGATCTTTCTTTCTTCATTCAGCCTCCTCAATATCTCTGTCATCATATTTCCTTCTCTTTTGCTCGAGGGTTTCTTGTCTAGACGTCTTATTAAAGTAAATAACAAGGACCGACCAGCAGTGACGGAGTAATATAGATAGCTTCAGGGTCTTTTCCTTTATGAGCTCCCTGTTTGTGTGTCCGTGCCTGGAAATGTGTGAATTCATGAATCTGCGCGTGTCATTTACATTTTCTAATTTGTTTTAAGCGATTACCTTCACATTGAGAGCAGTCGGGTCTTATCTCGCCGCCGTATTAGAGAGCGAGTCGAGTCCTGAGCAGGTCAGTGAGGCGTGAAACTGGGCTGAATGCAAATACTCTTATTGTACACCTGAGAGCAGCAGGCAGCAGAGAGAGGGAGCATGTTTGTGTGTGATTTCACCCGGTGTAATTGAAATTCGGGACGGTGTGACCCACAATGCCATCCTATTGGACCATTAGGTGTGCAGCAGAGCGCTTCAGCTTCATGTTCCTTCCACTGACTGCGGTTTAACTCTGCCAACCAATAGCACCTCCACCTTTCAATAAACAAGAAAAGCAGATCCTGCCATCAATATGTTTTCCCATTTCCTCTCCTCTCTCTCTAAATTGGCTCAACTTTGCCCGCCAAGCTGAAGAAATGTCCCTCACGGGGGATTCAAGGGCAGCTTTCTGAACCTCACTGTGACAGGGTGAAGTCAGAGTCCATACAGAGGAAAAAATAGCCTGACAGCAGCGGTGAGGTACTTATTTTTACTATTGATCCATTACCTACCTACAAAACCAAGCTTATACTCAACCCTGTGTATCCCTCAGTATTTTAATCTGTTGGCCGCTCTTACTGAAACACTTGTAACTCCTTCATACAGTCTGTTTGATATATCATGTAGATTATCAGGGTACACCCCTGAACACGTCTATTCATAGCGCCCCTCTGTGATAACATAGGGTGCCAACTGTTTCACATTATGTTTGGTCATAGTTGTAATAATGATGCCAACCCCTACTTACTGACTTTGTTCATAATCATAATGCCATTTACAGAAGACAGGTGGTGTGAACTTCCATATAAGTTTTTAAAAGGCCTTAGTTTTCATTCATGTACCATTATGAAGAGCTCTACTGATGGTAATTTTGTCCAGTTGTAGCCCCTGTACTGGGAAAGACCAGGCTATGCTGTTTGCTGCCTGGAGCTGTAATTTTGAATTTTGTTGTTTAAAGGGATATTCCGGCGTAAAATCAATTTAGGGTCAAACACATCTTAACACTGAGTTAGACACCCCCTCGAGAGATGAATGTTGCCGACCACTTGCTTCTCTGGTTTTACCGACTTAAGTAACAACCACACAATAGCAATACACACCGGTCTGAGGAGCCACAAACAAACCTCAACCAAAAAGCCATTCTATAGCTACAAATAATGCTCAGAACAGCAGCTAACTTCATCAACAGTACATATAGGGTCCCAGCCATAGTACTAGCCACCAAACATCTTTTTAACTTTGCCTAATTTCTTTAGCAAAGAGACTAAACACAACTCTCCCAATCTCTTCCAGCAGCTGCTTGTTTGTATCGAGACCTCAGGCTAGTCCATTACGGGGTGACACAGCTCAAGGAAGAACATTTATGATCATTTCTTCATGAAAATGCAATCAGACCGAGATGCTAAGGCAGAAGAACTACTGCGTCTGCAGTGCAAAATGGCGAATATGGTGATTATTACTTCAAGGAAATTGTAAAGAAATGTGTATTGCTATCGTGCGGTCATTACTAACGTTGGTATAACTAGAGAAGCAAGCAGTCGGCAACATTCTTCTCTCCACGGGGTGTCTAACCCAGTGTTACGATGTGTTTGACCCTAAATTAATTTTACTGACTGAGACCAGGTGTCACAAAATTGCGGTGCGAGTGTCCTCTTCCTCCCCCTTCTCCTACCCAGAATGCTTTTGCAGCAGAGAGTTTGCTGGCTCCTTTAAGCAACTGCTGGGAAATATTCAGTAGAACATCTCTCCCAGCATTTATACTGTTGTATACTAGTTGCAGCAGTGAACAGGGCGTCCTATTCACCAGATTCAGTGGTATTAACCTTGAGCACACAGTAAATCATATTGCAGATGCATATTAATGTCTTGCACATATAAAACTACTATTTTTTGCATCTAAAGTATAAACTTGTGAGTGCGAAAGATAGAATTTGTGACTTTTTGGAATTTTTAAGGTCTCTGTACTTGCTAAAAGTTTTAGTGAGACCTAATTTGAGCACATTTTGTCAATTGTTCACAGCTTTTATCACATCAGATGTCACCTTTTTTACAGGATTTAATTATTCTATCCATTTTTTTAAGCACGAGTTTTGAAGCAATTATTATTTAGCATGCTAAGCTGATGCCAAAGCTTTCCAATTATTTTGCTTATGTATTATTTTTACACAACTTTATCACAGTATTACTCAGGGGTGACAACTGATTTGATAAGTGAATTAATTTGAAGTTAAATTATTCTTGACAGTCTCAACAACACCCTCTTGGTAAATGGACTCAGGAAGGACTTAGTTTTGAACCTGTGTTGATAACTGTGTGTATGATATACCACTTTCCTTTCTTTATGGCTGGACTGACATTGTTTAAGGTTATCTATAAACCCTCTCACTGTATTGAATGACATTTCTGTCCCCTATGGCATCATTGTGCTCAGGCTGTCCCCGCGGTGACGAACCGTTCAGAGTAAAGATTTTTCAATACATTTGCCTTCTGGGGAGTCAAGAGCATCTCACCTCCGTCTAGAAGAGCGTGTCACCACAGTGGTACTTATTTCCATGGTTACCGTGATCCAGGATGGCCTATGAAAGCGTGCCTCCTGCAGACATCGTTGTGTGCTCTCATTACCGCCCTGCGTGCGTCCTATCCAGCTGTGAGAGAGGCAGAGAGGGACGCAGGGGGGAGCGAGACGACAATGTAGAGCTTGCGACAGAAAGATGCATGTATTAAGAGTAAAAATACCGAGGAGAAACTGGAACAGGAGGGGATGAAGGCGGTGGGAGGGATAGAGAGTAGCTGAGGATGTGCGAGGCCTCCCAAGAGAGAGACTTAATGACAACGGAGGCTCGGTGATGAAACCACAGCAGAGACACGGTTTGTGCTGAGTGGAGAAGAAAATGTTCAAAAGACACTGAGAAGAACAAACCAAGTCTTAAGAAACGCTTTGAGTGTTAATTGTTCAGTTCAGGGAGTTTTGCTTGTAATCTTCACAGCAAAACCAAACTTAAAAGTTTAGAGTACAGGAAAAGAGTTTGTATTGAGAGCAAAAGCAGGCTGAATGTGATGACACCCCAGCTCCGATCTGCAGATGCATCAATGAGAGTTTTTGATGGTTTGATTATAGGCTAACAACTATTGTGCATTTATGAATGTCACGTAAGATCATTTGAACATGCTTTAATAATATAAATCCTAGTCCACACATAGACAGACTACATTTTCTCTGCTCTTACACTCAGTTTGATGAGGACTTGTTATAGTAGCTTAAATGTTATTTGTTTCATATTGCAGTGGGTTTAAAAACATGCCATAATCCTCCAATCCCTCCTGTTAATAAGTGCTTTTCACTCTGTGCTAAGAGCCAAAGAATAACACAACCATAAGCTGCATTTTCTATGAGTCATGTTAAAGTCTGCAGAGATTATTGAATCATAAAAACACTCAATGGTGAGTCGCCTTGGCTGTATTAATTTGACATCTCAATTGGCATTTATCTGGTAGTTTTTGGTGAATTAGCCACAAGACGTCACATTGAATTGGCAGTTGTAGTGGTGAAGCCCTCGGAGATGCCTTCTGAGATTTTCAAGGGAAAGTAATGAGCACAAAGAAATGAGGAAGCATCTTGAAACAGTTAAAGTATAAAATACAGTTTCTCTCCTCTGGGACTGAGTTATTTACAGAGCAAAGTTTGTATCCTGTGGCGTACAAAGAAAGAAGCTGGAGGGAGGGATAATGAAAGAACATGCCTCCATTTCAGAGGTCTGCTGGAGGTTGTTACTGTGGGAATTCGGGGAATAATGTCCATTGCAATCATTTCAGTGATTTTTTTTTTTTTAAGTGGCTTTCAGAACAGGATTATTATTCTTGGACATTAAATCTCTTTCACTGGATGTTCCTCTTTCTGCTCTGCAATCAGTCCCCTGCTGGGATTTGGGGATGGAGGTCAAACTTATCTGATTAAACCACTTGTTAAACCCTCTTACAGATTTTCTACTCGGCTTTCTTACCCTGACCGCACAAATATACGGCTACGATTAAGTAATTGAAGGAAACAGCTGGAGAGGAAAAGGTGATGTGTTAATGATGCTTCTTTATGGCGGCGTTGTGAAACTTTTTATGAGGTCTGACTGATGTGTCTGTTATAAAATATACTGTGGATCCAGAAATGTTCAGGTATTACTTTTAGGATACAGAGAAGTCTTGGAAATCAACATCAAATTAAGTCGAATACTTTCTGCTTATTGATTTGACTAAAGTTAGTGTACTGGATTGATTTAAACTGTATCCATAGCAACAGTCCGTTCTTCACAGCATCAATCTGCTCTCAAGAAATAACAGACTGTCGCTATAAAAGGGTACTTTGTAACAGCCAATCAGAAGCAAGTGCTCAACACAACCAAGTAATTATGTCAATCAAGTTTTTTTTTTTTTTTTGGGCCATTTTTGCAAATCTTAAAACATTTTGCTTTTGTTTGTTTGTTTGATTTTGTCTGACTATGCAATATCTTAGTATTTCTTACATTTCCTTTTTTAACTTGATTTAAACATGATTAGACATTGATGTTCTGTAAATAGTAGAAGACCATAGTCACAGTTTGTTTTTGTCCTTTTCAGATTTTTCACACCAGATCCTCCGCAAAAGCAAACCTATTTTTTCTTTTAGCCTTTTTTCTCTCCCTCATTATACAATAAGTACAAATACACATGTTATATGAGGTCTAAAAACTTTTCAGCAGATGAAGTCTTATCTGACTTCTTCTTACTCTGCATGTGTGTGCATGAGCACTAAAGAGGTCTATATAGGATTTCCTGTGAGACTGGTCTGCCTTCGAGGACCTGGAACACGATGGTCTATATATAGCATTATCTGTGAGTATGTGTGTGAGAAGGAGCAGAGACAAGTGTCAGTACTTAAAAAAAAAGAAAGCCTGTGTTGCATATGGATGGAGGTGTTTCTATGAGACAGATTCCATGCTGCTAATGAGTTTGAGGCTGATAGGAGGTACTCGTTGTGACAAATAGCTCTTATAGAGGATGTCGTATATGTAGGACAGCATGAAAAGTATGCTGCTCCTCTAAGTGTGTCTGTGTGTGTGTGGATGTTTATGTTTTAATGGTGGCAGAAGTCCAGAAAGAGGGGGACTTGTTCATTATTTGTCCTAAGTTAAACTGGTCTTCCTCTGTTGATAAAGTCAGTGCTGTTGGGTATTTTTATCCGCTGTGTTTCTGCAGAAATTCATCAAGTCTTCTGCGGGTCAAGAGTGTCAAGTGTTCCAGGGAAAGCAGAGGCTCCTTGTTTGTATCATTTGTATTTATACCAAAGCAAGATTGTTCTTGATTTAGGATGATATTGGACAGTAAAATAAAGTAAAAAAGTGTCATGTCCCGGTGTGACCAGTCTGCTTGCTCATTGTTGCCTGGCATGACTTTGAAATGGGCCTCCACAAATTGCTCACAGTGTCTGTTTCCCACACGGACCACATTTTGTCAGCCAGGAAGAAATCATAGAGGACATTTATCAAACTTTCTCCATTAAAAACACACCCCAGAGGGCAACTAATCACAAGTTCAGAACTGGAAGTGCAACTTTTCGCCTTTTAGGGCAAGTTAATACATTTTCACCACTGTAATGCAGAAATAGACTACAGTTTCTCATGTTCTCATGTGTAGGGTGCAGTACAACAAAAGTTTTCTCTGCTGAAATAGACACCTAATCAGGAATGTATATGTTATCCAAGGATAATGCACTTATAAATGATAATTTTCTCTACTAGATGTGCAAAATAGAGGTCACTTGATCACGTTTTCTCCTAAAGCAGGGCATCTTCTAAATCTTGTTTTCTCCACTGGCCTGTCATGTCACTGTCAGGCACTTTAGAGGGAACTTAAAAAAAGTTTTCTTCACTAAGAAGTTAGTGCAAGAGGCATCTTTTCAAATTTAGGTCACACAAAGTCTAGGTAAGATCCATGGCGATACTGTAACATCCCTATAATGGGCACATTTCTCACAAGAAATATGATCTACACAAGTACGTAATCATGTTTTCACCACTAGCAGGGCAACTTCCTGGACATGGGAGGGAATCTTTTTTACATTTTCTCCACTGAAAGTGCAGAAATAGACTACAGTTTCTTATTTTTTCCTGTGTAGGGCGCAGTACAACATAGGTTTTCTTTGCTGAAATTGAACCTAATCAGGAACGTCTATGTTATCCAAGGGTAATGCACTTATAAATGATAATTTTCTCTACTAGATGTGCAAAATAGTGGTCACTTGATCATGTTTTCACCTAAAACATTTTAGGAGAAAATCTTGTTTTCTTCACTGACCTGTCTCGTCAGTGTTAGGCACTTCAGAGGGAACTTAATGAGGTTTTCTCCACTAGAAGTTAGTGCAAGAGGCATCTTTTCAAATTTATATCACACAAAGTCCAGATAAGATCCATGGCAATACTGTAACATCCCAATAGTGGGCACATTTCACACAAGAAGGATGATCTACACAAGTACGCAATCATGTTTTCACCACTAGCAGGGCAACCTCCTAGAAATTGTGGTAGAGGCACTGTCAAGTTTTCTCTTCTAAAGGGCTATCAATCACATTTTCTTCTCGATAGGCACTAAATCAACAGGTTTAGGGTACCTTTTGACCTTTCCTCCCTTAGAAAGGAGCATTTGGCATTTTGCCGGTATAGAGAGCCCTTTACCTTTTGATTTTAATGATATTTTATAACTTCACATTTTTTTACTGCTTTGAGGACAATCTTTTAGAGCCTTATGTAATGGATAAAATGGGTGAAGGTATTTTATTCAGTAAGTAGAGACAGTTTTCTGCCATAGCCACATAAATATGAGTAGATTTAGGCCTCAATTTCAAACCCGTTTGGCTTTCTCTGCAGAAAAATAATTCAAGGATGAGGACAGCTGACAGACTGATTTGGCAAATGTGTGTCAGATTAGCCTCTCAGCTCTCAGCCACGTCCCTGAGCTTTTTCAATGGGATGTTTCTGGCTCTGTCTTCCTCACAGTGAAGGAGAGAGTCCCAGAGGAGGCTGATGCAGCAGAGCTAACATGGAAAAGGCAGGATTTTGGATTTTTGTACAGTCAAAATGTATAAATGTTTGGATGTGAGTCATTCATCACCGGAGTTTACAGCTAATGATGTCTCATGTTCTTGAAAAACTTAGTGTGCGATGCTTAGATTAAATAAAAACAAAAAGACAAATGAATTAATAGTTATAAAGGAGTTAACTCATCGGTTTGGTCATGTTGCATGCTGACTAAAAGTTATTTTCTTTTACTCTCATGGATTGTTGTTGTAGCGTTCCCCAGTTGCTCTCCAAAACACACCCATAAACACACACATACATCCTGTGGGCTGACAGGGTCACACACAGTATGTTTATATTTGCATGTGTGTGTGTGTGAACTGTTTGGAGCACATTAATGAAAGAAAAAGTCAGTGTTCATCCGAGAAGTTCCTGCTGTGTGTTGTGCCCTCTGTTTGTGTGTTTGCATCTGCTTTACATGGAACTGACCTCCTGTCCCGCATTCATCAGAACAGTGTGTGTGTGTGAGTGTGTGTGTGCAGATGTGTGTAGATGTGTACAGTCTTTAGTTTGTTATATAAGAAGATTATGTTATATAACATTTTGGTTTTTGATTTTTATTTCAAAAGCAGATCAAATAAGCAATTTGTGTTTCATAATGGGTGTCATTCTATACATACAGTGTATCTGTGTGTGTGTTTGTGTGAGTTTTTGTGTGCGTTTGTGTTAACATACCATTAGCGCTGAAGCTAGAAAGCCTCAAGCATCCACCTACAACCCCAGGGTGTTTTTTTCCTGTTGTTTTTGTATCCCAGTTTGCACCCGGGCATGCACAAACGCACACACAAACACATGCACACACAAACACATGCACACATACAAAGAAGCACAGATACACACATGAACACACAGTCCTGCAGTTAGCACAGGCTGTGCAGGGTGAGGCACACACAGCTGGACGCTCAGTCTTTCTCTGCTCCCCTCACTCTCTCTCTCTCTCTCTCTCTCACACACACACACGCGCGTGCACACACACACAGCCTTAAATCCCTGTCAATCATCGTGCCTGCTGCTTCCTCTTTCAGTCAGATCTGCAGCTCTGTTGGAAACGGTCTGAACTGTTAACTCCACGTCCAAACACACACTCGGTTGATCCGGTTTCAACAAATTCAAGCGAACAAAAACAACATGCACAAGTCTGGTGCTGCGCAAAGAACACAAACACACTCAGACACTACTACCTGGCAGGTGTAAGAATCACTGTCTGTAAATAAACCCACTGACTTGCCCTGATGTCTTGGTCGTCTTCATGTAGTGACTCCACAGAGGCTGACAGTAGAGCTGCACTGTGAAAATCCGTCAGGTCAAAGTAAATCATCATTCGGTTGTCCTCAAAAGAGTCCTGTCATCCTGACCCTCCATAAATTGTCAAGCAGAGTCTTAAAGGGATATTCTAGGGTAAAATGGAGTTAGGGTCAAACACACCGTAACACCGAGTAAGACACCTTGTTCAGAGATGAATGCTGCCGACCGCTTGCTTCTCTAGTTATACCAACTTTAGTAATGACCACACGAGTCCATCGACTGCAGCGGGGTGACACAGCTCAAGGAAGAACATTTATTATCATTACTTTATCGTTTCCTTGAAGTAATAATCACCATATTAATCATTTTGCACTGCAGACGTGGTAGTTCTTTTGCCTCTGCGTCTCGGTCTGATTGTATTTCCACAAAGAAATGATAACTTGCCTGGAGGTCTTGCAACAAACAAGTAGCTGCTGGAAGAGAGTAGGTGAATTGTATTTAGTCTCTTTGCTAAAGAAATTAGGCAAAGTTAAAAAGGTGTTTGGTGGCTAGTACTATGGCTAGGACCCTATATGTACTGTTGATGAAGTTAGGTGCTGTTCTGAGTGTTATAGAGTGGTGTTTTGGTTGAGCATGAGGCTCTCTGTATTGCTATCTGTGGTCGTTACTAAAGTTGGTATAACTAGAGAAGCATGGGGTCGGCAACATCCATCTCTTGATGGGGTTGCTAACTCTGTGGTATGGTGTATTTGACCCTAAGTTAATTTTATGCTGGAATATCCCTTTAAAGTGTTGTTGTATTTGGATTTTTGAATCACTTTCATGCAGTTGAGCAGCAGCGTTTCATTTCTGCAGAGAAAACACAACCAGTGTTGACATCGGCGTCTTGTGACCTCAGTCTAGCCGGGATGTGTTTCAGTTTTTATGTCACACACTCCTGGACGTACTGCTCCACTAACCTCCATCCCTCTACCTCTCACTCCAGCCGCTCTGTTTCTCTTTCTTTCCCTGTCTCACTGGCTATCCTCTTCTCCAACCTTCCTGCTCTGAATCTTGTTCAAGAAATAATAAACGACATTTATCATGATCAGTTTCTCATTCCCTGTATCACCTCCGCCCATCTACTCTCTGCTGTCACTTCACCTCCTTTAAAAAACACGTCCCTTCGTCTCTCTCCCGCCCTCCGTCATTTTGACACTGATTCGGTTTGAGGATCCCTGCAGCTCCAGTCCAGAGAGGATTAACTGAAAAGATGATTAACTCAGATCTACTTGATTAGCGACGACTTCCTATAATGAAATCCAGTCGAGCACAAATCGCAGCGTCATGATTCAAGGTTGCACAGGGTGTCAAAAACCAAAAAACGTCCTGCACCAGAGGCGACCCATCTGAGCATGTTTAAATTGAAGACATCCATTTTTCAGTCATGTTGAGACATTTCTCTGATATTAAAATTCATATCCTTCAGCCAAGGGCTTTGCTTTTTATCAGATTAATTAAAATATCCATTGATAAAGGAGTTTGTGTTATGGTTTGTGTGGCCTCAGTTCAGTGTTTTCTTTTCATGCTGTTGAAAACTTCTCTTATAAAATCTCTGAATATGCATGAGCATCAGTCCAGAGTATTATTCACTTTATAGGCTTCTTTCAGGCGCCCAAACACGCGGAAATTCAGCTGATTAGAAATCTTTTGGGCCTTTTTTTCCCATAAATCCTTGAGATTTACTGCAGGGTCATCACCTCTTTGTGGATTGTTCTCCCTCTTTTCACTGAGCTCTGTTTTTCCTTTAATGAGACTAAAATCTGCAGTTCCAGCGATTATTAGCTGCCACCTGGCATTGATCTCACCTGCTCAAAGAGACCAAATAAACACAAAAACGCCGGTCTCTGGGTTCATTTCAATTACTGCAAACATGTTCAGTGTCAGTGGGCTTTTACAAAACGTCAACACTATAAACAACCTGTTTTAAAGCCAATGCAGAACTGAAACGGGTAGAAAACTGAAGGAAAACCTGCAAAGCTGATCAGCTTCAAGTAAAATATATCCTCACTTTGGTGTATTTGAAATGTAGGGCTGCCAATATAATTTTTTTTTTGTGTTTTGATGTGTCCTCTTACTGTTTACACACACAAAGCGCAAGTAAAATCATTCGCGCGACTGAATTACATGTTAAGTCAATGCAAAGATGCGATAAGACGCTCGTTGTTGTACTCTGGAGGCGTGAATGACGCGAATTGGACGGAAGCTGAAAATGTCTCAACTGAAGACAGTATTGACATCGCGATAACCAATCAGCATGAAGGTTGCCGGATGATGGACATTTGTTCACCGGTATCTAAAATGGAGGACAAACTGACAGTGTCGGTGTGTGGGTGCACTGAATTATATGATACCTTTTCCTTCAATTACCGAAACTGGAATAAAAAGGAGCTCGTCTGAAGGCAAATGAATGAGGAGGTCGGATTACCTGGTAAATTGTAAAAAACCTTTGTCTATCACTTGATCCCGCCAGTTGAGTTGGCAGGGATTACCGGTGATGTGCAGATGAAACAAGTAAATACTATTCATTCATGCGTCTAGATTCATGCGAATTACTCGCACTTGGTGTGAGCGCACCATACAGTGCCACAATCATCAACTCCCAGAAGTCCTGATTGTGTTATTCACAGCATGTGGAGACATAGATTATGTAGTATAGCTGGGTGATCTGTGGGCTCAGGTATTGTGAACAGGTTTCTGAGATTTGTGTGTTGGATAATGGACATGAATTTTGTTTTCTAATGGTAGCAGAAGTCTCTCAGGATTTAAGCTCAGATAGAGTTTTGGAGGCCGCATTTGTGTCACTTTCACCTGTCAGGACCTGTTGTGCTAATTTATCATTACATCATCTGTAAACAAAGTTGTGAGAACAAGATAATGCCACAAAAGTTTGACCCGACTTCATTGAAAAAAGACCAAAAAGGTGTAAAAAATTAACAATATGAAAACATTTGCTAAAAGACAGCATTGCACAGCTCTTTGTCTTTTTTAATGATCGAATTGTTCTCTGTTCTGGTCAACACTTTTTCTCGGCACAAACTGAAATGTAGCACTGAAAACGAGAAAAATTTAATGGTTTCTTGTTACATGGTCTCAAAGCTGGATTTTTGTTGCTGGGAAAGTTGATTTATGACCTTTAAAAAGAGCACAGCACAAAAACAAACTCTCAAAAAATCCATGTCCTGCATTCAAGTGTATTTCCCTCATATGTCCCTCTCCGGGGCGTATCAGGACACATCAGTCTATAAAGGCTGACAGATTTGTGGTGTCTGGGCGACCTCAGAAAGTGGAATAAGTGAAATGAATAAAATGCTTCTTGGTGGTTAGTTATACATGTACAGTGCATCTCTCCTGAGACAACTGAGAATAAACACAGTCTAAGAGCTTCGGCCTCAACTGCGACCTCACATACAAAATTTCTGAAGACATTTCAGCTCGTTTGTTGGGTTTGTTCCTCCAGTTTCAGAATTAAAAAAGGAGAAAAATAAACCTTCCTCTTCACTTCAGGGTTCTGGGTCCTTCTGCCCATTTCTGTGAAGATTTCCAAACTTGGACTCTTTAGAAATGTTCGCTGTCCTCCTGAGACCTCAGCGTCTCTCTTTTTGTTGTTCCTTGTGTTTATCAGCTCAGCTGCTCTCAGTCCTTCCTCTATCTCAAGGCCTTTTCTTTTTTCCCCTCTCTCTGTGATAGTAAGGGTCATCCTCCCTCTATCTCTCCTCTATTTTTCATTAAATCCCCTCCTGACTCTCATATCCTTTCTCCCTCTTGTTTTCATGTTTACTTCGAAGTTTTTAGGGTTGTAACTTCACATTTGAACAGAAATAGTGAGAAAAACAGCTTTAGATGCAGTATTTATACCAAAAACTTTGATTTTTTGGTCGTTTTCTGCGTTTTCCTCTCCCTTTGCATGTGTTTAGCTTTTAGCGCTCTGTTTATCGAGTGCAGCTGCTCTGATTACGTTTCTTACACCACCTGAAGCCTCAGACGTGATGAGATCCTGTCGCTTATGTTAGCTTTACCCCCTTCATTCCTCGTTCCTCCTCCTCCATCTGCCCTCCTCATCTCTCAGTCTTTATATCACACCCTCACAGACCTCGGTGTGTTTGATATAAAGCGATAACTTCACACAAACACCTTTTTAAAAAAACAACACATGCATGAAGCCTCACAAAGCTCCCCCGTCATCGTAAAGGCGTTTCACAGCAGATAGTGTCAGTGACTCTGCAGCTGTGCAGAGGGCAGCTGGCTCCATGTTTGACCTTGCCGTTTTGAGTCATGTGATCATAAATCCCTGACTTGTTTGTGCCGTGGCGAACACACACGCACTCGGCACACCTGGCACCGTGATAATCAGCGCTCTGAAATTGAAATGAGAGCCTGTTTTGATTTTGACATCAAAGTTTCAGACCCGGGGTTCGTTAGTTTGAGTCTCCGGTGTTTTTCTGCATCAGGTGTCTCACATTAGCATTTAGCATCAGAGATTTTTGTCACCTCAGCGCAGTTTTACTCCCACGCTGCTTTGATGTAGGGAAACAAAGTTCACCCACACTGATGTTTGAAAATGACACTTCAGAGGAAAATTTCGGTGATAAAACCTCTGAACTCAGCAAAGAAATCATCCTCCAGCGTCTACACCGGTGTCTTTGCTCATTTTAATATCAAGTCTTTGTGTTTTGTGATATTTAATGTCCCTAAAAACTGCAAAACACAAACAAAAAGCCATTTATAAGTTTACCCATCAATAGATACACGTAATGCTGATATAATTGTTTTGCTCATGGCTTGATACTCTTCATATCCCCCAAACAATTGTACTTTAAGCTCTAAGAAAATGTAAGGTAGGGCAATTCAACATTCTCAACCAGGTCAGATTTGAAAACCGGGACAAACGACAACAGCTGGTGAATGAATCAAAATTGAATTTCAATTATGATTGTTTTTTATCCAGGATCCTAAAAATATGATAATCAAGACTGAATGATGTTGTGCCACCAGCTGTGTTTCCTCATTTCATCCTTTATGTTGAATGAAGAGCCCTGGTACAAACTATCAGTTAGCCACAAGTGGAGAGAGGAGAGCAGGGAGAGGAGAGCAGGAGGTGGAAGGAGGAAGAGGTGGAGGAGGAGGAGGAGGCAGGTGCATCTGTTTTTGCATGTGTCTGAAAAGCCTAGAGAAGGAGTGAGCATTAGGGATGTCCCGATATGATATTGATATTGGATATCAGTCCGATATCAGCAAAAAAAAATGAATATCGGATTATACTGGCCTACATCAGATGCATTTTTTTTTTTTTGTAGGATGGTAGGGGAAGGTCCCGCCCTCCTTCCCCTCTGAATGGCTAGAAGTTCTTGGCTCCGATTGGTTATTCCTAATGGCTGTGAAATGTCACCCTCTGTCTGGTTCGGGTTAGGGTTAGGGTTAGGGTTAGGAGATTCAGGAGTGCAATAATGCTCTGTAATGTTCTGTTCGATGTACAGAGCTGACAGCCTGCGTTTGGCTTGAGTGTGTGATGACGTTTCCAGCTTTTCTAACTAATCAGAGGTGAAGGAGGCGGGACTTTCCTCTACGGTCCTACAAAAAAAAAATTGCCTCCTGGATCCAGCACACTGAGCCCTATAATCACAACAACAGTGTGTACTAAGGTACTAACAAAGTAGCAAGGAGTAGGAAGTCCAAAAAGACGTTGCAGCTGAGTGAAAAACTTGTCGTGCACAAGTTTCTGCCAATATCTGATCAATATCTGTATCGGCCAATATTGAAGGCTACATTATCAGTATTGCATCAGAAGTAAAATAAGTTGTATCGGGACACCCCTATGTAAAAAAAAAAGAGCTATAGAGATGATCATGCACAAGTGTAAATGAGGTAATAACTGTGAGGGTAAAAAGCGAGCGACATCAATCTGCATCATAATAAAACATAAACTCAGTGAAAGTCTGACATTTGATTTAGTGAGTATTATCATCAAAATGAGGTCAAAGCTCTTAAAATGAACCATGAGTTTATGCATGGTCTCTTTTATTACCACATGTGGTTTTTTAAGTCAATGATGCTCAGTTAGACAGACAAAACAGTTACTTTTTTTCTGACTTACTCATGCTGCTGATGATTCAGAGGGTCTAAGATAGTAGCAGTTATGGTTTTTGCCATAATAGAGCAGCAGTAGTGTTTTGTATCGCTTATCTGAAAAGAAGAGTCCAAACAGTTTATGTCTGATGTGTCTGCAGAGATGCTACCAAAACCCTGGATTTTCTCTGTGGTTTGTATTTTTGTGAAACTCTCCAATTATTGCAACTTTTTTCAAAGTTTGTTCAGTTTCTTTCAGGAGACAGTTTGTTTATCTCTAATAGAAAACCCAACATGCAGCTGCAGATCAAATTAAGATCAGTGATCGAATTAACCCCGTAAGTTTAGAGAGGAGCACGAGGACCAATATGAGGGTGATAGTAAACAGATCGAAAACAGGAAGGCTTTCAAGCGTGCACACTGCAGTAACTTTAGTAAAGAAGTGAAACTGAAAGTTGTCCTTTAAAAGAGGCCTCGCAGTGTGAGAAATGAAAGGTAACTCAGTCTGAAATCTTGATGTCTTTGTTGATGTTTGAACCCAGCAGCCTCTATGAGTCACCTCCATCACTCCAGCCAGAGATAAGATGAAGAAAACAAACATCTTCAGCTTGTTTAACGCACCGACTCTTACTCAACTGTGTGCAGTAAAAAAACTTTTTTTTGCACCAATTAGTCGAGATGTTAAGGTGCGGAAATCCTCTTCAGCTGAAACAGGAAATGGGTGTGACTGAACCGTACGGATGATACACACACACACACACCCACACACACGTACGTACGTGCGCAAAAACACACACATTCTTCCTCTCTCATCCTCCTCCTCCTCTCTTTGTGTTTATCTAGGATGCAAAAAATAGCGATTGATATTATTATGTTTCATTATCTCAGTGTGTCCTTCACCTTGTTTCCAAGCAGCAGCTGGAAAACAGACCTGTGGTTGTAACAGTGTGTATGCAACAGTGTGTGTGTGTTTTTGTGTGTGTGTACTTGCAGACCGGTCAGTGCTCTGACATTTCTCTTTTGGATTTTTAGAGATGGTTGCATAACGGCTGTCTCGACCAGAGCGAACTGCTGTCGGAACCTTCTGGAGGCATTTCTGCTGCTTGAGACAGATTGTCACAGACACACACACACACACACACACACACACACACACACACACACACACACACACACACACACACATTTTAAATCACATACTGTAACATCTCCCTCCACAGCTGATTTTGTGTGTAGGATGCAGCAGGATAAACCTCTGGCCTGAATCTCTCTGAGGCTGAATCATTTTCAAACACCAGCTGAATAAAAAAACAAAAAATTAGGAAAAGATGTGAAATGACGAGCTGATATTTTTTTGGCACTTTATAATATATTCCCCTCGCTTTAGTTGATTTGGATTTAGAGCTAAAGAAACTGTGGTTTAAGCTATCAAGCAGCCACAGGTGGTTTTGTAGAAATCTGTGCTTTTGGCTCGTGCTGTAAATATTTGCACACAGAGGACAACATAGGAATCACTCACACAGAAACTGAGATGGTTATGAATGAAGTGGAGGAGAGTGATTCACGCAGCATTCATGATTCCTCAGTGTTTGTGTATTTTACAGATTTAACATGAAAAATCAAACCGAATGATGTGAGGAAAAACTGTATCAACAGGGTGATAGTAAACAGTTTGATCCAAAACTGCACCCACTGTTTCTTTAATCCCTTTTTTTTCTCAGTTTGTACTTTCCCAGATCAGCTTCTTCCTCTCCGTTTCTCCTCTTCACCTTATTTTTCCTGAGGAGGAGGTGAATCACGCGCACACCTCTCCTCTCTGAAAGATTCATCATCCCATTTACCAAACATCTCCTTTCAGAGGCGTGCAGAGCCGTTCTCCTTTCCTCCTTTTTCATCTCCTCCCTCCTCATCTCTGTTTTCTCATCTTCTTCCCACAGCGAGAGCAGGAATAGAGCTCTCACATGTCGAACTTTCTTTTCCTTTTTTCCCCCTCTGTTTCAAGCTGATTGGATCTCTGTGTTTTAACCGAGCGCTCCTGCTTCTTCTCATTTTTCTGTCGCTTTCTTCCTCTCCATTCATTTATTTTCTCCCTATAAGGCTCAGTCAGGGTTTCCCCGGCAATTTCCTCCACCAGCTGCCTCCCCCTCTCCTCTCCTCCTCCCCGTCCTTCCCTCCTCCTCTCCTCTGCTTCCATCTTCTTCTTTCTTAATCTAACTCACTTTATCCGTCTTTCCTCCTTCCTCCTGATCTTGGTTCAACCTTAATCTCCCCTCCCTCTCTCCCTCTCTCTCCCTCTCTTTCTTTTCTCTCTCTTTTCTCTCTGTGCACATTTGTCGATATCAGCTGAGGCCCACCACAGAGGATTTAAGCTGTTACGTAACAAACGTCCTCTTGACTTGGAAGTGTGTCATTGTGTTGGATAAGGAGCCCCTTGTGGCCGCCGCCTAAAGACGCCTCTGGGCCTCCCTTGATAGCTCTAATGCTATGATGGAGGGATGAAGACAGGAGGAGGAGGAGGAAGAGGAGGGTGGACAGAGTAAACTTGGAGTGATGGGAAAGGGCAGAGGAAAGAAGAAGCAGAGCAGATGAGGTTTAGAGGGTCAGACGGACAGATAGATAGAAACGGAGGAGAGGGAGGAGTGAGACAGAATTCGTCTAGACATGGAGGAGAAGATCTGTCCTGTCCATCTGGGCGCGTTCAGTTTGTCCTCTGGTGTCAGAGCACTTGAATTTATGTGCAGTGAAATGCAGAAGGCAGTGAGCCTTGGAGAGAGATCTGTACGCTCAGACTGCTGGATCGTAGCTCAACGGCCCAAAACTCTGAAATATGAAACCCTAAAATACTCCATCACATCATTCCTCTTTGCTGTGTGCTGTCAGTGTGCTGTCAGCGTCAGGTGGCGCAGAAGAAAGGCTGCAAAAGTCTGTTTTTTGCAGTGTTTGGGCGATTGTTACTGAAAATAAGTGACTAGTTGCATGAACTAGTAAATGAATTACAAAGTGATAACATTACTAGTTAAGTTACTGCAGTATAAAAGTGTTGGATGCATTACTTCTTATTTTACTTATATTTTTGTTTTGCACATAACATTGTGAAAAATAGGGTTAAACAGCCCGGCTCAGAAATAGGGAGACAACGATCCAGTATTTTTATTTTTTAAACATAATATTTAGTTTTATTTTCATGTGGTCAAACATAAATCATATTATCACACACATGAATTCAGGACAAAGCAGAAAAAAGAGAAAGGAAATTTAAAAAAAAAGTAACTAAGTGCATACATAAATAAATAACACTCAAAGTGTACCGTAGTGTGGCAGGTTTGTCAGTCTAATCAACATCAAAATCTTATTTATACAATTTTTCTTATAGTATTTATAGTAAAAAAAAAAAAGTAACACTAGTTGATTTGGTGTCTGGTAGTGAAATAAATAAACATAGGAAGGAAAAAACAAGAGAGGAAAAAAAAGAAAAAGAAAAAAAAATCTATTGATATAGTATATGCACGTACGTACAAAAAAATTACAATTAAAATAAAAAAATAAATAAATGAAAATAAAATGTTTATGGCTATATAAATATGATGCATATCAAGAAAAAAGATTTGTATTATACTAATTAAAAGTAAAAACACAAATAAATTCATTGGCACAGCCCTGTCTACATAAATAATCATGTTCAGTGGAAATATACTTCCCACATTCAACAAAACCAATCAATTCTCTTCTCCCTCTAAAAAAAGAAGAGGTAAATAACTAAACATGGAACGACAGGGCATCATATATTCGGCCTCAGTTAACAAAGTTAAAGTCGTAATTCAATTAACCGATCCGATATTTGGATCAGATATCGGCTCCGGTATTTACAAATTAACTGGATCTGATATCTGATGAATGACCGATCCAGTCTTTTTTTTTCTTTTAATTAATGTCATACACAGCAACACAGCGATTATGTTTGCTCTATATTCCATGTCTGTCTATCCTGAGGCACTAAATGTTTACATGGAAGTCTTACTTCCTTTCGCCCTAATGTGCTGATGTACAATTTGTGATTTGTTAATAAATAATATGAAATACATTCATATCTGTGTTAATTTGTTACCTTTAATGTCAAGCCTGATGCCTTCACTCACAGAGAAAGGTATACAGTTCATTCATTCAACAGTAGTATTTGATTGGTATGGTATGCTTCTTCTTCTTGGATTCCTGTACACTGGGGAGGAAAGGTGATGACCTCCTTTAGTCTGAGACCCCACAAACACTGGTTTATTTGTCCACAGGGTCTGTTTGTGTCCAGAAGTTAAAAGGCTGACAGGCTTTCTTTGTGCAACCTGTTGCTGGGCTTGTCTGTCCCCGTGTCTGTGGATCTCATTTGTAGGAAAGCAAAAGGTTCGCTACTCCTCTGGCAGAGTCACAGATTACTGGTGAAACCTCTGGCCCTGATGCAAGGAGTCTAGAGACTGTAGAAAACATCAATGTGGTTTCAGTCACTTATTCGTTTCTGGGAAAGAGAAGAGTTTCAAAGCTCAAAGTTGGAAATCCAGACTCTAACTGACTGCTAGCTTGACTGGAAACATGCAAAACTGACGTCTGGAAATCAGCTACAGCGCACCCACCTGTTGGTCAAATCTCAAATATGCAAATTTATGCATAACCCTAAAATAAACCAGTGCAAAACATGAACCAATCCGTCTTAGTTTATAGCATGATCGGACCTCGCAGGCATTCCCATGCATGCACCTCTTTCCCACATGTCACTGTCATGTCTGAATAGGCACCTAATAAATCCTGACTGAAACTCTGTAAGTTTAGTATCACTTTCAACAAGTCTGAACCGAGACCAGACAGATTCAAATCTGCAGGAGCTTGAGGTAAAACCAGCAAAGAGAGAAAGGGAGAAGGATTAATATAATCAAAACCGGTACAGAAGACATCAGGTTAAAGGAAAGGTACACGATGAACGAGTATTTTGAATGATGCTTCATCTTTGTGTTTGCAGTCTGTTGTTCAGTTAAAGGAAACAGGGAACAGGATGTAGAGTTGACTTACAAACAAATAACCACTTGATGAAAATTGAACAGGAGATTGACCAAAAATGTTGAGTTAACTTCACTCTGAAAGGAAATTGTTATTAATCACGGTCTGGGCAGCAAAATAAGTTTGAAAATCCATCTGTGATGCAGCCCCGTGAGGGAACATGCCGTCTCTTTTCACTCCTCTCTTCATTCTCGCTGCATGTCGAAGTCTGGATATGTCTGAATGAAGCGATGACGCTCAGCAGACGCTGTCATTTTAACACTTTGAGTACTTTTTGTTCACTTATGTTTTAATTTTGCACAGCCAGAACCTGCAAATGAGTCAGCTTTAAACATGGTCTCAGAAGTCATCAGATAGCATTTGCCAAAGATATTTACCTCTGAAGGTGACATAACTTCTCAGTTTTTGCAGTATAGCCAGCTGTAAGGGTTTAACTATTATGATGCTGGGAAGTAAAAGCAACTCATAATACTATTGAGTTATTTTCTTGGAGTATCTATGCAGTAGAGTTGTCATGATATCATACTATACAGTACAGTTAGGGCTGGACGATATGGCCTCAAATCAATATCACTATATATCAAGCAGTTCACCCCGATAGCGATATATTGACTGTAACTACTCCACAAGCTGCTCACCCCTTTCCACATTAACTTCGTCTACTTCAGCCGCTCCAACTTTTGAACCGTCCTCCATCTCACCTTTCTTTCCCTCTTTGTTACGGACTGGATGGGGTGGAGTCACGTCTCCGACGTAGGACAGCGTCTTAAAGGGACATGAGACCATAGCCTACCTACACACATCCAAAACCAACTTTTATTTATTTATTTTTTTGACACTGACTATAAGCAAAATGACGTCAGTTTTTGTCGTAAATTTCGGTATAGGTAAATTTTCGGTTTATCACAAGCCCTAAGTACAATACAACACAACATGACTTAATACAATGCAATACAGTGCAGTATGATTTAGTAGGGTATTATATGGTATGACACAGTCTGATACCTGTTGAAATCAAGTGGTTTCAATACCTGCTTCAATATCACACATCAGTGAACTCCTAGGCATTTAAAATAATTAGTTTTGTTATTTTTATTTCCAACCTGTTTTAGATTCCGGTAGAGAAAGAAGTCGCCAAACACAGACCAAGATTTGACACATTGTTAATATTTCTAAAAGGCAAATTAAACATTTCGTCTTAAAAATAATACTTAACCAAAGTTAAATGTTTTATCTGAATTATCATTCTTGATCCAGAGGAGACGTTTGTTTCTGCGGGGAGTGCTGTTTGCATGTATTTTACACCCACCTCAATTTATAGATGTGTGTCATTATGCAGGGCTGTAGGGCTCTCCCAGTCTTGGGCTGAGGCTGCAGCAGACATCAACAGAACATGTGCTTCTATGTTCGATACTAAAAGGATTTAATGAATGTTGGTATTTTCGACCTGTGAATGAGTAGAGTTAGTGTTGTGTTGGCTGTGACGGAGGGCGGAGCAGAGAGACACAGCAGGCAAGAAGAAGATTTTTACGACCTCACGATCATTTACAGTCGCTCGACTTTGTAACTTCAGGGTTAAAATTTGACTAAAGATCTGTTCCTAGAAATTCTGTGGTCTGTGGTCGACAGCTCTTGTAGTTGTGAATGAATGTTTTCTTAAAGGCTTACATTTAGACTCAGTAAATAGAAAATTGTATGCATCATAGCCGATCAAATGCAAAAAGAAGTGTATCTCTAACTGCTGCACCTCCAGGTTGAAGCGTCTTCTCACTGCTGTGAAATCAACAGGTGAACGAAGCCGTGTTACATATTCAAGGTCTCACACGCTGATTTCCTGCACTTAAGCTGAACTTTTTTTTTTTTTAAACCTGTTGCTTTGTTTTTAAGTGTGTGTGGGCGGCTGAGTGTGTGTGTGTGTGAGGGCTTGTTTTTGTGTGTGTTGAGAAGCAGTCAAAGCAGAGTTCTTTGTTGAAATCCATGAGAGATTTTCTTCATTATGAGGCCAGACAGAGAGAGGTTTGGCAAAAATACCTCATTTTTTTGTTGTCGCACCGCCTCGAAATATAAAAATATGAGTTTAGACAATAAGATTTATGACACACTTTGTGTTTCGTGGCAGAAAAACTGAAAGTTGAAACCTCTGCAGACACTTGTAATGAGATTTCTTTTTCTTCCAGCTCCATATTTCTACAGATTCAGTGCTCACTGTCGCGAAGTAGAAATGTTATGAAACATTTGACCTTTGGCTTTTTATGCTCAGTCAAAGATTCAAGACCTTGAAAACTCTGTTTTTCTCTCTTCCCCGTCTGACTGAACACTCAAAGAGCTCAGAGTCACTTTCCTTTTTATTGCAAACAAGACGAATAAGCCGAAGAATAATTTCCTCCCACAGTGTGACTCTGCATGTTACTCAGACTCTCTGCAGGTTCAAGAGGCTTTGTCAAAGGTCTGGATGTTGCAGCTCATTTGACATGTGTGTGTGTGATAATTGCTGTGTGTATGTGTGTGTGTGTGCAGTGATTTAAATTGATCTGCTGTGTGTGTGCTCGCCAGAATCCATACAGAGGAGGACGTGATGAGCAGAAAAACACTGAATCAGAGTTGCAAAACCTTTATGCAGTGATTCAACCAAATACGATCAGTGAGCATGCACCAAATGATCTATAACACACACATATACACACACACACACAAACGCACACTTCCACCCACAGACTCTCCCTGTCACAGATATCAATTCATCATTCTGTTTCGCACGACTCCCTCAAAGTGTTTGTCACATCTTCTTCCTCCGTGACTCGCTCTGCTCCTTCACAGCGACTCTTTCTCTCTCTCTGTCGATCTTCACTTCAATAATTGTCTTCAGAGCCCAGTGTGTGTGTGCGTGTGTGTGTGCGCGCGTGATACAAGAGGAAGTTAATCAGGCTGTAAGAGACACAAACACACACAGACTCGGGTCAAAAGAGCAGCGGCATCCTCTAACTGCAGTGTTAGACTAATCTGCAGCCTTTAGTCTCTGTGATTGGAGAAGAAATGACATCAGGGTTTTGGTTAAATTATATTTTTTTATTTCAAACATGTGTCAACATAAAAATAAAGCATATAAGTCTGAATAGTATTGCTTGATCTCATATCATCAGGCTTTGGTGTCTGCAGGACAGGAAAACAGTCTGTATGGCGAGCAAAAGCAGGCAGAACAGCATCCACAATGACAACATCACAGTTTATTTCTCTTCATGAACACATATCTGTACGCAAGGGCAACTCAAAATGATGAGGAGACACAAATCTGCTTACAATTATCCTATCAGTCTGCAATTGCTCACTATTTGATGCCAGGACTCAGTTTTATAAAATTGTTCAAAAACATCTCTGCACATTTTGCTCTTATTCCTCCTCACAGAGGCATCTAAATTATCCATAAAGAATAATCTGTAATATTCTCAGTTTACTCTGATATATGAATGAGTTCTAAGGTTAATTGTAAATATATTCTATCAGCATGCTTCAGTTTCTCTCTGCAGAGTTTTGCTGTGCTGCAGATGACACACAGCGGTCTGTTCTCTGCCGTGGATTAACGTCTCTAACTCTGATGATTCAGGCAGCGGCTCAGTAATCTATTGTGCTAATCTGCTGCCGATGTGCAGACAGATCATTACCCAGATCAGGATCAGATCTGGATTTATGCAACTGCCAGGTGTTCATCCGTGTGCGTGCGTGTGTGTGTTTGTGTGTTTGTGTGTGGGATCATTATGCACACGGTTAACAAGTTGAATAAACATGTTAGTCAATGGATGGAAAGATTGAGGCAGCATGTAGCAGCACAGAGGAGGGATTGATGGATGAGAGTGAGTGAGTGAGTGAGTTAGTGAGGGAGTGAGTGAGTGAATGAGTGAGTGAATGAGTGAGTGTGTTAAATGGATTTAATGTTCATGTTCCATCGCTTTGCGCAGTGAAGTTTATTCAGTGTCTGTGTCAGCTGTTACAGGTCGGAGTTCATGTTTCCTCTCATGTTGGAAGGGTTAAATGTCCGTCTCCTGGTTTTTTAGTGATTTTTAAAAAGGATTGGTATTTAAAATTTTATACAGATAATTCTGTTTAATTGAGAAGGAAGGGTTACTATGGGAGAGAGAAAATGGTTAATTAATTCAAAATCCATCTTAACGTGTTATTGGCATTAAGTTTTGGCTACCAGCTGACCTGCTCTGTGAATATCAGCTTTGGTTTATACCGTTAAAAAACACATATCAGTCAAACCACCGGTAACCATGCTGACTTTGAAAAGTGTGAGTACTGCATGTGATCTGAGTAGGGCTGGGTGATTTGTCCTCAAATCAATATCACAATACACTCACCGGCCACTTTATTAGGTACACCATGCTAGTAACGGGTTGGACCCCCTTTTGCCTTCAGAACTGCCTCAATTCTTCGTGGCATAGATTCAACAAGGTGCTGGAAGCATTCCTCAGAGAGCTTGGTCCATATTGACATGATGGCATCACACAGTTGCCGCAGATTTGTCGGCTGCACATCCATGATGCGAATCTCCCGTTCCACCACATCCCAAAGATGCTCTATTGGATTGAGATCTGGTGACTGTGGAGGCCATTTGAGTACAGTGAACTCATTGTCATGTTCAAGAAACCAGTCTGAGATGATTCCAGCTTTATGACATGGCGTATTATCCTGCTGAAAGTAGCCATCAGAAGTTGGGTACATTGTGGTCATAAAGGGATGGACATGGTCAGCAACAATACTCAGGTAGGCTGTGGAGTTGCAACGATGCTCAATTGGTACCAAGGGGCCCAAAGAGTGCCAAGAAAATATTCCCCACACCATGACACCACCACCACCAGCCTGAACCGTTGATACAAGGCAGGATGGATCCATGCTTTCATGTTGTTGACGCCAAATTCTGACCCTACCATCCGAATGTCGCAGCAGAAATGGAGACTCATCAGACCAGGCAACGTTTTTCCAATCTTCTATTGTCCAATTTCGATGAGCTTGTGCAAATTGTAGCCTCAGTTTCCTGTTCTTAGCTGAAAGGAGTGGCACCCGGCGTGGTCTTCTGCTGCTGTAGCTCATCTGCCTCAAAGTTCGACGTACTGTGCGTTCAGAGATGCTCTTCTGCCTACTTTGGTTGTAACGGGTGGTTATTTGAGTCACTGTTGCCTTTCTATCAGCTCGAACCAGTCTGGCCATTCTCCTCTGACCTCTGGCATCAACAAGGCATTTCCGCCCACAGAACTGCCGCTCACTGGATATTTTTTCTTTTTCGGACCATTCTCTGTAAACCCTAGAGATGGTTGTGCGTGAAAATCCCAGTAGATCAGCAGTTTCTGAAATACTCAGACCAGCCCTTCTGGCACCAACAACCATGCCACGTTCAAAGTCACTCAAATCACCTTTCTTCCCCATACTGATGATCGGTTTGAACTGCAGGAGATTGTCTTGACCATGTCTACATGCCTAAATATCACAATATATTGAGCAGTTCACCCTGATAATGAGGTTTCGGACACCCCTTAAAATGGCGTTCACCCCCATATAGTCGCTTACATAGAGGTAAGGGATCCATTTCGGACACAGCCTTTGTCTACTTCAGCCGTCACTCCAGCGGCTACAACTTTAAGCATAGATCAAATGTAAATGGCAAATAAATAGTTTATTAATGTAAGTTAATAGTTATTTTACCATTAACAAGCAATGAAACTATGATTAATAATTTTTATTAATTATTAATGGACCATTTATTAAAGGTTTATATAGGGTTTAAATATTGGCTGTGTAACATCTAGTTTAAAATATGTGTCAGTAGCACTTTGTAAATCTGTACATTTTCTGTTTATCGCCCAGCCCTAGTTCTGAGAGTGCACGCTCAGTTGTCTGTTTTACAAGTCAGTGGATGTGAGTGGTTTCACCATGACCCGATTGCGAGTATGCATTTTGAAACAATCTTTTCCAGCTCTTGTGCTGATTTTGTTCACTCCATCATTTCTCCATCTTCAAACCTCTCCACATTGTAGTCCTGAGTCTCAGGGGAGACTTTGGTTTTTGTCAGTCAGGAGGGGTACTCTCAAAGTGACACTATCTGTGGTAACAAATACTGAGACGTAATCACTAAAATCCAGGTACAACTCTATCCATGTCTTTCAGATATGTTTCGAGGAAAAACAAACATCCTATATTGAGGTTGAGAAGGTCCTTTAAATTTATGCAGACAATAAGAAAGGCTGATGAATGACACAGTGACCATTGTTTGTCTTTTTTAAGGACTGTATTGTGTTGAAAGACTGAGAGCGGCTGTAAACACTTCACCTGCTTCCATGTCTGCTCAGAACAATGACCTTTTGTTTTACATCATTTATTCCTCTCTACTCTTCGCCACTTGTTGCATCTCAATCCTCTTTTCATCTCCTGTCTGTATTATTTTACTCCTGTTTTCCATTCACTCTGGTTTTGTTTCTTTTTTTTCATCAGCTGTCATCTTTTTCTCATTTTCTTAATTCATCTCATCTGACCTTTCCTTCGCGTCTCGTCTTTTTTTCCCTCCAGCTTTTTTTTCGTCTTTTCTCTCCATCTGTGCTGAGATTTTTTTTCCCTGGCAGCGGCTCAGCGATGGAGAGAATGATCAAATCGGAGCTAAAGAGAGGAAAAAAGAAGTCAAACAAACCGGAGGAGGAAAAAAAAAAAGAGAGAGGGAGCTTAAATCAGGCTGTGGATTATGACTGATGGAGGCCAAACAGAGCGCTGCATGAGAGGCTTTCTGACGAGGTCACGCTCCTGGTTTCCTGGACGGCGTTGACATGTCAGTGCGACTGTGGAAAGATGCACATACGTGACACACACATACACGCATGCATGAACACAACATCGGATTAGTTACGACATTTACGGGGATGTCAGTTTGCCCAAATGTCCGTGCCCCCCCGCCTGACCCCGCCCGCCTGGCTCCGTCCACCTAAATACCCGCTGACCTGCTTTCTCTAAGCTCCGGCCTCCTCGCTGACCAGCTGAAAGAAAGAAATGATTTGTGGAGCAGTTATGTGATAAAGACGAACAGCGTCCACTGGAAACTGTGACCTCACCATAACTGTGTGTCGCTCTGTCTGTGCGTGTGCGTTTGTGTCCTGGGACCTGTGGGAGTGTTGGAAATGGAAATCAATACGTGTTTGTGTTGCGAACAGGACGGAGGACAGTTTATCTCCCTCTCTGTCTGCAGCGTTTGTCAGATCCCCATCTGTGTGCTGTGAAGTGGCCTCATTAGTTTTGATTTTTGCAGTTTTGTGCAGCTGTGTGGACTTCACCACGGGCAGCAGAGGCATGCACACGCATCCAGCTCCTTATTAACTGTCCCTCCTTATAATTTTGTCCAAAATTTAGAATAAAACAATCAGATCTAAGAGTACACATCTGAGGCAGCTGTCACTAATAGTCTCTGCTAATACAGAATCCAGTCTGCAGGATAGTTTATATGCCTAACTGAGCTGCATATCCTGTTGTCATCCTATGTCCACAACATTGTCTGTTTATAAAGATGGACCTTACACCCACGTCTCTTCTTGAAGCCAAAATATGCTGTTAATGTGCAGTTATCCTGTGGTGGTGATGGTCTTTGAGCCAGAGACTGAACAGCAGAGATGCTGACTGAATTGACACCCCGCTAAGGCTGCACAATAGTGGAAATAACTAACATTGCAATTTTTTTTCAACCCTGCGATATATATTGTCATATTAAAAAATACATGAATTTTCACCAGATGACCTGAATAGCACTTAATGCTATGCTGCACTGCTGAACTCTTGTGGACAATTAGCCTGGACACGCATTTCTCGGCACAACACAGGCAGTGCCAGCGACTCACTTTATGTGCAGGCCGCAAATTTTTTTTGTAGGATGGAAGGGGAAGGTCCCACCCTCCTTCGCCTCTGATTTTGAAACGTCATCCTCTGTCGGGTTAGGATAAAGGTTAGGGTTAGGGTTAGGAGATTCAGAAGTGCAATAATGTTCTGTAATGTGTTTGGCTTGACCATGTGATGACGTTTCCAGCTTTTGTACAAAAAAAGGAGTGCAGGCCATGAGCAGGGGCGTTGTTTCCTCCTCTGTGATTTTGATTGACGGCTGGCAGGGTAGTCTGATTGGCATTTGAGTAAAGAATGAATGTGATTGGTGGATTACTGCTCAGCACATGCAGAGTCACATGCAGTGTATCTCAGTCAGCTACCCTTGAAATTAGATGAGTTTATTCATCTCCGATATCACAGGCTCTGCAGTGTCACTATTGTGCACACGTGCATCGTGATGACAATGCTCAAACGATATCACGTGCAGCTCTACGCCCCGCCTCTTCTTCCAACGAAAAAACGCACCTCAGACGCCTTAACTTAATCATTTCAGCTGAGATTTATTACAGATGATCCCCACAACACTTATTGTATTTTTTAATTCTATCTTTCCGGCACTCAGTCCATTCACCACAAAACCTTCAGACTCTAGTCACAACTGGTGTTCCACAGGGTTCTGTCCTCGAGCCTTTTCCATTCATTATCAATCTACTTCCCCTCGGCAATTATTTCCATAAACATAAAATGAATTTTCATCGCTATGCAGATGACATCCAGCTCTACTTGTTCTCCTCCAACTTCCTCCAAAACCAAAACTACATTTTACTGTTAACATACTGTGAAAACAGAACAGATACTATTTCAAAAACACAGAAACCATGAAAAAATTGTGCAACAATATGTGTTTTATCCACATCGTGAAGAACACAATAAACCTGTCACTCAAATTTGTGACAGTCTGTTCAATAAAAAAAAAAAGACAAACACCGTACAACTCCACCAAAGATGATAAATGTGATTTCTTAGACATGTACATTCCGACCACGGACCATAATTTATTAAAAACAGGAAACACAGGAAACAAAGCTTCATGGTCATTTCTCTGTTTCGTAACGTACAGCATATAATCAGTGATGATGCTGGAAGTTGGTATGGACGTAGTATCCTGCAGGTGCTCTTACCACCTTTATATCAATTTTTTTTCCCTCCTTGCTCAAGGCCGCTTATCTCTGCAGCCATTTCACCCTCTGAAGAGCTTTTCCCGCAGAAACATGTCATTCTTCTGTGAGTTCGGTATCCTTGCACTGAACAAACTCAGCAGCTGCTGATGGATGGAGGCAGCGGCACTCAAAGCTTCATGTAATTACTGCCTTCATCTCGGCTCAGACCATCACAGCTCATTACAGAGACTGAAGAGCTATTATCTGTCAGAAAGACACGCTGGGGCGCTAATGAAAGGTAACTTAACATTGACACCTGCACACCAAGCAGAGACGGAGCTGTCAATCAATCTGTCACAGGCTGCAGAGGCCAGAGGCGAAAAATGAGCATAGAGCGGGGTTACGAAAGAGGTTTGCATCGACTGTATACAGCCTATATATATGAGTGTGTGCATTTTGAATTGTAAGGCTTCATGTAGCCTTTGAACTCTGACTCCAGGAAACCAACTCAACAGGGTTTCTACTTTCCAATCTCTAGAATATAGAAAAAAGATTTGTGCCTAGGTAACATTTATCGGCTAGGTTTTCAACTTTTTGGATTTAGAATTAAGTACACTAAGAAGTCCATGATTTTCCATGACCAGTTTGTCTGATTGGTATTTATATGATATTAAACAGTATAATGAAGTTGATTCAATATGCAAGATACGACACATCAGCCTCTTGTGGGGAAATTCACTTGCTTCTGCACCTCACAAAAAAGAAAACTAGAGAAAAAGGTAAAAAAATTCAAAATAATACGAGTTGAAAAAAATATTCGGAGTGAAAAAGAAGAAAATTAGAGAAAAAAGTAAAAATTTTCAAATAATAAGAGGCGAAAATGATAAAAATTGAAGTTTTTATCGTTAAGAAAAATGTTAGGATGAAAAAGAAGGAAATAAGACACAGTCTGTGCAACAATACAAACTGATTCTACAGTTATTCAGAACTATTGTACAATATGATTGCAGTTTTTCTTCTTCGATTCCTCTCTTTGTTACTTTGACACTAGTGTTTACTTCTTGAGGCACCTTTTTCTCTCTGAAAGAGCTGAGTTTCCTTGTTTTTCATGAAGTTTCTCAAGGTTTTCCTCCTGAAATGTTCTCAGTAAATGTTTGTTGTAGTCTATTAGGTTGATCTCCAGCATCAAAACAATGCTGGGCTTGTTACAGAACCCCCCTTAGATGGCGAGTTGACTGGAATCAAAATAAGTCAAAGTGTAATTGTTCCACTTGACTTGTAGAAATGCTTTTAAACTCTTTTGGTCCTGTGTTTGTGTTTTCCCAGGATCCCTCAGTGCAGAAGATGGGTGGAGGCAGAAAGAAGACGGTGTCCTTCAGCAGCATGCCGTCTGAGAAGAAGGTAAACCTCTTATGACAGAACTGGATTATTAAAATTAGATTTTACAAACCTGTATAACTGAGCCAAAGCTGATTTTCTGTCTCAGGTGAGCAGCGCTGCAGACTGCTTGGCGTTCATGCAGGGCGGCTGTGAGCTGAAGAAGATCCGGCCGAACTCGCGGGTTTACTGTCGCTTCTACACGCTTGACTCAGACCTGAGCTGCCTGCGCTGGGAGCCGTCGAAGAAAGATGGAGACCGAGCTCGACTCGATGTATCCAGCATCCGAGAGGTTCGAACGGGGAAGAGCACAGAGACGTTTCTCCACAATGGACCTCTGTCTGAACACCTGGCTGAGGAGGCGGCTTTTTCTGTCATACATGGAGACGAATATCAGGTACTAATTTCCAGATTGATGCTTTAAATCATCAGAATATACTCCCCTTCATCCAAGATTTGCTCTGACATGTATCCTCTCCACAGTCTCTGGACTTGGTTGCATTGTCAGCAGATGTGGCAAACATCTGGGTAACAGGTCTCCGGTATCTTCTGGCCCATCCCTCTGTGATCGGAGGAGCGGGAGGAGGATGTGGAGGCGGGGGAGTCCTGGGTGAAGGTTTGGCGGTGGAGGGAAGCCTGGGGAATAAGATGAGGAGTGAGTGGCTGGCGGCAGAGTTCGCTCAGGTGGACGAATCTGGGAACGGCATCGTGACGGAGGACGTGGCGGTCGCTACGATCTGCAAACTGAACCCTGGAATCAAGGAGGCCAAGGTGAGAAGATGCTAGGTCTTTATAGTGAGAGTAAACGGGTTTAAATTGAATACAGAGGAACATAACAAACATGGAAAATAATATAAGAGTTAAAGGGATATTCCAGCGTAAAATTAATTTATGGTCAAACACACCGTAACACTAAGTTAGACACCCCCTCGAGAGATGAATGTTGCCGACCGCTTGCTTCTCTAGTTATACCAACTTAAGTAATGACCGCACGATAGCAATACAGAGAGCCACGCGCTCAACCAAAACACCACTCTATAGCCACATCTTTATCAACAGGACATATAGGGTGCCAGCCATAGCACTAGCCACTAAACATCTTTTTAGCTTTGCCTAATTTCTTCAGCAAAGACACTAAACAAAACTCACCTACTCTCTTCCAGCAGCCACTTGTTTGTAGCTAGATCTCAGGCCAGTCCATTATGCCGCCCCTGAGCATTATTTGTGGCTATAGAGTGGCGTTTTGGTTGAGGTTTGTTTATGGCTCCTCAGACCGCTGTATATTGCTATCGGTGCGGTCGTTACTAAAGTTGGTATTACTAGAGAAGCAAGCGGTCGTTAACATTCATCTCTCAAGGGGGTGTCTAACTCGGTGTTACAGTGTGTTTGACCCTTAATTAGTTTTACGCCGGAATATCCCTTTAAATATTTTGATAACTGACATTCAATTTATATAAATCAAAAATGTTTGTTGTTATATAGCACATATCATAGGATCTGAGGAAGTCTTGCGGTACTACTTTGAGAGAAAACATTGACACAGCCTGAATAAAGTGACCCAGCTGTCTTGCATCAACAACACTGACACACATCATCATGGCAGCGTGTCAACACAGCAGACGACTCTAAGTTTGTGTTCGGTGTAGTAACAGCCAGAGCAGGTGTGTTTTATTCCTGTTTCTGTCTGTGTTTGGCACAGCACAACATCTTAATCCTCTCCGACAGACTCTCTGCTCGTGTTAGTTTGGTCGTCTGTTGTGTGGTTTCTCAGGTCAGGTTTATTTCTCCCCTCTCTGCACACTGACACAAAGAGAGCTGTGGAGTCTCATACAGGTGAGCTGACTGCAGGACATATTTTCTCAGAGATATCATCGTGCTGGCGGAGAGGAAAGGGGAAAAAAAAGGAGAGAGGGGAAGAGGAGGCAGACCTAAACCAAACAGAGACATGAAAAAGGAGACATGACAGATAACAGAGAGGGAGTGAGATTAAAAAAGTGAGTCATACATCGTGTCGTTCGATTAATTTGGGTCACTTTAATATCCTCTTTGAAAAATGATGAGCAAAGTTTAATCAAGACTTCTCTGCCTCGCAGAATAAAAAGGGAAAAATCTCTGAGAACTAATTTACTTTATGTCAGTTCAAAACGAGAAGCAACCTTTAGGGCGGAAAAGGAGCTGACATTAAAATGTTCAAAACTGCAGTTCCTCCAAAGTCCACTAGAGGCTTGATCCAAAGGTGAATCAGCCCCATACAGCCTGATACAAAATAGATAAAGTCTTTAAGGCACATTTCTCTAAAATCCCCTATTTACATTAGATTAAAGGGATATTTCAGAGTTTTTGATGTGAGTTACATGTCACAAGTAAGCTAACACTTTATGAAATCGTCTTTAGGAGCAACATGAGCCACAAAATGATCAGACTTTGGTAAGATTAAAAGGTTTATTCTGAAAAAGCCAGAGCAGGTTTCAGATTCAGATGACCACACTCTCCATTGTTCACACTTACATTTTTCTGCACTAAACATCATGAGAGTTGAATTTGTTAGAGCGTAAAAAACACCTTACCTTTGCTTTTCTTGATGTTAACCCTCAAGTTCAAAAACAGTCATTTCAGAAACCAAGATTTTAAAGTTCAACACGCCAAGGAAGAGCTTCAAAAAGTCAACAAACCATACTGTCCAACTTGTTGTCTTTCTTTTCTTTTGTTTTCTGTCCTAAGGTGCGTCTCCGTTTCAAAGAGATCCAGCGCAGTAAGGAGAAGCTGACCTCCCATGTGACCCGTGAGGAGTTTCAGGAGGCGTTCTGTGAGCTCTGCACCCGGCCGGACGTCTACTTCTTGCTTGTCCAGCTGTCGAAGGATCGTGAGTGCCTGGACCCGCAGGACCTCCGCCTCTTCCTGGAGACGGAGCAAGGCTTGTCTCTGGCGACCACCGAGGGCTGCTGGGAGCTCCTGAGGCGCCACGAACCCTCCGCTCAGGGGAGAGAGAGAGGGCTGCTGGGATTGGATGGGTTTGCGCGGTACCTGCAGTCTCCAGAGTGTCAGCTGCTCGACCCCGAGCACCTGGGCGTGTGTCAGGACATGAACATGCCTTTGTCCCACTACTACATCAGGTGAGGGAGGAGTTTTAGTCCAGTGAGGGAAGGAACATCAGATTAACTGCTTAAAGAATTATTGTATCCAAACTTCAGTTTCCATTTTATTGTGACAGAGAGACATTATGTCCTGCAGTCAAGTGAAAAATAAACTGTTACTGCGACTGACAAAAGGATTAATCATGCCAATTACTCATTGGACAGCTCTTTTTAGATGAAGAACAATGAAAACAAATAAGACAATGAGCAAATCAAGTCAGGATGAAGTCAGGGCTTTATTGAACGCTGAAAAGCAGAATTACAGAAAAAAATAAAGGGAAATACAATCTCAGGTTAAACCGTGAAGATGTGATTCAGTCCCAGTGTTGTAGAATTAAATCCTATTGGTAGTAACAAGATTAAATGTGCAGATAAAACTAAATAAAGTCAGTCAGAGGCACTTTTTACTGATTCATGGAGAGTGTCATGGCTCATATTGTCTAGAAAAAAGTTGTGAATTCAGAATTTAAAATAAATTATGTGTGAAGGTTGAGGAAAAAGTAGAAAGCCTCATTTTTATTGCAAAAAAATAGAAATAAAAAGACAATTCTTTGGGAAGGATTGATGAATCTAAGTGAAGTTCGTGTGTTTTCAGTTTGATGTAAACTTAAGGAGTAAAACAGAAATCAGTAAACACTGACAAATGAAAATGATCTTAAAGGTTTATACACTCTACCGACATCTATACAACACACTGAGTTAAAATAAATGTTGACAAAAAAGCTGATTTATTCTCTCTGGATTTATTCTCTGAATTTTGTCTGTTTTCTTTGAACAGCTGTCAAATCATCTGACAGATGGCGCTGATTACTCACTGCTCCCCGTGTTCACCAATGAGATAAATCTGTTTTTATTTAGAATTAGACATATGATTCCTAACACTCATTCGGTAACAAGCGCAGAGGGCAATGTTTAAGTGTTGACTTTAGCAGGGAATGTGCCTATAAGTGCTAAAACGTCGGCTTTTAGTGATGTAGATAATTTCAGCAGCTCATAATTGTTGATTAAACTTGAAGACATGATGAAGAAGAGAGATATTGATATCATTGTTTTCGTTTTTCTCCTCAGTACGTCGTACCGCTCCTACCTGCTGGACGATCAGGTCCACGGCAGAGCGGATCTTGGAGGTCTGATCAAAGCTCTGCAGTCCGGCTGTCGCTGCGTGGAGTTGGGGGTGACCGACGGCCCAGAGGGTGAGCCTCTCCTCGGTGTGGATTACGGACCAGACATCCCTCGCCACCATCATCACCACCATCACCACCACCATCACCACGCTCCCGTCACCATCCGCTCCGCTCTGGAGGTGGTGAATAAATACGCCTTCCTCACCTCGCAGTACCCGCTCCTCATCTACCTGTGTCAGCGCTGCTCTCCGGGGCAGCAGCGCACCATGGCGCAGCACTTTAGGAAAGTGTTCGGCACACGTCTTTACACGCCTGAGAAACTTCCTGTCAGCCTTGGAGGGCGAGCCACGACTTTACCGTCCCCTGAGCAGCTGAAGGGACGCATTGTTATTGTGGGGAAGAAGCTCCCCCCGGACCAGGAGGGGTCAGACGGTGAGGTGTCAGAGGAGGACGAGGAGATCGGAGGAGGCGGGCCACTAGCAGGTCGCAGGATGACCATCCCAGGTGAAGAAGAACTGGGTGTGGTTTTAGTGGTGCCTCCGCCCTCCCAGCCAAGAAAGCTCCGCCTCCATAAAGACTTGTCCGACCTGGTGGTGATCGCTCGCACAGGCAGCCGCAGCTTCTACGCCCACAGAGCGAGTCACAAACAGTTGCAGCAGCAGTCCCCGCCCAGCAGCCCCTCCTCCCCCAGCACGCCAATGCCTCCCGAGCTGCCTTACTGGACGCTGTGCTCGCTGGGGGAAGGAGAGGCGGGGCGTCTGACCACAGAGAGCCCGGAGGACCTTGTAATGTTCACAAAGCGCACTCTGACGCGGGTACGACCCAGCTCGGTGCGTCTGGACTCAAGTAACCCGAACCCTCAGGGGTACTGGAAGGGAGGGGTCCAGCTCGTGGCCTTGAACCAGCAGACACCTGGTGCCATGCTGGACCTCCACAGAGGGCGTTTCTCACAGAATGGAGGGTGTGGTTATGTTCTCCGACCGGCTGTGATGAGGGATGAGGTGTCGTATTTCAGCGCTCACACACAAGGCTGCGTGCCAGGAGTTCCCGCACAGACTCTGAGGATAAAGGTGAGGATGCTGTTTTGTGTTTTGGGGTAAAAATCTGCAGCTAATTAGAGAAACGAGTTTTAGTATTTTATTAGTTTCATTATTTCAAGATGGAAGTAGATGCTACATGTGGGATGTACGAGTGCAGTTCACCAAATCAGTCCATGTTTTCTCCAGATCTTTATTTTGCATCTTCTTCTTCAGCAAAAGACTCAGTTCTTTGTGTTTCTCTTTAGGTAATCAGCGCACACAACCTGCCCAAACCTCAGGGATCAGGGGCGAAGGGGGAGGTCATTGACCCCTATGTGGTCCTGGAGCTGCACGGCGTACCTGCAGACTGTGCCGAACAGAGAACTCGCACCGCCGCTCAGAACCAGGATGACCCGCTGTTTGACGAGACCTTTGAGTTTCAGGTGAGAAGCTTCGCAGGGACACTCAGCTTCTGTTTCAGGGTGGAGATGCTGCTCTGGTTTGTTTTGAAGGTTATTTTCTGGGCATGTTTTGCCTTTTAAGGACAGAAGGAGCTGCAGATAGACAGAAAATGTAAGAGAATGAGGGAGGCTGATGTGCAGCCAAAGGTCAGGGCTGTAGTTAAGCTGTGAGCACTACGCTTCAGGCTGGTGAGTTGTTGTGCTAAGGCAACTCTGTGTGCATTCAGGTTTTTTTCTGTTTCATGAGTTTACTTTGAGCTTAACTCAAAAATGAATCTTCTACAAAAAGTTTCTACAGCTTTCGTGAGCAGGAAAATCAGCAGGTCTGGTCTCCCTTACTGCAAACTGTGGAGAGGCATACAGGCCCTCATAGTGGTTATTTAATCCTTTATTGCCTTATTTATATACTTCTATCAAATCGATATGATTAACAAATTACTAAAAAAACACCTTAATACAGTCCGATAAATGATAAAAATGTCCTCTTGTAGTTTATCAGTTTTCAAAAACATCTAATGAATCAAACGAGATTAATAAATATGTTTGTTAAATTTTAAGGAAATGTTGATATTTTTTTTGGTTTTCAGCAGTAAGTGAAATAAACATTTCAGCTCAAAATTTTTTTTGAATTTTCTGGCCATAATTTGTGGTGTCAGGCAGTAAAGGGCTACAGTATAAAAGTGTCTTTGTGTTTATGTGGAAGTTCCCTTTTATTTGTTTTCTTTCACAGCCAGTAGGGGGAGCCTGCATCGGTTTACAATAGAGGTTGCTATTTTGGCTTATGAGCCGATATGCTTAAGTCTTGTTACGTTTATTCCCTTAGCAAGCATTTTAGTGATTAGTTTTTAGTTAAAGCATGAAGGGCTTTAGAGACCCACCCCGATGAAAATCATGTTTTTCTTGTTTTTTATATGTTATGGCATTTTTCTGATGCTACAGGACATATCATAAGAAAACTAAATGCAAAATTGCTTTTCTGCGTATTTCATTCAATCATTCAAATTGCTGTGAATTTCTGGCAGACCCACACGGCAGTTTCATACGTAACAAATCCAAGCTCTGGCCCGGAGCCCTGCTATGCAGGCCACACTGTAGAGGAGAAACACAGAGGACGATCGTGGAACAACCATTTGCGTTAGTGGATTGCAATGCTCGTAGGAAAGCTAATTATGATATTAGCTTTCATCGTGTCCCCAAAGACGTTAGTGTCCGAGAGCTGAATAGCTCCTGTGTTACCTGCCACTTCTACTTCACCGGCAGTGTTAGGCTACAAGCTAACATGAAGATGAGTTTGTGACAGGTGGATTCCTCAGCTTCCAGTCAACCCAGACTGTGGTATAGAAATGCAAAAATGTGACTCTATCCTTTAACCAAATGGTTGCTTCTGTCTCCTATTATAAAGGTCAAATAAAAGGCATCAAGACATCCAGAACATGTCTGCGTCCACTTCCTGCAGTCTATAGGCATGACTTAGTAAGCATGCATTATCATTAGGAAGGATTTATTGTTTGGTAAATGGATTCGAGTTGGGCTTCTTCGCTTTGGTCGTAACTCATTTACTCCTCTTGCCCTCTTTGAAACCAGAAAATAAATTCCTAATGGAGGAGGAGGAAGCATAGTAACCTCAGAAAGCACAAACATACAGCCGGTCTTAATGTTTTAACTCCCCCGAATAACTTCAAACATGAATACAAATCTCTTTCAATGGACTTAAAAGGTCAAAAATGTCCCTGTTTATCTAATTGAAAATGTTTTAAAGCATTATTTATCATAATGCATACAAAAATGCATGCATACTCCCAGATATAATAGAAGCTTAAAAGGCTGGATTGCGCCGGGTTGTTTATGATAATTAGGAGAGAAGCAATAAACCATCACAGATGTTTACATAACTGCATGGCAGCTTGTCATGGTAATCCTGTTTACTGTTCATGACCAGAAATATAACTCTACTTTTCCACAGAAAATAGTGTATCAGTGGATTCTCTTAAAGACACAAAACCAAAATAGAAAGGTAGCCATGATCTCACTGCAGAAGACAGTAAGAGCTCTTACTTATTAACGCTCGCAAAATTAAACTTTTAAAGCGTAAAATTGACCCCCTCTGAAAAATGCTCATGATCAAACATTAATGGAGGAGCTAAAAGAGGAAAATGTCAACAACATGAGGGAGGATTATGTGGTTTTGGAGAGGTGTGTGTCAGCGCTGCACCTGCATGAAAGTGAAGCACTGATACTTAATTGGGCATCATCAGTTTTTAAATGAGCTGCTCTCATGAATTCACTCCTAGCTGCAGGCGAGGTTTGATAGCTGCCATGGTTTCCACTTTCCCTCGCTCACTGACAGCTGTCCGACGTGACTACGACTGAGCCGTAATGACAACCTGTCACAACTGATGTGGCGTGTTCCCTGTGGCTCTGTCATGTGTGTGTGGGTGTGTGTGATATAATAGTCTTCAGAAAGACAGCAGAAGACAGGGTAATACCTGTAATTTAAAAGAACACGATTGTAATAACATCAGCTCTTTGACAGATTCGAAATGAAGTTTGAAAGCACACGAAGTTTGAAGATGACTGTAGCTTCAGTACGACTTAACCTGGTCCGAGTCACCTGTCTGTGCTGAAATTAGTCACTTTTTCTGCTCATGTCCAGTCTTAAATCTCCAGACAAGATGTGTCAATATGTTAAAAAAGTAACTGATGTTTATTTAGATTCAGTCTCTCTGAACTCATCAACCATTAGAATCACTTGCCGTTCCTTCCCACAACAAACAAACGGCAAGTGATTCACACAACTGGATGGCTCAGCCAGGCTACGTTTACATGGGCACAAATAATCGGAATAAATGCCCAATCGGAATAAACATGCGTCATGTAAACATGTCGATCTGAAGATTCTGATCCAATTTGGTTCAATTGGAAAGAAATTATATTCCGATCAAGAGGGCTGGTTTATGCCGATCGTTATTTTAAAAACACGTCCATGTTAACATTTATTCCGATCGTGACTCTCTAACCTGACTCAGTCTTCACTCTTTAGCCTTTGGTTTATTTATTGAGGTCAGTAAAGGAGGTTTCATTATTAACACTCTGGAATAAAACACAACCACAGTTGCCGTGTCTGCTCCTCTGATAACATAACAAGGTATACATACAGTGTAATGATGTCACATCTCTACACACAGAGCAACCTTTGACAGAACAGTAAAATACGTACACAAGGGTGTCATTTAGTGACAACATTTAACAGGGGGAAAACTCCTGAATTGGATGGAGTGAGACAATAACGCGTTTGTTGGTTCGTTGACAGCACAGGCGTCAATACAATTCTTCTTCTGTGGTTGTTTTAGCGAAATCAGACAACTCTGCGCAGGTACAAATGCGTCTAATCTGTATAGAACTTGGTGCATGAATACACATGTCATGATTGGATTTTTTGACTATGCACCCATATAAACAGTGAATTCAGATTATCTGACCCGTTAAATTTTCATTGGATTAAGAAATTTTGCAAACATAAATATGGCTAATATCTGCTGAAGATACAGCATCTAGGAGTGATGGTGGACTTTGAGGTTTTCAGGTGTAGTTAGAGATCAGAGATGGAGAGATTAAGACCACTCGCAGTCTGATAAGCAACCGTCGAAGCGGTGGTGGAGCTCAGATCAAAAGTAAAGCCAAATTTCACCCCTCAAGATAAATAAAAACAAGAAAAACACAGTCATTTCTTGGCTCATTACATTCCTGGACCACCACCCACTTATCTGCTTCTGCTGAGTCTCAGTTTCATCATCAACAGAAGCTTCACTCTGACTTGGGAACCCGTGTCTCATCTAAATCTCAAAAGAAATTATGATGCAGGCTCTTACATCTGAAGTCTTTTGTTGCTTTAATCGAACATTTTGTTCTTCAAGTATTCAGCCTGTTGGTTGGCCATCAGCAACTCTGGCAAACCTGCAGTAATGTGGCATTAAAGATGGATTACACCAGCAGATTACAGCATTCAGAGGGATTTAACACGGAGTACAAGATTAATAAAAAGGCACAGTGTCTGCCCGGCTACAGACAGGTTTTTGGCTGCGTGAGTCTCATTGTCCTCGTGTGTAATAGAAAAATCAGATTCACACACCGGCATGTGAACACAGTCACACACACACACAGAGTCAGTCGAGGCTGTTTGTTTGAGTGAGTATCAGCCTGTCGAAGCATGCTTCACATGTCGTCATCATCCGTCCTCCAGGCTCAGACTCAGAGCGGAGATCAGGCACACACACTTCCTCAACACACATGCACAAACGGAGTAAAAAACAAAAACAGTCATCTTTTTAATCACTACAGAACAATGTCTCAGCCGTCTGCTCACATAAAACTCAGATTGTGTCACAGGGGTGTGACGGGAGGTTTTCATGCAAGAGTTTATGATGCAAAAACATGATGAGATGAATCATTTGAAGAGACGTATCTTTTGCATTCCTTGGCTGTCAAAATTACGATGACGAACCTATACTGCCTGTCTGCTCCTGTCTGTCAACGAACTCCAAAGTAAACAGTGTAAAGCTCATTACGCTTCTGAAAATGTCCTCAAAATGTCTGAATTTTCTAACCCTGACTGTAAGTGGACTTTCTACCCACTGATACTCGATGAAAAGTCTGTTTGACGTCTGGGCGAGTCTGACCTTAGCAGTTGTCGACCTGTGAATGAGAGCGCAGCCACTACACATTGACAGTATAATGTCTGTGATGGAGGGCGGAGCAGAGTCGCTGTTACGACCAGCATGTCAGGGTGAAGGGATGTAATAGAAGTACTAGACAGACCTGGCAAACGTCAAGTTATTTATTATAGAAGAAACAACATTTTCAGAGGCAGCATCAAAAGTGAAGCGACCAGAAAGGACTTAAATCAAACGCAACAATGTTTTTAACCCCCTTTTGTAATGATAGAGATAATGTAGATTTGTTTTCCTAATTGTTCATGCTCATAGACTGTCCACAATGTCCTGTGTCTGTGTTATTTAACTTACAGCCAAACTCTGCAGTTAGTTAGTTAAACGCAGAGAGACACATGCATTTGGATATTTCCCCGAAATGTCCATCAGGAATCCATGTGCAGGGCGTAAGTGGTGCAGCTTTCTCTGAAACTGTCACTGTTTCTCTTCACTGAAGCTCATTTCCTTTAAATTGTCAATTTTTTTGTACTAAAGCTGTCCTCTTTTTATCTAAGTGGGGCCACTTAGATCTGGATTTTGTTTTGTTTTTGAAGATTTTATGATAAGAGACAGTCTACGAACACAAGCTAACATTTTCTTTCATTACTGTGAGAGATTCTGGTGTTTGGACAAACGATGAGGCCCTTTTTTTAATGAATGAACACATTATTTGTGACTTTGACTATATGGAGAGGAAAACATACATCATACCTCATTAAAAAAAGAGTGTAATGTAGTAAAATTCAGGATGTAAAAATGATGTAAAACCAGAGATTCAGTCTGAGACCGTGTCCTTAGTCTCATTTTCGATTCTGGAATTGATGAAATTATCTGTCAGAGAGCTGCTCAGCTACAGGCCCGCTGCTGAAGAAATGAGAATAGGACTGGAGTCATCATTCCGCACACACACACTTACACACACTTAGACACACATTCACACACACACACACAAAGTCTGCCGGAGCTGTCTTGCTGGCTCGCCCATGCATGAAACTTCGGCTTTTCCAGAGCTCAGCCCTCACTCTCAACTTATGGGAGCGGAGGCACATTAAAACACACACTCACAGACACACACACACATGCACACACTCTTAGAAACTGGAGGCATTCTCTTTTTAATAGTGCAGTGAGTCCTGAGGGAGCAGCTCGGTCCTGGATGTGGTCTCTGCTCGTCATCCATCACCGTCCTCTCCCTCGCTCTGAAATCATTTTATCTCTCACATCTTCATAAAAACTGTTTCACTTAGACTTTTTTACTGTTTGTGGTACGACCGCACGACGACGGGCTCTGTGTTTTATCTCTGTCTGTGTGATCTTATTTGCTTCTTGTAAAATCACATTTATGTCTCATAGTGAGACGTTTGTCCCGACGGCTGTGTCCCAATTTAGAGGGGACACTGAAGTTTGCATGTAGGGACCAGACACACCTGCACAGGTCGAGTAGGCTAACCCTGCTGCAAAACCTGCATGGAAAAGTGAAGCTTTAAGTTCCTGCACATAAAGACTGTGTTTCTGTGCAGCCTGCAGTTTAACCCCTCGTTGTTAGATAAAGAGTTAGCCTGTTATTTGGAGTTACACAATTTTTTAACCTGTTTGTTTGACCCTGTTGTAACGTTATGAATCATATTACAGCATCACATTTAAAATAACCATTTATATTTCATGAAAAAGCAATTTTGATACTGTAGAGGCCCCTGCAACTGTCTAAGGAAATTAGACACACCCCTATACTTAACTTCAAATGCAATCTGTGTTGAGGCCTTAAAGGGATATTACGGTGTAAAATTAACGTAGGGTCAAACACACCATAAAACCGAGTTAGTCACCCCCTCGAGAGATGAATGTTGCCGACTGCTTGCTTCTCTAGTTATACCAACTTTAGTAACGACCGCACGATAGCAAAACACAGCCGCAAATAATGCTCAGAACAGCACCTAACTTCATCAACGGTACATAAAGGGTCCTAGCCACAGCACTAGCCATCAAACATCTTTTTAAATTTGCCAAATTTCTTTAGCAGAGAGGCTTAACACAACTCACCTACTCTCTTCCAGCAGCCACTTGTTTGTCAGGGAGCCTTGACAAGTGGATCTGAGCATTATTTTATAGCTATAGAGTGGCTTTTTGGTTGAGGTTTGCACATAGAGATGTAGACCGCTGTGTATTGCTATCGTACGGTTGTCATGAAAGTTGGCATAACTGAAGAAAGCAAGCGGTCAGCAACATGCATCTCTCAAGGTGGTGTGTAACTCAGTGTTACTGTGTGTTTGACCATAATTTAAATCTACACCGGACAGAGATGCTAAAGTCAGACACATGCGAACTATAATCTCAATTTATTATTTTTAGAGCCTGAAGAGTGGGTATGGTCTGATTTTCCTGGATACACAGACACACACACTGTCTGGGGGCTTGTTTATTCTCCTCTCTGTAGGTAGTGATGGATTGAAAGCGTCTCCTGCTGTAAAACATGTGTGTGTGACTTAAAGAGGCTTTGTGTGGAGTAAATCAGGCATCAGCTGATCAGTGTTTACTGCGAGGAGCGTTTACTCATTCCTCTGCACTGAATGAATATGCACACACACATATACACACACACACACACATGCACACGCACACACTTCCTCAGCATCATTTATCCTCCCCCGTACTGTGTGTGTGTTCATGTGTGTGGACATGTTTGTGTGTTTAAAGCCTCATTATCTGAAGAGAAGGTGTTACTGTTGGTGTGATACTCACGCAGCTCCTTAAATCGTCGTGTTTAATGAACAATAAAACAGCGTGTAAACAGCCTCAGGAGACTCTGGAAATGTGAATCTTCAAACTAATTGATCCTTTTTAAACATTTAATGCACATCTTTCCTCATTAATAAGAGCTGACTTAAACATTTCATATCTGGAGCAGATGAATAATAAACCGAAACATTTAAACACCATCAGAGCGTCTCTGCAGGTGACAAATCATTAAACTTTTAAAAGCTGAAAAGTCAAATAAATTAGTTAGTACATCTTGAGTGAAGTTTATTGTAGCTCTGAGATGTACATATTAAGTTTGAATGACTTATAAATTATAGGAATTAGTAGATTTATCACACAAGGACCATCGCCTCTTTAATTGGGGCGTGCTTAGGTCGCTAGGCCTTTGGCACCTCTTTCTATATCTAAGGTCTTTTACTGCACTGTTCAGGACTGAGTTGGGGACTGGAGAGAGAGAGTTGTGGATGATGTAAAGCAACAAATTAGGGGTTGGATTTGCTTAGAGGTCACCCATGTTGAGGATTGTGTCCTCTATAAAGTGGTTTCGATTTGACTGAACCAAAACAATATCATTGGCTTTGGATTTTTTAGTAAAATTTGCATCATCTGCTCTTTTAAGAAAAAAGTCAAACCAGGTGTCAATTTAAAAGTTGGAAAAGGCAGCCAGGATGAAATTTCATTCAGTAAAGTGTATAAATATCGAAATATAGAATATCAAAAAGGAGGATTGCCCTGCATAGCACAGATCTTTACAGTGCTGGTGGTGTCAGGAAAACAGTTCCTAAAAAGAAAAGAGTTCCACCGCACACAACGTGTTCAGAAAGAACAACGCGTTTTGCCTCTTTGAAATGCGATGTTCTTTTAACCAATAATTAACTTTAAACCAATAAATAAGTTTACATTCTGACCACGTTTTGTATGGTGGGACCATTTTCCGTATAAATATCATGTTTATTTTTGCTCTGGTTGACTTCAGCATGAACAGGTTTAATTTTCATGTTTTTCTCTCTGCAGGTAAACATGCCGGAGCTCGCCTTGCTGCGCTTCGTGGTCTTAGACGACGACTACATCGGGGACGACTTCATCGGTCAGTACAGCGTGGCTTTCGAGTGCCTTCAGCCCGGCTACCGCAACGTGCCCCTGCTGGGCCTGGCGGGAGACCTCTTACCTCACACCAGCCTGTTCATCCACGTGGCGGTCACGAACCGGAGAGGAGGCGGGAAGGCTCACCGTAGAGGGCTGTCAGTGAGGAGGGTGGGGAGGAGAGGGAGGGAGTACGTCACGCTGAGACACACCGGCATCAAGGTGGTGGACGAGACCTTCAAACCTGCCAGCGCGCCGATGAAAGAGGCGACGGACCTGAGGGAGGAGGCTCAGGTGAGAGTGGGGATGGAGAAGCTTTTTGATGGTCACTTCTTACGATAAAGTCACCAGCTGTTTGAGTCAAAGGTGTTTCCTAAAAGTAAAATTCAACAGGTTCTTGTGAGATGTGTCTGTAAGGATGATGGAGATGCCATCCAGGGCAGGCAGATGTGTGTTTGTAGCTTTGCGGGCTGTGTTGATAATCCCTCTGCAGGGGCTTTCTTGCAGAGCTGCTGTTGTGCCAACCTGACACATCTCAAGGCTGCAGGAACCTCCGAACAAACCTTGAAGCAGTCTGTGGTGCACTCAAGGTTTTACAGCACAATATCAAACCAGCTCAATGTGACTGGGAACAAACTCTTTACTAATGCAGGCAGCAAAGTCGGTGTTGAGTGAGTCTATGTTGGAGGTAAACAAGAGGGGAGGGTGTAAGCTACAGGAGCCCATGGAGAGCTTCAGAGGAAGACAAAATTGAGATTTTCTTATCAAATTAAGAAATTAAACTGATTTACTGCTGATGCTACATGTCACTATATGTGACACCCATAAACCCAGCAGTTAGATCATTAAGGAGCAAGAATTTTTGACCAGAAAAATGATAAATAAACTTCTTAATGTTTGAGTTTTTGCAGATTTATTTGATTTAAAAAGATAATGCAAGGTAACCTAACTTTCTTGCATTTCCAGTTAATTTTAGAGCGCCCTCTGCTGGCAGCAAATCACATTGATTTGCTTCCTTTGGTTTGGATTTGATAAATAAGACACCAAAATGTACAATAGTTTGAATAGTGAAAAAAAAAAAAACCTGGTATCCTCATTTTATAAACTGAAAGAATAATAGGAGAGAAGTGGGGCAGAAAATTAGGATTATAATGTGTCCAGTTGGACTGGGGGACACTCAACAAACATGAACACAAAACTCACACAGACTCGAGCCTATTTTCTCTTTGTTTGCTTACTCACCGGTTATTTCTGCTCAACCTGTTAATTGGCTGCAAATCTGTCAAAATGAAAAAAAAATCTGTTTTCTGTCTAGCCAAAAAGAATAAAAAATAGAAAATCACATAATATATCTCTTAATTTCCTCCATGAGATGAGTCATCAGGCGACCAGCATGGGTGCAGGTCTAGTGAGGACATGAGGTCTGGAGGTCTTTTCTAAAAGATGATTTAAGGATTTTATTTCTGCATTCCTCCAATTTCAAACACTTTATCTATCCTTCTTTGACTTTAAACAGATGTGTAATATTTGAACGTATATGTTTGTTCTTTCTGAAGCTGGAATTCAGCAAATCTCTGAGTTTTTACAGCTCACCTGGAAACCATTTTCACTCTCCCTCTGCCTGGCTTTAGCTCTGTCACTCTCTCTGAAAGCCAAATGAAAAATGTTCAGGGGGGATTTTGGATTAACCAGAGTAACAGGACATTGTTCATGGGGGGAGATATTTGGAGAGTTTTAAATTTTTAATGCTCTGAGCAGCACAAACACAATTTCATTTACCTTTGTTGAACCGAGCGGAGGCAGAGATGGATTTCTAATCAAACCTGGTGCATAAATCTTAAAATATCTTCTCTGGATCTGCGTTTAAGTGACAGAAAACACAAAAACAAATATTTTCTCTTTCTCTCTGAGTCTTATTTTGATACACAACAAACCTTAACCGGGGGAGTTCAAATAAGGAGACATGCTTTTGTCTTTTCTGCTCAGACTCTTTTAGTTATTTTAGTTTTTAGTGAGATTTAGGAGGAATTTTACAGCAAGAGCCCTTTACATTAAGTGTTACAGATAATAGGATTTATTTGTTTGGTGCGTTATATTAAAGACGAAACAATAGTTAGAAGTTGACAAGCATAATTGGTGGCAAGATCTCTTTTGTTGATGATTGATATGTTGATCATAAAAATATCAAAACATCTATTTTTAATTGTCTTGAATTGTTCATGATTGGTAGAATTCCCAACTAATAGTTATTTTTCAAGATCTGAATATCGTTATTAATAATGGACGGTTGTGGCTTAGTGATTGTCGGTCCTGCTGTCCTCATGCTGAGATGTCACTTGACACCACCTTCGCCCACTGGTGTGTGATTGGACTTGTCAAAACTGATCGGCGCTATACATAGCAGCCTCCTCTATAACTGTGTGAACGTGTGAACGTGACATGAGCCACTTTGAGTGATCAGAAGTCCAGAGGAAACATAGTCCGTTTATCATCTTACCATTCGGAGCTTTGCATGTTAGAAAATTGAACACCTAAGAGTCTACAAAATCATGAAGTTTGAGATCAATCCCCAACCACAGTGTTTAGGTGTGATAGTTTGACTATGAGATATTCAACTGAGTGCTACTAAACCTGAGTATACTATTACGCTTGTGGAGGATATTAAAGACCAGTTTGAGGCAAGCGTATGCAACTGATGGTTTTTATAAATGGGCGTGCAAAATTCAAAACATGTCGGCCGAAAAAAGGCAAAATTTTTAAAAAGTAGGTCTTTAAAAAGGATGAAATGACACAGTAAAACACATGTAAGATTAATAATACTGTAGATGAATTTAAAGTACTTCAGCAAAGCATCAGTTCTACAAAATATGATCAACTATCCACCCTACAATGTACAGAAAAAGAAAAATACAATAGATTAAAAAAGAAAAAAGAGGGTAAAACAAGCAGAAACTCTAAAAATCCAAATCCTGATAAATAAAACTCAATTCGGTTATACAGGCTGGTTATGATTAACTCAGATGACATGTCTTCTGTTACTATTTTGAGCTCTTCATGTTGCTTTTCCAGTCACAGAGCGAGTTTGAGACTTGGTTGATGAGATGTGAAGTTTTGTGGGGGATCCAGAGAAGCTTTCATGACGGCGCTGAAATCGAGCCTCGACCTGAGACTTCTCTGTAGAGCAAATAAGAAAGAGGAGAGGAGGAGGAGGAGGAGGAGGAAGAAAGGAGGAGGAGGTGACAAAAGAAGAGTCAGGAAGGAGAGTGGAGGAGGATTATAAAGCATCTATAAATACCAGCTAAAAAGAGAACCTGGTGGCACAGCACCCACCAGCTTATCACTGAATACAAACAATAGAAGAGGGGGCGGTGTGAGGAGAAGAAGCCTCTGCTGCCGATTTTAGGAATAAAAATATCCACAAAAGCCAAAAGAGTTTGGCCCTTCCTGTCCTTTACTTTGTTCTGAAGCCAGATCCTTTTAGAGATGGTTATAGTTGGGTGCTAAAGAGCTTGATGGGTTTAAAGTGAACCTTGAACCTTAGCCTCAGCCAACCCCATTAGGATTAACACCAACATCAGTAGCTGAACGCTGGACGGGAACAAATCTCTGCAGCTATGATCTAAAACCTGAAAAGAAAACAGAAGTTTCAGTAGTATTTATAAAAGATTATTAAGTATTTATATTCTTTAAATGCTTTGGGTGCAACATAGATTTATTTACGATAGAAAGATTGACTCCTCTCAAGCCGTGGTTAGCCTAGCTGAGCTTAGCTGTTCAGACCAGAATCAGGATATCAGTTAAGTGTTAGCCTGGCTTCATAACTCCTTTTATTTCTATGTTGTATACATTGTTTGTGTTCCAAGGCTGCTACACTGAACAAATCGAGACTGGTTGTGGATTACTGGTCATTATTTATGGTGCATTACAAAATATAATATGATTAATACGTTATGATGGAGTACCATATGATAAATAACACAATACAGCATGATACAATACAAACTTGATGATGGGACATGATATGATAAGATATATGATATGATACAATACTAAACTATATAACAATATATGACATGACATGATATGGTGTGATATGATACAATATTAAACTATATATGATATAATATGATATGATATTATACAATACTAGATGATACAACACTAAACTATATTATATTATATAATATAAGATACCAGATGATAGAATACTAAACTATACAATATGAGATGATATGATACAATACTAAACTATATGATATGATATGATACTAAATGATACACTTAACTATATGATATGATATGATATGATACCAGATGATAGAATACTAAACTATATGATTTGATATGATACGATATGATATGGTATGCTATGATATGATATGATATGATATGATATGATATGATATGATATGATATGGTATGCTATGCTATGATATGATATGATATGATATGATATGATATGATATGATATGGTATGCTATGATATGATATGATATGATATGATACGATGATATTAGTTGATATAATACGGTGTGGAACTATCGCATGCAGCACACTTTATACGAAGGATGTGATGCAGAAGAATACAATATAATACCATATGATAGATTACTTTACAATATGATATGATACCATACAGATTCATGGGCCAGTTGTGGCAGTAAATAAGTAGATAATAAATGAATAAAAGTACTAATACTAATATCATCAACATTTTATGTTACATTGTTTGATACACTATGATATGGTTTGGCCAAGTGGCAACCTCTGGTCTTGAGAATTGAAGCGGGTGTGTCAGTGCTAGATACTGCAGTTTGTTGAGTGTCCGCTTGAGGCTGGCTGCAGAAGAGCAGGAAACCACACACACACCAAGTCAAAAAAAAAAAAAAAAAGCATCACCCCTCTGGTTTATCAGCCTCCTCTGTAATAAAGGATATCAACATCACTATCAGGAGATAAATCCTTATCAAGCCTCTATCATATCAACTCAGAAACAGCCCCTCTTAATAACTCTCTCTCACAGATAGAAACACACTCGCCCATAAACACATTTTCACAAACAGCTTTTAATCTCCCCGCTTCAGCTTCATTGTCCTTTCCCTCTGCCGTCCATCCAGCTGTGGCCTCATCTGCTGCTGTCACTTATTATGCATCATCCCTCCGTTGGTGTGTGTCTATCCCTTTCACACACTCATACACACACACACAGATACATGCATGTGAGTCGTGATAATCTTTGGTCCACTTGGAGCTTCGCCAGGTGGAAAACTGTGATCAGTTGCTCAGCAGAGGTCCCTTTTTTGTGTTTGCATGCACACAATGACATTTTAATTTTAGAGTGACCCAGAAATGATATTTTTTTTCGCAAATTGACACAAATTTTTTTATCCTCTTATCCCTATCAGTGCCTGTAACGACCCACTTTTGCACCCACACACCTGTAGCAGAGAAAACTGTGTAAATGCCACATTTATTTCTGTTTCACATTCATGCTATTGTGTTTTTCATTTGCAAAATACTCTGAAGTTCAGACTGATTTCACCAGATAAAAAGCAACAATGGCTGCCATATTGATTTGATTCACAAGAAAAAGAAAACACAGGACGTGCGAGTGTGTTTGTGTGTGTTTGTTTGGGGTGTGTCAACCTCCCCGACCTCTATTCCAGCCTAATTTTACAGCCCCGATGGTTCATCTGATCCAATATTTCTCCCCTTCTCTCCCCCTGTCTCTGTTTCTTTTTTTTTTTTCCCCCTCAGAGCACTACGGCCAGTTTTAAAGAGCAGTGTGGGCTCCCCACGGTGGCCAAACTGAAGCAGTGCATCCAGAGTTTGGCCACAAGGCTGCAGAACCCCGAGGGGACGATGGGAGCGACCATGGTGCTGAAGGAGGGATACCCATGTCTGGAGGCTTTGGTCAACCTCCCAGAGCCGACGCGCAAACTGCTCTCTGCATACGACACGGTCAGTCTAACAAAAAAAGGATGCATGCATAAGAATTTCTGAAATGTTTTTAAAATTCTGATGTGGCTTTGGCATCTTTAGAAATATTTGCATGGTTCAAAATGGGCACCAAAGGTCTTATATAAGATTTCAGCTGCTTCTCTACAAAAGTCATTGAGTGGATGGCAGCATATGTTGTTCCTAAACCTGTATATATTGTTTAGCATTAATGGAGCCTTCACAGATGTAGAAGCTACCCATGACATGGACACTTAGGCTTTGAACTGAGAGCTGATAACAAGCCATGTGGTCCTTGATCCAGTGTTGATGGTTACCAAAAAGGACATCACATTTGGATTCATCAGACCTTGAGATAGTTTCCTCTCAGTCCACCTTAAATGGACTCAGGTCCTGAGAAGTCCTTGGTGTCTGATCATGTTTATATCTGGTTTCCTCTTTGCATGGCTCAGTTTTAACCTTCATTTGTTGTGGATGCAGTGATGAACTGTGTTAACAGACGTGATTTTGCAGTCATTTCTACTACAGCATCCTGTCTATTTTAATGCAGTGAGCCTGAGGGTCTGAGATTTCTCCAGATTATTTTGATATTTTTTTACTGATATTATGTACTGTTATTTACAAGAATCCACCGCTGTTTGCTCACACAGTCTCTCACAGAGTGTTGAAACTCTTCCCATCTTGTCTTCTCAGAGACTCAGCCTCACTGAATGTCTGTTTTGTACCCAGTCCTATTATTAGTCTATTGCATATTAACCTCATTAGTTGGAAGATCTTTAAATAAGGAAATATTCTAAATAAATAACATTTTCAATTATAGATACAGACTTTGATTTGTACATCGTCAAACCAACACCTTAAAAAGCTCTTATTCTCTTTCAAATTGTGTCTGTAGATGTTTTGTCTAGATTTTGCTTGAAAGATTTTGCACTTTAAAGTGAAAACTCATGAATGTACAACTGAGTGCGCGCATGCAGTATGCAAGTCTGCTGTCCTCACTTGTTAAAAATGCAGAAAACACTCTGAAGTGACATGAAACACTCATCTACACTCCTCCTCACATACGAACACACGGACACTCATGACCATCGGCTGTGTCCTCCTCCTCCTCCTCCTCCTTCCCTACCCTCTCCTGCATCAGATGAGAGGATTTTTTCCCACCTGTGTCAGGCTCAGATTTTACACCTACACACACCTCAGCATAGAGTGTGTCTTTAAATGTCACTGTGTGTCCATGCATGTCCCTGCGGCTGACGATGTTTGAGTGTGAACGCAGGAAATGTGAGCTCAGCGGGTCAGTGTCATGTAGCCACAGCCGGTGTGATCTCCAGTTGAACATCACACACACCTCTTCAAGACTGAGTCACCATCACACACTCGCACTGTGCCTTCTCTATCTTCTGTTGCCTTTCAGACGGTCTCTCTGAGTCCTTTCACAATATCTATAGGTTTATTGTCGCTTAAAATAAAGAGTCTTGGATAAAAAAAAGAGAATAAATATATCATAAGTAGTCATGTGCACATGCAATTCAAACAAATATCCAAACTAGTAGTCACAAGTTTTGAGGATTTAAACTCCAGAGAAGATAATCTGAACTAAAACATTGTCTTTGTTTCATGCAGATGATTGCAGCTCAGAAACAGCTGATCGAGAATGCAGATGCCGTTCAGGAGAGGATCGCACAGGTGCAGAAAGAAGGTAAAGAGATTTTTGTGATTGCAAATGATGAAAAAAATCTCCACAGCAGGACATAAATCAAAATCCACAGCGGGAGGAACTTTGATATGAGCATCAAACAGCCAGATCTGATGAGGCGGCTCCTCTGAGAATATGTCCGTTTAAAAAAATAGATTATAAAGTTCATGACATTCATCGTTTATTCATTTTTGGATATTTTGAAAGAATCAACTGAGATAATCTGTCCAGCGAAAATCTGTGTCTGTAATGCGATAAAAGATGACTTTTTTAATCCCAATATTGTTACCTCATTCGCAGAAAATGTTGCATAATCATCTTTTCTCCTGTAAAACTCCATTCATCCCTTTTTCCCATGTCTGTTAGTTTTAGAGGATGGTCTTTGAATAATATTTCAAACTCTCTTGTGCTTCATTTTTTATTTTCTGTTTCCACTTGCAGTTTTGCTCTATGAAAGCTCTGCAGCAACATTTACTCAGAAAAGATCGTCTTTGGAGCTGCAGGGAAATATTTTTAGACTCTTCCTCTACCTCAGACGACTCCTGACCTTTAGCTGCTGATGTAAATGTCAAGAGCACTGTTTGCTTTTGTAAATATGTAAATCCACTTTCTGACAAACAAACACAGATGACAATTTGTCGACACTCGCCCGGAGACATTTCGTGTTCATCACAAAAACAGTCTGAGCGCATCGCCCTGACAGCTGACAGTTGATTTCACCTGGTTTGAAGTGTCGATGTGCGCACACTCTGTAAACCCACGCAGAGCTCAGGTTGGTGTTTGTTTTTTCAGGGATGGACTTTCATGAAGAGCTGTCTCGACTCGGGGAGAAGGAGGGACTGAAGGGGCGGAAGCAAAACAAAGCCGTGGAGAGTTTCACCTGGAACATCACCGTGCTAAAGGTACTCAGACATGCATCTCTCAGGTAAATGATTTTAAACGGCACAAGGAGACAGATATGTTCACTTTTATGAGAAATCTTTACCTTTGATTAGTAATTGAATTGATTTTCCAGGAGCTTTTAATAAAAAAAAAATTGGACCGGCTTCTGAATAAGTGTTATATAACTGCTGAAGAGGAAGGTGTATCATCAGGTGTGAAGTGGACAATGCTGCAGGTAGCGCTTTCACACAATCAGCCCGTTTCTAACAGCTATGAGCTGTGTGCAAAAACTTTTATCTTGATTTTTTTTTTTTTTTTTGCCAGGGTTTAATTGCTGAATTATGTGCAACAAAACTTCAAGTCTGCTACAACTGTTATGTAAAATGGAACAAATAACTGTGTGAAAGAATAAAAGAGGTTTTCATTTTGATAAAAACTCAGAGAACAACAACCTGATTGTGCGGTTGCCCTCATCTCACCGTAGTTTGTTGTCTTGTTCTTGTGGTTTTGCATATCTTGATGGCTAACATTTGTTAACTTGTTTTTAGATTCCCCCAAAAATACATGTATTAAAGGTGGGGTAGGCAGGATCTGAAGAAGTGCCAGTTTTTGGGAGACATCTTGAATGTAAACTCTACCCCTCCCAACCAGTTTTCCCCTCAGCTCCTCCTCTCCTCTCCCTCTCTGCTCCAGAAAGCCCCGCCCACAAACAGACACTCCTGCTTGTTTCAATTAAATTCAGATATAATGCAGATAAGTACTTTAGATAATCACAAATGGGGCCCAGTCAACGTTAAAGTAAAAAGCATCAGTGCTACTGTAGATGCCAACAGACTACCAGCAAACACAATGTTTGCAGGACTTCCACAACTCGGATAAAGTGACATAGTCCAGCCTCGTGAACGACTTGGGGAAGCAGCGTCTGCCTCACAACCAATCAGGTTGGGGGAGGCGGGGAATGGCTTTGTTTACAGTAAGAAAGAGCGGGCCACTCAAAAATGTTAAAATGTTGACTACATAGACATAACAAAACACACCGATATTGTTCTATTACCAAATGCCATCGATAACTAATAGCTATTGACTGATATTAAAAGCTTTTTTGTATATAAACCACAAAAAAAGATGCTTCTTTAACAGAATCCTGCCTACCCCACCTTTAAGATAGCTTTGAACTTCTTCCTCAGGGTACAAATCCTAAAGTTAAAAGTTCTCACAAATTAAAGTGTCTCTTTGTGTCCTTCAGGGTCAGAGCGATCTCTTACGTGGAGCGAAGATGGATTCTTTAGACGCTCTGAGGCAGCTGGCTCTTGCGTGTGAAGCCTGCGGACTCACCTCTTCCCCCACTTCCTCCAACTCCTCATCCTCCACCTTCTCCGCCGCCGAGCTGCATTACTCCTCTCACCCTCTGTCGGGACGCAGGAGCAGCACGCACGGAAATGGACGCATCTGACGCCCGCACTGGGTCCAGCGTGCTGCCAAAGATGAATGGCGAGCAGACGGACGGAGTGATGACTGAGGTTGAGGAGATGTTAGAGCGAGAGAAAGAGGCGCAGGTGTGAAGATCACCTGACCACCAGACAGACAGAGGAGTGTTTCCCTTTATTCAGTGCAGTACGAGTCTAGATGAGTCTGGACACAGCAGTAAATCTGTTTAAGCCTTACGGGAGGTCATTAATGAATCGCTGAAGCTCCGGCCTGCACAGAGGCTTTTTATGAATGTCGAAAAGACGCCCCACAAGGGTCCTTGAACTACACACGACTCCTGCTTACTTTACAGGGAGAGAACGTCTGTACAACATAACTCTGCAGTTTTCTCTCATTAGAGAGGAAATCACTGATTTATTCGTGACAGCAGGGCTGCAGCTGAGCTCACGTTTTCAGCCCTGTTGATGTTTCATTTTAGATGCTCAAAATCCAGAACAGAGAAAATTTGTGGTTATTTCCTGCAGCTGAATTTCAGCGTCTCTAAGGAAGGCAACTAGACTACCTATGTGTGCATGTGTGTGTTCGTGTGTGTGTGTGTGGGTTCACACCTGTCTGCACAAAGGGGAGAAAGAAAATCAATTTGGGAAAACACCCAGAATAAGAGGTTTTAAGTTTGTTTGTTTTTTTTCATGTAATACTAAACATCGAAGTGTTCAACTTGGAATAATCTCCAGTTAATGAAATGTGTCTGATGGAGAAGGGTGCAGTCTTGGACCAACAATTACAGCAGATTTAGGTCTTAATCAACTCAGGGTGGCTTTGCCCAAAGCTCTTTTTAGGTGGTTATGAAACAGAGCAAAAAAAAAATTTAAGAATTTGTCCTAATGATCAACAAAAACAAAACAGACGCTTTGCAACTTCACTGAAAATTTCTTGGGGGGTTTTTAAAGCTGGGAATCACAGCTACCAGGTCAGGCGAATCGATAAATTACAACCTACAGAAGCAGCCTATGTCAACGTCTTTGCCCAGCAAAGATGGGTCATAGACAACCTTTCTTACACCTCTACCAGACAAGATCAGCAGGGTTCATACCAAAGTGTTTTTAAGCTTCTACGAGGAGTTTTTATCTTCTTTATAAAACAGACACATTTGTTTTGCTGCCTCATGAAATGAGGTGAGGCTATTAGCATTCGGTGTTGTCTGTTATTAGATCGATTACAATCTGGAGATGAGAAATCAGAGCTGGAGTGGAGGCGAGACGTCTGCAAATGGATCGTTTTCTGTTGCTTACATCTAAGATTCAGATTACTGTGATTAGTTGATTATAAAATTCTGACAGCTTTAGATGATGGATGTCATTTAAGTGCAGACATCCACACTGACTGTTTACCTGAATAAAACCACAGACAACAAAAAAACGAGAATTTCCCAGTTTGGGTTCAATAAAGTACATCTATCTATCTATCTATCTATCTAAGACATAATTGGTTCCTTAGATGGGAGTAACACAATAACAATAAAATAGAAAACCTAATCGACCGTATCTGACAAAAGATTTCAATGAAAGTTGGGAATTGGAACAGGTTGACATCCTCGATCTTAATATTAGCTAATATATGAAAGACTTTAGAACTGAAGCTCTAAACTTTTTTATGATTGGTCTGAGCGTCTGCACTCTTAAAAAACTCTGTTAGATATACATGAGGATTTGTCCACTTTTAAACTTCTACTACAATACAGAAAGATCCCCTTGCAGCTCCGAGCACACACACACCTCCCTCACTGGTGTGAAACACACACTCACACGCTAACAGAGGGTCTTGTTATCTCCAGCCGGTGGCCTTTGAGCCCGTCATGTTCGCTGAAACCTGAGAAACGAGGCGTAGAAGAGAGAAGAGACTCGGTAATTGGAGATGTTGCGGATGTGTGTGTTGATACTGTAGTAGGCTACCACGTGTGTTGTAGTACATTTGTGGGTCACATAACACTCCTCACTACACCCACATCCGGGGTTACGGAGTGTGTGCGTGTGTGTTAGTGCGTGCTTAGACCAGATTGTGGATGAAGTACACTGTAGCAATAACACTACTGATAAAGAATGTGTACTGACTGAAAGACTGAAAGCTTTTAGCTCAGTGATGCTTAAAAATGTGCTTAAAAACTACAAACATGGCGTCCAGCAGGTGCTACTGGTTGCGTACCTGTCGTCATTGATGGCGTTCCTCTAGGCCTTTGAGTGTAACTGTGTTTTTTCTTAGTGTTCTTTCTAACTCTGCTTTTTGTACTCATGTTCTCGTGTTCAGTAAAATGCTGCCACTCAACCAGACGTTATCAAAGTGATGCGAAGAGAAACCAGGATTACGTTCCCCTCCCTGAGTAATAATAATACACATAATTATTCTCTGGTTTGTGGCACCTCCTCCATTTTTGATTTTTAGGATTGATGAAGAAATAATTTGAAAGATCGTCCAGATAGTTTTGAGAAAATCCAAAACATTTGATCAATCAACTTAAGGTCCAGTGTCTTGTTATCTATAGACTGTAAACAACCACATAAGCACCAAATCCAACATTCTGGTCATCATTGTCCTGGTCTTTTGTACCCAGCAGTGACCAAAACTGAAGGGGATCTTGATTATTGTGACCAAATCCAAACAGGATTGGCATATTTTGTTTCCAGGTACTTTTTTTTCAAGTGACTGAAATTGGAAGAGATTTATATGGTTGATGTTCTCATCTTAGTTTCCTAGAAAAACAGGTGACCAAATTTGGATGGATGACCTTTTTTCTGGTGATAAACTTGTTTTTTAGAGTCAGATAATACCAAATTTGGAAGGTGCAAGTATTATAGTGGTTGTGGTCTTGTTTTTGGGACCAAATTATGTTTGCGTTTTTTGATTTTTGAAGTAACATGATACTAAATTTAGAAAGTATTGGCTTTTTTGGGTTGCCGCCTTGTTTTGGGGAGTAAAAAGTGACCGAATCTGGATGGCTATTGGATTGGCTTTACTTTTGGTTGCTACCTTGTTCTGGTGATAATATCAAGACGTTTTCAACTTTATTCTGGAAAAGCGAGAAATATGAATCCAAACAACAAACCTCCTTTTTTTTTGTACCTTCGTCATTTTGCAGGTAGAAATAATCCGTCTAGTACATGAGGTTTTTGTTCCATCTGTATATTCAAAGTCCAGTTTGTTTCTCAGCTAATTCTGCTGCAGCTGATGCAGAAGACATGTGAATGTTTCCTCTGCCTTCTCGATTAGATAGGGAGGTGGACCAGAGAATGAGGAGGATGACAGCTAAACATTGTACCAGCTCACCTGCCGATCTGCCCCAGGTGGCATTTTACAGCAGACAGGATGTTAATGAAAGAACAGACACCTGGGGACGACTCTAAAGCTTCACTCACCTGTTCACCCCCTCCTAAGTGCTCGTGCGGGACCACTGTATGATCTGAGTGACATCCTGTACGTCTGATTTATCTACACTCTTCTCCTCTCTCACTCTCCTTCGTACCTTCATTTTCCTCCACCCTGGTGATCCCGCTGCTCTTCCGGGGGCTGCAGGTGGGAGCTGAATCACAGCCACAGGAAGAGGCTGACCCAGTAACATTTCCATGTGTGTGTTTGTGTGTGTGTGTCAGAGGAAAGTAGACGACATCTACTGAAGAGAGAGCAAAGGTTGAAGAGGAAGATGGAGGAAGAGGAAGAGGGGGGAGTGAAACTGGATCAACTTTAGGTGCAGGTGTGTTTGTTGGGCTCACCTGCAGAGCTTCATAATTGGCCGTGAGCAGCAGACAGAGTGACAGCTCCTGCTGTTTTGGTCTATTAATACACACTCTGACTCACAGGAAGTGTGTGTGCTGCTGTGTTTGTGTCTGTCATTAAAACCACGGTGCCCTAAATCCCGACCTGATGATGCAAACTGGTTCATTGCCAAAAAAAAATCTGCTATGATTTCTCTTGAATCAGCAGAAGTTTCAGGAGCTTTTAGAGGATTTCAGCTCCGAAATGAAATTATCTCACCACTACCGGAGGCGTCCACTTATGGAGTCAGTAGAGTGCAAATAAAAGAAATCAATAAGTGTGAAACAATAAGAAATCAATGTCAAGTTTTGGTATTAAAGGATTTGTTAGTAAACTTTATATGTCAGAAATAAACGAACAAATAAGAGCAAATACCAAGAGGAAGAAAAAAATCATTTATTTTCACGTTTATTAAATAATAAGTAAACATGGTATAAAGGAAAAATACTTAAACAACAATTATGAGATGAGAGAAGATAAAACAACACCCCCTAAAGTATTTAAAAGAATGACAGATTATGATTGAATAACTTTTATTTTAATTTTTTCACCTGTTTTACTTCAAATTCATATTAGCGTTCATGCTAGCATCCATGCGTTAATAATGATATAATTTTTAAAATCAGTAAAAATATTTAAAATCTCTTCTAGTGTGTCAGGCTAAACAGACGTCCTCAGGTTGGCATGTTCACATCATTCATATCTCACCATCATTAGATAATTTTTCTCCTGGGATAAATCTGATTGGACGTTTAGCTCATGTGCTCCGGCGTATTTTGTAACGTTAAAGTGTTATACTGTATCTATTTAAAAATTGCCTTCAATGCAACATAATGGAATTTTATACCGTACTTGCAATTAAAAGTGATATTAATCCTGATTTTTATCTCTCAGAGGGCAAAGTTGCTCGTCATTTTTGCCCAGATTCTTAAAGAAAAGATTTTAAAATCAGTATTAGATTTAAATATATAAAAAGATAAATCTTTTACAATTTTTTTTTTAAACATTTTTGTTAAAACACAGGGAGCAGAGTGATATACAGCCTATTTATATGGCACATGATTAAAGGTTTTACATTTGAGTATACAAATAAACATAGAGACTATTTTTACAGTATCAGTCAGTACTTTGTAGAGGGAAACTTGTGAATTAATCCAAAAGTGCAAATAATAGACCAAATTTTTTCAGCTATCTTTGTATTTGCAGTAGTATAAACCATTTTGAAGTTTTATCTGACATGTACATATTTCAAACTGTCCTTGTTTCTGTGTTTGATACTTGCATATTTTTATTATTTTTCTCTTAGTTATTCTTCTCTCTAGCCCACTTGTGCCTCCATACTGTCTGTCAGATCTGTTTACCTGCAGGGAGGATCTCTCTGCATTAATGTTGCAGCAGCTGCAGTAAAATAAAACACAGTATTACCTTTCTGTGTTCCGGTTTACATACCGGTTGACAAACTGGGTCAAAGAGCGATCAGGCGATGAAGCTTTCCTTACCCGAGGATGTTCAAAACATCAGGAGTCAGCTTTCAGTAATGAGATCTTTTCATGACTACTTTAACCTCATTCTTAGAATAATTCATTAGACTTTACTGTATTTACAGGAAGAGCTCACTTATTAAGCTTCAATGTGTCTCCCTGTAAAATAGAGAAGCAGACGGTGACCAAGCAGCTCATCCAAGAGTTAGTCGAATTTAAAGGTCACATGTTTGGCTATGGAGTAATGTTTCTTCAGTATTTTCCAATGTGACTTGACTATGTATGGTGTCTGGCATCCTAGCCTGTTCATCTAAAACTTTAAAATCAGCATCTTGATGCTTTCTCACGTCTGAACTTGGAACTTTTATCTTCTTTCATCATCTAAAATTTCATCACCAGGTTTCCAAAAACAGGATAAGGGCTTCTCATAGTTTTCAAAATGAGCACAAATCAAAATGATACTTACATCTATAAAGAGGTACTCAGCGATACAAAAAAAGTTTGCTTTTGTAGGTCAAAAAAGGGACAAACGCAAAATTCCGTTTGTATAGTAACCAGCTTGTAACTCCGCACAGGGCTGCTAAGGTACAAATATGACTTCAAATGACAAAAATATGAATTAAAAGAAATACAAGCCTATAGAAAAAGCAATTATATTAAACACATAATACATATTTTCACATTTAGACATATGCATATGAAATAGATGACTTAATAAATGTGAAAACAAACGAAAATTATCGTTTTTCTTTATTTTTCTGCATATTTGATATTTCAGATAGCTTTATTTTTTTAGTTATATATTTGTTTCTGTCTTTAGCATTCTTCTATAAGCCCATATTTATATTTTCTTATTTTTGCAGTGTTTCTGTTTCATATGGCACTCCTCTGACTCTGTGGTGGTCGGCCCCTCTCAGTGCTTTATCTCATTCAGTATCTCATTTCTTACCCAATGCTGCACCCTGATGCCTGAAGTGTGGACTTCTCTGCATCCCTTTACACCCAACAAAGTAGAAAAGAAAAACAAAGTAGAAGTCAGTCTCTCACTGTGAAACAGTTTTATTTTGAAATATGGACATTTTAGACAAAAGGAGTGTTTCTTTGGGATGTTTTGTATCTCTGTTACCCACGTGTCTTAACCTCCAGCTCGCCTTCTCTGTGCTCTTCAGTGTGTGATGCTACCTAACTTTGCAGAGCAGTGGTTGTATAGCGCTTTGAAGTTATTTAGATAATGAAAAGTTTTTTCTAACTGTCACAGTGTGTGGACAAAGTTGTGTAAAACACTTGAACGTATTTTAGGTTCTGTATAATTCGTGGCATCTGCAGTGTTGGCCCGCTAACCTTTAATCCAGTGTTTGTACCCTCAGCTGTTCTTACGGTCACTGTATGTTTTTGTATAGTAGAACAAAAAAAGACCAAAAGAAGAAAAATATTTATTGAAGTGTGTTTTAAATAACATAAATATAATAAATTAAATGGACCTTGCTTTTATTTTTAAAAGCTACTGTGTTTTCTATTTGACAAATATTCAAATATAACAAGAATATGTATTCCTGACTAAATAAAGTTATCTTTCCTGACCAGACCACCTTGTTGATTCTTCTCTATACTTCCAGTATGTGTTAAGTGTCTCTCATTAAGTACCTCTGCAGTTAGACTGTCTGAAAAAAAGCTTTTATTTGTAGGCTCATTCAGTTTAACACAGGGCTAAAGGGTTTAGCATTTCCCGATAAGAGCAAAGGCCCCTCATTTACTTAAGTCCTGCAAATGTGTGCAAGTGTAATCAAAATATACTTAAAAAAGGGTATATGGGTCATTCCGTGACATCAGTGCCTTTTGCGTCCCCAAGAAGTAATCAGTCATAAAATTATAACAACAAATTAATTTGTAATTTAAAAATATAACATTACCATGTCTTCTCTCCTTAATATAACATCAAATTAAAGTCGATTAAATATCAATTTAAATCATTAAAATTAATTTTATGTAATATAATTATTTTGGTTAAGTACTTGGAGATCAGTTATGCAACTCACAGTTGCTTTTTGAAATAAATCGAATAGCGAATTAACGTGCAGCGTCTAAAAATATTCAAAATTGTAAACGGTTGAAGTTAGGTCCAAAAAAAACCAAACAAAAAAAAAAAAAACCAGACGTCTGTAGACGTCTATTGCGCAGTGCGCCCCAATGGTTTCTGTTCAATGAGAAATACCGTCAATCAGCAGCAGTTGATAATGTGTACCAGAAGTGGTGTTGTGAATTTATTTACCTTTTGTCACCACAGTGCTCTACTGCTCGGCCAGCGTCTTTTCCTGGGGTCGGGTTTTACTTATTAAAATCCTGATTGGCAACCAGGTTACATCCGGGCCCTTCGTCGAGCGGGAGCCCACAGATTCAAACTGGAGCTGCCAACGGTTGGACAGTTGGAAAGTAGAAACGCCTAATATCGTCAAATGAGTCCAAACGGATGAAGGGAATCGCGTTTTAAGCATCGAAAGACGTTAATCAACAATGGATGTAGCTTATGTTATGTTTCACATTAGTTCTCACAGAAAAACGGAATAAAGAGACCCAACAACTCCAACAACTTCTTCTATCACCTGACCGCTCTGGGAGGCCTCGCTAGATACCGTCTTCGCACATTACAACATCCATGGTAGGTACTAAAGCTGATAAAGTTCAGAATTGCATGAGTTTTTGTTTTTATATCACCTGTTGACCATACGTTGTCAATTCCAACGTAGTTCCAGTTTTTGGTGGTGATTTTTTAGCTACCTTATGGTATTGTGTCGATGTTTTGATATGTGTAGTAGACAACCGCAACCATCCACCAAGGCGAACCTTGAAAGCAAAAAGAGGCCTTTTGCTCGTTGAAACGCTGTAAATGTTTGAAATAATCTGATATAGACAAAAATCTAGACATTTTTGTCAAATTCTATTTTATATTCAAGTTTTGTAAACATAATGTACAATTTTCAGCTTCTTTTCAAAGCCTTAACTGCATATTATTTGTTTACAGCATGGATATTAGACTGAAGCTTACTGTCTCATGTCAGACAGAAACCTAGATCAAGGATTTTTCACCTTAAATTGGCACAGATTGATGTCTCAGAATCAGTTTATTTAGTGCACATTGTGTTTTTCTCTGTGCTGCCAGGAGAGGGAGCCAAACATCAATCTATTTACCTGAGGCTGTAATCTACAGGTCAGGCAGTACAATGAAACCTTTGAAAGTAAACACTCATTGCTGAGTAATGTCCCTGTACCCACAATAAATAAGTCAGCACTGAGTGTCACTGTAATTTCACGACTTATTCTTTATGTCTTATTATCAAGCTTTAACAGTAATGTGTGTAAAAATAGTGGCAGTAACCCTTAATCTTTATTATGATTTTTAATCTTAATTCAAATACATGCTTTCATTTAAAGACTGTAAGGTCTTAAAAACCTTCTATCTCTCTGATTTATGTATTTCAGCACCTTTGTGGTCTTAGATGCACCATTGTATGTTCCCATCCAGAAGCCTGTAGATAGCAGTTTACTGTTGGTACTTTTTCCTTACTTCTTGTGCTTTTTTTGCTTACATTGTTAACCATTTTAAACTACAGAAAAACTATTTTGCGCAGACATTGCACCTACCAGTGCTGCTGAGATGAATGACAGATAATTTATTAGGTCCTGCTGCTAAAGCTTCTCGTTTTACTAGACCAACTATACCAAAAATTTACAGTGGAAAAGGAAACAGCTGGAGCGAATCATATATAGTGGAAAAAAGCACAATAGTAAGTCTCAGTTTCACTGTTAATAGTTAGGTACACAGGATTTTCTCTCTGGCTTTGGCAGTATGAACCTGGGGTGTACCTGATGCTTGGTACTTACCTGTGTGTGCTTAAAAATTTAACGTAGTTGGATAAGTTCAGTTCTCTTCCGGACCTGTTTTTATCACATTAGGCCTGTTAGATCCTCTTTGTACAACAGGATTTAGTAGTTGCAAGTGGTTCATTTTACATCAGTTGTATGGGACTGTGAAATCTTACAATTTATAAAGCATGTGCAGCCTATCAAATGCAAAAAGGAAAAACGGAACATCTAAACTGACTTAAAGCCCCTCCCCATGGCTCTGCTCCACGCTGCAAACACTTTGTCATTTAGGCGCTTCTTCTCTTGTATGAAATGTCTTTGCCAAACGTGTTGCTCTTTGGTATTTCGGTATCTTTAATGGTTCTATGTGGTAGCACCTCTCAGAGCAGCGCATCGAGAGATAGCTTATAGCAGAAAATCTTAACATTGATCTTTACATTGAGATTGCAACCATGCCAATATAACATATTATGTCAGGTTAATAGCGTGTGGGCTGTAGGTGGAGAAAAACTACACTTATTAAAATATTTTGAATCAGATGTCTTCCACGGGTCATCTGAAGAGACCTTTACTGGTCTGTCTGTCATGATATTTCTCTGACTTCTTTGTAGTGTTTGTTATGTGGGTTGAAGGGCAGTGAAGTCTCATAGTTGTATCAGCCCCCTCCTTCTCTCTCCCTCAGGAGGTGTCGGGCAGCAGATGGGAGGTGATGGAACTGTGTGGTAGTGTAGGCGGTGACATGACAGGCTGTCAGGCCCTAATGCAGGCTAACATCTGGAGGTTGTTGGCCATGTCACTTCTTGCCTGCCGGCAGGGTCTTCTAGCCTGGGGCCAGGAGCCACCCTGAGGGACGTGCACCCAGGGCACAACGTGAGCTTCTGAGACGGGAGGCTGCAGGAATGATGATGTACGTACACAAAGAGTCACTCTGCATTGTACCCTGAAGTGAAAGCAAAAAAATGATGGTAATATTGACCGAGCTGCAGTCCAAAGTGTCAGGGTGGAAGCTTTCTCTGATTTTGTAACTGACCTGCATGTATCAGGTTTAAAAGCAGGAAAATACACGCTTTTGGCAGCATAGGAAGACATCCTAAACCATCTGTATCTCAGAAACCATCTGTGACAAACTACAAATAGATTAACAAAAGAAGTCCTTCTTGAGTGCTTGGTGAAGACGCGGCTACATGCACAGCAGGATAATACAGGACCGTTAAAACTGTTAGCACCATTCAGGCACTGTGCTATTAACGCTTCATGCTCGCCTTGAGCTTCCAAGGAGCAAGTGCCTCTTCTATTTTAATGACAGCCCTCACCCAGAGGTAATTTCACTGTGATTAAGGCAGGAGGAAAAATAAAATCACCTCTTAAAAGTCTCTAAATTGCATCTTATTTATCCACCTTTTAACTAACTACAAAAGGCAGACAGACAATGGCCCTGCATGTTTCTACCTCTGCTGGTGAACAATTATACTTACAGACATTAGACTGCTTCATTGTTATATGGGTATTCAATATGGCACCCAGGAGATGGCACAGAGTGACGCTCTGATGGAAAAGTTTAAATGAATGAAAATGTATTTTTAAAAGAACTTCTCTCATATTTTCTGAAACTGCCATTAAAGGCCTTTTGGTATCTTTTTAGTGAGTTGTCTTTTGGCAGTAATCTGTTATGTATTAGGCCTTTTCCCCCCATTAGCAGACCTCAACTATGATACTTTTTCTACCGTACATATGATACTATATTTAAGTTTGCTGTAGGGGCCATTTCAGAAGCTGTAAGTTAGAGATTAAAATGTAAATGTGCAGAGAAAGATTAACTTTTATTTGACATTTTTTAGCATAACTAATGAGTTTAACTTGCAACAGATTAGTAAAGGGACTGGGTATAAAAAGGACATTCAGTCACTCTGTGAGAGACAGGTAATGCTTCAACAGTTTCAGAATAACGCACATGAGTGAAATATATACAGGTTTAAGAGCAACTGTTGTAGAATAGTCCTGGTGCTAAACTGGTCTGCCTGCAGTCTTGACTTGCCATCCATCAGAAAACATTTGGTGCACCATGACACAAAAAAGAACATAGGAGACCCTGAACTGAGAAGTTGACATCTTTTATTAGGCAAGAATGGGACAACATTTGACCTTCCAAACTCCAGAAACTGCCCACTGAGCATTTTTTGGTCTAAAAGAGGTCTAATAGACGTCTAAATGTAGCCTAGACGACTGGTCTAAAATCAGGTTACAACAGTTCTAAAAATGAACGTTTCTTAGACGTCTAGATTTAGACCAAGTTTAGACAAAATCTAAATCCGGGCTATATCTATATTACACTGTATATTGCTTAACAGCTATCCTAATTATTTTGGTTAAGTACTTGGAGATCAGTTATGCAACTGAATGAATAAATGGATATGGAATAATGGATTAAAGTGCAACACCTAAATTCTGTCTAAAATCATACAGAATCTAGACGGTTGAAATTAGGTCTAAAACTAGACGTCTAATAGCCATCTATTGCTCAGTGGGTGGTCTCCTGGGTTTACTGATGTCGTTCACAGAGTGTTGTTGAAATAAGGGGTGCTACAGTATGATGGTAAACATGTCCCAGTCCCAACTTTTTAGGACTTTGTTGCCGGCATCATATATTTTTTATCAGACAATTACATTTTCAGCATTTGATATGTTGTCTTTACACTATTTTAAGATTAAACGTAGGCTTTAAAT